TGGTATGGTATGGTATGGTATGGAAACGCTACGGCACAAAGAGTGGTGGTGTAATAATAAGGTTGGGTATTATTTCTTGGTGAATTGATATGAATTGATATGATATGATATGATATGATATGATATTACAGATGTGGAAATCGAATTCACGTTCTCTCATTCATATTGTACAATGAACAGTGAGAGGTGACGGACTACTCTATACAAGCTGCGTTTTGTTCCTATTTCTCTTAGCATGATATCAACGATCCTTGCATCTGTGTGTAAGGGCGAGGGCGAGGGCGAGGGCGAGGGCGAAGGCGTGGATGAGGGAGAGAGAGGATGAGCATCATAAATTGAGGAATCGATGGAAGAAAGAATGATAATATTGATTGGAATCTGTGTACAAATCCATCATCTTCATTTCACATAATTTTCCCTATCGTTTTCATTCCTCTTCTCCATTGTCTTCCATTTTACCTTCACATTGACATTCCCCCCGTTCTCCCGCCCGTCCGCCCGTATCAATTTATTACCCACCTACTAATTCGAAGCTTCCCTTATGCGATTTATATTGCATGGGGTCAACTTGCAACCTCAGGCCAGATGTCGTTTGGCCACCCAATGAAAAGCATTTGACGTTGATAAATGACGAAAAGCGTTTAGCGTAGGACGCTTGCCTAGGTTATGATATCAAAATTCATAAAAGATGTGTTAGATTTATACTGGGATAAATGGATCAGTGGCTTCCAAGGTTTTTTTCATGGGGTGGAGTGAAGCAAAGTTAATTCTTCTAGATTTCGGGATGTTGAGCTGAGGGCTGAGGGATGATTGATGAGTGGGAGACTCGAGTGAGCAGTAAAGTAAGTACACTAGACTACGAGACTATAGGACTACAAGACTACTGGTGAGTGAAGTGAGTGAGTGAATAAATGAACGACTTCCATCTGGGGTGATTGACTGATGGACCACCAGACTGATTGATCTGAACTTGTGATCTGATCTGACCTGATCTACCTGCCCTTGCCTTATCAATCCCTACCTAGACACGGAGCGATAAGTCGGTGCTCCTCCCGTCTGTATGAAATCATTTATGCAAGTCTAAAATCAATACTACCCGGAGTCTTTGGGGGATACAGCGTACGTACAATCGATCGATATTTGCACCAACGTTGCCAGAATTAATTCAACCCAGTACCAGGTAACTTGAGAAGAAGAGAACTTTTGATGTAGGTGCCTAGGTAGGTATCGTAGCTTGGTATGCTTGAACCAACATCTTATTGCTTGCTTACCTACTGGGTTCTTATTGTGTATAACTATGCTATGTAGAAATCTTACGTAGCATACTATTATTAATAATTAATCAATTCAATTAGGAAGGTCGTTGTGATTACCTACCTACCTACTCATCCCATCCCTTCATGTTTTTCATCTGATGTTGAGGTGTGGTGGTCCCAATTATGCGGTTCTGGCGCTTTTCCAATGCCATTTCTTATTATGTTCAAGGGTTGATGCTGATGTTGATGTTGATGCTGACTTGATGGTCTAGAGTACTCGGTAGACTGGGAGGTGCAGTATTTTGTTTCTTGATTAATGGTAACAACATTAAATACCACACACACCACATCTCACACACCATATATACACAACACATCGACACAACACATCAACCACACCAAACACATCGACGCTACATTCCTTGATACTCTCCGCATAGAACTACCAGCAATTGGGGAATACACCCCGTACCCCGTACCGCCGTCACATCGCTCTTTTCACCGAGTACCTATATCGTCAAATTCATTTATCGTGCGTAGAGAATGATATAAGTGGCGTGGCAATTAAGTCAAGAACGGCATCCGAATACAACAGAGAAGAATTAAAGAGAATTGTCAAAAAAACCCCCCCCCCCCCCCAAAAAAAAGAAAAAAAAAAAAAAAAAGTCTATCTCTAGTATATCTACATTTCCTTCATCAACAAATGGCCATCGATCGTCCAATTCCTTCATTTTATTGTTGTTACCTTCTTCGTTCAACTATTCGACATAGTGCTTTATATGTTGGTTCCACTCCAAACCCAGGTAAGTCTGAGGTTATTCAAAATCTTCCTAAATATCCAATCCATGACCACGTACCATAATCAGATGTAACCATACAACACAACATAAAAATAACAAACCAAGAGTGTGAGTGAGCTTACATTTTCTGACATTGAAACCCCATGAATAAATAGTCAGACGACTTCGGCAACATAATGGATTGGCAAAGGGTGGTGCCGTGAGAACAAGTCGAGGCAATTTAAGGCCATGGGAAATGGCTTGTATCGTTACCGGCTTTCCTACCTCCATTGCCGCTCTCCAATTTGAGTAAGTTACATGATATTTAACAATACATCTTGATATATCCACGTGACACTCCTTGAGAGTTGACGTTTCTACACTTGAAACATCTTGATGCACATATTCATGGATGCATATATATATATATATATACCCCTCCATTATGCTACATTACTCACCCTTTCTTCCTTCACTTACAATATCCCTTCGTTCGATACTCACCATGATTCTCCTCAATTTACACCCTCCACTTACTAACCTCCAGCAGATGGGCCTGGCAAAATCCACACATAACTCTTCATATTCCACCATCAGCACGAATTTCTCATGCTACTCAAAAGAAACGATCGGGTCATCCAAAAAGACCTCGACATTCCCTTCAATCACTCTTATCAAACTTACATATTTTACTTAGTGTTCCATCATTTTCACGATGGCCATTAGAAGTAAGATTTTTTGCACCGGATGTTCATAAGGCTTGGGTTAAATGGTCGAAAGCGGCAACTGGATCTCTGAGGGATACTTTGCCTATCATCACAGATTTTCCACCAGCGGAATCAGAAGTGAATGACGAGGATGGTGAAATCAGAGACCGACCCTATGGACTTGAAGCTTTGAAGGTAGCCTATGAGGACACCAAATTGCATTTGGAGAAAGGGGAACAAATCTTTTGTCCTGATATGAAAGAATCGTGCGATATTTGCGACCAAGACCTTTACCACAACTCGGGTCTCTACACTATTTGTCCCAACATAGATTGTAATTCTATCACCCACATGACATGCTTGAGTCAACATTTCCTTCAAGGTGAGAAGGATGAGCGATTGAGTGAACAATTGGTTCCCGTTCAAGGGAGGTGTCCTGGTTGTCAGATGGACATTCGATGGAATGATGTGGTGAAAGAATTATCTCTTCGAACGAGAGGTCAAAAAGTGGTGGAGAAATTATTGAAACCGAAAAGAGCACAGAAGGGAAAGGGCCCCGCAACATCTCAGGCAATTGTGGAAGATGAGGGCGATGAAGAGGAAGAAGAGGAGGAACAGGAACATGCATCAGAAGATTACTTTGACGCGGACGAATTCCTTGCACAAGATGTCGACCGACAGGAGAATGAATTTATGGATCTTGACCCCGACGACTCCGATGCTCTATCTAATATCAGTATGGAAAGCGGTAAATCACCAAAGAGGAAGAAGACAATCGGTCCTTTTATCAAACCAAAGCTTATCACTGTGATTGAGGATAGCGACTTGGATGAAGGGGAAGAATTGGCCTGACGATAGAATTCGAATAGGGTTTTATGTATATTTGAAACGATCCACTTCGATGAAGGATACCCAATTCTCAGGCGTGAGTTTATATGGGTTTGAATCTGAGGTGCGATTGGATTGTTTGGATTCGACACTCGATATATACTTATCAGATATCTGCAAGCAAAGCAAGGGATCATCATATGTGGATGAGAAGATACGTATTAGGCATTAGGTATGTACTTGTACTCCAGGTCCTTCAATCAAAAATGACACCAAATGGAAGTTGGAGTGGAGTGTTAGTTGATGTGGATTCTCGCTCTTTAGTCGCACTCCCACTTTCACGACCACTTCTGGCTACTGTGATGAATTCTTTCTTATACAGCGGTGAACCAATTGCAATGTCAAATGTTTCATCGTTGATCCATTATCTATATCTGCTGAGTGTTATCCATTACCTATCCTCCATGATGGTAAAAGCTCTGTGTAAAGATAATCCACTCTTATTAGTCTCATTGACACTGTTTTGACAGAGTGTATGAAACCACTTTCCTAACGTATTGTGTGCCTCTCTATATCCTTGAAGAAAGATGGCCGAGACTGATATGCTTCTCAAGAGACAGGACTATAATTCATCCCATCGGCGAAAGAAAAGACTTTTGTTCTCGGCGACCCAAGCGTCTCCATTTCTAACCCCACAATCACATTGACACTTTACTTACTTTGTCTATCGTACGTGCTTATTACCTAGATTACCTAGTACCTACTCACTCTCACCACCCAGTAACAACATCGTATGCATACTGTAGGTCCATCCCCCGAGGTCCAACCTAATCAGAATAATTGTCCATCAATTATGGATTTTCAAATGCCTCAATTGCGATGTTGTATTTTTCATCCATCAATCCAAAGGATTGGCTTGATTTCTCCATATTCTTTAATTCCCGACTTCAAATTGAATAATTGCCGATTCAATTCTGCTCTTCTCATGCTCACCAGGCCATCCAAGGAAACAATCATCCCCGTCATCCCCGTCATCTCCGCATCTCCACACTTCTCCCTTTACCCCGCTGTCCACCAATTTTCTGGGAATTTTCTGGGAATTCTGCAAGATTTCTGTACCCCATCCTTCATCGCCTCTTACACTAATAAACCATCCACCATCCATCCACCCTCATCCACCACCATCCACCATCCACCATCCACCATTTTCTATTTCATCCTTCACTTGACACCCAAAATAGAAGGTAAATCTTCGGCACTTATTCATGTACTCCGCAAGTTCGAAGAATCAATGGGTCCCCTTCTCATTCCATCCAATGATCAATCGAAATCATCTCGACGTCACTCATCACATCTCCGCTTTATCATTTTATCATTCGTATGGGCATGGATGAGAATTAAGATGGCTCAGGTAATATTCACAAACAAGAATGGATAGAGCCTTTTCGAGAAAGGTACAAATACACGATGGTTCCGCTGTCACTGCTGCAGCTCTTCCCATCAAGCTTTTTCTTCTCTTAACTTTCACCTCTTTGACCATGTTCCTCCATCGGGATCTCATTCCCGTCCTTTCCCTCTGCGCTCCTTTGGTTTCGGCAATTCCTACGATTCGTTCCACGGCTCCGACTGTTACGGTCAAGAATGGCTCATACACGGGACTTCACAATACTTACTATAATCAAGATTTCTTCCTTGGCATTCCATACGCTCAGGTTAGTCATCTCCTATCTTTTTTATACCTTCTTTCTTGTACTCTCCATTCCTCTGTCGCTTTCTCTCTTTCCCTCGCCTCCTCTCCATTTTCTTATCTTCTTTCCCACCCTCCTCTTCCTTACACATGACTAACCCTCACACCCATAGCCACCAATTAAGGACCTCCGTTTCCGTGTACCTCAAAGTCTAAACGAATCATGGACAACTTCAAAATCAGCAACCAAATACCCTCCATTCTGTGTAGGATATGGATCAGATGATTTCGAACAAGAAACTGATGAAGACTGTCTTTACTTAAACGTAATCCGTCCATCATCCGTTCCGCTCAATGCCTCACTACCTGTAGCCTTCTGGATTCACGGTGGTGGTTTCTTTGAAGGTGGCACTAATGACGCTCGTTACAATCTATCATTCATCGTCCAAAACAGTGTAGATATGGGGACACCAATGATAGGTGTCTCAGTCCAATATAGACTCTCTGCCTGGGGCTTTTTGGGTGGTAGTGAGATGTTGGAAACCGGAAATACAAATTTGGGTTTCAGAGATCAAAGATTGGCTTTACAATGGGTCCATGAGAACATCGGATCTTTTGGAGGAGATAAAGAAAAGGTTACTATTTGGGGTGAAAGTGCTGGAGCTGCTAGTGTTGGTGCTCAAGTTTTGGCTTACAATGGTTCGTTCCTCTATTGATTCCTCAACTCCTTCTATTTGACCACATATTAACAATGAATAGGACGAGATGATGGATTATTCCGCGCCGCAATTTCTGAATCAGGTGGCCCAGCAGTTCTCTTTTTCCCAACTGATTACCCCGGTGTCTATAACTCCACAACACCCCAAAAACTCTTCACATCCGTCGTCGCAAACACAACTTGTGCATATCTTCTCGGCCTCAACACCACCTATACAGATTCCTTGGAGTGTCTTCGTAAACTCCCCTTCTCAGAGATGAATGCAGCACTTAATACAACAGCTGGTGGCATTGGTCCTTTCTTCCCGTACATCGACAATGATTTCATCGCCGATTATCCCAGCAAACAACTTTCCTCTGGAAATTTCGTCAGAGTTCCATACCTCATTGGTACAAATACTGATGAAGGAACTACCTTTGGATCCGGCTATGGACCCAATGGTACTGGAATCAACACCGACTCTGAATTCTCAGACTTACTAAACAGCACCGGATTGCTCACCGGTTCCGATGCCAATTTGGAGATCCAGAAACTCTATCCCAATGATCAAAGCGTCGGCATTCCAAGTCTCGAAATGTATCCCGAGCTTTACACACCCGAGAATCCATTAACAGCAAAAGTTGGTCTGCAATACCGTCGTGTTTGCGCTTACATGGGAGATGTCATCATGCAAGGTCCTCGACGTCTTACCGCCCATTCTTGGACCAAGTTCGGTGTGCCTGTCTATACCTATCGATTCGATGTTCTTGTAAATGGTGTACCAGCTTCCACTGGAGCAACACATTTCCAAGAGGTAGTATTTGTTTTTAATAACACTCAAGGACTTGGATATGATACTCTAGTCGCGGTCGATCCATTCGCGAACAAGACCCAGAACTACTTTGACTTGGCGCAAGAAATGAGTCAGAGATGGGTAGGATTTATTGTTCACGGGGTTCCAAATGGGGAGACTGGAGTGAACTGGCCTAATTACGCAGGAAATACCACCGAAGGGAAGAAGAACTTGGTATTCAATGTTACGGGTAGTTATACCGAGGATGATACGTACAGGAAAGAAGGAATTGCGTATATTAATGAACATGCATTGGATGTTTATGGGCTTTAAATCTGGAAGGGAACTACTTAGATACCGCTCTTGGAGAAAAAACGAATAATGAGATATGAAATTTTCTTTCGATAAGTTTTTTCCTTCAACAATGAAAGTTGACTTTATAGTGAATGCTCAAACCATCACCACTCCACATGAACATTGACAGGCGAATAAATCAAGATCAAAACAAAGACAAAGAAAGAGACACGAACTGCTATAGTAATCTTACTAATTTTCAAACCCCTCAAATTCGAACCGACTTGTCATAGATTGAATTAGATATTTCTCAAGAGAGAGAGAGAGAGAGAGAGAGAGAGAGATAAGAGTCGTAATTACATACACGTTATGCAATGGATACTTTAAGACCTCGAGATTGAGAACTCATAGATTGAGAACTCGTAGATACAGAAATATAGAGGTGAAGGAGTCGATTTGGGGATTTGTGGGTTTCTAGTAAGGGTGAGGAACTGGAGATGGGGATGGGATTTGGAGTGTGGAGTGGAGTGGAGGTTTTGGTATGGATTGGCGGATTTGGTTGGATTTGGTTGAACTGGGTTGAACTGGGTTGAATCTGGCTTTGAAGGGAGGGAGGCAGGGAGGGGGATAGGAGAAAAGGGGATTTTCGTTCGAGAACTTGTCGTCGATAGATTGGGTTAGGTAGGTACCATTGGTTATTCACAGATGATGGGATTGATTATTGTTTAGTGAGATTGTTGGGGGTTTAAATGTTTCTTTAGGATTAATGTTGTGTTTTGTGTGTTATGGGTTGTGGGTTATGGGTTTGTTAGATCTTGAAATTGGGATGGGGATAGGGATGGGGATGAGAATGGATTTGAGAGCCACTCCTTTTTTTTCCCTTTCTGGGCTTTGAGGGGGGTGGTGGGTTGATGGAGCTGTAGAAGAGGGGGGAGGGGGGTTTATAGAAAGTTATTTTGAGGTGAGAGGTGAGAGGTGAGATCTTGGGCACTGTGAAGGGATAGCCAGGGTATGTGGGAAACAGTGAAGGTCAGTGTGTGAATGGACGTAAACGGAAAGGGGAAGAGGAGTACCTACCTATCCATGATCTACTGACAACCTTGCGTATTTCACCTAACCCAAGCGCACATCATTTCCTACGCAGCTTTTTGGATACTCGAGGAGTTATATAAATATAAATCTCTCCAGCAGCATCAATTCCGCAAAGATACAAATCGTCATGGAATGCTGAACATCATGGAACAAGGTCTGGTGCTGTATTTTGGGTGCGCAGTTGGGTACAACTTGGAGATTATTTTGAGAAGATGATTCTTGGTGGAGAGGACTCTGGGGTGATATGTGGAGGGAAGGGGAGGAAATGTGTGGGTATTTATCTGGTGTCTTGATTCTTGATGGAAGTTGGTGATTGATGGTAGGTGAGGTGAAGTTTAGTAATAGTGATTAAGATATTAAGAAACTATGTAAAATGACAGTAAAAGTCTTGCAATCTCTATCTCGATTCCTGAATCCTCTCTTTCATTAAATTTTGGACATTCCAAGCTTCTAAACCCGAAATCAAGACCGGACTAAAAGCTTCAGCTAAAAAAATAAAGTTCGAATGGGCAGTGTTTGATGCGGCTCCATGTCTCGTGCTCCTTCAAAATGCTCTGTGTTTTGGACTTGAACTTGGATATGAGTTGTGAGGGGAGTGTAGAGGGGGTTTATATAATGTCTTGTCTTGAGGAAGATATCTAGGAGAGCAGCGGTGGAGCGGAGCGGAGATTAATTGGTAAATATGTCAAAATATATGTGAATTAGAGTCTGAACCTGATATATCCCAGCATTCACTAGAAAATTCCTATACGTGACAGAAATAACTGGACTTGAGTATGGGAGTTTCAATTATTTTGTATAAATAGACTCACTAAGCTAGACATCTGGAAGTCAAACACGAAGAAATGCAAATTCCTGAAAGAATAGAGCATCATTATTACTCTCGTATGTTTTCCCTCGACCTTTTTTTTGGCGTAAGCGGGGTTTCAAGAGTAGATTCAGAGTGTACAGAGAGGAGTTACTTAGATGAGTGGTAAATTATCGGTAGTAAGATTGTAGCACAACCATAACAATAACAACCATTCTTCATCGTCCCTACCCAATCGACAACGAAACACCTAGAACTCGTCTTACATTTGCTCTGTTTACACTCTCCCGCTATAATAACGAGCAGTCTGATCACAAACTTCGAAATCGCGGAATGGGAAGATATCATTATCCTCCATGGCTTTCCACCTTCGCCACTTTTCGCCGAGTCTTGCTTGGATATCGGTCCGGATATCAGCTTGTTGAAAAACTCGATTGGTGATATTCAAAATGCTAAGTTAGGAGTTCTTACAGAGAGAAAGAAGTCAAAACTACGAGAATAACGGAATCATGGATTACAGCAATTTACCCATCGTATCTTCTACACGAGAGTTCCGCGGATGAGGACAGGAGAGAGTGAATAATAGAGAATAGTAATGATATGGATGGCACTTGAGTTTGTGATTGATGGTTGCATTCACTCTCAAGTAATTTTCTTACGACATGCCTTGGGGAAAGAACAAAAAGATTATCGATTTGTTAGTTTATAAATTCATCATTCTTAGTCCAATGATTAGGTAGTATGCGCAAAGGTGTAGCTGAAAAAAATGAGTCGAAGGGTGTTGTCGTACACTCTGAGCCTGATGTGTTTCACAGATCGACTCGCTGATCATATTTGAAGTGAGTCTTTTTGATTTTAGGATTTTCGTTTAGCACTGTTGATTCTGTATATCATCTCGTTTAAATCTCACAAAGTTTTTGTGGACGACAGTGAGGAATTACTTCTTGAAAACGTCAATTTCCAGACTCTCATCTGAAAACATTTGTCTAAAACCATTCCTACGTAATTCGTAACTGCAATAATCCATCCGCGTCATTCTTTTCTGAATTCACCAAGCTGGAACACAAGCCCAGGAACTCAAGCCTTGGGGCGTGCTTCACAACGAGTTGATGCGTGATGGTTTGGAGACTATAATGCAAATTTGAGGTTTAAACAGTTCTCTCCTAGTAAAATTTTGTGAAGCTGCTGCGAGTAAGAACCAGAGGGGGCAATAACTAAATAGTGAATTGGAAGATTGTGGATGCTGGATGGTGGAAGTATGGAATAACACGAGATATAGATCAATCAAATCAATTCCAGACGCGTATTTTGAGTACGAAAAAATTGATGATCCTAGACATATAAAATCATAAGACGATACGGGTCCTATAATTGCACTTGCTGTAATAATTTGTAAGTAATAAGGAAGAAATTATTACCAAAGGCTCTGGGTTGACGAATGGTCATCTTTGACGTATGATGGTGGCACCTTATTCCGATGGTTGGGTATATACCGCATGTTGTTATAAAAATTGTCTAATCAAGCAATTCTCTTGAATCTTTATCAAATCTCTAATTCAACGATATAGCTTCTATCTGGTATTCTGGGAATGAATAGTTCGTGAGAAAGTAGAGGTGAGTAGAATTCTGTGACATTTAGCTAATATTGATAAGAGATACTGAATGATTAATATAAGCGAATCACGATGCTGATTTACTTTGGGAAAGACGAGTCGATGGAGGAACCGTCATTGTAGGTATAGAAGAGATATACAATTGTTGATATTACGAGTTCAATCTATCTAGATTTATTATAAGTACATCTTTGATCTTTGTTCTAACATCGATTTGTAAGATTTTATATCATGCAAATTGGAGATTTGTCTCGCGTACTATTTGAAACTCGCTTAAATAATAAAGATGATACTTACCGTTTAAGGAATTTTTTGATATGAAAGGATTACTTAAACGTTTGCTATTAAGATGAAGTTCTCGCACGCTAAAATGCAGCGATTAAATTATAGATTGCAAGACAAAAAGTAAAGAAGGCATTGTCAAGGATCTAGTCATAGCCTTTAAGATCATCAGGAGAGTCAAACTGTTTGTGGGAGTAGAAAAAAGAGAATTATAAGCGACACCTCTATTCCGTGCTATTTCTTTTCTTTAATCTTCCCCTTGAATCTGAGAACCAACACCAGCACCAGCGCAAGTCCCGCTATACATCGCACCCACAACGTTTTTTAACATCGAAGCGCAATCTCCAGTTGCAAAAACCCCTCTTACACTTGTCTCGTTGAAAGGTGCTGTGACCTTAATATCTCCTTGCTCGGTTAATTCGATCCCGAGTTGACGAGCGAGATTATTGGCCTGCTCGGTTACTGGTTTATGAAGCAGAAATGCGTGTGTATGATCTCCCAACCCCGCTCCGTCACTTTTGTCCAAAAAAACAGTGGGACCAGATGATGGATCATCATTTGGGATGAATTTCTGAATCGAATAATTGCAAATTTCGATTTTACTGCGACATTTGGAGTTGACATCTGGATTTGACGCGATTTTCGCAGCCTCTATTTCTTCAGCTAAGGCCTCGTTTCGGTGCGTATAGATTGTGACGGTTTCAGACAATCGAAGTGCCTGGCGACCTAGGTGAAGAGCTAGCTGGGGTGACGCACAGTCATCAATTGCAAGTACGCCAGTTGATTGTGCAGGAGATGATCATAGCCGTGACAATAGAGGCAGTGAAAGTTGTAATCATCTTAGTCACGGAAATAATAATGGATTCTAGTGATGCTCGGACGAAAACACTTAATCAAGGATGAGTGATCAGATTACACTTACATGCTTTTAACCCAACATTCTTCATAACCTTCAATATCCACCATGATATCTCTCAATAGTTTGAATACCCACATCTTCAAAACATATGGTATTGTACCTGGCCAGAATATCCTCTCGAGAAGCAGCGCGGAACTCTGAAGGATCTCGATGATCCCATGTAGAAACTGTGTGCATGTGCTCAGACTTTTCGTTTCGGAATTTGTTGCTGGAAAATACGATGGCGGTATGGTGAAGACGCGCAAGAGCGGCGGCGCAAGATATACCGGCTGGACCAGCTCCAATGATCAGGACGTCTACAAGTGACTTTGGAGGCATGTTAAGGTGAGTCGGAGTCATGGATTGTAATATATCTTTCATTTGTATAAAACGATTTACTCAAATATTCATTGATTGTTTTCAATGAAATTAGATCACAGTTTGTGAAATTCCCGTGCAATTGGTCCTTATATTCAGAGCCGGAAAAATTCCGGACACAAAAGATTCGACTATTATGACACGTTTTGATGCTTGATATCGGGGACTTTTCGGGGACTTTTCCGGCACCAATGACCCATTTACTCCCCAGCTCATCTTGTTCATCCAAAAAGCTGAGAGATGAGCTTAGAATTCATGGTCCATCAAATAAAGATTCTACAGACTGGTTCTCTTAACAAAATCCACTGGCAAATAAGTTTCATCGCCAAATTCAACAACGCTGCTTACTAAGATTTTGTGACAAGCTTAAGTCAGGGCTTCGAACCATGCAGTTTATGCAATTAATATGTGACCTGAGAGGTTAAGGAAGATTCGAAGTGTCCATTGGTTTGAATAAATAGCCACCCAATACCTGATGTGACTATATTTACCATTGGTTTGAGGTTGTTTTTTCTTTCACTCGGAGCTTACTTGATGAAGGATCTATGTGTCATAGGATAGGAAGAAGACCTAGTGTACCGGCTGTATGTTCGCATCGTTTGATTTGATGTTTAGTTGAGACATTAATGTGGATTCGGTGGCTGTCAACACTGCTACGGAGACGTTTATCCTTTTGGAGCGGTTGGTGATGGACATTGCGATTCCTCCTGCTGTCACTCTGATAGGAACAATAGCACGGGCTGATAAAGATTGAAAAGCTGAACAGAAGTGGTACTGATTCTTGCGGGTTGTGAACTAGCCTTAGATACCTGATCAAGCGGGATCCAGAGATTAACACAAGCTGAAAAGACTTAAATCAAGAGTAACTGAGTCATACCTATGTATTTTGCACGTAGAATCTTGGTTACCAGATTTGCAATGATAACATTAATCGTCACATTATTCCCCGCATTCCCAAGTCCCTGAACCCAGGACTATTATAAGGCATTTCCCTGCATACTTTTTGAGCCTCTTGCCCTTCTTTCAGGAACATACCGCGCAGACGCTAACCACCCGCCCTGTGTTCTGCGTTGACGTGCAGTATTAGATAAGATATTGTCCAAAGGATCGACAGTAACAAGAAAATATGAGCTAAGTAAACTCAAGTGCCAAGTCAAGTGTTTGACATGCTTATTCGCTGTCATTTTGATTGATTACAGGCACAGGTCTAGCTGGTGTATATCATACCACGAACATCAGATTTTATCCCTCACGAGATCCGAAATCAATCTTGACCCGAAAATTGAAGACATACGATTCGAATTCTATCCAGACATTGTAGTCATTTCTACATATCTGATCAGATTGTGTCATTTTAGTTTGTATAGAATTTCAAAAATGACGAATAAGTATGGTTCTCGACAGGGAATTCAGTAAATTTAGAACAACACCAAGTACATGATTCATGACCGAATACCTACCGTTTCGGCAAGATGCCGATCCGAGTATGGTCTTAGATACATAGGTTGCGCGAAAATCTGCAAATTTAGGATGTGCAGATGCTCTATTGGAGGTCCTACCCCATTCTGCAGATTATCTATAAGACCCATTATTTGCTTTACAATATGTTATTCGTATCAATCTTGTGTAATATTCATGGCAGAAACTTAACAGTTATTAACATTTGTTCTAGGGGTACTTTAGTCATTGCGAAGCAGGCTTCCGAGCAGGTATCTTGGGGAATCATGTAATTACTGTGAAGAGACCACAAGTTCTGCCTCCAAGTGGTATTGTCCCACTTTGATGGGCATGAGACAATGAACGGCGGACGTGAGGATCCTGCAAGCGATTGTACAACATTGGGTTATAATTAATGTGTGGAGTGGAGTTTTTGATAGCCTGAATTGTATAATAGGTCCTAATATGAGTTTTTGCATGGACTATGATCTGAATCAACAAACTTCATGGCTTAAGTGACCGGTGATGTATTTGAGCTGTGACTGCGGGCATGCGACTACATTCCTGCCTCTTGAGGCTCGGAGAGACTTCAGTTGCGGATCGGTCATTGGTGATAACCCCCCCCCCTCTTGCCCCTTCCCAACAAGAACAAATTTGAGATGATGAAATGAAATCAACATGTCGCTAGACTGTCTGCGACTTTTTTAAGGGAATTTAACCTTGATGTCTGAGTCAACTTGGATAGAGAAGTGTTTCACAACGTCTTCCTCCCAGCGTAGATTGAATCTCATAAGACGATCTACAGCTCCCTTGGTGAGCAAGGGCACACTTCATAAAAACTCCAAAGAGCTCCTAGAAGAAGCACTTGCTTATACCGTCACATAGTCACTTAACTCAACCAATTTCAGCTTGAATTCCATCCTATGCAACACCCGACCTGATACATAGGCGTAAAGCACGGTATTCCCGGAATATGGACGTGTTTTTGGGGAAAAAGTGGAAATGCAATCGTAAGCATCAGACGTACTAACATCGATGCAAATATTGAATTGAGACAATTGTACCAGTACATCAGAAAGAATTACTCGCTGCTATTACATTGCAATTCCAGCAAAAACAACTGACAATTCCCCTTTACATCTCCGCCAAATTATACCCATTACCCTTTTCCATTGCCCTCTTCCAAGCATCTCTTTCTTGTATCCTCTGTCTCCACTGGAAAATCTTGGGGTACTTCTCAAACTCCACATACTTCTTTGCAGCCAAGAAATCCATGGGCCAACTCAGCATTACATCAGACCTTCCCAAAATCTTCCCATTGAACCAGTCGTCTGTCAGTTCCTTCTCCAGATATTGAAATTGAGTTGCATATTCCGGCCCCGTGAAACTCTTATGTACGTTCGACTTGACACCTCCGAGTAATATTGATAGTGGCCACGGAGATTTACTGGCCACGATATCAAATATCAACTCAATCATTCCGATAGTCCCAATAGTCGACCCAGCGAAGGACGACAAACTCTCATCGCGAACCTTATCCTGTGCTGCAAATTTACCATCTTTATCGTACGTATCAATCAGGTACCCGAGGATTGCACTACTTTCTGCGATGGGCACATTTTCGGATGTAACAAGAACCGGGGCCTTTCCCATGAAGTGAACATTTTTGAGCTCGGGTGGTGCACGACCTTCAACGCGTGTATGGCACACGAGGTTATATTCGATTTCTAGCTCTTCGAGAAACCAGAGAATTCGTTGGGATTGGGAGTCCTACATCAAGAGATGGCGTCAGCATGTGTGGGTGCATTTGGTGGGGTGATGTTGGTTTAGAGGTTGGGACCGATGGAATGATTGCCCGGCCCACTTACATTGAGGTGGTGGAAGGTTGGAAGTCCAGGCTTGATTGTAGACGCCATGATTAACGTCTCGTGGAAATTTCCTATTATACTAGTGAGCAGACGATATCCGTTGAATGCCAGCTGAGGTGTCTCAATTTATACATGTCGTCGTCTCCCCGGACTCATATTTCCATCCGCCCGTTCCGAGACCAAAATTGAACTAAGAACCTCATTACTCAGGCATTAATTTCGTTTCTTCTCTATGGACTTTGTGCCACCATCCGACTGAGCGTAACCAATCTTATCAAACACTCGCCGCCATGTATACAGCTGATCAGGTGCCAGCATCGATAACAATCGATAAAACCTTGATTGCTTCTGAACTTCCTCCACTTTATGATTGGTCTTGAGAACGCGAATGGTGGGTAGTAGTCTACACAAAGCTGGGCAGAAGCATCTCCGACATGGATAACTGCATATGCAGTGAACATGCAGTGACAAGATTGTTATCGCCCACGCCCAAAGATGTCTGGTCAAGTCACCATGATTCCTTCAGCTAGTAGTGAGGATTTCATAATTGAATCATATCTTCGCTTTTTTGACCACTTCACTTGCTATCCCTTCTTTTCTCTCCTCGCCAAGTTTTGAACTGTATTCTTATCATCATTACAATGGCTACCGTCAAACCAAAACCGATAGTTCTGCACATTGGTGACCCAGTCAGATGGAACCTTGATTTATATGAACAATTTTCTAAGGATTTTACAATCATACGGCCTTCAACTGAAGAACGTCAACGTGGTGAATTTATAAAAGGCTTGAAAGAGAACAGATGGGGCAACTTTTCCGCAATATTTAGGCCGTTCTGGAATACTGGTGGTGAAATGGGTCGATGGGACTCGGAGCTCATCCCCTTAGTACCTGAAACGTGCCGAATCTTTGCATCTGCCGGAGCTGGTTTTGATTGGGCCGATGTAGACCTTCTGGCCGACCGAGGTATGGATTCTTGTGCGATAAATGTTCACTTTATGTTCCTAACGCATGATCCGGATAGGCATTGTTTATTGCAACAGGTTTGAGTGACCTTCATATATTCGCATATGTGGCTAATGAATTTGTACAGCGCCACGGCTACTACCGAATCTGTAGCAGATTTCGCTATTTTTTTGATCTTAGCTACATTCAGAAACCTCACTTGGTGGGTTTATAATCTTACCCGGATCACACATTACGAGTGCTAACACAAATGAGGTGCACCCAAGCTGCTCGTTCTGGCGCAGCTTCGTTCCAAGATTGCCACACCAATGCGGCAGCTATGTCTCATAATCCTCGTGGCCACACGCTCGGTATTGTTGGCTTGGGAAACATTGGTTATAACATCGCCCGGAAAGCTTTTCTAGCATTCGGAATGAAAGTTCTTTACTACGATATCGTGCGAAAGGCTCCATCCCAGGAGGCTGCCGTTGAAGCACAATTCTTTACTGATCTGGATGATATGTTAGCCCTCAGCGATTGCGTAGTTCTCGCTACACCTGCTTCTCCAGATGGAAGAAAATTCCTTGATCGACAGAGGTTGAGCAAATTTAAGGAAAAAAGTAGATTTGTGAACATTGCTAGAGGTGTCTTAGTGGACGAGCAAGCATTGGCCGAAGCTGTTGAGTCAGGAAAATTGGTGGGCGTAGGACTAGATGTTCATGAGCATGAGCCAAGAGTAAATGATAGACTAAAGGCTTCGAGGAATGTCACGCTTACTAGCCATAATGCTGGCGGCACACTTGAAACGTATGTTTCTTTACTTGGATTGATTCCCAGATTACTGATATTTCTACAGCCACATTGGATTTGAGGAATTGGCAATGAAAAACATCGACGCAGTATTGAAAGGGAGAGAGCCATTGACACCGGTCAATAATCATTTGGTCGGGAAGGCGAAGCATACTTTGTGAGGATGTATCCTGCCAAATAGGTACTACGGCAAGTGGGTATTGGAGAAATATCAGGAGATACTACTACTCCGCATGTTACCCCAGAGAGTTTTGAACAAAATTAATATCCGGAAGATTTCAAATGGTAGTCGAATCTGCAAAAATGTGGTGAAACGTGATCGCAGTTGAGTAAATGAAGGAAGGTGCATGTGGGAATTTCGAGGCATGGTTTAGTTTCCAATGTTTCACATCAAGTAGCACTACGAGACTTTCTCTTTCTCAAGATGAAAGCTTTGTATGTATCACATTATGCACATCTCAAAACAATTGTAATGAATCAATGAACATCAATAAACAACTATAGAATTGCTTCATTTCATGTTAGCTTCAGCGGAAATCAATCAAGTTGCTTGACCTTGAAAGTTCATCTGCCACTCTACCAAATTTAAAATACATATTTTACCCCGCACCCTGTGGCAGTCAGCAACCGATCCTACAATGGATACACCCAGTACCAACCCATTGGTGCTCTAGCAATTTTGATATTTGATAGACATGTGCAGACCTACCCAAATTAGTGAAAATCAGAAGCATGTTGCTGGGGCACACCAAAAATCCTTCAGAATGAGAGCCACCATCTTCTCACGTGTTGGCCAGGAACCCAGGTACGGGGTGCGATGTCCTGGTCTACCTTCGTTGAAATGTTTAAGATTTGTCCGTGATCACGTCTGGCACCACCATGTGCATCCGAACATTTCCACACATCACCCGACTTTTCTGGCAGAAATCCATATCTGTCTCTTCGATCAGGACTATCCATTGGCGGTTCTCCAATAGAGCCCGGATTGGTTTGGGATGGGCAGCGGGTGACAGTCCAGGTGCAAGTGCTAGTACCGTAACTACCCGGACGTTCGTGCTCTCGCGAATCTTTGTGGCGACTATAAATACCACTCCGACCTGGAACCCGAGCTTTCCCCACATCAACACTGGACCAACTGGTCGGTATAGTACTTGGAGTATATAGCTGGTTGGCATATCGCTCATCAACAAACTTCATCCATTGAATAGACTTTCCCCACTCGAATCTATGATCTGCATAGCAATGAGATGGATAACGAGCAATTGGAGGTTCGGAATAAGCGCCTAGTTGAAGTTGCTGGAGATTTGGTAGACCGAGAACCACTTTACCTAAGATTCTATACATCATGCCGTAGTCATACCCCATCTCTTTTTCCTTTTCGGCACTTCTGGTGTCGTTGTCAAAGGCGAGAGAGCGCTGATGCAAGGTGAGCTTGCGTAATTTAGGACAGACCTCTGCTATGATGATCGTGTACATAGGCAGAATTGCTCCAAATCCGAGCGACGGGTTTCTTTCGCCAGGCGGCTTGAGAGTAAGCGTGAATCCCCCATCAAATTTAATATCTCTCAACAGTGAAGAATTCTTGAGTCCAATGTACGCCATAAAACGAATAAGCGGATCTTTTGCAATGAACGCTGGCTGATAGCATTCTAAATCAAAAAGTTTCTCGACAGCATTACTAATAGTGGCCTTACTGAGTAACTCTTCAAACAGCGGAAAACCAGAGACATCCCATGGGTTCTTCAGCTGGTGCATCCTATGACAGTCTGACACATCAAACTCATATTTGTTCTCCCCGTAAAGAATTTTAGTGCACTCTTGCTCCATTTGTTTGCATACTCGCACGATACTGACAGAACGACCAAACGGGTGTAGTTGGAATTCGGTCTTCTTTATGATTTGAGGACCAAATCCATCTCGATGATGTACAGCCCACTTGGTCTGTTGACCAGGCTCCGGGAAATTACCAATCGTGAATTTTTTGACTCCACCTTGAATGAGTTTGAGTTCCTCGCGGGTAGGGTCTGTAGTCCATGCGATTTCTCGACTAATGGTGTTACCACCGAAAAATGTCTCTGGAGCTGGCGCCTGGGCCCAATCGTAACTAAATCTCCGTTGAAACCTACAATGCTTATGACCTTCGGCTTGACTCCCTGTTGCAAATAAATACTTCCGTTTACGAACCCTGGGCATGATCGCAACCGGTCTCAAAAGAATGAGTCGCCAGATATTATCGCGAATCTCTACTCTTTTGTTAGTCCCTGACGTCAAGATGAAAAGATTGATCACTTACCTCTGGGAAGTTTATCGAGGAGGGCACAAACTCTCGGCTTGGGGGTTTTGATACTGATTTTTGCCATCAAAGAATCTACTGTCGAAGCGTTCGAAGTTGAATCAACATCCAGCGTCCGATCTTTGCTCGCCATTATGAGTGTGACTATTGCTAGACAGGCAATCTAAACAGTCAAAAAGTTTTTGCAATTTTCGGGTTTTAGGCAGATGGATACTGGAGTAGCTAGATAAGCTAAATGTATTAGAAAGGGGGCAGGATAGATGGGATAAGTTTCTTTATGATTATTGAAGGCGAACCAAGTATAGGCATGTATTATTAGGGTCCTGTAGAACGACATGTAATTTAAATAGAGATTGAGGTAGCTGTACTGGCGAACCAGAGTCTCACGCTAGTTTAAGCGTGGCAGTGAATATATGACTATCACCTAATCCAACCATGATACTACCAAGGTCATGACTGATACTGTATGGTGGCATAGAACTAGCGCTTCATCCGAATTGCCTTATAGTTAATATGTAGATTTGCTCAGGAGTCTCGATATTTCCTTGTCTAATATGAAAAATGAAATCAATTCTTGAATCTTTTTGACCTCCGACTTGAAAATTGAACATTCTTCATTCCTGAACTGCATTTCAAACTATTGAAGATTTCATAAACTAGGTACTGTAATAGATTACTTTGATTAAAGTGTTTTGAGGGAAAGCAATACATTCACATTCATTGATTGAACACAGATAGAGTCAAATATTTTGTTCGGTGAATTATAGTAGACGTGGGTGAATTGAAACATTGATTGATCATCTCATATATGAATCTAAAATCAAAAATCAAAAGGAAAAGATGGTTATAACCTCGTTAGCATTAGGTACATCGCAACGTTCTGAAATGATACCCTCATACCTTTATTCAAAGTTCTGATCTAATATTGCAAATGTGGGAGACGATTTATACTATCCCGACCTCATCGATTTCTTGGTTTTTCCCCATTCTCCTTTTTCTCTTCGCATTTTGATTCTGCCAGCGTGCGGCTCTGGGCACGTTGTTCAACGAATCCTATCCACTTCAAAGCCATCCCCCACTCGTCCTCTGGATGCACCAATTCTATGACATCACTACCAGGAGTACCTGGATCATATCCACAGCCGGCTGGTACGAACTCGTAACGGCCTAATTGTAGTTTCTGAAGATATGGAAGCGCGTGAACAAGTTTCTCGACAGACTCATTTATTTGCCTGTTCCTGTCCGTATCTCGCCGATCCAGCCGCTTCATTTGAGGGTAGCCCCGGTCGTCGTCATGCAAGGTTATGGTATGAATGTTCTTACAAACTTCAATAAGAATGGTAGTATAAATTGGAAGAAGGTCATGAAGTCCGACTGGGATAGACTTTGTGTATTGCCATTTGCCGATAATCCAGTTAAATTTGCCCTGAATGACAATTTTGGTAAGCTTCGAAGCATTTTTCCGGCCAATCTCCATCAGAAATCTTGTGAATGGGTCCTGGTAAATGAACTTCGATTTTTGTTCGATTTTTTCTAGGTCTTTATATGCGAACTTCAATTTGTCTTGATCCTGCTGAAAGATCATATCAACAGAGTGAGAAATCTGCTCTGCAGTTGGCATGGTTCCATCCTTACGTCGATGACCTGGAATCTCATCGAAATCATACGAGAGCTGGTCCATGGTAGCAACACTTTGAGGTCCGGTAAAGCTCGGAGAGCCGCGTGTGTCGAAAACGAAGGAGTTTTCCCCATAAAGTACGGCAACTCCTAATTTATTAAGACGTTTACAAGAACGCAGAATCGCAACTCCTGATATTACGGTGAAAGTTACTTTGGATCGGTGAATGACTTGAACTCCGTAGCCCTTACGATCATGCAAAAATCCTTGGATTTTTCGACCTGCTTTGGTTATTGTTGTAAGCTGATTGTACCCAGCTTCGATAAGTTTTGCCTCCTGCTTCGTAGGAGTTGCAGCCCAGAACATTTGTGTAGGTCTATCTTCCATATGTTGGGGAAGACGATGCAGTTCGTATTCCTCCTGACGTGCCTCGCTCCATTGGTACCTATAGTGCAATATCGAAGGTTCTGCCCTGCCACCTTTTTCTCGAATTATAACTGGCATTATGTGTGTTTGGGGAACCAACAATTCCGTTAGGATCTTCGCTAAAACATCTAAAAGCAGTCAGATGATTCTCGGGAATAGAAAGACAAACATTGGGCTTACTGTTGGGAAGATCTAGAAGTCTCGTTCTTCTTGTGATTGGAACATTTTTTTGGAATGGAGATTTTTGCCTCTTGCCATGCTCCCTTGAGAGTGCAAAAGGATTGTCGTAAACCTTAGCTCTCAGCATAGAGCTATAGGCTTCCATTTCAAGGCGACCTATCGATGATTTTTTTGAAACTATATTTCAATTGAAGGTCTCGGGAATGGGTTTATGAGATAAACCAAAATATTAGATCATATTTAAGCGCTAGTATTTGAACTGAATTAATATTTCGATGTAGAAGCCGTACTTGCGGTTTCGGTCCACTAGGCCGTAGTATCATGATAATGTGAGTTAGCAACCGAAAGGTCTTGCAAACTATGGTTGTTCATTGCTTGCGTTGCACTACATAGAAACTTTTGATCTCCGACTTTATAACCCCTCGCGACATAGATGTAGCAAACATAACGAGATTTTTTTTCATAAGCATGGCTATATGAGTTCCTCAAGTAGATCTTTACTTGACTGTCTTCATCCGTTGAGAATAAAATTCACCGAGAATTTTGGAAGTCTACAATTGAATCGAGCAATCAATATAATTGAAATCAGTGTAGGCAATAGTATACTACAGTGAAACTATGGCGTGTATTAGCATATTGATATTACAGCTAGTATATATAGAAAGGAGGTTATATTATTCTCGTACATATTCATATACTAAAAAATACTAGTAATATATTGAAATATTAGAATTCAATATAAAATATATATTTCTATCCAAATTAAATTAGAAATAAGGGATTCCTATTCAATTTGAAATAAGGAATAGAAACTTGTCATTTAATACAAATAGGAATATATATTTTATATTGGATTCCAGTATTTCAGTATATTGCTAATAATATTAAATAACTAAATAATATTGAATACTTTCAGTATTATTGAATTCTATACTATATACATATATATTTCGAAAAAATTCGATATATACCACTAAACTAACTCATATATGGAATACGGGAAATACTATTGCCTACACTGATTGAAATAGAAATAATTTAACTTTTCGGTGAGCACAAAGAATCGCAGAGGTGTGTCCGAGTGTATCTGTTCTTGAGATATTATCATGAAGTTTACCTAGACACCGCAGACTTCAGATCCAAAGAGATCTAAGCATCCTTTACTTCCTAAGTTTCAACTCTAGAGAAAAACAAATTGGCTTTCCGATCTGGAATACTCTGTGAAAAAGTTTAACAGAATTCTAACCTATCAAAAATCACATTGCAGAACGTGAGACCCAAGTTTGCCGAAGTGGAGATTTGTTAACCGATAGTTTATCTCTCAGTTGCCGAGAAAATATTAGCGTTCGCAGCCGACTTGGAATTAGGCGTTGCATGTTGTAAAGCTTTGGCTTCCTGGCATATTACATCATGGCGTATAGCTTGAAATATGCTTACAGATCATCATGGCATTCAAACACTATCTCAATGTCAAATAGCATGGTTGCTACATTAACCAACGACAAGAATTAATTGATAGGATTAATTTGAACATCAGTTGAAGAATATCTAACTTTCCTCGAGAGGACTTGAGCGTCTGTACATAGACACTCTATAGATGGAATTCTCTGCATACAACCTTCCATCCTCATGTACTTGTCTACATTCCCACACCCATTCCTTTTCCAAAGATAAAAGCCCATTCAATTGCAATATCTCTGGTACTATTTCGCTATCAACTTCAGGTTTCCATTCGCGAAACTGGCAGAAATCATCGGCTTCTCCATCCGGATTGTTGGTGAAATATCGGGTTTCATAATTCCCGCCCAGCTCTTTGGGTTCCAGTCGAAGTACAATAAGCCAAGGAAATACTTTTAGCTTATCACCAGAAACCTCTCTTGACTCGTTCACATTCGAGTGAAAGTTGTTAGAATAAAAGAATCTTTGAAGCTCACGAGGGCTTGGGGGTGAGCGCATTGGGAGACATAAGAATTGCACTCGGGGATCATTCGTGTTGCCAGGTTGGTTCGACATGTTGCTTTGTATTTCGAGGGACTCTTAGTCAGAGATTTGTATGACTGTCATGTGAAAAACACCTAATAAAGCTCTGGTTATGGCCGCGCTGAGACTTACATAATTAATAGCAATCCTGATATCATGTCAAGAGTGATATGACTATGATTGCTTTCTGGGTTCCATACTAGTTATAGCAAACTTTGTTGCACGTGAGGCTAAACTCGTGTGATCATCTGAAGTATAAATATTTATGTTAGCCAATGTTTCGGGGAGGGATTATCTCGCAGTAATCAATGGAAAAGGGATCTGATGATGAGTTTCTAGATAGTGTTAGGAAATGACTAAGTATATCCTGTTTTATTTATGTCTTTTGCGTTTCGAACGTGTGTTCAGACATCATTCGAGTGATGAAAGCCAGCTGGCATGTTCAAGGAGTCATGAGAAATGCACGCAGCTATAATAAGTATTTAAACAGACTTGCAACGAAACTTGAGTGTTTAACGAAAATCAAGTTCCATAGTAGATCTCGTAGTGGTCTGATGGCTTATGGATATTCTGACAATCATATGTATCAAAACATGGATCAGAACAGACAAAGCAGATTTGAACCCGGCTGCACTTTTCTCAAACTTTGTCACAATCAAATCAGTTCATCTACTGACATACACGTTGAACTGAAACACTTTTTTAGTCCTACAATTTTGAATCCAGCTACGGCTCTCAACAAATTCTCCCCCGTATTTGTTATTCATGATGCTTCTTATGCGATCCAAGTAGTTTCAGTACACAGGAATGGGGGGAGAATCCTACACATGCTGCCCAGTTTTTACATCCCAAGACAACCAAATGACGAGCCAGATGGACCCAATCAGTTTTTACAGTTTGTTTGTAACCCGCCACTAAGTCGGGAAAGAGAGGTTAGTGAGATACAGTTGTTGAAATCGTTAGGATATCGCGAGGGGAAAAATTTAACTGGGAATGTAAATACATATCACATGTACATAGATCGGGTTTGTATATCTATCTTGCGTGTATCTGGAGGCGTGGACCAATCTAGATAGCTCTGATGAGAACCAGCATTAATGATAGCTTAGTTTCAATGATGAACAGCGATCATAAACCAGATTACAAGAAGAGCCTCTGTCTATGTTTATAATGAATTATCTTCAAATTGTTCGTCTCCATTGACTATGTGCTTCGTATGCTGTCGTCAATTTTAGAGTCCATGAAGCATGATTTGATCTTTGGAAGAGGACTTTGCACTATACTGAAGCTGATGAGTGATATCAATGAAGATCTCACCTTTCACTACATTTAGGCTAGATTACCAGAAAAAGTCAGCAGTTCTTTCATGAAGTCCATCAAAGAAGTCAACAATCGCTCAGATTAATACTTCCTCTCCGATCCGATTAATCTATTCCTTGATATCGGTAGCTTGAGAGAGAAAAGATGACCATCTTGATATTTCGCAAGAGCTTCGAAAACATGAATCGTCAAAAGGGGCTAAAAGCACCGTAGAACAGCGTGCAATCAGCATCTTTTTCCTGAATGAAGAAGGACATGGAGAGAATCACAAGTAGATTATTTGTAGAACTTTAGCGTGACGTTTTTGAAGTGTTACTTTCGAGTATGCCCTGGATGTTATTATAGTAACGATGGAAACACAACCTATGGGGGAAAGATTGAGGGGAGAATGAGGGTTTGTGGCTTGTAGTTTGTTTTCACTTTTCATCTGTAATATGGTGAAATACAAGCTTCACCTAATTGCGATCGACAAATAAGTATACTACCCTGAAATTGTTTGAAAAGCTGTATGGCTTAGATTTCATATGTTTGTCTCCTCAATCTTGACATCACCCAGCCATGAAATGTTATATGACAACAAGTGATGACTTGAAATGATGTAACGAACAATTTCAATGATGAGAAACAGTACTTGTATGAAAGATTTACTATCTTCTATGGCCTTATCAGGAGCCCGACAGTAATAATTACCTTGTATTTTGACACGAAGTACAATAATCATCATTTTTATCTCACAAATTCGGGGGTAGCTCTTCTGGGATTCTCGACTTTCTACATCGAACTTGCTCTTCCTAGATCATGGACTTCCCGTTGGAAAATATCTTTGCGCCCTGCTGCGAGAACCTCACCCCCACTAATACGGGCAGCTGCCAGAGTCCACCAAGAGAACTGACGCATTTCTTCAGCCCCGTAGTTATGAATCCATTAGAAGCTTTGAACCATCGTCCCGAATCTTTTTCACTCCTCGATAACCCATACATAATTCAAATTACCCCAGTATTTCTTGAAGGAGAATACCGCATGGGGCGACGACCAACACAATATTTCATTCGAGTCCCCGAGAACTTGGAGCCTGAAGGGCCAAACAAGTTTGTTCGATTTGTGTCCGCTGGAACTTTGAGCGGGGAGGATGAATGGAAAAATTCATACTTTGGGAAAGAGGGGTATGATAAGAGAGAGTCTTTTGGTTGGAGATGTGAGGATACTTAGGATCATGACTGGTCGTACGAAGTGGTACTTTGGAAGAAAGAATAATGATTTAGCGTGCAAGAAAATCATTCTGCGAAGGCATTTAGGGAAATTTTAGCACAGCATATGGGTTTTATACCAGGTTGAAGAATTTACTTGTATGATAATAACAGCTCGTAATGTGTAAAGTGGGAACGGCATAGGGCTTTGCAAAAAAAGCAAGCGGTGCGGAACAAATTCGTTTCATTATGTCTGAGTTCGTACCTCGACTGCCAGCTACCAGGGCTCTAATAGAAACCTGCGTAACAGAAAGTCAAAACCTCACAGCGTGGACAAATCTTATGATCTATGATATCAATCAAACTGTTGTTTTCAATCAAATCAGAAAATAAATCATGACACCCTAGTGGTCACAAGGACCATGAAGAAATACCATCTTACATCAAAATCAGGAGTTTGTCTGTATTGCCAATTTGAACTATCTGGAATGCGCAAGTATTCCGACTCTTACGCCTACTAAGCCAGGTGACAAATGATTGCGAGCTACCACAAGACTTGCGTCAAAAGATTGTGATAGGAAGATGAAGAAGACGTCGGGGACTGCAAATACACAATAGTGTTGTTCGATTTATAGGATAGAACCCCTGATCTCAATAGCACTCACTTGCAAGCTAGATGACAAGGCAAGATGTCTGAAAATGATGACACAATTATCGGAAGGACGACTGAATAGATATGTACGCATATATATAAATCGGCTAACATCCCGCTATAGGTGCTCCAAGTTCACCAATTCTAATTCAATTTCAATATACAGGAGAACCTGGCTGTATTTCTATCATTATGGAAGCCCAGCCTTCGCCTGACGATGCTTTTGCACCCTGCTGCAGATCATTGAGGCGTAGCGATCCACCCAGTATACTCACTTACTTCTTTAGTCCCGAAAACTTAACCCGTAACCCACTTTCAGCTCTGAATAACTGCTGCTACGTGAGTATTGATAGAGCAATGGTTCCTTGCATGATCGAAGTGACTATGCTTGGCCACGGAAAATTACCTCATTACTTCATCCCCGTACCGCCAAATATTCAACCTCAGTTTCCATCAGTAGGAGAGTTTGTGCAATGGACTCTTCAGACGCACCCAGGGAATCAAAATATGATGGATGTCGAGTCTTTTTCGAGGGGACTTCCATTTTTCTGGGAGTGCTCCGGGGAAATGTATGGAGTTGGACTTCCTCATCTTCAGTACAAGGCTGTTGTTTTGACAGCCCCTGTGGGTGCTAAACTTGTGCAATATTCTGATTGGTGGGTTTCTCTGACATACGATGTCGTAAATCGAGGCAGAGGCAGAGGTACAGGTTGACTGGGAGGATCTATGACTAAGTTAATTACACGTAGAACTCTATCCATAATGCTCTCAATGATTGTCCAGTTCTAGTTCTCTTGCAAAATCATGAAAATTGGGGTATGGATGAAACATGAGTGACAGTGATGATTCAAACAAGTCTCAGTACCTCTGGCAGATTGCGCTTAGTGTGATCATTCTTGGAAACGTATGTGACATGGATATTATGTGTCAGTTTGCTCAACATAATTCCTAGATTTGATTGAGGCAATAATCACAGAGCAACATATGCTAAAGCTTGTAATGTAACTCTTTACTCTCAGAGAGGTCTGATAGGAAAAAGCATTTATGAACTCCAACAATGGGGGTAAATGAGCCAAGCGAAAAGAGCAGCTCTATAGCACCTGAAGTACTGCCTGAAATCACGTCTCTTGAAAACGATGGAGCAATATGAAAGATAATGACTCTAAATTGTAGACAGAAATTGCACGTCAGGGCGTGACTTCTTTCACAGATGCATGACTTCATGAATACTCTAATGCCAACTGATTGACACGGCGACAAATGTAACTCTAAGATAATTTAGACACCCAATGGAACAGGGAACATCGATCTTGCACCGACATACTTGACGGTAATGTAATTGTTATGCTTCGGCTAAAGCTACTTGCTCTATACAGATCTAGAATCAAGAGGCAATGAACTCAATGGACAGTATTTCTCCTCAGGTACTGGACGATGCATATCTGATGAGATGTCATAATAGAGTTATTTTTCCAATTACATCAATCCTTTAAAATGTGGAGTTTTCCCCTTAAATAAGCTCAGAAATCCTTCGCCTGTCGGTAGATCAGACCCCTCTAACTTAGCGCTGGCAGGGACCCCCAACTGTGCCACGGCCAGCGTGTCATTGACCACTTACAGGGCTCATCTATTACGCCATGGCCCCTTCGTTTTAATTTCCATCTGATCTTGACCACCAAACAAAAAGAATCTCAAACCTTTAAAAAAACAAACGTGCAGAAAAGACGAGCTGAGAAATGCACGACGATGCACGAACTGGAAATCCTGAATACGAGAAAAGATGGGGGAGTATTATCCTCTCTTCTGTATCTTCATTTTTTGTTGTTTGATTTCTGTTGCTTGATTCAATATTCTTGGTAGGTTATTTACTCGGTCGGTCAGCCTCATTGTTTTCCTGCCCTTTTCCGTTATCACAATTGTTTTGGTTTGAATATGCATATGAACTGGTCAATTCATCTTTCATCTTGTTGATTTCGTTTCGAAACTTTCTTTTATTCTGTATTTCATCCTAGTCCGTTACATTTCGAGCAGTCATACTGCGTCACAGCATTCACGACGTTGATAAATTCATCTGGGCCTCGGCCAGCCAATCCTTCAGAATGAAGATAATCTCACTACCACCTATTCCTTTGGCCCTTTTTTTCACGACCATTAATAAAGTCCTCGCACAGAAAGACAATGGAGAGGATTGTTCATGTTTTCGGACGGATAGTGCGTCATCTGGATATTTCACATACCATCGATTCCATGATTTTCGAACGGTAGCAGCAGCTTCGCAGACTGTGCCCGATTTAATTTCGAATGAAAGTGATACGTCTAATGCACTGGCAACATCAGAATTCTTCTCGGGGCAGGCTTGGAATAATGATTGGTCGACGCAGAATTGGAATAATAGCGATTCAATGGAGAGTGGAAGTGGTGTGCTGATGGTTAATTCGGCCAATAATGTATACATTGGTATGTTACAAAATACTTCTTCTTCTTCTGCCAATCTAGGTACTAATGTACCTTTCGCAGAAACTTCTACCGATAATGATACCTCTTATGATACCTACCTTACCCTCCGCACAGCGCGTCTCGAGGGCTTCCAATCCGTTGCCGAATTCGACTCTAACGAAAAGAATTTCCAGTATATGTCCGCCCGATTCCTAGCTCGAGTCGTTGGTTCCGAAGGAGCATGCGCTGGAATGTTCACTTACCTCGGGTCTGACCCTGTGCAAGAAGCCGACATCGAGATCTTAACATCTGGTCCCCGTAACGTGGTCCAATACACAAATCAACCTTCCTTGAATAAAGAAGGTGATGCCGAACCCAGAGCCACAAGCAATGCCTCGACTGCAGACGGCGCTATGGATTGGAGTGTTTGGAATATATATCGAATGGATTGGATGCCCAAACAGACATCATGGTATGTTAATGGCGAGAGTGTAGCAAATATTACATACCAGGTTCCGAAGGATCCAAGTAGTCTGATATTAAATATGTGGAGTGATGGAGGGGAATGGACGGGAAATATGAGTTTGTATGATGAGGCGTACCTGCAAGTTCAATGGATTGAATTGGCTTTCAATACTAGCGGGGATTTTGCGGGCAGCAAGAGGGGTGTGGAAAAGAGGAAAAACAAAGGCTGTAAGGTTGTTTGTGGAATTGATGAAGGAGTTAATGTTACGGGTACCCCGGCGTTGTTGATCAATAATACGAACGCGGCGACATTGGGATGGAAGGAGGGGACAGGGTGTATGGGGTGGGTCCCCGTGTTTGTAGTTGGGTTGGCTGTTTTTGGATTGTTGTGATCTTATCCGTCGATGTTATGATATATATTAGACAGACATGACATGGTTTTGGTGCTGAGGGAGAGCAATCTCTGTATTTTAAAAAGTTATCAAATAATGAATGTGAAAAGAGATTTTCATGCACCACACTACCCTAGCTACCTGTATAGCATGAGATCTGAACTGGTTGAAAACTCCATATAATTCTTGCTGTAATTCTGAAGTGTATCTTTCGGAAACTCGAATAGCCTTGCTAAAATTCCTAGATCTTTTGTTAATTATGCACATATTCACATCTTGAATTTAACCTAATCCCCCTCGGTTTTCTCAGCTCCCTCGCTTATGCACTTTAGCATTTCACCAAAAAATGGGGCCTACTCAATCTTAAAGGTCGAGGGTCTCTTGGGAAGACTTAAAGACACTCGTTCACTAGATTGGGGCTTACTTGACTCAATTATTTGTAAGATTACCTGATCTCGTTCAATTCAAATCATTCACCTCCAAAACCCCCTGCTTCTAAACACTTTCGCTTACTAATTCTTTGGAATCATGATATGCGCACATATATACCTCTAGTGCTCCCTGCAGGAACGATCACCATGGATTTATCTTCGATACCCCTCTACTAGATTCCGCTGATCTGCAGGACTGAGAGCTTAGGGCTGATGAGAAATATGGTACACGACAGTGTCGAATTTTGAGTTGGAGATTGCCGGGGTTTTTGGGATCGTATGATAATGAATCTGGTCATTGGGCCGAATGGGATTTGGCCTTTTTGCTGTCATTCCTGTTTGCGATCTTTGAGAATGGAATGATAGGAATCGAATGATATAGATACCTCAGAATTCCTCATTCAAAACTCTCGAGTTTGGCAAGTTTTATTGTACATACTCTGATCCATCACATCGATCATATCTATCTTGCAAAGCGTCTTCCAACACTTCTCGTCCAGGCTGCCCATACAAAATCGTAACCCTGAGCTTTAGCTAAGACCTATAGTTTCTCAGTGGTATGTGCAAGGTCTTTTATGATCCCCTGGGACAGATTTCTCGGATACGAACAGATAGCTACTAGAATTTTAATATCGAAGAGGGGTAAGGAAAGTGAATACCTACTCTTTTCAATCCCATCTTTACCATGTGACAGACAAGTTTCTATTCAATGGAGAAGCATCTTGTGATATTATTCACCTCTTGCTTTTGTATTTATTGGCCTGCTTATTGGGTTAGCGTTTTTCGCTTATTGATTTTTGTGATTCACAAGCAACGTATCTATACCTCTGGAGTTCTAATAAAAGAGATACGACTTCACAACTCGTAAATCTTGTACGAAATTGCTATCCCACTTCGAATTTTCTTCCGATAGGCTGGAGCAGAGCTCGTGGCTACCTTCAACGGAAGATGATGCAATACTGAAAGGGGAGAGGGTGAAGAATGAGGTTAGCCGACGGTAAATTTCCGGAATGTATTTGAAGCTGTTGTTTCACTAACTACAGATGAATAATCAGATCATCTACATGATTCAGCTAGCTAATTCCCCGCAAAAGCTACACCTCGCTGGTCATGATCAAGTTGATAGATTTGTTCACTACATTTTCAACTCTAGAGGCTTAGATAACTCCCGAATCAACAATTTGTCAAGTAATTTCCGTTCAAAACCCGATCTAGTTTGTCAAGTCATTTGCCTATCGCTTCTCCAATCCCGCCATGAAGCCGATAAACTATATTCTATCCTGTCCTTAGGTCTATCGAATATTTCAGCGAAATTTGAGCACCATTTCAACATTGTGCTTGACGTATGGTGATTTCACATGAAACTCTTCTGTTTAGCTATCGAAACTGAGAATCAGCTCACATTATTTATCTTCCCCTTTGCTATCAACACCACGTCTCTGACGATAGTACCAGGCTGAATAACTAGATAAGATAGAGTTCAACACCGTAGATGTTTTATGCATATTCTCAATTGTATCTGGTCCCAGTATCTGGTATATCCAAGTCGGAATACTTTCAAGTGCTCTTCGGACAGGTGAATCGATCAGATGTTTGAGGACTACATGCTCTTGCTAATTATATAATTTCATCCAATCTACTAGCAACTTATCATTAATACAATCTCTACGCATCATATAATGATTCGAAGTCATCCTCTTTATGAGAAATCTAATCTCAGATACCCCTCTTTGGTTGATCGGTGAATACATTCACTTTTCTGTTTTATGGACCCTAAAAATTCTCTCCGTACCTTTCTCACCCTCTCTCCCCTTATTTAAGAAATCAATTTGTTCAATCTAATCAATATACAAACGTGGATAACAAACCGTTCACACACATATTGTGTCTTGCGCGCTGTGTGCACGACCATGCGGCTCTCATAGAATAAGCCAGGCGTGCGGCTGCAAAGACCCTAGCAGTGAGCTTCTCCGGCGGAAGCCCTCGTAATTGTCTCGAGTTTTAACTGAAATTTATCATGGTTTCAATATGTGAATTTAGCTCGAAATATTGACAACAATAAATATACAGCGGCAATTAAAGGATTAAAATTGCGGTGGGATGATAGTCAGTTTTTGCCCCGAAGTAGAACTTTCGTTTGGCAATTTGCAATCCTTAATGACAAATTTAGGTGCTGTACCGTTCATAAAGTTGTCATTGTTTCTGTGAATGCACCTCGGGTCTATTGGAGAGATTTATCCATATTAACGTTAACGAAGCGACTCATGTTTCGTTGCAGCTCCAAACGATCCGAATTGGTTTCTCAAATGAGCTAGTGTCGGATAAGCTTATTAGCCGTTCTACACTTTCTCCACTATCATAACTCCGAAGGCACGTCGCTTGAGTCACTACCTTCGATGAAACAAGTCCGAACTACGGTCGTATGATACTCGTTCCTTGATGTAACCCTACATGCGGGGCAGGTGAGGGGAAATGCAGGGAGGTATAACGTGTAGCCTTTAAGCATAGCTAATGTTGTTGTTACTACATAGCTATAAGATGCAGAATTCGGTATTTATTTAATGCTGTGTAAGTTTGATGCGGGGATGTGAGAAAGGGGTTGAAGATTGCGTGGAAGCCTATATAAAGACATCCTACAGACTCGAAACATTTCTTAATCTCATTCATACCTCCATCTCAATTTTAAATATTATCAAGGCAATCATACGCAAAATGGGAAAGAAGGTCATAGCCGCCGCGGTTCATGCCGCTCCAGTCTTCATGGATAAGAAAGGCAGTATCGAAAAAGTTTTGCAACTAATCAAAGAAGGCAAAGATCAAGAGATCGAGTTATTAGTATTTCCCGAGACGTTCATTCCTGGATATCCAGTAAGTCCCTTCGGTGTTTTCTTTTGCTGCACAAACTTACACAGACCTTTCAAAACAGTACTTCATTCACACTCACCCACCTCTCAAATGCGTTGACGCACAAGCTCAATATGCGGATCAAAGTGTAGTCGTCGGAAGAACAGGGGGTGACCTCCTTCCTATCATGCATATCTGTGCCGAACTAAAGATCGCTGTTTCGATCGGAATATCAGAGCGCGTGGAAGGCGGTCATACATTATTCAACTCTCAAGCGTTTATCGATACTGACGGCACCCTTCTTGGAGTGCACAGAAAAATTCAACCTACGCACTCTGAGCGCACGCTCTGGGCACAAGGAAGTGGACACACCTTGAAGGTATGGCCAAGCAGCGTTGGCCGAATAGGAGGACTTGCTTGTTGGGGAAATGCAATGAATAACGCACGTCAAGCATTAATCGAAGATCGGCAAGAGATTCATGCTGCAGCATGGGCAGCTCTTAGCACTGTATCGGGATTTGAATCGGTAGCAAATATTCAGATCGAAGCATTGATGAAAAATCATGCATTTACAGCACAAGTATGGGTCATTTGTGCAAGTAATTACGTCGATGATAGGACTTTGGGGTGGATGGAGAAAAATCTGGGACCGCAGGATCTTGTCAAGAAGGGTGGGGGATGGAGTGCGGTTATTCATCCTTTTTGTGCTGTGTTGGCGGGTCCACATACGGGAGCTGAAGAGAAGTTCTTGAAGGCAGAGATTAACTATGATGAATTAGGTGCCGTGAAAGTTTGGATTGATGCTAGTGGCCATTATAAACGTCCTGAAATATTGAAGTTGGACGTTGATAGAAGTCCAACATGGCCGGATGATGAAATACTGGCAAGTGGGGCTTCTATAAACCCCCACGACAGAGTAGGAAGTTAGGAACATGTGGGAATTTAGTATCAATGGATTGTTGGTTGCCCATGGCGAGTTGCCTTTCAATCGATTTAAACACCGAAATGTAAGACTGAAGTTTGGATACTTGAAACATTGATTTCAGCAAATTTGCTCGCAATGTTAATGTTTGTATTGTTCCTTAATCATACATCGAGTGATTGAATCTATACTTCCTTTCACAAGTAAACCTCAGATAAGCATAGCATCAGCCATTGCCCTCATAACCTCGTTAACTTTCCTCTACAGTACACCTACTGACTCCTTAGCGATGCTTGCTTCAACGATTTCCGCAGCATGAAGTATCCTCGCCCAGCTTGCGCACCCAATCATAGTCTTGCACAGATTTCCATCTTTGTCCCTTTCTTGCATATTTTGCTCTCCAGTTTTTACTACACCAAACTTCCTGTAGAACTGGTGTGCCTGCTTAGACGAAATTGTGTATGGACGGCTACCGCGGTAGTACAGTGAATCCTCCCTGTCCCTCATGAACTCCTTTCCCCATTTAGCGATACGAACAATTTCATTTCTGAGTCTCTCGGCATGTGCATGCTTTGAAAGAGCAAGATATCCATCCACAAGATGATGTAGAAAAAAGGATCCGTCTGAAAGCATTCTTTGAGATGGATTTGGATTACAGTGATCGAAAAGTGCGCCCTCAGGATCCATTGCTGCTTCCGTGATTTCTATTGCCGTTGACAGATATTTAGGATTGTTGGTAGCTTCGTACAATAAAGTGAACCCATGAATGGCGAATCCACTATTATATGACCATTTCATACGTTCGATTTCCATGGATCCATCTTTATTTATCTTCAATTGATCCCAGATGAGTTTATCTTTTGGATCTTGCAAGTTCACCTGAAGCCAAGTCAATAAGATTGTGGCAAACCTAAGATAAGATTCAGCTTTATCGTGGGTCTCAATGACATGAGTTGACGGTAAAGCTCTTATTCTCAGGGCCGATATAGCAGCTGGACCAACTGAGCAAGCAGCTCGAACTGTCTTGTCTGAGAGATGCCATGCAATGCCACCTGACTCTTTCTCCACAAATGGCATGATAAAACACTCCATAACGTCCTTGGCTTGAAGTAAAAACTCGAGCTGTCCCGTAACTTCATACGACGATACTAAAGCTTGAACGACGTGAGCATTATCATCATAGTAAATGTCTTTGTTTCCAAGGAACATCTTCCAAGCACAGAATGCATGGTAGTCCTTGTTCCAGTATTCTTGCTGTACTGCGGCGACTTGATTTATTCTCGAAGGCGAAAGACAATCGGCAGCTGCATGAAGCATGATCGAGACAGGCCATAAGACATATGCGAAATCATTTCCTTTCCCCAGAGTACTTTCGTGCTCTACTTTGCCCTGGAATTGACGTTTCTCTTTGCAATAAAAGTATTGGAAAGTTTCCTCAGCTAGAGTTCCAGATTCAGTCTCGGTGTTCTTTGCATCAAATATGTATGATTCACTTCGGAAGTATGACGAGATAGCCGGTTTAGACGGATCCGGACGGGGTAATTGCGCCTGAAATCGCTCCAAGTCATCATCGCGAGGCTCCTCAACGTGTACCACAGTTCGCTGAATATGTAATTCCCGGAGTTGCTGCTCTAGAATCATTTCATCAGTTTGCTCAGGGATCATAGACTGTTGCTGCTCTGCAGTCATTTCATCAGTTTGCTCGGACATTGTAGACTGTTGCTGCTCTGTAGTCATTTCATCAGCTTGCTCAGAACTCGTAGACTGTTGCTGATGCGGGGTAGTATCTTGATCAGGCCTCTTAATCTTTTCTTTGACTTTTCTAATGCTCCTCTTCACGAATTCTCTCATCGTAAGTTGTAATGTTGTTTTGTGAAATAACGTTTATAGAAGACGGAAGAATTCCAATAGAAATCAAAAGAGCTCGTAACTTACCTTTATTTACAGAATGCCAAATAGCTTTACTGTATCGCGATTGCCATGAATCTTAGCTGCGTTGCAAACAGTGCTTGGAATGCGGGCAGGTACGCTCGGGTGCGCCTGCACTGGTTTTCCAAGGTTTACATCAGTGTCATTGCGCCACATTAGGGGCTCAATGGTACAATGCCACACACGAATAGAGTTTCTGATTACCACAATTGCAATTACGGCTTCTCATGTGGTAATGATTAAAAAAGTATCCTTAATTGATTGAAGTTATTTTTGTCTGGGTTAACAAAGAGCATATACACCATTCGATTGAAAATTATGTTTTTGAGTAAGAACTAGCAAGCTGCGTCATTGAATACTCAAAACACTCAATGCTTTGTCGCTTCTTCCTAGATGCTCCCATAGAAGGCAATCAGGGGAGAGGGTAGAACTTTCCCGATTGGTCTTGAAGATTAAGAGACAATAGCACATTTTCGTATTAATCATGTCGTTTATGCCCAACGCAGGCTTCCTCGACTATTTATGCTACTACTTCTTGCTAATTGGCAAATTATTTAAGTTCTTGTCTAAAGATTCATTGACGACCCCCTCCTTCGGCTAACCACCTAGGAAAGTGAATTTTCTATTGTAAGACCAAGTTATTTTTCCTGTGGTTCTTGGCTGTACACACATTTTTTAACTCAACATCTCTCAAACGTTACCCTCCAATCCCACGACCGTAGTCTCCCCATGCTTGAACGTTCTGATTCCCTTTCTGGTGATCTTCAACTGACTCCCACAATTAGGATCTGGACATGCTATCAGTCCGTCTGTGGTCATCCAATCGTTGGAATGAGTGAAGCGTTGCTTTGCTGCTAGTAGAGGGAGAACCGATGCTACGAACTTGCTTGTTAGTCTTTGCTTAATTTATTGGTCGGGAATCCATGAGCAAAGTAACGAACATAAACTGTAAATGCTAATTCCTTGCCCAGGTGGTAAATATAACATTTCTCCCTCGAGAGTAAAATGATCACCTTCCTTGGCACCACACAGGATTTTGGAAGAGGGAGGACAGATAACTTCGACACGGAGATCAAAAAGTTGAAAGGAATCATCAATCGGGGTTGAAGATGTCGCCATTTTTATGATTGGGTTCGGAAGTAGAGATTACCAAAATGTGTTGTGTATGTAGTGGTGTAGTGATGGTAGTAGGCTTGGATTTGAAATTTGGCTAGGAGAGTGTAGCCTTATTCCCGAGTAAGAGTAGATTTAGACGTGTCTTTGGGATGACAGTCTTGATATCTAACCTTACCGAATAACAAGGTTCCCAAGATCTGTCAACGCAATAATCCACTAAGAGACCGAATACTATCGGCGTTCTACGATAAATAATCATTATTCCAGGTTTCCCCGCACGATATGAAGGATCCCCCACTTTTGAACACCGATAATGGAGATAGTGACATCTGGAATGCTGATTGCAGATCGAATTGAGATATGAGTCAACACACTTTGACAACTTAACGAGGAAGACTGTTATCGGACAAAAGGTTCCCCTCGCTCATCCAAAAGCCAGCATCGGTCAACAAACCATCCCATATTTCCTTATCATGTAATAAATCTGTGCTGAAATTAGGCGTGCTCCCATTTATCGAAGTGGTGTCTGTCGATTCACCAGTATCCTGATAGGATTGAAGAGGTCTGGGGACCTGGTAGCTTGTACCCACATCGGTGTTCATTCGATTCTGGAGACTCTCTAGTGACGTTGGATCTTCGTGTTGATGCGAATGAACGCCGGGATCTCGGACTTGACTGCTAGCATGGGATTTCAATCTATGGTATTTCCCCACGAGATTTTTCAAGAATCGTGCTTGCATCGCGCAGCCCGTCATTTGTGTAGCACATTGTTCTGAGAAGGTATCGGATGAGAGGAGAATGGCCTGTAACGATTGAGTCTCGAGATCTAAGCGTAAATTCTTAGGAAGAGATAAAAGCAACTGCCATTGTCAGTAGTTTATCTCAGAAGTTGCGAAGCATTTATAAAATCTTGACGCTAATGAATGTACCTACCTTAATGAGGAATATGGCGGCATAAGCAGTCATCACATGAACAGAGTCCTGTACAAAATAGAGTTGTTTGAGAGGCCCAATGACTTTCGATATATTCTCCAACATGCCGACTGCGCTCGACGAACATTGCCATAGTGCTGTTTTTGACACTGCAGATCCTTTCTCTGCAGCTTTAAGGGATTGTTGCAGAGTATAGGAGTTGAGAAGGAGGCGGAGATGCAAACCATAGAAGTTGACAAGGAATTGCTGAGGAGGTGCGACCATCTCTGTGGGAACTTAGCGACAGTCCAGATATTAGGAGAGTATGTAACAAACCATCTTCGAATTTGGGTAACCAATCCTTTTCCCAGGTGTTTAACTCGGTGTTTAGGAGTTTGGACAAAATCTCTGACCGGAATTTTTCAGAATCTGATTTAGTCGATGACGAAAGCTCGATAAACTCGGCACTGATTAAACGTAGAGAGACGAACGCCGAGAGAAGCAGATCTCCACCAGGTACAGCATATTCTTCTTGGTACCATTCGCTTGCTTTCGATATTAGATTATTTTGGTCTATCATCCAGGGTTTGTCGAGTTGTAAGCTTAAGCTTCGATTTGTTAGAGAATATGGTCGGGATGAGGATGGAGTGAAGACTAACCTTCTATCATAGACAAACAATACTAGCCATGTTCTCTCAATATTTCTAGCTTCCCTGATGCTTAATTCATTGGCTGAGATCCGCGGCTTTTGTGTCACCGGTTTCAGTTCGTGCCACCCAAGCTCAATACACATGCGAATAGCATAGCCAACGAGTAGCCAGGTGCGTATCTCAGCTGGTTCTTTCCAATAAGTAAAGATCAATATTGCTTGAACGATCTCTGTGGACTTGGCTCCCCGCGTAAATACCCTTCCGAGTAGATTTTCGGTATGCGACCTGAGTGTGGGATGAAGCGCGGGGTGAAAAGCTTTAGAAGAGGCTGAAAGAATCGCAGTGAGAAGGAATGATGAACGTTGGCGAACGTAATCAAATGTATGGAGTTTAGGGTCTAGTTGACAGATGTATGGATTTAGACAACGCATAAAACTATTCCCTGTCAGATACACAGACAATTTTCCTCATAGTTCCGTCTTCTTATAAAAATTCAGAATCATTGAATCTTACCTATCGAACAAACCAAGTGCAACAGGAAAACTAAGCATGTTACATGTAATTGGATCATTGAAGCTATCTGCACTTGGGGTTGGTGATCTTGGTGGAGGGTGAGGTCTCAGAACATCCGGCACAGAAAGAATATTCTCTAGAGAGAATTTCCCAAATTGTGCTTCTCTACTTAGTATCCCAACTTGTTGTAACCCTTCGCTACCCCAGGATTGTGCAGTCTGAGGTGGGGATGTATCTAATATGCCACTTGATGTAACGTTTGGAGGTGTTTGTCGTTCCGTCTCACTACGAAGACGTGTTGCAGTTGGAGGTTGGTTGAGTGACTCGGCAATACTTCCGCTTTCAATTTGTGCATTTGACCTCTGAGCCTTTCGTCTTATCCTAGAGATAATTAGTACATGAATTGTGCTGTGCTGCATTCAGTGAGATTATGAATACTTTGTTCCAGGCTTTCTCCCTCTTCGATGCTGCTCAAATATACATTCCAGCGACTTTCGTTTGCATCGCTCACATTTTTCATCGAACGAAGTACTTTTACACTTTAACTTTACACTCCGGCATGTTAAACATGCTATTTGACTTCAGGTGTCTTGTCATTATCAATATCTGAAAGTTCTCCTCGAATGTAACTTACCTACTTAGTTTTGAGCTAGGATGGCCAGGAATTGCAGATGACGGCGAAGACATTGTTCTTGAACAATTTGTTGGAATAGCATTGATCAAAAGGAGAAACACTTTTTCAGGCAATTCGAATACATATAAACGGATCTAGATTCCAGGATGCAATGCACTGTTCCAGACTAATGTCCGGGGAAGATAGAAGATAGTCAGATAGCTTATCAGTGACCTGGCTTCTAGCCTGCTATCATTCCCCCACCTTTGTACAAATTTCGCCTCTTCTCTTTTCGGGCTGTAACCCCGACAGTGCAGTTGCTCAAACGGTGAAAGTACCAAATTACTTCGATTTTGAGTTTACTGTCTATATTCCGCTCCACAATCTCCCATTGCTTCGAAGATATCTTTAGCTCTTGATCTACTTAATACATTCTGTATCGCCTCTTTATCTTCTACGTCGAGAGTAAATGAGAAAGCTTTGAGATTTTCATCGATGTGCTCGCTGATCCCCATTCTTGCACCTATTATGACAGCCCCGACATAATCGTGATCCAACACCCATCTTATCGCCGCACTGGAGACAGAAACGTTATGCTTGGATCCAATTTTTGCCAGAATGTTTAATAATTCTTGGAAAAGCATCCATCCTCCCCATATATTGATCATTTCGAAATACTTCCGATGACTTGGGGTCATGTTCTCGTCGAAAAGATTGGGAGCAGGTTTTCCAACCCATTTATCAGCTAAAAACCCGCCACACAACGAGCCATAAGTGAGTAGTTTAACGTTATGTTTCCTACAGCTTTCAGCCATCTTAAAAGTGGGTCTGAGATCTATCAGGGAGAACTGAACTTGGTTCGAGACTACCTTGACACCGCTTTCCAAAATTTCGCACATGTGATCTGAGTCGAAATTGCAGAGACCCAAGCTTTGGACGTTGGGATGCGTCTCTATCAATCGCGCTGCTTCCACATATTGGTGATTGTTGTACTAAATTATTTGTCAGTGCATCCACTGCCAACCCTTGCCATCGTGTACATACATCTTGCCAATGAAATTGCAGCAATTCCACGCTTGTGGAGTTTATCGCAGTGAGACGCTCTGACACATTTGCATCTACAACCTCTTTCGTTACTTGGATAGGTTCGAAGACCGCCCATTTCGTCGCACAGTATATCTTCTCGGAGTCTTCTTGTCTCGATCGAAATTGTCCCTGACAAATGTTAGTAGGCTAGCTTGCAATAACGACGCCTAACTTACGAATGTCACTTCGGCATCGCCATAATGATCAGCCATATCATATGCAATGAGCCCAGAATCGACATGCTTCCTAAAATGACGATCAATCTTCGATCTAGAGGCAGTCCCCCAAGCAGGACTAGAGAATTGCCAGAGCCCCATAAACATTCTAGGTACTTCAGCCGGTCCCAATTGAAATGATTCTAATGTACTTTTCGATGATTGAAATCCATTTGTCCGACGAATTTCATTCTTCTGTAAAGGTTGATTTTCACTACCAGTTCCTTCAATCAGTTTTTCGAGACAACAAAGCCCACGGTCAAATGGGAAATCTTGCCCGCGAGCAATAGCGATACTTCTGCAGGCATGCAATACTTCTCGTAATGTGGCAACAGTCTTAGAATCCTTGGTATTCATAGGGCGCATTCCCGAACTGGTAAGAAGTAATTTCTGTACCGCTGTTATTGACTGTACCACATCCCCATCAATAGTTGCTAGAATTTCCAGTAACTCTTCTCCTTCTGCAGTTCTCTCGTCCCACTCCAAATTGTGTATTTGTTGTATGACGCTAGTGAGAAGCTCCACACTTTCGAATCCAAATCCACAGCCCATTAGACACCTATATCGACTCTGAATCCGCTGAAGATCTGTATTCGGTTGCGGCAAACCGCCAGATGTGCTGAAGAGCTCCGGTATGGATGATGGCTTCGTGTTTGCAAGGTACTTTGAAGCAAGTTTGGTGAGACCGGCTGTATTCGAAGTATTTTCTCCTAAAAGACCTCGAAGTATTGATCGTAGACCCTCCGCTGGCATATTTGCAATGATGCAGTCTGTCATCATATTAACATGAGCAGCTTTCGCTGGAGACTTCGCAACATTGTGTTCACTATCCATATTGCCCAAATGTGGTGCAATGAAGGGAGATTCGATTGATTGATCGTTGAGAGTCTTCATGAGGGTTGTGATTGAAAATTCTTGTACTCAAACTGAACTGTCTGCTTCAGAGTATATAGACCCTCATCGATTTGCCCACTCTCCATATTTCGCCCCCAATCTTTACATAATTCATCGCGAAGACGTGCATGTTTGAAAGTTATCGACAGATCTTGGTGGGGAAATGCCTTATCGTCTTGAACACCGAACACGCTAGATACCCCTGAAAGAATTAGTTCTGTATTACACGGGGTCTTAATAATCCCCGACAATTTGCCTTTCATGTTTGGACACCGATCTTTACGTCCTGCTTATCTTGTCAAATACATGGATTTCAAGATACTGCAGGTTCCTAATGTACCTCGACTATACCTGGTTCAATATGCGGTATCTGATGTCGAAGGGGTTCTTAAGCCCTGGAGTGATATATTATGTCGATCGAGACCCCCTTGACATCAGTACAATTGCCTGTACCATCCTTCTACTTGATGATAACGCATTATTTGGTTTTTACTCATGACTTCAAACTCGACTGAATCCGTGGATCCAAAATCGTACATGATGAAATCTGAAGTGTTTTCTCATCCAGGAACCGATCTCGACACCGAAATGGGCTCCACTGAAGATGTTCCTGCTGGGGAAGAGTTGAAAAGAAACATGAAGGGGCGCCATATCAATATGATAGCTATCGCTGGTATGATCGTAGGTCATTCTCAACAAGATCAAAGAACTGTGTACTAATGGTACAAATCAGGGAACGGGTCTGTTTCTGAGTTCCGGGACTACAATCGCCCAAGCTGGTCCCGCTGGTGCATGGCTTGCATACATTTTCATGGGATTTGTAACCGCAGGGGTTAGCGTAAGAGTTCCAAATTCCTTCATAGCAATGGGAATTTAGTGATTAATCAAATCATAGTATACGACTGGAGAAATCACTGCGTTCATGCCAGTGACTGGTGGGTTCGTGCGTCATGCCACGGCATTTGTTGAGCCTGCTCTAGGAGCCGCGACCGGATGGAACTTTTGTAAGCTCTGATATCTTCGTTCTCGGGGGACTTCGGCTTATTTGACTTAGGGTACACAATGGCTATCTCAGTGCCAGCGGAACTAAGTGCAGCTGCAACACTCATCCAATTCTGGGATTCGACCACAAATCCAGCGGTTTGGATTACTGTGTTCTTAGTCGTGATAGTATGCCTCAATTTCTGTGGTGTGCGAATGTATGGTGAAGTAATAAGACCTGAGAACTGCTCGCTTATCGTTTAGAAACTAATTGCGATTTCTTAGTCCGAAGTTATTTTCGCTTCCATGAAGATTGCTCTCATCATTGGTTTAATTATTGCAGGACTAGTCGTTGATCTTGGTGGGGGACCAAAAGGTGAACGACTAGGGTTCACTTATTGGAAATCCCCCGGGGCATTCAACGAATATCTAGTCAGTGGTAACACAGGGCGATTCCTAGCGTTCTGGTCCTCTCTCATTAGCGCTGCCTTCAGTTATGGCAATATTCAAGTGGTGGCACTTTCGGGTACAGAAACAGGAAATCCCCGAAAGATAATCCCAGAAGCTACGAAGAAGACATTCTTCCGTGTCTTCTTCTTTTACGTTTTGAGCATCTTGATAGTAGGAATGATTGTGTATGTCATTCTTCTATCCCATTTTGTACTTTATCCGACTAACAATTCTTAGTCCATACGATAGTGAAGCTCTATCTGTTTCTACTGGAACAGCTGCCTCATCTCCATTTGTTATTGCTTTCAAAGCCGCTGGAATCAAGGTTATGCCTTCTATAATCAACGCTGTTGTCTGTACATCTGCTATCAGTAGTGGATCTGCTTGTATCTTCCTGGCGTCTCGTGCACTCTATGGACTGAGTGCGGATGGCCATGCTCCAAAGATCTTTATGAAGTGCAATCGATTTGGTACCCCGTGGTATGCTGTTGGTCTGAGCGTGCTGCCATCACCTCTTGTGTACATGGTCGTTAGTAACCAGGCATCTGTTGTGTTTGGGTGGTTTGTAAACATTACTACGGTGGCGGGGCTGATTGGATGGGTCGTCATTGAAGTTACATATCTCAGGTTTTTCTACGCCTTGAAGCAGCAGGGCATTTCTCGAGATCGTGAGAAATTTATCCCCCAGCCTTCATCTCGATTACTAATGGTGTTGTAGCTTTACCTTACAAGGGCCCCTTTCAACCTTACGTAGCATGGATCACGGGATTCATGATCTTTTTGATTGTGCTTTTCTCCGGTAAGGTTATTATCTTTAATGACATTTTTTTGCTAATGAAATGCTTAGGATATGCTGTATTTTTCCCAGGAAATTTCACTGCTTCTGGATTCTTGACATATTATGTTAATATTGCAATATTTTTCGGTACGCCTCTTTTAAATCTCACATCAACACATGCTAATCAAGTCAATCATTCGTAGTCCTTTATGTGTTTTTCAAGATTTTCCTTAAATCAAAAATCATTCCACTAGAGAGCATAAACTTTGAAGCTGAGCTAGACTCAATACGCAGATGGAAGTATACATCCGAGCTCATGAAAGAGGAGCAAAGTCTCGCGAAAAGACTGTGGAATAAAGTTTTCTAATCTTGTCACGGAAACTTTATTTCCGTAGTACCCATAATATATCCTCTATTTCCTGTATTTGTAGTTTTAGCTTATAATGAAAGATATTCGTTGGTTATTGTTCATTGCCTTCACTCATAGACAACAAACTGATTAACTTCGGGTCTGATGATGGTTTTGTACTTCCGGTAAGATTTATGCAATTGAAAGTCTTCAATCGTATATTGCCAACAGACTTATGCTCTTTTGTCCCAGGACTAAAGTTTATGTCTCAAAGTTGGTATGATTTAGTGGACCCATGCGCTTTCAGACATGCTCTCTAAATAGAACTTTGAGAATGCATTCTCATCCATCATTTATCCGAATGATGTCTGTGGGCTAATTTTCTGACGGCCGCCGGTAAAATACACTCTCTGTTGATAGTAGACAACTCACCCATGCCTCAGAGATGCATATCCGTCCTCTACTTGAGCTGAGATGCAGAATTGATCGTCATAATGCAGATTCTCCCCGCACTCCCCCACACGTCGTGCGCGGAACATTCCCCGTGAATTTGAACATGCAATTGGCAAGCGGGAACTATTTCGGCATGTTATCCAATGTTACTTGCATTACCGGTCGTATTTAGGCTAAATGCTATGTTCTCCTCAATATCTCCACTGTCGATGAAAATAATCTTCGATTTGACAACACCAAATCAGGTGATCTGGGAACATATATACTTTCTATTGTCTCATTGAGAAGTGAAGTGTTCATACTCCAAGCATCCATTCAGTTTCTTACTTCAATCGATATTATTTTGTTCATCATGAAGACTTCTAAACTGCTAGGGACCATTGGAATCACTGGTGTTGTTGCACATGAATTCCCAGACTGTGTTAACGGTCCTGTTAGTACCGAATTCCAACAAATTTAATTCTGTAATGTGCTTCTACTTACAAATGACGAACTAGCTGGCCAATAATACAGTGTGTGATATGACTTCAGATCCATACACAAGAGCTGCAGCGGTAAGTAGAAGTCATGAATGTCTCTCAGATCTCGTCATTTTGACATCTCTTAGCTGATATCATTATTTACCTTCGCCGAAAAAGTCAACAATACGGGGAACACAAGCCCTGGAGTTCCAAGGATAGGGCTTCCATCATACGAATGGTATGTCTTTTTAAGGCTTTCTCTATTATCCTGCTAAAATACATTTAAATAGGTGGAATGAAGCACTTCATGGCGTCGCTCGTAGTCCTGGGGCCACTTTTGCAGCTGCTGGTTCCAATTTCTCTTACTCGACGTCGTTTCCTCAACCAATCCTGATGGGAGCTACATTTGACGATGATTTGATTCACAAAGTAGCCACTCAGGTCTCTACAGAAGCAAGAGCTTTCAACAATGCTAATAGATTTGGCCTTAACTTTTGGACTCCTAATATCAACCCCTACAAAGATCCCCGATGGGGTCGTGGTCAGGAAACTCCTGGCGAAGATCCATTTCATACTTCCAGCTATGTGAATGCTCTCATAACTGGACTTCAAGGTGGACTCGATGATCTACCTTACAAGAAAGGAGTAGCAACTTGTAAACATTTTGCAGGTTATGATCTTGAGGAAAGTGATGGAGTTATAAGATATGGATTTGATGCTATTATCAAATCTCAGGATCTCAGAGATTATTATTTGCTCCCCTTTCAGCAATGTGCCAGAGATTCAAATGTTCAAAGCGTCATGTGTAGTTACAACGCAGTAAATGGGGTTCCCACATGTGCGGATGATTGGTTGTTGCAGACACTTCTGCGGGAACACTGGGGGTGGACGGAAGAGGATCAATGGGTAATTGGTATGTCAAACTCTTGTTTCTCCAAGAAGTGCAGAAATGCTAACCAGATTAGGCGACTGTGGTGCCCTCCAATTTATCTGGGATTCTCACAATTACACAATAGCTCCCGAGCAATCAGCCGCAGATGCACTAAATGCAGGGACCGATCTCGATTGTGGTTCCTTCTGGCCAACCTACTTGGAATCAGCATATGAACAAGGTCTCTACAATATATCGACACTTGACAGATCCCTCACTCGTCGCTATGCGTCGCTAGTTCGACTCGGATACTTTGATCCACCATCTATTCAGCCATATCGCCAAATTAGCTGGGATGACGTTTCCACTCCCGCCGCTCAACAACTCGCACTGCAGGCAGCGGAAGATGGAATTGTTCTGCTCAAGAATGACGGACTGCTTCCACTAAAGTCAAATATCACAAATGTAGTATTGATTGGGCCATTGGCTAATGCCACGAAACAAATGCAGGGGAATTACTATGGTAATGCTCCGTACTTACGTTCTCCTTTAATTGCAGCACAGAATGCAGGATTCAAAGTTACGTATGTACAAGGTGCAGATATCGATTCTCAAAATACGACAGAGTTCTCAGCAGCTTTGTCTGCCGCACAAAGTGCTGATCTCGTCATATATGTTGGTGGAATAGATAATTCCATTGAGGCAGAAGAGCTTGTATGTGCCACAGAAATTATAGATGGCTTCATTTAACTAACATTATTGGTGATAGGATCGAACATACATCTCCTGGCCTTCAACTCAACTATCTCTAATCAATCAGCTCGCCAACCTTTCTACTCCTCTCATCATCTCCCAAATGGGCTGCATGGTAGACTCCTCCTCCATCCTCTCAAATCCTGGAGTAAATGCACTACTTTGGGCCGGCTACCCTGGTCAAGATGGTGGAACCGCTATCTTCAACATCCTCACCGGAAAGACAGCACCAGCAGGTCGATTACCCATTACCCAATATCCCAGCAACTACGTGGATCAAGTCAAGATGACCGATATGAATCTACAACCCAGCAGATTCAATCCCGGAAGAACTTACAAATGGTACGCCGGAACTCCCGCTATAGAATACGGATATGGATTGCAGTATACGACATTTGACGTCAAGATTACTCCCCCTTCGTCTAAGAATACTTTTGAAATTTCCAAATTACTCGCAAATGCATCGAATTATAAAGATCTAACACCTTTCCTCACAATCCCCATCACCGTCTCTAACACAGGTACCACAACCTCAGATTATGTGGCTCTTTTCTTCTTGAATGGAACCTTCGGACCAGCACCATACCCCAAGAAATCATTGGTCGCGTATAGAAGGCTTCACGATATTACTGGAGGTGCGGATGCAACTGCGGAAGTAAGTTTGAATCTTGCCAGCTTGGCAAGGGGAGATTGGAATGGAGATTTGATTTTGTATCCAGGTGATTACAAAGTCGTAGTTGATATTGATAGCAAGGATGAGTGGAGTTTCACCTTGACAGGTGAGGAGGCACTTTTGGATAGTTGGCCTGAGAAGAAGGAAAGTATCAAGGTGCAAGATATGGGTGCTAAGGTGGAGTTATGATATGCTACAATGGAGAAGGAGGCTGAAGAGCGCTGAGTCCATAGAGTGTGGTGTCAAGGGATCTACATAACTACGATATGAGCCTATGACAGCAAGGTACAGACCTTTGGCCTTATAAGAGGACCAAATTGTTATTCTGTCACGGAATTCACGGTCCTGTGCAACAACACGTGATTCAACAAGGCACTCCTTAGAATTGCCTACTCCATGATCACCATATCAACTCTTATCCCATTTCATTTGTGAACCCTAATACCTAATTAGGCGATTCCATCGCCCAATCAAGGTATATAAGGTAGGTATGATCCTTATGATCATACCTCAAGTCAATCTAGTTTATTATCACTATACATACCTATTATATGATCAGAGTGACCAATCGACATAGCTATCCCTCCGTGATATATTCTTATAGTTTTAACGACTCACTCATTTAAATTTTTTATATGATTCTAAAGATAGTATAATAAAAGATTTTGATGCCCATACAATTTATCTTTGCCAAAAATTCTTATTCCTATAACGTGGTTTATCAGTATGTGGGCTATATTATTATATGGGCTATTTTCTTTTATATACAAAATTTGTTTGTGTGTAACCGTGTATTTTCTTTATTTAATAATATAATTTTATAAATTTTGAAATTTTGAAATTTAATTATATAATTATTATAAAAATTTAATTTTTTATTAGAAATTTGAATTATTATAATAATTATTAAAAAAATGATTTTTTTGTAACAAAAATTGTAATAATTTCCATTTTTTTTATAATATAATAAGAATATTTATATAAAAGCTAGATTTCTAAAAAACTTATTTTTTAGTATTATTTAATATTCTTTTTTTTATAAAAATAATAATTAATTATTAAAATACGAATATTAAAAAAGATCAAATTTTGGTGTATTTTCAAGTGGCCCACATAATGATATAGCCCGCATGCTGATAAACCACGTTATCTATAAAGCCAATACGGATAAATACTTTGCAGAAATATATACATCAGGTCCAAAATATTAGTAAACCGGATGAATCGAATGAATTGAAATGTTTTAATCATTCAGAGTGTTTTCATATCTTTCCAAAAAAAAAGCACAATATTTCAATATGTGAATCGTTAACATTTGGGTTATTATCATAAATCCTAATTCATACATATCTAAAACTACCGCGAATACATACTTCACAGAAGTATGTAAGATTACACCCACTAATTCCTATGTTCATACTATGTATATGCGTAAGTCTCCGTGTCCTTTCGCGTGTATGTAGGCACCACGGAATATCCCCACCCATAAATGTACAATTCTCTGGAATTTGGAAACAAACCCTAACGCCCTATTCATAATCGTATATCGTAAGAATCATAATTGAAGCAATATACTGCTCCTCGTAATCTCTACCCGAGAGCTTTACCCCTCAACCGCTCACACTACTTTTGCTTAACCAGAAGCGCAAGCAGTAGGAGGGCAATACCCATGATTACAAGAGAAACTGCAAAGACCCAAATAACTATCATCCTCACCAGGCAATGGTCTTCCCGGTGGACTATCGGCTGGAGGTGCTTGAATAGGTGCATCTGCATACTTCGTACACGTGCATGGCCCTGGAGGACAATAAGAATACATGCAACTGAATTCACATAGACCGAGATAGTTTCCGGGACCAGTTCCTTCGACACAGTATTTGATTCCGGTTGGGACTGATGGTGGTGCGCTCGTCTTGATTGTGGTGGTGGAGCTGGAAACGGTGGAAGTTATAATTGTTGTAGGGGCTGGTACAGGAGCGGGGGATACGATAGGAGAGCCGTCCTTGTTGTAAGTACAAGCTGTAGGAGGACAATAACCGTGGTTACAAGTGAAATCACACAAACCAGCGTAGGCCGAAGGATCTTCGCCTGCGAGAGGATAACCAGGTGTGTTGGTGACTGGAGGAGCGGCAACGCCAACTGCAGCGTAGCTGGTACATTTACATGGAGATGGACAGTAACCGAAATTGCATGAGAATTGACATAAGCCGATGAAATTTTCAGCTCCGATTCCTGCGACGCATGTCCCGGATGGTACAGATGAGGTCGTAGAGCTTGTGCTGTTGTGTTTGTGTTAGATATCGAGGACCAATAAGAAAAATAGCAAGGAAAACAGTAAGGAAAACAGTAAGGACAACAGTAAGGAAAAACACTTACGTAGTTGTGGAAGGCTTAGTAGTGGTAGGTGGAGTCGTGACTGGTGGGGTAGTAGTTGGTGGTGTCGTAGTTGGTGGCGTGGTAGTCGAAGGCTTGGTTGTAGTAGGTGGAACAGGAGTTCCTCCTCCAGGTGGTGTAATTGTTGGCCTGATGAAACCAGTTGGTAATGATGGTGTTGCGCTACATGTACTAACATGAAGTCCAGCTGTCAAAGATGCCAAGCCATCGTGAAGCAGTGGACCAGCTGCACTGTCTGGTACAGTTCCGACATATGCGTTGAAGTTATAAATACCACAAATGCAAACATTTGTGACGTCATGACGACTAACAGATTCCAACACAATCTCAGTACCACGTTGAAGGAAGAATTGTTGCTTGCCGACTTGCATATCAACTTGGTACGCTGAAGCACCAGCTGGTGCATTGAACTGTTGAACATTATCTCCGGACATCACTGTAACAATTCCTGGCTCTGTAAGCATCGCAACGACAAATACCGAGTCTTGCATGTCTTCCCAACCGTTTGGTCGACCCTGAAAGTAGTTTCCACTAGCATTATTAGCAGGTACCATCGTGGTATCTGTAGCATCGCAATCAAGAGTTCGTAGATTGGGTCGATACCAATAAATAAGTTGGTCGGAGGTGATATACTTGTTTGGAGAAGAATCACCCGCGTGGTATGCAGCAATATATGGTTTAGCCATATCTAACCAACCATCATGAGGCCTTAAAGTGTCAGTACTTATTTTTCTCAAAACAGAGAATTGTACTTACATATCATTGACCCATTTTGAATTTCCATCGTCAAAATGTAATGAATCCAAGGGACCAATGTAGTGGGACTCGCCATAGTCATTCCAAGTTACAATCTCGATAAACTGGGGCCCGAGGGTTAGAATTTCGTTCCAACGATTAAACCACAAGAGATCGGATGGGAAAATCCAGTTCTTGCTGTAAGGTACTTCCTTCGGAGCTGTTAGTATTGTAATTTATCTCATCAATAAGGAAAACTCACTGGTCCGAAATGAGTGCTGAACCACGGAGAAACCGCTAGTAGTAATGTTAGCTCCCATCTCTCAAATCAGACTGTCTATACATACGTGCGATGTAAGGCTTTCCAGCTAGTGCTTCAATATAGGCGGCATCACCGGCTTCGACAGTGACATTATGAGTAGGAGTAGGTGCCTTGTTATTTCCATCATTGGGCCATCCCTAAGATAAGTTAGATTTGCTTTGCATGAGAGAGGCTGAGTACTCACCAGCCAATTTAAGGCGCCGTCAATAGTGCCGAAGTTGGTTCCCATCTCTGGATGGAAATTGGGTGCGAAGAAAATTGGAATACCCGCTCCAGCTCTTAGCGCAGCAATATCAAGCTGATCACCAGCAAACGAGGAAGCAAATGCCTTGCCCTCAAAGAAAAGCTGCGCTGGTAGAGCTGCGTATTTTGCAATCATTTGTCCAATCTGTGTTGCTTGACTTGATGGATTCCACCAGTTAAAGTCAAAGGAAATAAAAACCTTCATTCCATTATTTGCGGCAGATTGATATGCAAAGGCGAGTTGAGTATCCGTATATGGGTCGACTCCGATATTGAGAGCAAAGGCATCGATACCGAGGGCCTTGGCACGCTGCATATCCGAGTCGTAATCTTGAGGACCTACACGTTCACCTACAATACCAATCTAAATTGTATGTTAGTAAAGCAATAAGATAAGTGGTACTGTACAACTAAGAGGAGATCTTGAAGTTACTTCAATCTCTACTTACCATGAAGTGACAGAAGACAAGTCTGCCATTAGACGGCTCTTTTGGCTCGAGAGAACATGCATGGTGAGATGTTGGAGCTGCAATAGCAAAAGTTGTAGCGAATATCAGCAAAATCGCCTTCCAGAAAAGACTGGCCGAGACCATCGTGTTTCTCAGTACTGTTAAAAGTATTCTGAGTAGATTTATAAAAAGTCGTGATATGGTGATTGACTTTGCTTGTTAGAAAGGTATGTTATGGGTGGAATGGTTGTATAATTGAATGATGAGAAGGACAAAAGCAGGTCCTTTTGTAATTCAAATGTTTTCTCGCATAATGACCGAATCTAAATTAACCGACATGGTAACTTCTCGGTGTTTGTAGAGGTGGCCACGAGAGCACAGAAAGTTATTCACTATCATATTGAATTGACACGCTAAAGATAGATAAATCAGACGCTCCACCACCATTAGGTGAACTGATATGGTCATGAATTCTGTGTAGCGCTGTGAATAATCGAATGAATAACTAATAGCACGCGACTTCCTATATTTCGCCCTATAATAATGTACTAAATGGCGAAGAAGAAAGACTACATCGTAATCTTTGGCGTTTTAGTCGATGTTAAACTTTGAGAATTCCAAACGCGCGTTTCCAGCACCGAGTTCTAGAATGCCACGGACTTCCAAACAGAGCAGATGTTACATGAAATCGTAATAACTGGGAAATTATGGACTGGAAGACAGAAGACGTATCATGCGTACCTACCTCGAGCACTCAATGGTACGGCTAGAACACAATTTGAGGTGGCTTTAAACTTCTTCTGTTAGCTAAGCGATCGGAGAATTCTGTACATGAGGTCCCAGTCTCACGGGAAATAGACTCCGGGTAGCCACACCGTCAGCTTGTCGATATCAACATTAACCTTTGCACCTACATAAATAAGGGTGCACTGAACAAGTTCATCACGCATCCCAACCTGAAATGATGTGGCTCCTTTGTATGGCCACATATCACCCCTGGTGAGATTCCCGCTGGGGAACGCGCTTCCAAGATTGTGGGGTATGAAACACAGTGTTTGTATGGGGAAATCATTCACAACATAATGTGATAGCTTGTCGAGTTGTATTCTTCGATACATATCGCCAACAAGGTCATCGGGCTGAAGCAAGTCATCGAGGTAATGTTTTGACAAGAGAATGATGTCTCTGATGATCACAAGCTCAATTTTCACGGGCCGATTTAAAGTTTGAATCAGACTTCGGCAACACTTCAAACTGAGATTATCGGAGACATCATAGAATTTCGAATCGTATTTAAATCACGGTGGCTGCATCGAGTGTACTACAGTTCGACGACAAGCACACAAAATATCACCGATGAAGCTTGCTTTGTTGCATTTGCCGGGAGGCAGTGAAAAGCATAACATCGGGACCGGCGAATCAAAAGTTCCGAAAAGACGCCTAGACCGTCGGCCATTTCAAATTTGTCTCTCACCTGATCACGTGTAGAGATGATATCTTGTGACCTTTGGAGCACTTATCTTCACCAAGTGTATCCTCCCTTCGATAAGTATCAGCACTTATGCAACTCTGAATATCGGTAGCTTTATTTTTCTCCATCAAGTACTGGAATGTAGCCAGATACCCGAGGTACTTCAGGTTGTTGTATTTATTCTCAGTGAACAAGCCTCAGTCATGTGTGTAATCGTGATGACTACTGTCCTGAACGTGCGCGGCAAGAGAGCAGCTCCGCATGATTCAATTTCAAATCAGGATAAGCTTGGCGAGTCCCGATGTAGTAAGATCTCGGGCCGGATTCAAGAATACGAGTGCCGATCATTGTATGAGCAAGACGTTTAGCCACGTAGGGTCGCATATCTCAGGTACATGAGGATGTTGATCCAAGCAACTTCTACTTCAAGTAGTCGAAGCTTACTCTGACTTGATTGCAATTCAGTCAGCAAACCCTACGGACTAGACAGCCGTCTTGGCTGTACTGAGCCTCATTTGACTTGATGTCGGTTAGGGACTGAATAACGTCATTTCCATGCAATGCTCACAATCTTGGTATGACATGAGATGGAGATCACTGTTGATATACTTAAAATATGAAGTTGTTATGGAAAATTTTATATTTCGCCAGCAACATTCACGATGTATTCATATTTACCATTTATAACCGCACTCCTTGTGCCTTTCATTTCTGCTCAATCCGATTCTGTAGCTAGCAGCGGAACTGGGCCGGGCCCCTCACAAAATGGCTCCTACTTCGAACAATACAACCAACAACCCAACGCTACTGGCAGTGGCCATTTAGTGGGCGCTAATACATCCGAAATCCCACTGTTCCTATCATTTGTCAACTGGGATACACAAATTAATGTCACCGAAGTCCCGTGGACTGGCAATCAAACAGTAACGAACACGGTGATATCACTCAGCGCCTCAGACAATGATTTCCCCGCAAATTTCTCATGGGATACTTGCGTGGTTCTCTTCACAAATGTACCCAGGAATGTGACGGTGAAAGGTCAAGATGATACCGGAGACTGCACAGCCTTGTATTCCGACGATTGTATAAGTAATTTTACGGTTGCGATTCAAGATGCGAGAACAAAGGCTACCTCGAGAAATTCCACAGGTGTTTGTGGGGGTATGTCATTCAATGATATACCAAGCCAGTGTGCAGGGTCAATACTTCTTGGGTCTGTTGCTCAAAGTATGTCTCACTGCCATGCTCAAATCATCAATGGAAGCTAATAAACTTGTACAGACATCACATCAAATCAAACTGATGGTTCAGCTTGGATGTATGAATCCAGTGATCCCCATGATTCGACCAACTTGACCTTTTACGAGGAAGCAGTTACGAAAATTTGGCCAATGATGCTGATTCAAAGTCCGAGCGCTGATGCCAATGGAGGGGCGGGGTTCACGCATGCTGAATTAAGTTGTCTGAGGGCGGAGAATGTTACTAGTGGAAGCAAGGAGGTTGATGGTGTTCCTGGGGCCGGAAATAGATTGGCTCTTGGTGGATGGGCATTATTGCTCGTGACAGGCGCTATGGGGCTTTTGATGTAAGCAGCAGCGGATCATAAGTAAATCATAATAAATTTCAAGCTTTATAAATAACTTCAGCCACGACGGGGTCGGTTAAGAGAATAGTGGGTCTCTCCTAGCCTAATTCTCGCCACAAAATCTGTTTTAAGTGAACAATATTGTCTAGGTCCCGCACACAACATTTGCCCAGGAGCACCTCTGCAATATATTCTACAATTCTCTCGCATCGCGACAAACACCACAAACGTGTAGTTTGGATGAAGCAGCGGTAGTCTTCATCCTTGCGTTAATTCTAGCATCATGCGCATGATTTTTCTTGCCCTGGCTAAGACCAGAACAATTCCTCTCTCTCGGCTTTCTCCTCGATTCGGAAGTACCGAGCTTGCATGAGAAAGGTTTTGGCGGTATATGCATCATCTATAACCCAAGTGAGAAGTATCTAGACTTTGAAACAAGAGATATTAGCTTTGAATGACTTCACTCATCATTTCTTAGATTTTGATTGTTTTCTGGAAAGGGAAGAAAGAATTAGGAACGATTATTCACTGCGTCTAAGAAAAAACTACATTTTTCATTCCTTGTTTGTAAATACAATTCAACAAAAACTTTCACTCTTATAGCAAGGCTATATTTTTGCCTGGGCTCAGATGCACATGTGAATAATTCACATTCCTTCTTCCCAATTTACTACTCTGAATTGACCTACTTACAATAGAATATTATCTTCTCAAAACATCGAATGTTCCCAAGCAGATTTGAAACTCCATATAATACAAAAAAATCCCCCTTTCGGGCTTTTCACATCATAGGTGAGCTTTACAAATCGTTGCAGCAAGAAATGGGCTGGGAATAACCATTAGCGAATGCCAGAAATCGAATCTAGTGTGATAAAAGCTTAAGGAATAATCATAATTCTATGTCGATATTTAGGAAATGATGTGACATCAATTGGTTTTCGATATATGAGAAACCCGTCTCCAATCAAGTGCCAGTCTGATAGGAATTATTGATTGTGCTTTTTTCCGATATTCAATTAGTTCACTGCAGGATTCTCTTGTATATCCTCATTCTTCTACATGATCCCTGAATATAACATGTCATAGTCCATGTACTGATTTCTTCTGGGGTCCACGGATATTCATCCACGTTGTTAAACATAAAATCCTTTCTCCACGCTACAACGAGATTCGAAACAAACATTCTTTTTTCGCAGTATCGATAGTTTTTTCTCGTTGTAGAAGACTATGCGACACGCAGTTCTATTTTGTGATTCAAAGTTTGACTTGCAGTACCTACTCACCAAATCACATCAACGATTTTCATGATCTAACTCATCATTTCTCGAATATATACATACAATCTACGCACTACTACGATAATGTAGGTTAATTACTGAGTAGGAAAAGTATCAATTTTTACTTCTGGTCAGATACTGTCTGCAACTGTCATTGTAGTACGCTCATAATATATTTCTGCTCGTCTCACAAATAGTCTGCAAAAACAATACATACCTACTATTTATAAGCGAGACGTAAATTATGCCCTTGCCCCGCCATCGGGTCAGTGACGGCACGTACATACCTCGCATATTCAACCATAAACCCGATTGAATATTATTTAGATACTATATTCTACAAAGTGATAACATTCCCAGAGAATAATCATTTTGAAAATATTTCGCGGCATTGTCTTCTTGCTTTAGTATATTGGAAGAACAAAGGAAACCCAGTCTAATAAAACAGATACTGCCACATAAGAAGTCGGACCACACAAACTTAGTTCCAATCGTGATGAATTTTGACCAGGGTAACTTCGAGAAAGAAATTTAAACATACATAAAATTCCAATAGCAAAATATCCACACCAAAATGAAACCCAAACGGGAAAAGCTAGCTTGGACTTGAACAAGATAAAGACAAAATAAAAGGGCCTAAGGAAAAACCAGGGCCCAAAGAAATCGTAAATTGAAAGATGAATTAATCTCCCGAGAATCATGAAAAAGTTCAAACTATTTTTCTAAGCCACAAAGAACCATCGGGTAAATACTAGTATTGCCATCACAGACGACCGGTACTTCGCCCCCATTGTCCTGGCAGGACACGGTCGGCTTACCTGGACAGAATACATCACCCACAGCCGACCGCCCCCCGTCATAGTAGCAACCAGCTCCTGCGCTCTTAGAGGGCAGGGAGAACTTTCCTTCAGGATATGGGATAGAACTTGGAAGAGGATCATGACTTGTGATATTTTGGTCCTGGATAGAAACAAGTCCAGTGGTTTGACATGGGTCCACATGACTTAGATTGATATCCGTCAATTTATTGACGTACATGTACCACAGGTTTCCTGTTGACTTCTTTTTATTGTCGTTTTGATGCCAGAAATTCATTTGAAACATTTTTATCGGAGTAGTGGCTTGAATAGCTGGAGTAGTTGTGGATGGAACATAACTTGATGGAACGGCAATTGTTGAAGAGCGAGTAGGTGCGGCGAAAGAAGTGGTTCGTGGTGACGATGTGGTAGAGCTGGATGTGTTGCCACCGTCACCACTCCTAGATACACTGACTTGACTTGTGCTAGAAAGTACTGAGGATTTTGAAAGCGTATTGGAGACAGAAGAAGTGGGCGAAATATGACTTTGAGAAGAAGAAGTGGTGACAGTCGCGGGGGATGACAGCGGGCTACGTAAACCTCAAGTTTGGAAAGTGGAGCTTCGCTCACTCTCCGATTCGGAGATGAAGCTACTTCTAGAGGATGTGCTACTGAAAGAAGAATCTTCTGTGTTTCTGAATCCTGATTTTGTGCTCTTTGCTGTGTGAGAAACAAGGTTGCATTTTCACTCAATGTACCAGGTTGTAACTTTGGATTCGTTTCTGAGAGAGAAGTACTTGAGAACAAAGTGACAGACACTGTGGCCGTCGAAGATATTCCTGAATATGGAATCTCTGAGAGAGTAGGTATACCAAAAAGCAGACTAGTCGATGTGGATGAGTTTGATAACACGCTTTTAGTGTTTGTCAGAATTGGATTTACTCCAGATAAAGAGGAATATCTTGTGGATTGTATCGCGATATTCGATCTCTGCTGGCTTGATGCTGCTGAGGTGCTCGATATGTGCTGAGCTAGCGATACAGAAGATTTTACAGATGTGTAAGAGCTCGCATGGAAGCTTGTTGGCGCAGAAGCCCAAGCTGCAGCGAGCACAGATTGTATGGAAGATTGGATATTGATGAAGTTACTTGGCACCTGATGTATTTTCCAGCTTCCGCTTTCAGATGTGTTGAATGAGATGGTGGACGAGGTTGTTGCAGTTCCAGAACATGCAGTAACTCTTGAGCATATTGTGCTACAGCTTTGAGTACTACCAGCTGAAACCGCACAGGAAGCTACGCATGAAGATACAGCAGAGGCGCTACAGCTTGAAGATTTTAACGAAGATGATGAAGCGGTGGTCGAAATGGATAATTTTGAAGATGATGTAGAAGTCGTTATGAAAGAAGTGGATGTTGTTAAGCTTTTCTCTTCTTCAAGACTGTCTGGGAATGATTCTTGAGGTGGGTAGATTTCCAGTACTAACCACTCCGGTAAAGGCAGCTTAACCCCTTTTACGATAGGAAATACTAGATGGCAGGCATCATCGAGAACCCCATCCACAAGATCACTCCCAAGGTTAAAAAGAGCGCCAAAAAGGCCACCGTGATGAACTTTTGGAAGGGGCTCACAAGGACCATCGGGAATAGTAACTTTGACAAATGGTATTTCAGTATCATCAGTACCTTTCGGATCAGGATTCTTTACCATTAATGTTGGAAAGACTTTTAGATCGGTGATACTTGGAATGTAAAAGGTTGAGGCTGTGAAAATACCGAGTATGTTTTCAGTGGAACTAGGATGATACCTGTCCCAGGATATAGGTAACTATAATTTTATGAGATCAGTACTGAGCTCCATGGATCACAAAGACGCATAGATCTGTATCTTGAACAAATTTGCTTATATTAAAGGTTGCTGTGGGCTTTGGTGTAATTGAGACCTGGCACCAGATTTTATTCACTTCATCTGTAGCGGTGCATGAAGAAAGTGATGGAGAACTATGTGCTGAAATTACAAGTGTGCTTGATTTGATGACGGTGATGAAGCCTCCAGACTTCGTAAAGGTGGTTGTGAAGTCACTGAAATATCCGCTTGTTGGCATATATGACTTCCCGATAGAGATAATTGCAGATGTGGTGTTAGTAGAAGTAAAATTTTCAAAGGCGTCAGGGTTTATCATGGTCGTTGACGTAGACAGTGTTTTCAGAGTAGAAAATGAAGCTATAGTAGATGCCGGTTGGGTCTGGAAGTTGAATGAAGGCACTGTTGTCTCCGATCGATTATTTGGAAGGACCCTTGTAGCAGTGGCTAGGGCGATCGAAGATGACAAAAACATGGATGATGTAGGCAAGATATGCCACCCACCAGAAGTTTTTGTATTAAGATACCACGAGGACAGTAAAGATGTTGCGCTACAGCCAGTGTTCGGCGGAAAAGTTGAACTTGACGAATTTTTCCATAACGGGGACAACGGTGTGAAGGATGATAGGCCATCACTTGCTGAAGCACTTGAATGAGATGTGACTTGCGAGCCCTGATCTCCTCAGATGGAAGCGGTGTTCCATATAAAGAAGAGTCGTTGATATACGTAGCATTGCTGGTCGTAGTAAGGGGGGTCTTTGAAAGATCAGTAGTAGTCCGTGTCACTTGCCTGTCGAGTCTTCCTTTAAGGAGTTTTCTGAAAGCTGCTGGCCTACTTGAAGCAGAGTCTCGAGTCCTTAGTTTACGGGCGGGTGTCCAGTTAGCAAGACTGACTAACAAATTATTCGCAACACTCCCGTCTAGATTCACAGTCCATCCAATGTCCGACATGCTATCGTCACGATTGATACGATTCCCTTGTGTAAGCTGCTGAGCGCCGATACCAAAATAAGCCCAAGAGTCTAGTGAATGTTATTATGTTGAAATGCTATATTGTTGATTGTTTACCTGAGTTTTTGTATGCCAGATGAGGAGCCCCCCCTTCTGCCGCAGGGCTAGCTAGCTGTTCTATATTTTTCCAGCCGTATGGACCAATATCTAGACCGTGTTCCGCTTTACTTACATCTATGATCTTAGCTGTAGCTGATGTAGATAAAGGAACGAAAGGGTCGACTATCACTGGAACTACGTGGGTAAGCTAATAATGGTCTCCACGTTATTAAAAGTTCTTTCCACGGCGAACCATGATGTGGAGGGGAAAATGTTAGTGAATCTGTGCATTTCTATTTTATGAACTGAAACAGCATACCTCGTGTAGCAATGTTGAACAAAGAAATGCAATCATATCTATTTGTTTTTCGGTGATGCTTGAAAGCTTGTCTGCGAACAAGTAGTACCACTTGACGGGGTTGATATTGGAGTGTGTGCGATATTTGGCTGCCGCTTGCTGTTTCGCAAAAATTAGTTGGTGATCCGCTTCGAGAATGAGCGGTAAATTAACTAAACAAAAATATGTGCTCACCTGCTCAAGATACCAAGGGCACAATTGCATTGTTGAAAATGGTAGACCTGAGGAGCTCACTGACTCGGTCAAAGCAGCTACGGGACCCCTATAGTATACTGCTGTTATTGTGGACAATAAATAATTGTAACACATATTGTAATCTTCTTGTGGCATTTTGTCGTTGCTCATGGGCAAATTTGGGTCACCATTTCTATGATTACCATCCGGCTGCTGTACGAGCCGCTTGAGATCGCAGAATATCAACTAAAATTCGTTTAAATTAGCTCATTATGTGTTTCAAATTTTTTGAAGAGCAAGTCTTACCACATCCTCGGGTCCTAAATCCGTCACACCTGGTGTCGCAGGGTTCGGATTCATGAAATTTCCGCTTGGATCTCGCACAGCATAGTTGTTCAATATATAGTCAAAGCCGTCTTATATAAAGCGTATTGAAACTTGGTTATAGAATCTTGATGACGGAGTAAGTGAAATACTTTTGATGTATTGATAGTTATTGGGCCATTTTTTGGAAAGGGTGGTTCGCACAGGGCCAAATATTCTTCCCGCCAAGTCTCTGCTTTCTGTGTCTGGAAAAGCCCAGACATTATCATGCGGATCATTAGCTACTGGTCCCCCAATAGCAGCTGATGCGAACTCTGCCATTTCCATCGCCGCTGGTATGGCTTCATTAAGCATATAGGTGTACGCTATAGGATGTTAGTCTGGAGGGAAATGCTTTAATACATGCGCGGAAGAGATCTTTACGCTGACAAGATGCGGTATCATAATAAATTCTACCTGAGACTTTCACGATTTGAATCAAGAAGGCAAAAAGCAATCTTGATATGTGATAGTTCGCCATGTTACTTGTGACCGGTTCGAAGTGCAATCTCTCTTCTTGGAGAGAACTGGCAAAGTTGCATTGATAACTTAATAGATGAGTAAACTTGAGATAGAGAAAGAATCGGCGGGCTTTTGTTCTGGGACTTTACAAATCAAGTAACTTTATGGGGTTCGAAGAATTTGAGATTCATATTGAGAAACACGGTTCAGCAGCCAACTTCCTAACCAGAAATCTATATTGTTAACCAACATCTATGTGCTCACTCTTCCTTCCTTTAAAGGAGCATTGTTTGTGTAGACCGTTCACAATGTTATTGAGTCTCAGAATATGGTAGCACGCATATGCAATAGGCATCTCAGGATCTCACTTGAGGGTTGAAGTATACCGAAAAGTCACCAACTCTCCTTCAGTTAGAATACGATGTTGTATATTTGAAAAAGCATTTCTTCCGAGCCCATGAGAGCCCAGTCATACCAGAAGGATCTCAGCACAATGAGTGCTTTGAAAGCAATTGGCTTAATCACTTGATCAGACGTGATAAAATTGTCTCCAACTGTACAATCCTGCAACCGCAGTGACGTCTCCAACTGTCACCAACAAACACGAAGTTGCCCACCTCCCCTACATGTCACCCCCAAAATCCTCCAGTCATTTCCATCAAATTGCCAAGGCGCAAATATGCGTATCATGGACAATCCAACTTGTTCGAGTGAATAAGTGATTTTAATTCATGTCATGGGGGCGAAAACATGATATTTTGCCCCATCCTACCTGTCTACCGGGATGAAACAGGTATTTATGGTGACTTCGCAAATGATTATATATTCATAAGACTTCAACCAAAAGATTTCGATATAGGATGTGACGTTAGCTTAGAAATTTGTTACATATCTCCTTTCAGGTGCTTTGGGCTGCACGCAAGCATACATTCTGTGGTAATTACATTCTGAAATAGATAATATAGAGCTTGATTTCGCCGCAAGGCATACCGCAAGTGTTTTGTTTGAATTCATTTTGAGAGAAATTAGTGGTAGAGCCGTAACTGAAAACAATTATCAGCAACCGAAGGAATTTGAAGAGTAAACATGCCACCCTCAGCCCCGTCAGCTAAGGAGGCCTGGCGGAGCCCAAATGTTGGCTGACTGCAACCCAGCGTCTTTAGAGCCCCTGCAATCCCAGGCGTGATGCGTCTGAAACAGGCATAGCCACCATTGCTTAGTCAACATCGTAAGAGGAATTCTAGTCTTCAATTAAATTTGCCTGATGTGAGTTATTGACGTTCTGTTCCTTCAACATCTGTCTTTTTTTCTATCTACATAGTTCGATGTTCTGCAGTTTTGCAGTGAAATTCATTTTGTATACAGTATAGCTGTACTACATCAACTGAGTGGCGCAAGATCATCATCCATGGGACGGCCTCCACACAGATTTACAATTTATCAAAATACCACATCGCAGCTCCTAGCACCCTGTCCAAAGTTCGGAGGACGCAATAACAGAACTTTCATTAATATTTCTTTTTCAAAATGAACAAAGGCAAAATACTCGGCTTCCACATGCTTCGGGATCTGAATTGGCCGTTTGGTCAGGGCTTCCATGCCTGGGGAAGTTTCTTGGCTACGCTAGTTGTTCTTTTTGTGATACTAGTTTGCCTCAGTCCAGTATTCATTATCATGGCTCTCTCCCGACTCAGGAAGGCCGATTGGAATCCAATGTCACGATACCGTAAAAAGAAAAGAAGGGAGAGATTAGAGCAAGTGGGAAGAGAATGGGAAGAAGGGCGAAAAGCAAGGAATAAGAGACGACTTTTCCCGAATATGCTACAGGGAAGAGAGAGAGAGAATGGACTCATTTGGAATGGTGAAGTGGACAAGCAAGACAAAAGTTCGCTTTACAAACTACCGAGAGAAGTAAGAGATTTGATTTGGAAAGAGGCCACAGGTGAATATTTGGTGCATCTGACTTGGTTGGAGGCGTACAGGAGGTTTGATGTTTCCAGGTGCAAAGGCGAAAATGGGAACTGCATCGGATCAGCTTGTCAGGGAGTGAGAAAAGGGAAGGGTGCGAAAGACATGTGGGGAAATGTGGATTTGCTGAGCTATCTGCTGGTTTGTCGCAAAATATAAGCCCCTCGGTGACCTTTGTATTTACTCAGACTGAACCATTCACAGGTATGAGGAGACAATTCTCATAATATATAGGGAGAACTACTTTCAATTCCGCTCTGTCGTACACATACTTCGATTCTCCCTCACCATCCCCCTTCAACAAATGTTCATGATCCAAAAAGCACAATGGGAACAATTTAGGTAGGTGATACCTTGTTCGATGGTTACATAATCCAGATTACTGAACCTAGCAGAAGCCAACCGTCACCCGATGAAAACGATCTCATGTATCGTAAATTTCCACGATGCAAGGGTGTGGACCATGAATGCTATTGTTTAAGGTGCTGGAAAAAAGAAGACTGGCAGAGACATTACCATGATCCATGTTATTCTTCCGACCAGCCGCTTGATGTTGTATGTTTTGTTTGTTGGCCTGAGAATCCTGCATCGCAATTTTGGTATTGAATAGTAGTCTTAAGGTCAACAGCACAACAATACATTTGGATATGTCATTGAGGACAAGAATTATCCTACGGTCATAAGTGGAAGTGGATTGTTAGTTCGCATCGATCATTTCTTATCAGGGTTGGAAAATGTGAGACGTTGATGAACAAGGCTCACTGACTTCGAATGCCCATGGACGTGCTACGTCTGTATGTTAAGTATCATATTCATCGGGAAATCTTTTGACATGAACTATTGACATGGGCTATTACCAGTAATTCAAAGGCATGTTAAGCTAATGTGATCCATTGAATAAAATCCGCACAGTGACTGAAACGCCAAAATTTAACCATAAAATGCAAGACTGATCCTCCGACCTCCAGGCCCATTCGTCTCTCACTTAGCTCTCGCTCTAAACTCAACATAAGGACCATCCTTCATACTCGTAAAACTATCTTTGAGCTGATATTCCTCTTTCCTTCGTCTGCTAACCTCCATATCTTCGCTTCCCTCTCCGACGGTATATCCCTCCGCCATCCTCATCTCATACATGAAAACGACTCTAGCCAAACTAGTCATGAGCTCAACATATGCTACTCCCTTTCCAATACATCCTCTAGGCCCGATGCTGAAAGGACAGAAAGCGCTTTGAGCGAGTGCTACGGAATCTTTTGTGACCTGCGGTGAAGAAGATGGAATCCAACGTTCAGGGATGAAGGTAAAGGGAGATGGGTAGTACGCCGGGTTGTGGTGAATGGCGTAGTGAGGAGTTCCAACTACATAGCCAGCTGGAATATGGAGGCCATCAATGTCGATACCGCCTGGAAGAACTTCACGGGGAAGAATGCCACCGACAGGTGGCGATAGACGCATTGATTCATCAACGACTGCTCGGAGGTACGCGCAACTATTGAGTGTGGGACTTGAATGGATTTCTTCGACATCAGAGAATGTGGACATGATTTCTTTTGTAAGAATCTCCAATTTATCAGGATTATGAACCAGATAGAAGAAAGCAGCAGAAAGAGCTGTGGAAGTGGTATCAGACCCAGCAATGATGAGTAAATTGCTCTCGCCCCAGAGTTCTGGTGTTGTGAATCCTTGTCCTGTCTCTGCATCGCGAGCATTGAGCAAATAGTAGAAGAAATCCTTTCTGTCAGTATCAAGTCCGATCTTGGTTCTTTCGGCGGCTTGAGCTCTGCTGTATGCCATATACTTCATTCTTTGGGCATAGATCTTACGGAAAAGAATCTTGCTCAAGCCAATGGTCTTGATTATCGGATATGTACCCGTCTGATAAGTTAGTAATTAGTTTGTAGTGTGCCTAGAGACATGGATTTTGTACTTACAATCAAGTGAGTGTGAGCAGCGTTTCCAATGAGATCAATCACGTGACGATTTGAAGCATTTTCCAACATCTCAAATGCTTTACCGAAACAAAGATCGCCCATGACGTCGAACGTCAGGTAGTTACACCAATCGGACATGTTCTGAGCAACGCTCCACCCGCCAGTCGACTTCTCTGCTGATGCTTTTGGTTGACCCAGATTGGTACAGAAAGTTCTGACATTGGCCAAAATATACTTTTCCATAGTCTTAATTGCATTGTCTGAGAACGCATGGGACAGAACTCTTCTTTTTCTGGCATGACTAGCTTTGTCGATGCTGCTGTGAGTGTTGAAAGTATCCTTGGTTGGAGGAAAGACCGAGTAGAATTGGGACTTCTTGACATTCGACTTGTGGCCATAGATAGTTTTCAAAGCCGTGTTGGAATTGATTGAAAGGCTATCAGGTCCATATCGAAACACCGGACCTTGAAAATTAGCATCACCCAGCTCTTTGTACAAATGAAATTGCTTACCATATTTTTCATGGCATCTGTAGAACTCGAGATGCCTGTCGCCTTTCCATGCGTGGTATACTGAGTACCAATCCGTAATCTGAGCCAAGAACGGACCAGGATATTTTGCGAGAGGATGAAATGTCAGACGATAAATCGTGAGAATGGTGAGCTACGATGCGGTCAGCTTGAATTACTTGCATCATGCAAGGGAAACTTACGTATACCGCGGAGATAGCTGTTGCAAATGCTAGAGCCCAAAAAGTTCCGCTTAGGATAAAAGACGTTGATGGAAGTTCCATCATAGCCGCGAATGTGTGTTGCTGTGCAGAATAATGACTTTCAAAGTTGTTGTAATTGTAACTTAAGTATTACTCACATGCAGCTACAGCAATGCTTTCTTTATAGATCACGAGATGTGCTGAATTGGTTTAAGTGCATTCACTGTATTGATCTCATGCATTCATCAACTATGATCCTGCGTACGAGTGATGCTCAATGATTGTGAAGAATCAAGAAATAGTCATGAAGTAATCATGAAGAAAGAAACATTATGAGGTGTACCAATTGACATAAGAAGGTAACACAATAATCGACACTGTACGGAACCTTCCCGGCTGAGGTACCACTAATGTATGGTTCACCCGTGATTTCTCTTGGTCTGTCCGACGATAACCGAGAAACATATCAAACGATCTAACAAAGGGACATGAAACTACTGCACCCACAATCCATGAACACGGATTTCTCCCGCACGTTGAGGTTTGATGCCGTAATTGTGTAGTACAAAGCCGAAGGAAACCTTGAACTGCCATAATGCGGGGATCCTGGGGTTCCAAGGTTGTCTTTACGTAGAAGGTGCGGGTGCGAATATGTCCTGCGAATTAATAATAGGAAGAAGCTAGTCTTAATATAGTTGCTTTTGCGAGAATCTAGTACCTGGCAAACGTTTGGAAGACATAATATTAGCGTCAAGCAACAAAAAATATCCAAGAGATTGGAAATTGCTGGATGAAGTTTGGACCAAAAGGGTTGTGGGGAAATTGACGAATACATTTCCTCTGCGGGGAATCAAATTAGTCAGCGACAATTTCTTCGCATGCTGTGGAGAGCGAGGATCCTCCACAATAACGCTACCCCATAGGGATTTCACATCGAGATAATTTCCGATCGAAAGACAAGCCCAGCAGCCCTAGGATAAATTTGGAAGGATTCAGCAACGATATAAAAAACATCAAAGCGACCCTAGCATAGATTATATAAAGGATACGCTCGCTCCTCGGACTCTCCTCCATAATTACCTCGGTACCGCCCCTTCATTTCGTATGAGCCGAGACTTCTCCAGACAACCACAACATATGTTTCAAAACGTGTCTCATTAGAACACGACAACTACAAAAGAAATATTTTGTTGCACGTCTGCGACAGCTGTCAAATAATCAAAAGTGGGTTTTAGTGGGCGGATTTATCGTTTGTTGCACATCTGTGACAGCTGTCAGACGTGTCAATTGTAGAGTGGGGTTTCGCAGGTGATGATTGAAGTTATCCCCAAAAATAGTTTTTGCCGCAAAATCATTCAAATCTCACATCCAAGCGATAGAGGAGAGTTTCAATAGGCAATCCTAGTAAACAGGCTTTCATTGTATTCTTAAAGCTCCATTTCATACCGCAACAACGGTGTCTAGTCTATCCCAATATTTCCAAACCCCAAACACCTCATCAATCATCCATCGTATATAATTCTTTATGGTAGGCAATAACCACCATCACAAATGATATCAGTTCCAGTACAGTAGCTTGAAGCATCACTGGCGAGGAAAAGGAATGCACCCTTCAACTCATGAGCCTCTCCTTCTCTACCCATAGGAATCTTATCCTTCCAAGTAGCCTTTGTTTCAGGTGGACAGAATTCAGAAATCTCAGTTGCAATGTAACCAGGGGAAACGGTATTGGAGCGCGCAAATCCAACCCATTCCACTGCGAGAGATTTACCTGTGATTCAATTAGCATTTCGTAAGTAGGAAATTGGAACGTATACGAACATAAATGGATGACACCAGCCTTTGCAGCATTGTATGCAGCTTGCAACTGGGGAATATTGACAATGTGGCCACTCATACTTGCGGTTGCCACAAAGCTTCCATACTTGAATCCCTCCAGTTTCTTTCCGTCAAGAGTGGTACCCTCTTTCTTTTGTCTGCGCCAATGCTGGCCTGCAGCACGAGCACAGTAGAATGTTCCATCTAAATCTGTTGTTACAACCTTCTTGTAATGATCCAGTTCTCCGTCAAGGGCAGGACCTTGAATCCAGGGAATTCCAGAGTTTGCGATAAAGATATCGAGACGACCATTGAGATCAGTTACAGCAGTGTTGACAGCCTGTTCCACGGCTTCGTATGAGGTAACATTAACTTGGTATGCTTTGCCTATTTGTTCGCATGGCGGTTAGCAATGGTTGCGAGATAAACCTGGCTGGTCCCAGTAAGTACGAGTACTCACAAGTGACACCATATTCCTTCTCAATTTTCTCTGCCTCTTGAATAGCCTTCTTGTTGCTATTGTACCAAATGGCGACATTAGCTCCAGCTTCCGCGAGCGCATGCGCGACGGCGAGTCCGATACCCGCGCCTGCACCAGATACGATGGCAGTTCGTCCTTTCAGTGAAAACATGGGAAGCACCTTGGAAGTATAGGTGGGAGCCTCGGTGAGGTTGTGCTTAAACTTGCCATCATTCATTGCTTCGCCGGCCATTTTTGAGATTTGAGGTGTTTTTGTTTGAAAAAATGTGGACGGTGGTGATTTGTACTGAGGAGCAGCAGAGTTGATGAGATGAACTTGCGTTTTGAGAGCGAGCACAGGTGGCAGATACGGAAGTAGATATGGAGGAAGCTATTCACATGCGTGGATATTGGGGTCGCACGGTAGACATGTTGTATCAGCATGTGCCATCTTAGCAAGGAAGATTGTCAGGGCATGGGTGGAGCGATCGTGCGAGATATATGCATTGTAGGGTGTGTCGACCAATTATCACACAGCTGAAAGTGGGAGGAGGGGTAGTGAATGCCGCTTTTGTCCGTCACTGTACAGTAGTAGACAGTAGTTGATACATCTCGCCATTCTGAAAGGTGTCATCATCGAAAAAAGCTTTTGCGGATGACCTCAATATGGAGATTCCGCCGGTAGAGGTAATTGGAAGAGCGATGTTGATGTCATGTTTGTTAATAAGAACAAATGATGGGATTTCTTCGGAGTTGTTTACCCCTGAGGCTAACCCCACATTGCCGTTTTTACATTCTCTCTTCAAGGTTAGCGTTGTTCTGCGATCATGCATTTAATTCTCCGCACATTATCACTTCTTCGTATCACGACTGAATTCAGTTATAATTTTGTCTCCAGGTTTGGAAAAGGCAGGTGTGAAGAAATTTTCGCATCCCACCGATCAGCTCAGGACCTCATATTGTGTCTAAAACATCCGGTCGTTGCAGCCAGGTAACGCGACAAACATAGCTCTTCTCAACCGAAGCATCGTAAAATGTTCTTTGATACTTGCTGAAGAACGAAAAGTATTTGGGGTGAACAGAGAACACCAAAAAGGAATTGATAACACTCGCGATGTAGAATGAGACGAAGTGGAAGAAGGGCATGAAGTGTAGTATGGTCAGTGCATGCAACTCAAGCGAGAGTTTTGCTCCTGCATTAGTACCAACAGTTGGATAGCACTTTCTGAAGAAGTACTACAGAGACTAGCAACGCTTAGCTTGGAAACATGCGGCGTGGTCCATCTACAATCTTTTGTCAAGGCTTTATCTGCCCGGTAGTCCGATATCAGTATAGAAGCAATACCGCACTTGATAAGTGCAAGAAACAGCGTATGGAACCACATCGTAGTGCTTTTCTTCACGTTGGTAACTTCCGATAAAAGAAACTACAGAACATGCACAACAAAAGAGTTCCTTGAGATGAGAAAAGATGCTACCGGGAATTTGGTCCTAGAAAGTGGTGCTAGTAAGGAGGACTGGTATAACAAATCACGGAGGGGAACATTCTTCATAAACCCAATCTCACAAAAATGCGACTTGTCCACGCCTCTCACATGCGAAGCTACAGGCCTAGCAGTGCTCATTCGTGCTCATGGTACTCGTTATAATCACTGCAAGTGATTGAATTATCAGTATCGGGTTCGTCGACGAGTGATTTCAGGATGAAATTACTGCCATGGGAAACTCTAAGATAGGAAACAAAGCTACTTTTCATCTGTCAACCCAAACAGAAGGAAATCAATCTAGGGGACTTCGAGAAACACTCGGAACATTTTAATGATCACAACGGCTGGATAAAGTGTAGCGATGTTAATGAATTATGTCTGTCTAATCCCATCAATGTTGATGCTTACCGGATTGTTGAGCGTGTCTCTACGAGAGCCTGGTTGGGGAACAATAGAAGACTTGAATTCTTACGCTGGAATCTTAAATCACTGGTTATTTTAATTTCAATTAACTGTATTTATGCTATATGCACATAGCCTATGTTAATGATTCTGCCCTTTCGACCTCACCATTTCCATCACTCTAGTTTGCCGGTACCTTTCTTGGAGATTCCCAGATCTACTAATATAACAGTATGAGACTCCTTAAATTCTCACTAATTAACCGAAGTCCTCTCTCCCTCCTACATCTTCTCAACACTTCCACCATATCGCAAATGAGCAATCAGGTGATACTTCCAGATTCCGCTGTACATTGTAGACAAAAATCCAGAATGTGACCCACATCCTCACCCCCACCTGCCCCGCGACCCCACACCCATGAAACCACACCAGACTCCCCCAAACGAGAAGCTCCGACGCCGCCTCGAGGCCGCTCCGCCCTACCATGAGCCATCCGAGCATTTGTCTACTCCGCCCCGAATAGACACGTCATATCCGAGCACTATACACCGCTGGATAGAAACGATTTTCGATATTACGGCCCGAATACATTCACATAACGCCGCAGAGCGTGCATTTGTTTCGTAATCTATGACATTTTAGCTCCCGTGTCCTTTAACATGTCGTATTTCTATTCTCTGAATCCCTGAAAGTTTTGGCTTCTTTTGCGCAAATCATTGCGACAACCGTCGATCTGCTCTTCAGACGATTTGCGGCCCTTACGAAGCGTTGGAGCGAACGTTCAATCCACGCTGAATCTCTGCCTTTCGGATATACAGAGTGCTTCATCATTATGTACATCTCCTGAAGCTTCAATTCGACTTTCATAGACTTTCCAAATAAGTGCGATGGATTGATCTCAGCGTAGCTATGATGCTTGAAGCGATAGAATGATAGGGTTTGATGAAATTCTAGGAACCATTCGATAGTCGCAAAGGAGGTCAAAAATTGCAGCGTAGTCCTGTGATCACCGGCTGTTACTCTCACAGCCGAGCCGTTTATTCGCATCTTGTACATAGTCACTTCGGCATTCTCAAGTCGCCTGTCAACCAAATCCAGATACAAATAAAGTCCTTGGCACTCGCGTCAAGGAACGCTTTCTAAAAGAGCCAAGTGCCAGATAAAGGTTTTCCGTCAACGACATTCCGCCTCTATAACATTCTCGACTGCGAGGCATGCAGAGTGGCATGGAGACGAGGGAATAGTGACAATTACCTGAATAGGAATGGTACTTGGACGCAAGTGAAGGTGCTTCGATGATATGCATATCTTTCTATAGTCTTCATGGACCAACAGGCCTTTTCCCGTCAGAGTAGAGTTGCTAATAGATTTTGACTAATAAAGCGTTTATTCGCACGTGCAGGGTCATCGAAGATTCATGATACACAAGAAACCGTGGTCTGAGCGAAGCTGATCTCATACTCGAACACGTGTTGTGGCAACTCACCTCTTGAATATGGTGAACGCTCGGTCGAGCTTAAACAAGGAAAGCAGATATTCTTGAGTCTTGCGTAGCATATTCTGCTCAGCATTTTCCCAGGTGGCGCAATCTATAGGAATAAGAGATGGTAAGTGACAGTATAGCCGCTCGTAAGGAGACGCAAGTTCATTGGATAGTTGTATTCCAATGACTTTATAGCAATGTGATTTTGGTGATGGATAGTAGTGATTGCCATGACCTCATTTATATACTAGAAACCAATCCCTAAACAACCTGCGCTCAAGCTTATTGGGAAATCATTTGTTCTGCTGACATGCCATCATCTCCTAGCACTTTAGCCTTCTGCAAAGTAGCCACAGTCTTTTGGATAACTGCTAAATCAACATTCTTTGTGGCACTTGCAAATCTGACTGTCTTCAACCATTCCTCTGCGTCCTCCTCGCTGTAATCCAAAGAAGTGCTGATATACTCCACCGCCTCAGCCTGGTTGTTTTCGAAATATCTAACTCCCTTGTCAATTTTCTCAAACAAATCGTCCAGCCTCTTATCTTCCGTGTTTTGAAGGACTTTTGTGCTGGCAACAATTTTCCAACTGCTCCATGGCGTATATATTTCCCCGATACGCTTGATCTCTCCATTATCGTAGTATCGTTTGGAGGTGAAATGTTCCCACATGAAGAAATCCACTGTACTATCGTTTACACCATTGCGTAATTTCTCGAAAGTTTGTAAAGGAACCACCTCGAATGGTCCCTCTGGTGATTGATTCTCGTTGAGCCACCCTTGCTCATCTGCAAGAACGAACCCCATCACATAGCTCCCACTCCCGATTCTTGAGACTCCAATTTTGCCATTCTTCAGATGTGCGATGCTATTCAATGGTCTGTTTGCGCCGGTTGAGATTGCCCAGCCTATTTTCATTCAATCAATCTATCTGTATCATGCTTATAACAGAGGCGCCTGAGGAAAGGAAAGACCTACACAACGGTGTTTCAACATAAGTCCCGACAATTCTATATCCTCCATCTCCTTCGACATCAGATTTCCCCAATCCAGCTACCCAACCTTCAGTGAGACCAATACCCACATCGATTTCTCCCGACCGTATAGATGTAATCATATGCCCAGTTCCAGATGGGAATGGGATCAATTCGGCTTCAAGACCGAAATGCTTTTGCGCAAAGTGAAGAGGGGTGGAGAAGTGCTCGGGGACGTATCCAATCTTCAGGGGGGTTTGAGTCGCGGACATGATTGGGAGCTAATTTCAGTCGCAAGTTTATTGAGGTATAATGAGTATCTTTTGATGGAGCCTCGATTAATACGTAGCGATATAGTGAAGTGATAGAGAATAGTAAATGAGCTCAAGACGGATTTGGAACGGGTATTCACCGGCATGGCGGGGTAAGTTATAGTGATCATTGCGACGCTAGAAGTTTCAGGTCTCAATTTTAGCGTGATTTCTCAGCCACACCTCCAGACCGCCACAACCTTCCATTGTCTCCGGGGATCCCAACCATCTTCGAGCTGTACCTTATCTCTTCCCCACGATTTAACTCAACAACCTAAACATCATGGCTTCAGCTACTGCGCAGCGTCGTCTTCTTCAGGAATATCGCGCCCTTACAAATAATCCACCAGACGGTATTACCGCAGGTCCGGTGACAGAGGATGACTTACTTTGCTGGGAGGCCTTAATAGAAGGACCAGAGGGTACACCATTCGAAGGGGGAGTGTTCGCTGCCGAGTTGCAGTTTCCCAAAGACTATCCACTTTCTCCGCCGAGTATGAGGTTTCTTGGGGAAGTTTGGCACCCCAATGGTATGTTCTCCTTCCTTTTTTCTTTACTCCGACATCAACGATGTCCGATCGTAGCTTGGAGAGTGCAATACTGATACGTGCTATTATTAGTCTACCCCAGCGGTCTTGTCTGTATATCTATTCTTCATCCGGCCGGAGACGATCCGAACCACTATGAACATGCATCGGAGCGATGGTCACCTATACAAAGTGTCGAGAAAATCTTAATAAGTGTGATGAGTATGTTAGCAGAACCAAATGATGAGAGTCCGGCAAACGTGGAAGCTGCAAAGCAATGGAGAGAAAATAGGGCGGAATATGAACAGAAGGTCCGCGACGGTTGTAGGAGAATGCTAGGATTGTAAGACCGTCCGTGAATGAGGTCTTGAATTCTATATTCATTGATTTGGAAGAGACCGGGCTATATATACTGGCCCATGTAAGGAGTCACAGGTCACTTAGGGTAGACGCTTTACTTCCCCAAGCCACTCTCAAAATCGCATGGCTTGTAACATAAGACTAGGGTTGAACTACATACACAGAATACTTAACACGGAAACGGAGTTTTGGAAGCGTATCGAACTACGTATCATTCGATACTAGGTGATAGGTCAAAAACGCGGGCTATACAACATGGAAATATGAGCATCATTCAGATCAATTAGCAACATTATTATGGGCTTGAAAAACGTTCTACGCCTTTAAAAGTCCAGAAGGTTCAAGGTGAAGAATATTATGTGGCCCAGTATAGAAGTCTTTGCTTGGCACGTTCCCGAGTATAAGTATTTGTACCTTAGCTGTTACCATTGCCAAGTCTAACAAGTCATTCCCCTTTCGCTGGGTCTCGTGTTTTGATGGCCGAACAGCCTCAAAGTCGCGACTCTGAGCTATTCGTACGAATCAAAACCAGGCGGAATTTGACCATTTTGAGCTTGTCTTAAGTATCACTCACTTATTGAACTTTTAATTCAAGTCACGATCCATATTGAAATCTAAGAAATTCAAACGAAATTTGAGTCTATTTTATATTGATAATTAAAGTTTTTAATATCCAATATTATATCAACAAGATATCTGAATTGTTGAAGTTCTCTCAAGTGGTAGTCAACTCCCGCCTTCATTTAGCTGATGTAATAGAGGCTACCTCCTACAAAGCTACTCTCGCTACTTCAACGACGCTTGTTAATTCAAAAGTAGAGATACAAGGCATGGAAAGAATGAGAGGAGAATCTAGAGCAAAAATTCTGGAGTAGCGAATCAGATGATAGCGCTAGAATTTCTCTATAAGCGTGCAATATATTTAGGTCCCATGAATTGTAAAATGTATCTGGATCAGAAAAAGCTACTCAGTTAGCTACCATCTGTTGTGCGCTTTCCCTAACTGTTGGCGCTCACGAGACTCACTCTCACAAGTTCTCGAGTTAGTTGATGGTGTGGGTGCAATTTATTGGACATGAAACAGAAATTACGAATATTCGAAAAACCACCTAACAATTCTGAAAGTTTCTCTTCTCCCGTTCTAGATAAGCCCTGCCGGTGTATCATTGACAGGTCCTGCTTGAAGGGAGGCGTGAGATTGTCTCGGTTGCAGGGTGCCATTGGCATCTAATTTTACGACTTTTTCTTGAATCTGTGTCTAATCAGCAACCAATCCAACATCTTGTGTACACTTTACTGTGACTTAGTTATGCAAGTCAGACTCAGTTTATCCACGAAGTTCGCCTCAGCTGTGTTCTATTGATCTTTTCATATTCAAGATTTCTCCTTATCACCTTGTTATTCTCTATGTGATTGTTCATCAATAAATATCGACATGAGTTTTGGTTTTGGTATAGGCGATATCCTCGCGGTGATCGAGCTTGCTAAGAAAATACGAAAAGATTTCGTCGATGCCCCAAGTCAATTTAATGATATTTCGCTCGAGTAGGTGGATCTGTTTACGATTTGAATCAAAAAGCTTATTGAAATCTGCAGGGTGCGAAGTCTCTCCATTGTACTTCAGGATATCGAAGATGAGTTTTCATTGCCAGACCTCAATGCCGAGCAGAAGAGTGAACTCAAAGAAATAATTTTCGGTTGTCGAGATGTTCTTGAGAAGTTGCAACAAACGTTGAGCACGTATGGCGAATTTAAGTCTGACTCTAGAGGATGTAAGGCAAAAAGAATTTGGAAACGATTTCACTGGGAGCCTGATGACATGAAAAACAGCGCAGACCAGTTTCATGAGCGACAAGATGATCGGGAACTTAACAAGAAATCTTTAGCGATTTTGAATTGGCTTACCCCAATCAACCATGCATCTCAACAGCATGATTACATCACGCAACGGCAAGTAGATACAGGACAATGGCTTCTAGATTCGCCAGTGTTCATAGAATGGGTAAATTCTGATAAGCAGAAATTGTTCTGTCCAGGTATCCTGGTGCAGGCAAAACGATACTAACATCGATTGTTGTTGAAGAACTCATGAACCGCTTCCGAAACGACAAAGACGTTGGAATTGCGTACTTATACTGCAACTTCCGACGCCAACATGACCAAAAGATTGATGACTTGCTATTGAGCCTTCCCAAGCAACTCTCTGGATACCAGCCTTTAATGCCAGGAGCGGTGAAAGATATGTTTGACCTACACTCACGCAGGCAGACACGCCCATCAACTGAAGAAGTTTCGAGCACCCTCAAGTCTATAATCAATTCATATTCCAAGGTTTTTATTGTTGTCGATGCTCTCGACGAGTGTCAAATGGCCGATGGTTGCCGAATGAAGTTTCTATCAGAAGTTTTTCACCTCCACGAAACATGCCAACTAAGTCTTTTTGCTACCTCAAGATATATTCCGGATATCGAAAAAAGGTTTGATAGCTCTATGCGGTTGGAAATTCGAGCCAGTGATAAAGATGTGGAGAGATACTTAGATGGTCGCATTTCGCAGTTACCTGGATATGTACGGCAGAGCACAGACTTACAAAATGAGATCAAAATCGGAATTATTAAAGCAGTTGATGGAATGTATGTGATCCATCCTAATTCTAGGGGATAGTGCTTACCCATTTACTTTCAAGGTTTCTGCTTGCTCGACTTAATTTCGATTCATTAAGAGGAAAAAAGTCTCCAAAGGCAATGCGGAAAGCTTTGAATAGTCTCCCAACTGGATTCGATGCATATAGAGATGCATATAAAGATGCTATGGAGAGAATTGAAGGACAGCTGGATGATGAGAGAGACCTTGCAAAGCAGGTTCTTTCGTGGATTATTTGTGCAAAAAGGCCTCTCACAACAGCAGAACTTCAGGAAGCTATTGCAGTAGAGATTGACGAGACAGAGCTTGACCAAGAAAACTTTACTGAAATCAACACAATGATTTCTGTATGTGCTGGACTGGTGACTGTTGATGAAGAAAGCAAAATAATTCGCTTAGTCCATTATACTACACAAGAATACTTCGAGCGGACACGAGACGATTGGTTTCCTAACGCTGAAACCTTTATCGCTACAATTTGCGTTACATATTTATCATTCGAAACTTTCAATGCCTGTTCTTATTCAATCTACAGAGACCCCGCGGAGCGGGCACGGTCGGATAACTTTTCGTCGTATGCTGCACGATTTTGGGGGCTCCACGCTGGCAAGGCTTCAATTTCAGAAAAGACATTAGAGCATGCGCTTCTAAGATTTCTCGAAGACCAAGCAAAGGTCAACACATCATGGCAGTTGATTGATTCTGGGGATTTACCAGAATTATATGTCGGCCAGGGCTCAAGACCCGAGTTTTCAACCTTTTCCCTCAACCAGTTCATTAGTAGAGGAAAGACAGCAATGCATATAACAGCGTTCTTTGGAATTGAAAATGTTCTACAACTGTTGCTTTCTACGGGCAAATTTGAAGTCGATTCAATAGATGTTTGTGGCGGAAGATTGAAACAGGGTCGAACGCCACTTTCTTATGCGGCGGAGAACGGGCACTAGAATGTAGTGAAACTCTTGCTTGATACAGGCAAAGCCGATGTCAATATCAAAGATGACATGGGTAGGACGCCACTCTCCCGGGCGGCTGCGAGCGGGAACGAGAATGTGGTAAAGCTTTTGCTTGATATAGATGAAGTCGATGTCACTTCTGAAGATCAATTTCATCAGACGCCATTCCTTTATGCGGCCAGCAAAGGGTACGAGAAGGTGGTAAAGCTTTTGCTTGGTACAGGCAAAGTCGATGTCAATTTCAAAGATAGCGGAGGTCAGACGCCGTTCTATTGGGCGGCTGAGAAGGGGCACGAGAAGGTGGTAAGACTTTTGCTTGACATAGACGAAGTCGAGATAGATACAATTGGTCCGCTTGATACAACACCGCTGTTAGGTGCTGTTCGCAACGGATGTGAATCAATAGTAAAGCGACTACTCAATACAGGGGCAGTAAATATCAATCGAATTAATTACGAGCACCGAACTCCAATCACATATGCTGCTGAAAGAGGTTTTAATTCTATAGTAAAGCTGTTTCTCAACACAAATTCAGTTGATGTCAATGTTGTTGATAGTTATCACCGAACACCTATCTCCTATGCTGCTCAGTTCGGTAGCGAATCGATAGTAAAGCTACTTCTTGATACAGGGAAAATTGAGATCGGCTACCACGATGACAGGGGTCTAACACCATTTTCCTATGCTTGTGTTGAGAGAAGTGAAGGCATAATGAAGTTGCTGCTCGATACAGGTAAAGTTGATATCAATCACAAAGATAAAAACGGTATGACACCATTCTGGCTGGCAGCTTTTGCAGGCTGTGAGGCAGTTGTAAAGCGAATTCTTAGTACAAACAAAATCGATCTCAAATGCCAAATGGACTGTTGGTTGTGTCCAGAGAATGAATGGTGGTATCATGATGAAAAAGCGAAATTTTTGGTCAAGATATACGCCAATATGAAGATGGATATTCCCCTTGTAGTAGAAGAGAGTATTCGAAAGCGGTTGCCAGAGATCTTGAAAGGTACTTGAGGGTTTCTTCATGGAGAGTTGAGGAGTGCTGCTTATGAGCGGATGGTGTTAATCAGCTGGATTGACATTTCACTTATATTTAACAAACGCTGCATTTAAAAATTCAATTTATTCATCATCTGAGAGGCTAACATCTTTGTATTTACATTATCAAAACAAGGCCCTTTGAGAAAACAGACTAATATCTATCGCGAGATGATAATAGTATGATGTGATAAGCTTTTTACTAGATTTAATCAAGTCTACTTTGCTTGAACTTTCTGTTGCCTATCAAAGGCCGCCGTTTTGCTTGCCCCAATCTATCAAGCCATGGCATCTAATATATATTACGGTCGTAATTGGTTGATGATGTTCGCCATTTAGCGCGGTTTCCTTTCCCGTGTTAGCTGGTACCATATCGAACATGCTAAGACAATGAAAAATATATGGTATCCATTATGAAAGCTTCGATCAAAGACATCAAAAAGGAAAGTCGGACATAGACACAAGAGCTCCGGAAAGGCAGGCCAATGATAAATAGCAAATGTAGCGCATTCAAACATAGGACACACTAAGTTGCATGCAGGATAAATTGAGACGACTAATCTGAATAATATTATGCGCAGCGTACAAGTTTATGATAGCATACTAAGCAGAAACTCAAGTATTGATTCATGAAATTGGCGCATTAGAATCACCGGACCATCCATGTCGAGATTCTTTTTTTCCTACAGTTTTATCCAGCGAGCATGTTGAAATACCCGCAGAGCCTACATTGAGAGTCAGTCACACCCTGCCCGAGCATTTTAGGAGGTGCATCGCTTGTCCTCCTCCCAACATAGCAGGAGGAATCATCACTCCGTATTGACACCATTCTTCCTGATGCTTTTGTAATATTTGCCCGTTTGGTTTATGTTCATTTATCAATCAACCTTACTTGCACAGGGTTCTTGAAAATTCGTGGGAGAAAATCTTAAAAGGCTGGTGCTTGATCGAAACCAACAGACGTGAGTTACGAGATGTGGGAATCGTGCGTTGATCGAAATACCTGCGTATCGAATCTTAAATTGAAAATCATGAGACTTTAAAGAAGACTGTATATATCTAGTACTCCGCAGCAGGAGATTGTATGTTAATCACCATAACAGATTCACTGTGGTCACGTACACCAAAGATGGATATTTGGAGCGAAATTTATCATACGATCAACTAAGACCACACAATCACTTCCTCCCAGTTTTCAATACTTTCGAACAAAGCAAAATATCGACGTTCTCTCTAATTCAATACAACGAATAAATAGCTTTTGTAGCGGTCTCCTAAATAGGAGTTTTTCAAAATGTCCTTTCAGTCTGAAGAATCTCACTTGGCGAATTTATCCAGCACACCCTTCAATTCTGTGCCCGGCCCACTCGAGGAGTTCACCCCATTCTCTGGATTACCTTTAGAATTAAGACGCAAGATCTGGGGATTCGCAGCTCTATCCCACCCAAGAATCTTTGAACTGGTATGGTGCAGCTTTGAAAATGACCTTCATCAGTTATTCAAAGTTTCGAAAGAGGCCAATCGTGTCCCGCCAATCATGGAAGTCAACAGAGAGGCGCGTCAAGAAGGTATGCGGATCTTCGAAAAGCGAGTATTCAACAATTGCGACATCAATATTGAGAGTCCTTTCAAACCTGAAGGAGAAAAGCCTCAGTGTACATGGTTCAATCCCGATCTCGATACGATCTACTTTGGCGAAAATACATGTGTTCGAACAGTTGCATACTTCCTTGATTTGTGCTGGTATACGAAACTTCCAAAGATTGCTTTCGCAGTTAACAGACATGTTCAGGTCTCCTGCGATTGTGATTGGTACCCTGAAAACTGGAACTCTGAAGACTGGAGGCCCGCCAACGATATGTTACCATGTCTTCAAATTCTTCATGGCAAGCCTAGGAAAGACGCAAACTCCTCCATGTTCCCAGGCTCACCTAGCACTACGGAAGTCTATATCGTTATTCCATCTCTTGTCTACAAATTTGCAGCAGGCGAAATGACAAATACGGCCACTTTACGAAGTTCCCTTCATGAGGATCTTTGTGTGGGCGGTCCACGACCAGGTTCATTATGGGCCATGCAAATGAGGAGAATTCGATCCGGTGTGTACGGATGTGGAACAAGCAGATGGACGAATGGCAGTGGTCCTGATTTCAAGTTTGCTTCTTTCGGACCAAGCATTAAGGATGGAAAGGGAAAGAGACTCAGGCACCATGGATATACCATATGTGATAAAAAATTCGAAAAGATCACTATGGGAACATTTCTCGAGGATTTGAAAATTCGCATTGGTGTTGATATACGGATTGGTGTTTGGAGCCACTCTGAAAATTTCCCTACCTGTTATAATCAGGTGAACGAAGTTGGGCTTTTCAATGAAACAGATGAGGGTATCAAAGAATGCGAAGCCGAAATTTGGGCTCACTGTGTAAGTCAAACCATCAAGCTCTATCGTAATTTCAACTAATAATTCTTAGCACAATGAGAAATGCAAATGAACCCGGGTGTAGCCAATCATGTACTCTAGTCATTTGTTGGCAGACTTTGAGGCTCTGATATAATTGCTCATATGTATTTATAGGCATCGCGAGATCACTTCTATGAATTTTCAATGCATTGATGAATTTTGAAACTCTCGAAAATATACGAAAGTGATTATATGTGATGTGGAACACCTTAAAAATCTGAAGAAATAAGAGATTGAACTAGGATATAATGCCAATCAAATGTATATCCGGACTACTGTAATATTCCTCAATGTAGTCCATCAACTGAAATACCCTTACATGACACTAACAATAATCCTGGTGAAGAATTGACAATGGTTTATCCCCTAGAATGTTATTCTGATAGACTGGATCTTACAGTAGAGAAATAAATAGAATATTCTGATGAACATGTTTCTATGATTCTCCCTCTGAACTATAAAAGATTGGTAAAATATAAAATCAATCACATTTGAGTATGCACCATGGCATTGGACACACAATAAGCCAAATGAGCATTAATCATTGATTGAAGAAGAGAAGTCTTTCAGCCACTCTATGACTCCACATTGAACTAAACTATTATAGTACTTCACAATTGTTTATGGATTAGTTGTGCATTATTAGCCGGGCTAAAGCAATTTTAGTCATATGAACAGCACAAGAAAACCAGGTTTTCATTCGACATCTTAGATCTTGAGAAACGTTCAGCAGCCATGATTGATAACATAGAAAACAAACACAAGCATCTTGACATCTCCTCGTGCAATCCACTCATGCAAATGGTGAATGATATGTGAGCCAGAGGAAGCACGTGAAAATTTGTAATGAATGACGCGTTCAAAAGATTACAGCACGCTTATCTTTTGCTGGAATTGTATAATCTAGTCCTTACCCGGTCCCTACCATGTATTCAAGAAGTATTCACCGTCCGCATGGTAGCCATCAATTCGATTATTCAATAAATATATCTCCACACTATTCGAATGATTAGATTCACCTTCGAAAATCCATATCTTAGCCAATGAAACACTTACAAATGGACTAGTACTACATAAACAACCGAGATTCAATACAGTCGAAACAATAGCCAGCCGTATGAAAACTCGCTAACATGAACATAGCATTACTAGCATCATTTTTCCAGTCTCCCAAAGTAATAAAGGCTTCTTCTTACATCGTCTACTCTCCTAAAAAAATCATCATAGTTTCAGTTCGACTTCTCCAGATCTTCTTACTCTTGATTAGAAAAGAACATCCAAGACTTCAAAAGACAGACACTTTCTCCAACTTCCTTTTGAAAACTTTCTACAACCCCATTTTACTTTTGAGAACTTCCCACGAGAAGTTATATCAAGCAACACTCCAAAAGATCAAGTTAGACATAAAGTTTTAAGACATAAAGTTTTACGACATGTCTTTCAATAAACACCTTTCCAACCCATCCCGACCGGCACCAAGAGGTGCAGGACAAACAAACGGCAGTGGAGGTCAGGGTGGACCATCCACTGGATCTGCTCCCACTGAGGGACAGAGCCAGATCCAGTCCACTAATCTAGCAACCGCCACTAACAACGGCGGTTTATCACAAGTATGTATTTCTTCTCTCAATTTTCTCAGCTCTGATCACCATAGCCCCTTGTCCAGAGATCAAACTGACAGCTTTCAGAACACAGAAGCTCCTGTCCCAGTAGCTGCCCCCAGGGGCAAAGGCAAGGGTAAGAAGAACAAGTGGGCAAAGGTCAACTTGAATGACATTGCCCCAATGGCAGGCCCCTCCATTTCCGCACAGCCAAGCATCAAGGGTAGAGGCCCAAACAAGAAGGAGCAATCCTTTGGTCTTCTTGTGGAAGACAATGTTGAAACATCTCGTCGTCATGAGGGTCCTCATCGCGGTGTCAACATCGACGGAGAATCACTTGGCGAGATTGCCGATTGCTTGAAGAAGCTTGATCTAGAGAAGGCTAGGTACGTACATGCTTCTTATTCTCACATCACATGATATTTCCCTTTCACCCGCATCAGTACTAACAATACATCAGTAAGCCTTTGACTGAGTTTACAATCTTTTCCAAGCTCACTCCTGAGCTTCGATACAAGATCTGGAACATCGCAGCACGTTCCTCACCTCGCATTCTCGAAGTCGTGTTGCATCCAGACTTTCCCTGTCCACCAAATGGCGAACCGGACTATATCGATAGTTCCGATCCCAATGACTTAAGAAATCACAATCATGGCACATGGCACGTCTCCAAGCCTGGTCAGAAAGTTCCGGCGATCTTGCAAGCCACGCAAGAATCCCGTGCTGAAGCCCAACGAGTATATGAGAAGCGATATCTCAATAACTTTCCGGCTAATTATCCATATCGCCAGAATGAAGAGCGTCCCTGGACATACTATAACCCTTATGTCGACGTCCTTTTCTTTGGTGACGGGGTGTGCATTCTGACACTCGTCAACTTCTTCCGCTGCCATTCCGAGGAAATCTTCCCTCGGTTAGCTTTCCGATGTGTCAACTTCATCGGTACTTGTAAGTACAAATGTACTTACGACACCTGGGAATGGCCTCAAGGCGAGGATGAGTATGCCTGCATTTGCGGAGCCGGCATTGGCGGCGGTGGAATCGATGTGATGGGCATCCTTCACGGAAAAGACATGACAATTGCCCGGAACTCATTAGTTCCTGGAGTCCCGAGTGTGGAGGAAGTGTTCTTTGTTGTCAAGACAGAGTGCATGAAATTCCCGGCTGGACAAATGCCCAGCACCCTGACCTTCCGACCAGCAATTCACAACGGTCTGACACAGAGTCAGCAGCAGAAGAGAACGGACTTCGAAGCCGAAGTTGTCAAGGCTCGGGCCGGAGAAGGCGTTCGTGCCTGTGGGGCCAACAGATGGAACGACAAGCTTCCAGATTTCAGCTTCGTCTCCTTGGCTCCTTCATTGAAAGATGGAAAGGGCAAAATTCTTCAACACGACGCGGTCCAGGTGCCAACTGAGCACATGGGCAAGTTAACCTATCGGAGCAACGAGTTCCTCAACGAATTGGCGGTCAAGGCCAATCTCGAAATCGTGCCTGCTCCAAAGGCTTACGTTGGCGAGAAGAATCGGGAGATCGGCCTGTATAATGGCACTGAGAAGGGCATCGAATTGGCAAAGGAAGAAATCCAGAAGCAATTGGTATGTTGAATAGCCCTTGAAATGCTAGTAGATTGATGTTGACATATAACACAGCTTAAGGATTTCAACGCAAATCGACGTGGTCCCAATCATCAAGGTGGTAACGAAAATCGCGGTGGTTCTTGTGGCCGTGGAGGATATGGTGGTCGCCGAGGTCGCGGTCAATAGATTGATCGGGCGGCAGATGGGGGGTTGGGGGCTCAGAATGATATATCGGCGTTGAAGTGGAGGGAATCCGAACAATTCTGAGCATTGATGGACATGGTTTTTTGATGATGGCTTTTAACCTTCTATCTCTTAATCTCTTGTAGGTAATTAGCCGTTTCTTTGTATGGCTCAGTGATTTTTTATAAGTAGCATACAATATTATATTATATCAGCTATCCGCAATTGATTGATGTCAATGCTCTCCGAAAATTGAGATTGCAACTTACCTAGACGATTGCCTTCCACAGTTGAACTTTGCAAGTCTCTCACAGCATTCGAATGATTTAGGCAATGCTCAAAGAGCCTGTGTATGATAAGGGCATGGGAAGTCCGACTTTATGTCTGTGCGCGTGTCTATATCCAAAGCAAATAACGCTTGTTAAACGCTTATTCAATTTCTATTTCTATATCCCAATTTTGTATACATAGGTGGTAAACCTTTTACAAGTCGCAGTTATTCCAATCCGCAAATTCCCTGTCAAATAAAGTCAGTCAACAAGTATTGCAAGACTAAAAGAACATCTTACCACTCTTCTCTGCCTAAAGTCATCATACAGCCCCTCCCAGATATCTCTTCCTCTACAATCATCTCCATCCGGCACCGCATCACACGTCGGCCCCTTTCCGATCCATTCCATGTCATTCAATTGCCACGGTTTCTTCAAAGGCCAATCACTGAAATGAACAAACTTTGACTTTCGGAACACTTGCAATGGATTCCATACATCAGTTTCATGACCTTTCCCCCAGAAGCCTCTATGTTTATCGACAGGTCTTCTGAATTCTCCTGTGAGAAGTGAGTATATTTGATGATCTATCAAGCCACAGGAGTCTTTTTGTTGTGTGAGGACAGAGTTAATGATGTCCATATCGTAGATGCCCACACGGGCTTTTTTGACCTCACTTTCAAGCCGTAAGAATTCTGTTGTTGACGGCTTGATGAGCATGATGTGGGATGCTAATTGAGGGACACCTTCAGAATCAAGCCAGTACGCTCGTGGTGCAAGGAGTTGCGTTGAGTCTGACATTGGAGCAAGGAACAATTCATCCATGGACTTCAAAACAATTGAATCGGAATCCAGAACGAGAAGTCTCTCGTGAGATGTCTGGTTGAAAGCTAGGAGTTTGGTATAACTCTCCGCCCATTCATCTATTATGCATTAGCGTTCATGATCTCACATTTTAATGCAGAGTAAGAATCAGATTTGTTACCCTGGCTACCATGTTTGTGCTTCAAAATTTCCACATTTTTCAATTCCACTTTGTATTCATCTCTCGCTTGGATCAGCATCTCAGTGATGATATCCAGACCCTTCCCATTGACATCCTCAATCCATTCATCTCTCCACAATTGTGGATATATTAATACTCTTTCCGCTTTGCTTCCTAGCGTTTTTAGCGACTCAAACAACATCAATGCATTACACAAATGGTCTTGAGAGGTTGCATATGTAATGTAAGCATATTTATTCCACTCAATACCTGTCTCCTCGCCCGTCAGGGGCTCCACAACAACCGGAGCCTGTTTCAAGCATGCAGGAGTTTTGTACTGAAGATGTAATTCTTTTGCTTTACGTGTCCCATGAGGAAGTAATAAGAGTATAATGAGTCCACAAATAACGATGGGTATAGTTGTTCGAACAGGTCTTGACCGAAGTATTTGCGCGATACTCGGTTTGGCTGCTTTAAGAGGGGGTGGCTCGTCGATATCAAGATTCATGACTGGAAGATAAGGTGAATTTTGCAAGAAATCTGGAAGATCGCGTGGTGCTTGATGGGACATGCTCGATTAAGCCCAAAGAAATCCCCAAAGACGTAGAGAGATATAGCCAAAATGAGAACTGTTATATCACGTGATAGGTATCAGAAATGCAAGATCCGTGAGTCCAAATCAAGAAAATATCGATCTGCCACTGTCAGTGTAGTAGTTCCTGCGTTCTGAGTTGATGTAACAAACAGAAACTGCAAAGCAAAATTGTTCTCAATAGCCAAAAAAATCTAATCCTCACAGGATCACAAACTTTACTAAGGCGTAAATTCCGAATGACAATCGAGCAAGCGGCCAAAACACAATATTAACAATGATTGATGCCGGAAATATTTAAATGTGCGCCCGATAAGATGAAATATTCAGCAGACCTCACAATACAAGAAGAAAATTGATAAAGGGACTGTCGTGGAATCAATAGGACACGTCAAATGGTGCTGGCTGTGGAGATGATTATTTTCGGACTTTAGTGCTTACTAAGTTGAAGGCTTGGCCTTCTTGATAGGATAGGGGTATCACGGGACTCCAACAACGACAGCATCACTGATTGAAAGTGCGATTGTCAAATGCTGGACGGTTCATGATTAAGTGATGCTATAAATTTCTATAGGATGGCTTAGAGATTGCATAACGATTGTTTGATTTCCTACACCGCTAGCCGCTATAAATGAATGCTCTACAGAATTCGGAATACTCGCATGCAAATTCGAGGTTTGGCGAACTTCATTTCATGTCCAAGCCTGAAAAAGTCGACAAGATCGCACGCATTCTCAAATACACTAATGCCCCTATCCAGCCCACTTCACCCCAACCTTAACACCGTTTCCACTCTCCACGCTCAATTTCATCTCCTCTACCCACTCCGCAACTTCGTCCCTACACTCCACCCCTTCCCACTCCTGTACCAATCTCGCAAGCACATATGCCATCTCCGTTAACCCCAGATTTCTTCCCGCACACATTCTAGTTCCACCTCCAAATGGTAAATAATTCCATCCTGGCCTCAGATGTTCCCAACGTTCTGGTCTGAACGCTTCGGGATCTGGTTGATAACAAGGTGCCAGGCGATGGAATACCCAACTATTGGGTGTAATGAGAGTACCGGCTTTGACGAGAATCGGGGATGTTCCTGGAGGGCCGCCACCGCGAGGGAGAATGGTATCGCAAACTGCTCCACGGGTTATGGTTGGGGCTATGGGAGTGAGACGGAGAGCTGTCATTTATGTCAGCATTATGGTCTCCTTTGTTCTCTTCATCGAACGGGGTAAAAGGGGAATAAAGTATGAAGAGAAAACCTACTCTCGTTAACAACCCATTGTAGATATCTCATCCCTTTAAACTCTCAAACGTTAATTCTTCATCCTTCTCCCTGTGTTCCAATACCTCTTTCCTCAATTTCTCCCAAACCTTCTGATTCCTACATAACCAAAAGATTGCATTCCCAACTCCAATAGCCGTAGCTTCATGACCTGCCAAGAATACCTGCAAAGTTTGATTCCGGAGCTCTCGACGATCATCTGTTTCCTTGGCCATTTCGTGAAGGAGAATATAGCGATGGTTTACTTCTTCTTCATCTTCTTCGTCGCTTGAACTCGACGGATCTGGATTCGTGAGTGATTTTTTGGAAGCTAAAAATTCTCGGCGAAGCTCGAGTGCCTTGTCAATATGTGCATCGACGAATTTATGAACGGCGCGTCTTTCTTTTTTATCCCAACGGTCTTGATATAAGAATGACAAGGTACGGAGCTGAGATCGGATACTGATGCCTCGTTGAGCATGGTGGAAAGCGTTGAGAAATTTATGAGATTCAGAAGATTCATCAGAAGACTCATCTAAAGCATTGACAGATTCGCCAAAGATGAACTCTGTGGATGTGGCTAGGAACTGTTTTTATCGGGTTAAAAGATTGATCCTTGATGAGGGGTACGACATAGGCAGGAGTTCGACTAACCAGGTCATCAAGCAACGAACTCAGGTTTACGGTTTTTCCATCTCTCGGTATAAATTTCAGGAATTTTTGAAGATGTATCTCGAATGCAGGAAAGTTGGCCACGTTGAACCTTGTAAAGGTAGGTCGTATCAACGCTCGGGAGTGTTCCCAGAAAGGCCCGTCAGTGCTAAATACGCCATCTCCTAGAAGTGGATGGAAAGCTTTTTTTCTCAGATGATAAACCCCATAATCCTTGAAGTTTGTACTATAATACGTTTGAAGATTCTGAGGGTCGATGGTAAAGATGGTAGTTGTACCGATAGACTTCTCGGTGTACGTGCTTCCGAGTTCCTTGTGATGATTCATGATAGATTCGAGATGTGTATGACTTTTGATATTCTTCATTTTGTTCAGGAAAAGATCAATACCAAAGGGATATTGAGATGGTCTCTTGGGGGGTTCTTCGCAATCATTTTCCCTCATAAATTGCTTTCGTCTGGCTCTGAGTCTTGCGGCATCAACCAGATAGCAGACTAAAAGGATACTCAAGAAGGCTCCACCAAAATCCGAGAGGTAACCCATCGTCAAAGCAATACGCTTCTATTCAATTTTGACTGAAGTGCCAGTTCGAGTGATGAATAGAAAAACACAGAAGTATCATTATGTGCGAGGTACCTACAAGTGAAGCAAAGGCAGTGCAATTATTATCGGTATGAAAGCTCCTCTTCTTACATCATGATTCTGCATGTTGGTGGCGTATTCATATCCGCTGGAGCGATTCCAAATGATGTTGGTGAGATACTGGACACCTAACACAGCGAGCAATAATTTTATCGGATTCAGCCAACTGTTAGATCAATGTACCCACTGATGTTGGTTCGAATATTAACGGCAGCTTACATCCCAACAATCCTGGTCAATTTTATCTGCCGTCAATCGCTTCCATTAAAAAGAAGTTCCTCGAGTTCCAGATCAGCACCATGTTTTTTTTTGTACAGTCCATTGATAATCCGTGGATGATACTCCTGAAGTATAAATCACATGCAGCACCGAAAGACATTTATCTTATCTGCTTGATGTTGGTACCTGTCAAATTGGAATTTCTTTGAATGACACCCAGAGACTATCTTGGTATTATCAAAGTAATCGTTCAAATTCTCGCCAAACTGCCACGGCGAAGATTTTCCGCCCCAGTACTCTGGATGATGTTCGGTTCAAACCAAGACCAGTCGCTCTCACGCTGCCCCAATCCAGTGTGATTATGACCGCGATCCATCGTAACAATCAATCAATGCAATTGATGAGGATCTCAATTGAAATCGCACAAGAAGAACGAAAGTTTCAATCACTCAGGAACTTCCTCGCAAGTGCCATTAGAATGATATCCTGCTATGAGGAACCTAGTCTTCTCGTGCATCTTAGAGAAATGCAGAGACTATTGCCACAAGCAGAGAGCGAGAGCAAGATCTGCTTGTTGGCGTTCTGGGTACCCAAGGAGTTATGAGGAATTATATTTAACAAAAGCTCCGGAACCACTGGATCGTAGCAGATGATTGTACGGCAGTTTATATATCATGCTAATTCCATGACCAACCATTATGCCTCAAAACGAATGCCAAAAAAGACATGTTGCATATCTGAAAATTCCGATTTCCGACAAAGTATAATAAACTTCCACCAACGGTCATTATTCGGGACCGATAAAACATAACGTTCACCACTATAATTCGAAACCCCGTCACAACTGTCATGAAACCGACCTAGCGGCTATCCGAAAAGTATAAAGAAAAAGACTTTTTGTTGCATATCTTAAATCGGTATCGGTATTTCCGCCAATACCTATTTCCGCCCACTAGATACGATGGTTTGTTACGATGCGGATATAGCTTGGACTTGTAGATACTACCACGAGCTAAGAAGTGGACGAAACGGAGATGATGTTGTCGCTTCGACGAGAGTCGGTATCTGGGAAACTATTCGATATACTTGCGGAAATTGGAATTCTACTCTATTCCGCAAGGTAGGTTCTGTATTCCGGTGGGCTTTCGGAAAATTGTTGAGTAGAAATCCGATATCAAATCAGACATGGCACCATGTCTAAAATTCCGTATCAACGGAATTTAACAAACAAAGTAATTTCATCTTTCAACCTGGGAATCTCGCAATTTTGACTATACCCACCAGCCAAGAAACAAATCCCACCTATAGACATCATTTAAAATCTTTTGTTGCAAGTCTAGGAAATTTCAAATTCCGTGAATATCTGCCGAGACTCCTTCATGCGATGAATTGGGATCTTTGTTGTCAAGAATCAGGCGAGATATCGCCAGATAATGTTTAGTTAGCTGATAGCGGAAACCCCGTCGATAACACTTGGATGAACATTGTGGCGGTTCTAGCTGTTCGTACCCACATACTGCACTTCTGAAACTCCTTCCGCTATAAATGTTTTCGTTGCACGTCGTAAAACCGCCACATTCCGCAGCATCTGTGTTAGATTCTGGAATGAATGGTTAGGAAGATGCTAATGTATGAATAGTCCGTATGTGTTGGTGGAATTGTTGGATGGACGGTATCTCGGGGAATTAAGAGGAGGAATTCTAGACCTAAAAGACGGAAAGCGGCCCTATGAGATCCGCCATCAGACAATTTTGTTGCACATCGTAAAATACGATATTCCGAAACCGATAGCGATAGCGATATTCCCGCAGATTGATTCAGTGAGGAAGAGGAACGATACAGACGAAGGTGGTTAGAGTCTGGGAAAAGTGTATAGAATGATACTGTCTAGCAAATTGTTCTGGGCTTGTTTCTTAGCGATCTACTATTGTGACATGATCTACTAATAAATCCTCAAGGTTTCATTCCACGAAACTCGCACTTCCGCAAGAATATCACCGTATCTACTTCGTACTCGCACAGCTCATCGGAAAATCCAACAACACTTAGATTCTCCCGAATACAACCCGTCGGAAGAACGAACTCAAGCCCGCCACCATCTTGGAGGGAATGGATCTTTTTCCGTCACCATTCGGGAATACTTTTTCATAGTTACGTATATTACGCCCCGTTCAGAGGATAGTGGTACGTATATTAGATGTTTTTGATGGAACCGGCGATTTCGGAATTTGACAAACATCAAAATCGCCGGGGAGTTATAGCGTCGGAGACAAGCTAATTGCTTGAGCGGAGCGGTAGCTAACACATTCATCGTATTTCGTATCTTAAATATTCCGCACTCCGTCGGGAATTGAGGGTGAAAGCCATGCCTATGGAGTTATAGCATTAATTGTATGTCACTGCTGCGTACGAAACTACCAGGTAGCATCTAGTACAAACTGTTGTCACTTTCCGAAATCCATCTCATTCAGCTCGCAGAACTTGCCAACGGAAGATCCATTCCGTCGGTGGATACAGCGAATGATTCTAATCCGGGTCATTACGATTCACAAGTGCTTTTCATCATTCTGTTGCATGTCTTTAAAGATCCGAAAATCCGAAAATCCGAACATTAGGTGGTTGAGACATCAGAATCTCTCGCGATACTAGTTGATGTTGAGGTTGTTGTCGTTGTTGAGCCAAGTAGCAACACAATATCACACTAACTGACTCTGAAGCTCCGAAACCCCTTCATTTGATCTCGCCAATCCAGTCACCAGATTTATCACCAACGCAACAAATCAACTCATCCAAAAGATAAACACCGAAAACAATCTCTAATGTTGCACATCTAAATATCGCCGAATTTCAAATCTTCGGCGAAAACTTCAGTCTCCAATTCTTTACCTCCGAAAATTCGGCGCTCTAATCACTCCATTCCCACGGAAAACATCGTGATATTATCCTGAATTACATATTCGATCATCATGATTGGAAGCCATAGATTCATGATTATTTTGTTGCATATCTACTATATCCGAATTGGACCGGTCGCCGACTTCTGATTATTCCAAATCAAAAATTGACAATTTGTAACTGTTGGGTTGGGTTGAGTTGTTGTTGTGGTGTGGTGCCAGCAGCTCGCCTCCTTCGCACAGTGCTGATTTACTAGCCTAATATGCTGGCACGCACTTACATTGCAGGAAACCCGCATCGACCGAACCTCCGTCCATATCTACTTACTGAGTAATGTCCGCAAACACTTCTTCGCACATCATGCCATGGAATTAACAACCACCATCCAACTCCACCAACACAACTGATGCCAAAGTGAAGTTCAGCATATTAAACCAATCATCTAATTTTCCAATACATTTGTTGCATGTCTCTCTAAACTCCGAGATCCGTTCTTTCCATATTTTCGGACTTCATTTTACTGTTTTACTACAATGGTTATTTCCTTTGGTGTCTCTAAAGCTAACCCAATGCACCCCTTTAAACATGGTGACATTCAAATCGCTCTAACCATAAGACCGACTCGGAGCTCGCTTGATTTATCCTCCGCCTGTCTTCAATCAACATCCGAATATCTTCCTAACGAAGCAACCTTATTTCCTTCTCATTTCTTTGGATCATTGGACAAGATGCCGTCCCAAAGTCCTCAAGAATCATCTGTTGCACATCTACACAAACTCCGAGCCGGCGGACATTACCTTTCTTGCTCTTTACATCGCTGAAACTGTACGTGATTCGGAGACAAGTCTCAAGAGTTCGGCGATACAACATGATTTCGGAGACCGAACATTGGCGTTCCTTCCCCTCTTCTGGATATCCAACAAATCAACTATTGGTATTTTCCGAAGTATGCCATGAGACATCGGGCATTGTGTTGGAGACCTACTAATTCGGTAAGGTGAAGAGAGATAAAAAGAGTTTGTTGCATATCTATGTAACTCGGAAGCAATAAGGTTCGGAGCTGATATTACCCCGACTAGATGGGACTGACTAGAACATTTTCGATTTCGGGTTTGGAGAGTTGTTAAACGACTACGGAATAAAGTCCGATATCCATAATATGCATAGTTGACGAGCTGAGATAGAAGACCTGAGCTTGAAGATCTTGGTCGATCAAAGAGAACATGGCCAATCGTAAAGCGGACATTACGTTTCATCCGCAGAGCCGCATTAGTTCATCTCATTGGCCCCACAACGCGTTCATTTCGTACTTCCAATAGACATATTACAACACTGCATTTATATGTATCAAATGTTGCACATCTGAGAAATCCCGCAGCTTTGCTGTCAGATCCGCCATATCCGCAAGGTTCGGTTGGTCACCTCGTGCGGATCTAGATCTCATCTGATCTTCAGTTTGTGAGACTCAGGTAGATCTTGGCTTGAGCAGAGTACCAAATGCGGGGCAACAGGGATTGAGGGTTTCCCAGCTTCTTACTATTCCAGAAGTAGCGCAATGCACCTCGACGTATACACAAAGAAAGCGAAACATCCATCATGTATACGAGAGGTTTTGGAGACAGGAACGTTTGTTGCATGTCTATAAAATACCGAGATCCCGGATGTAGTCAACAGAGTCAGTGACTGCATTGATTAGTAGAGATGTGGAGTTTCAGCTCGACACTGTTCATTCTCTCGGATAATGGGCAGAACGGCGGATACATGGACAACGGAGCAAGCAAAATAAGCAAAACGTTATTCCCATAGCATGACATTCTAGACTTCTTGGTATACCTACTTGGTACACCTCACCTGATTTCTAACCCAATTCTAGCCACACCATGGACCGCCAAGTTCCAACACGTATTTCCAGACGATTTGTTGCACATCTGACAAACTCCGAGATCTCGGATATAGGAATCTGGTCATGTTTGGCTTTATCTACGGAGTTGAAGCAAAACTGCTCTTATTGCCAGACCACTCTTCTCCGTTCGAGCGGAGATTCGCGGACATTTCCTCGGCGGTGGAAAAAGCTGGTCAAGTCCCCCCTGTCCTAGTCACTCAGAAAATCAATTTACAAAATGAGGATCCTCCATATCGAATTCTGCAATACCCTGTGTTTGCTTTGACCTATAGTCAAGTCTTATTACAGTCATTGAAGGCTGGAGATACCTTCGGATCAATAGACAACCCGTGTGTTCCCACCGGAGATAAAGGACATGTTCTTAACTTGTCTAGACAGATGAAGCATTTGCGTCTATGAAAACGAAACATGCATTCCCAATAAACAAGTTACTAAATAGATAGCAAATCCTGAGATCCGCGACGTATAAACACGCTGTAATAAGCATCCGGAGTCTCCCCCCTCCCTTCCCCAGGCCAAAGTGACCAAGACAGAAAAAATTCACCAACGACAAGTATCTCCCCCGAGCCTATCAATTAAACAAACCACGACTCGGGAGATGTTATTGCATATATTACCATATCCAAGCTCCTGGTACTCTCATCGTTTCCACGAGTTGATGGAGTACATCACCGAGTCTGCTGGAGTGTCATAAATATTTGTGGAATTTTATGCATCCCGACCCAAAAATGGAGAATACTCCCCAGGCCTGCCAATCGTAAGAATAGATAGATCGAAAAGAATACTTTGTTGCACATCTGCTTGTTCCCGAAATCCTAGGCCTCCAATACATTTTCATGAACGAACGGGAATTTCTCACCGAGTCCGCTGGAGCATTACACATATTTCCCGACGGAGGAACTTTCCAAGTCTACCAATCGTACAGACAAATACCTAGGAAAAGTATGTATTTTGTTGCATATCTGAAATCATTCCCGAGATGCTAAAACTCTGATCATTTCCCATAGGTGAACGGGGTCTGCTTGCATAGCATGGAGTATCCACGGATATCACACATCTCCCAACAGAGGAATTTCCGTGCCTGCCAATCATAAAACCAAATATAGGAGAAAGACTTTTTGTTGCACATCTGTATGTCGCTGAACTCCTGAAGCTTTGATATTTTCCTTGGATCAACGGAGGATATCGCCGACTCCGCTGGTGTTACATGGGAAACCCACGACCATGCCAAGTCTCCTGGAGGGTTAAAAATGTCCAGGTCTACCAATGACAATGCCGGATGAGGAAATCAAGTTATGTTGTTGCATGTTTAATGATCCTCAAGATATTGCAATCTCCATCGCGTGCTCAACTGGGGTATGCGAAGTTCATAGCCGATGTCGAGTGCAGTTGATGCTTCATACAGAATTTTCATGTGTAAATGATGGAGTTCGGCGGATAAACTCTCCGTATATGCTAATTGGAAATCCAAATAGACAGAGATGATATTTTGTTGCACATCTAACGGTGACCGAAGTCTCGGGGTAGCAAATCTCGCTGCACCATAAAAGTCCGTGGCTTGTGATGGTGGTTCAGGTGGTAATGATGCAAATGCATTGAAACGCAGTATCTCGGCGGAGAAAGGGGGATACGTCAAGATCACGAGCAATGGCATGCTACCTCACCAATCAAGTGAGTGGGTGAAAGGCAATGAGGAGAATGAAGAGTTTGTTGCGTATCTCCAGCCTCCGAGACTTCGGCCGTAGGATGAGGGAGTGTGAGGTGCCGCCAAAAATAGAAATAAGCATGAAAGTTTATTCTGATGCTGAATATGCGATGCTGAAATCAACCTCTTTTTAGTCGTGAGAAGAGCCTCTGTTAAGGTATTGTAACTTAATGGTGTAACTTGATGGTGCATGCTTCTCAGAATGAACAGATTAGTTTGGTACCTTATTATCCATTGTTCATCATTAACCCCAATGTAGTTTCTTCCAAGTACATGTAGACGTTCAAGCTGAAAAGAAAGGGTTATGGGGTATGAAAGATCACAGTTATGTTAATGGATCAACTGGACAGGTGAAATAGGCTGTTGAACGAAGAAGCTTTATAATTTTCTTATTTCCTATATCCATATGACGCCGCCTAATCGATATCATCTATTTGTTCTCAACATTAAGTCAATCCCATCATTTTTAGTTCCTCAACCACTCCCTCTTAACCACTGCTAATTCCTCTTTCAGCCACTCTGCCTCCCCCTTCTCTTCATCCATAGACCCATCAAACCCATGTTCCATCCCCTCCCTCCAAACACCCGTCACTCTATCCTCTCCAAATTTCTTTCCATAAATCTCCACCCACTCCTTGGTATCTTCCCATGGAACAGCGGTATCCTTCGTCCCATGAAACGTCAACAAATAAGGTCTCTTCTCCTCCTTCACATTCACGTTCTCAATAACATCCTCCAACCACAGTCCCTCCTCTCCATCTCTCTTAAAAATCTCCGTCCACCTCCCTCTCTGCACCATCGTAACCGCGATTTCCAATCTCGCAGGCGGGTCTGCACTAATCACAATTTTCTCGCCCCCTTTGCCTATATCAGCAATATGATCATTCAGAAATCCCTCATCCAACTGTGGAACTCCAAAAGGACTTTTTGTCTCGCTAGCCACGGAATACCATTCCTTACTCAGAAGCGTCATAGGATACGCTGCAATAACTGCTTTCGGACCATTGAATCCCTCCCTCTGTCCCCAGAAATCTTGAGGAAAAAGAGAGCTGCGGATAGCCAGATATCCTCCGGCGCTTTCACCATAAACCGCCACCTTTACAAAATCCACAGAAAGCTTACCGTTCAGCCTTGAAAGATATGTCGAGAGTCCATTAACGCCAGACGCAAGCCACCCCCAAAAATCCTTCAAATCCTCCAAAATCTCCTGTCCACTAGCTTCAGGCAATAATCGATAATCAGGCATAACAAGGATGGCCTCATTCTTCACCACGAGATCGATAGCCCAATTCGGAAGCCATTCTGTGTAGAGTGCTGAGCCTGTGACTAAATATCCTCCGTGAAATCTTACAAGAATTGGATATTTTCCCGGTGTTGTGGAGGCAGCGATGGATTTTGGAATGAGAATGTGGGTTGAAAATTCAACGCCTTGCACGATTTTATATGTCGTAGTGTGCAGGCTGAAGGGCGCAAGCTTGGGGTCTGACATTTTTGAAGTTGGAGGTATTAGATTCTGCTTTTTGGAGTTTTTCAGAGTGAGGGAATGCCTGGTTGATGATGAGATTGATAAGATAGTATTTGTAAAAACGGGTATACTTCGGTAAATAATTTGTGGATTGAGATGTTGATTTCAAGTCAATGAATGTAATGAATGGTACCACTGTCAATAAAATGATTGATAAAAATCACAAGATTATTGAAAATCGATGGTCATAGTTATGAAAGATACTTATTATATTATTGTGCTTCAAAATCCAGCCGTTTACTCACCGTGAATTTTTCGGACTTTGTCATTAATTCCTTCGTGCTCTACGGCACAGCAAGCCGTTGTGCTATTGCCGCGGGATTAACAAGCGATGGGATATCGAGAGGGAGAAAAATGGTATAAATCCATGGGATTATGTAAATCTGACAAATCGAATTATTTACAAGGGTTATTACTTCTAATCAGATGTGTTACAGTGCCATACTTTCAAATCCTCCCATTCATATAGCAATTTTCTAGCTACGGCTGGCAATATTGTCGTTAAGAAGCCCTCATACCCATTTCTAGATATTATCATACATATCCATCCCCACTCCGCTCACGTTATAGCATACTTTAAGGCAATTGACGGCAAGGCCAATAGCTACTTTCCGTTCGGTCAACCACTTCTGTCTGTTTGACATCCATTAAAGTCATTCTTTGAACTGACGTGATGGTTTCAAGTGCGTCACACTCCGGATCAGTATTCTGTACAGTCTCAAGACAAGTTGCGAGCAAATCATCTCCTTCCCATTCAAATTTTTCATTGACTGGAATGAAGTCGGAAGGTGATACCGCCGTGCGTCGAACAGCGCTTCGACCACGGATTAGTATGATACTTTCGACGGCAGGATAACACAATGTAAGCTTGTAAAAAGGATTGATGGAAAGAGGACCTTCGTATGCGAGCTGCTTCACTCTAAGCCAATCAAAAGAGAGGGGAGCGTGTCTACAGCTCATTCTATGGCCATTACACCGAGCACATTGAGAATATATGCCATCACGTTCCCAGTCAAAGGAGATTCTTGGTTGGGCGCGTTGACCTTCAGTAATTGCATTGTCCATTAGCTCATTCAAAGTCCTCTGGTCCCAGAATCCCGTTTCAGGATCCCTTGCAAATGATAAGTCGTACCATCTCACAGCCTCTTTCCTAGATTCTTGACAAGTATGAAGCAAAAATGGAATTGATGCATCCGAGTAGAGTGCTGCACTCCATTTGGACTCTCGAATCTTTATGTAGCGTGCTTCAGGACGGGCGAAGTTCCATATTTGCCGTCTCACTTTTCCGGGAAGCTCTGAGAAACGGAGTAGGACTCGAGGAGGCGCAAAATCTTCTTTCAGATCGGAGATTCCCCACCCTACTGACGTTAGTAATTATCAAAAGAGTTTCCAGCTGAGAGGAAAAGCTTACACTGACCATCCTCTCCAGGATTTACCTCGGACTCTTCAGTTCCTTCGGTATCTTGATTGAACTCGATTTCTTGAACTCCATTGGTCTCTTGAGCTTTTTGAGGCGATGACAGGGCTGTTGCATCAGACACCCCGTCTTCTAAATCGAACAGGATCGAGCCTGCTTGGAATGTCAGAGTATGTCTCTGTAGGTGGTACTTGAAGATGTTACTGGTTTTTTCATGATATTCTAGGCTTCCTTCGGGTTGACTGAGTCTTTGAGGCGAAGATAGATCTATCAAGCCAGGTTCCTCTTGGAGATCCAATAGACTTGACGCTAAATCGAAGATTAATCGACATTAATCATGCAAATGTTTGATGGAATAAAACCCACAAGGCTGTTGAAAATTTTCGTGAAGCTTTTCAGTTTCATGAATTCCTTTGATAAAGAGTATACTTGTTCCCGCCTCTTCTCCCAAGTCCAAAAGATTCCAGTCTGGTTCACCGTCAGTAATTATTCTGAAAATCGAATGGCAGTTAAGAATTCTCACGAGCATCCTGAGACTCTGTTCTTGATTCTTCCCATTCCTTATGTTCTCGACTGTTCTCGGAAGCTTCTTGAGTTTCATGAGTGCTTTCCTCAACATCTTTAATCTCTTGCGTGGTTTGAGGTGCACTTGATACTGTTGCTTGTTGCTTTTACCTCCTATGATTTCCTTGTCAGAGATTATGCGATTGAGGAAGAAATACTGACTGTTCTGCCATGAGATTCAAGTAACGTTCCAACATTTGATCTTTCCCCGAGCCCCTTGAAGGGATTGATAAGCCCGCCATCTTGATTGAATTTGCGTCAAAGAAACCAAGGTAGTATTTGAATAAGTTATTGTGCTGGATGTTAAAGTTGAAGACGTTCCTTGCAAGAGATTCAAAGATGAAGGTGTGGTTATTAACTAACCTGATTAGGTAAAACTCCATTCAGCAAGGACGACCTCTTTGGGAAGGACCACTTGAGTCCCTGCCGGATGTGGCCGTTTGAGGCTCAAACTGAGTTATTTGATAAGCAATCTTTTCGTTTATATCTTCTCTTACAAGATTTTCTCATGAAAGTTACATGACATTCTGAAAAATCCTGTCTTCTCTGCTATCAATGTTCACATCAAACTGACATTTCTTCAACTCGAACCAATTCATCGACATGCCATTTTTCAATTGTCGTTAACATGAGAAGCTCAATATTGTCTACATTGGAGCAAAAGTTGACGACACATCTTCCCCCATTGCATAAATACACGATCGACTGAAAAGAGAGTGGTGCATGAGGAACGTTGGAGAAGACCAGCGCAGGTAACAGCACCACAGGGCGCAATATTCGGGCTCACTCTCCACTTGTGTCAATACATCCCATATCTTCTTCTACCAATCCCTATTTCTTACAAAATATCATCTGCCTCCTTGAAGATAAATCGGTCGAATCTTGTTTGCCGAATCTGGACTTTCTTCTAATTCATAGGGTGTGTGTTCTATGTGATACTTTATTTCTCAGCATACGCTAGACACGCAAGATTATTGCAATTCTATCCAGTATGGACTCCTTACTCAGTAAGGAAGAACATTTTCCCACTGTTCCAGCCGAAATTCATACGCTCTGTCTCTGATATCCCTTTCCATGCTTTTTGGTCTTTGTCACTCTTGTAACAACTTTAGCTTAAAATCTGTAGAAACGGAAAATTCTGAAGCAGGTATTAGCTGTCAGATGTTCTTGGGCAAATCTCGTAGGATAGCATTTCCGCTAAGGCTTGGTGGAACAATGAGGCTATTACTAAAACTCGCCGACACACGGTAGTCTGTCGCTGTTCGAGGCGAAGAGTCCTGCTGCTTTGAGTAAATTGGTTTGAGATAGTGCTGTAGTGTCGTAGAACCTCCGAGACAGACAGTTCTTCCAGTCTTTGAGTCTGATTTTTGATACGTGTTTCTCCGATCATAAGAAGATCCAATATATGATTGTAAATAGATACAGAGATTTCGAAAGGATATATTTGCTTGTTGAAGGAGAAGCTATTAAGGCAAAGTTGTCCAGCTGTATATAGCATGCACATGATTCGCTGTGAATGACTAAAATTCACTCGTATGTCCCGGATATCGTTGAGCAAATTCGAGTGTTTTAGCTTATTGCTAGTTTGGAACCAAGATAAGTCAATAAACTGAGAGAAAGAGCCCAAGTCAATGGAAAACGAATCAGCCATAACAAATGCTTTGCGAGCGCTATTCTATGAAGTTAAACTTAGACTCTTTCCTCCCTTTTTATCACCTCACTGATTCAATGGTCAATTTCACTCATGCCTGGTGGGGTTTGTAATGGCTAGAGTCTGACTAGAATAAGAGTAAAACCATTACAGCTTTAGTAGTATGAGAGTAATTTGCTGTCAATCAGATGTCTTTTCTAACTTCTGTGTCTGGGTTCTCAGCCGAGTAGTATCTTTATCAACAATATCGTCTTTATTGTTACGCTAGTTACGCGAACTCCTCGGTTCCCTCTTAAAATTCTTGTCTTAATATCTGTTCTAATGGACTGTGAGTTTTAGGACCGACTTATCGTCCATCTGTACATTCAAGATATCAGAGAAGCATTTCGGGGTGATTACCTCTATTTTATACGGTTGTTCATTGGCGTTTTTAACTCTGTAAGTATAACACTTGAGGCTCACCTGTTATCTTTTCATGTCTTGGATGTGAGTATCTAATTGTTGACATCTTGTCCAGTATCCTGTTCTGTTTGGTTGTATATGAGCAGTCAGTTCTGGCGGTAACATAGAGTGTGTCGTCTGTTACATCTGGCTTGAATATAGCTATTGAAGCAGAGCCAGTGCCCGTATAATATGGTTCCGTGATGGGATATAGAGCAGTTCGTAATAGACTAACAGTTGATCCCGTGATTGGATTCGTTGCGGAAACTAGAACCCATTTTCACGTGATTATCCAACTACGCTTGAAGACGTCCATCAACGACGACCACTCTTAGCAATAATCTTGTCACTTCATCCCCCAATTCCTGTTTAACATCGTCTTACATCCTTTTCAATTCAATCCCCAATTCAACAATTCCCTTTCTCACCTTACCTGCCTTGTCCTTGAAAGATTGATGAACTCGGTCTGCAAATCGCTTTCGTTGGATGTATTCGAAATCTGGATAGCGACGCGTCTATTAAAACAACAAATTAGCACAGCTTGAGCACATTTGCCCTGTCGTTCTCACCACCATGAACTTTGAAGTCTCACGCGTTCCCTTAGAGTATGCACAGTATGCTTACCTTCTTCTGATGCGCCTGCTTCACCAATTTTTTCTATTCGAACTTTCCATCATCCCTCAATCTCTTCTCCTCTTTAATCAACTTCTCTATTTCCACCTTCCAGATATTGTGCTCTTTGAATTGCGAAATCAGCTACCTCATCTCAACTAAATTGAATTGTCGAGCACGAGGACCATCGCCTGCGACCAGAATTTTACCAGGGAAACCGACAAGCTCCTCGGCATTATTGTAATCGAGAACCAAAGGTCACATCTGTTAGTACGCACCAACACATGCGACGTATCATATCCGAAGGATGAGAAGGTACTTACAGTAATAAAGCCAGACGTCCCATTCAATACATTGCTGCATATCCTGGGCTGCAGTCTTCCATTCCACCTGCTTGACACCGCAGCGCTCAATCGTTGTGTCGAATTCCGCCTCAGTGCAGATGCCACGGAAGGAAAGCTTGTCGTCGAGGACCAAGTGCTTGATATCCTCGAGCACAGATATGTACTCGAAGTCGGCCATGGTTATCGGTGTGTTGTAGTTGTTGGACTTCTTACGTGGAGAAAGAAGATGTATTGATAGAGAGAGAAGTAGGATTGTAATGAGAAAGGAATTGACTTTAAGAAGATAGAAAACTCTGTGGGATATTCAGGTTTCTTAGGGTATTGTTTGATTCAGGCTTCGAGGCAGGAACTTTTGAAGTTGTGAACGACTCCATCATGGGATAAATATGCATGGGGTGGAAGTTGATTTTGACTTGAGGGTTTGTGTCTAGAGGCTGTTTATTCCACTGACTCTAAGTGTCAGTTCCAGAATAAGACTCAATGGGTTGCATTCCCTAGAGCTCTAGAAGCCAGAGAGTTCAGGTATGGATGAATCCATTGACTAATTCAACCTACTTCAACTATTAATCACATCAAAGTGAGAGCTCTAGATACGAACAATGAATCTATCAGAGAGTCCAGCTATCAAGGATAAATGACTATTTGCTACTAATCCATCAAGCACAAATAGCTAGGCCTTTAGGAACTCCATCTCATCAACCACACGAGACCATTTCCATTCACCCAGCCGAAGTAATACTTGAATTTCAATTTTCTGTCCGCCAACAATAATCAAAGTAGACTCTTCTCTTGATAGAAAGCTTAAAACACAAAGGGTCTTCCCATGGATACTAAAAATCAGCTTTTGCTCCTTCTCATTAGTTAAATTGTCGGCTAACAGAACTCGCAAACGCAACCGATTAGGAAGATATAGAAGCGAGTTCTAGTTATTTTCAGGCAGATGAATAGATAAATTACGTGCAGCGTAATGTATTGAAGAATAGAGGGATCATCGTACCTAAGATATCGCAGGGTGTATTGTTGATATAGCAAGCCGAAAGTTGTGCAACTATCCCGGCTGGATCCTGCGATGAACATTCTGCGTGAAGACACCATGTAGAGCACTGACGTGATATTCATCTAGATTTCCTGAGATGAGCTACTTGTTGTAGACGGTAGGCTGCAATGTTAACAGGTTTCTCCTACTATTTTCATAGAATTGGCCGAACAGTGCTAAAATTTTAGCATTAAGTATTAGGCACACCTCGAAATTTTGTAAATTTTCTATGCTTCATACGAATTGATACGGGAACATTGATAGGATTGGACCGACAAAAAGTGATGCTCGGACTGCTACTAATATTGATGGAACGAAGAGTACGAATTTGAGCACGTGGAAGATTTCAATCTTTGGATAGAGCTATATGAGACAGGGTATCATTAATTCTCATCTCCATATCCCGAGGAATGATACTCAAATTCCGAAGGTAATGGAGCATCCCCTTCAAGATCATCATCTACATTTCTACTTACAAGCGGCTTTTGAGCTTCTACCTCCGGTATTACACTTGGACTCATAATCGGCTGCTTTGGTGCAGATATTGGTAGTTTGCCCAAGACCCTGGTCATCCAAGCCGCCCATTCCCACGGTCTATCTCTATCACCCGGCAACGAATTGAAATATTCCCAACCCATTACACCACCGAATGTAGAATATCTCAACTTCAGATTGAGAAGGACTTCCTGCAGAACCTCAAAAGGCACCCACCCACTACCATTCCCCGGATTGGTAACCATACCCACCACTATTTTATGTGCAGGCCATCCCCGCATCATCATCATATCATATCCAGCCGTCTTACTCATATCCCCCCACCCACAATAAAACTGCGTATTGTACCATTCAATACTACTTCCTCGCATAACCTCCAGCGCTTCGTAGTTGAACCCACTTAGATTATGTTTTGGCAGTTCAGATACCAATGCCGCAGCCACAGGCGCGAGTGTAATGATAAATCCAGCTCCGAAATCCGCTTTCAGTCTATCAATTAATCGGATAATTCCACCAAGAGTCATTTCTTCTTCGACATCAAGATCTAAACCATCGAGACCCCGCTCGCGGATAAGATTTCGTAAAGGAATGTAATAGAGTTCGAATGTGGCATCGTCTTGATCGAGTCGTGTGAATGAACCCTTTGCTGCCCCGCCAAGCATTCCCATTACTTTTATTCCGGAGGCTTGGAGGATTCGAAGTTCCGCCCACATTGTAACGAATCGTTCATGGTGAGGTACATGATCGTTCTGCCATTTGTCAATACTTGCACACATAAATCAGAAAGAGATGTGGCAGATGTACCAGAGATATATTTCCTGGGGGATCATTGAGATGAATCGCGGCAACATTGACATGTGTCACCGCAATGTTTGGTTTGGTTATGATTGGTAATATTGAACATAATTTGCCATCGGGATGATGTTGCGTCTGATAATATATGACGATTCTAGGAGTTGTAGGAATTGGAAGGGGAGGCATTGGAGAAGAGTCGTTATTGTTTGATTTGTTGGTGAGGTTGATGGTGGTCAGGGTCCTAGAATTAGTGTTGGGCTAGGCCGGTGGGGCACGAAGCTTATGCCGCTCGGAGTTTGACGTCGCCCTACGAATACCATTATCACCATTGTGCAAGTGTTCATGGTGGCATTGTATGTGTGCTTTTAGTAGTTTTGAACGAAAGACACATGCGAGGTCAACTTGTCGAGCTCAAGTCTGAATACACAACGGCGAGAATGATTCCTGTTTGATGATATTTTTCTCCTGCTCCTCAGCTTCATCCCACGATAGTTGGTGATTATCATACAGATGAGGCTGCAAGCCTTTAGGTGTGCATTTAGTTATTATGATTCTATAATGATACCGCGGGAGATGTTCGCCGCTTTAGGAGTGGTCATTGCATTCCGGATGTTACTGGGCAGTACGAACAGATGACCACAAGTGCTGCAGCTTCTTCGCACAACACGGTCATCAATAGAAGCTTCTCGCAGCATTAAAAGGTATATCGCAACAACAATGCGTCCGGCAACACACTCATCCTGCAGAGTAACAACCATTTACATCTCCGAGACTTCTGATCCTGTGCTGTCTCATGTCTCTGCATCGCGTCCATTGGCCTTCGACTGGCCGCATTTCATATACCGAAGCATAGAAAGGCTCCAGGCTCTACAAATTTTCCTCTAGGCAATTGATTGGCTGCGTATCACGGCAAGCTGCGTTTATCATAGGATTTCTTAGCCATATGAGGTGCTGGCCTCCAGAGCCAGGGAAATTGCCTTGCTCTGCGCCTCGTTCTGTCTGCCTGCTTTGCAAGTAAGCTCTTGTGACTTGCGACACTCCTATTTTTCTTTGGGCTTGTAGTCTGATTCTTTGCAAATTCTTATTCTCTGTTTGACTCATCACTCTAGCCTCAAAAATCACATTTGTTTTAGTTTTCAAGGGTTGTCGCCTGTCTTTCGTCGATGATTGAGGATTCAATGTTCTTTGAATTTATTTTTTGACATTTTCTCTTCGATGTATCGAAATGTCGGACCCGCTCTCTGCGGCTAGTTGTGCAGCTGGAATAATCTCCCTCGGCATTCAAGTCTCCCAAGGCCTGGTCACGTACTGCTCTCAAGTCAAGAACTTTACGTCGGGGATAGCTACATTCAAAGCTAAAGCAAAAAGCGTTGACGGGATTTTACAGAATCTCGAAAGTGTGTTGAAGAAGACGGAACGTGAACGGAAAATGACACCTAAATCTGTTATTTTCACGCTGAAAGGTTGTGCAGAAACATTGGGAAAGCTAAATGAAGGGGTTGGCAGACATGGAAAGGATAGACTTTCGAACAGACTTACATATTGTTTTGTGCGGGATGATTTAGCAGCCGCTTACAATATTTTGGATAGCTTACAGCATAATTTGAGCAATGCTCTTCAAGTTGGAATACTGTACGTATGTCAAAACGTCCTAGATGGTATTTCACTAAAAGTAGAATAGGGAAGAGAGTACTCGCCATCAAGCAGATATAACCCAAATGATTATGGATCAATCTGTTACGCATCTTCATACCTCACGAAAATTCGAAGGCTATTTCGAAGTTTTATCAAAGAAGATAGATATTATAGTAAAGTTGCATGCATCAGAACCCATGATTAAATTACTAAGTTGACATAGATATCAAATAAACAGCAGCCTCTTCTCCAAAGCCCTTCTTTAATGGCACGAAGATGCTTAGATCTCAGAGCCGCCAAGGTTGAATCCAGCTTTTTGCTATTGAAATACAAACACAACGTTCGACTCCAACTCCCTCGTCCCCATATCCTTGCCAACCTCCAGAATCTCAATATGCTGATGGACCTCGACATCGCACCTCTGTGCATTATGTCCTCTGGAAACAAAACTCTTCGAGTCAACATACTTGTCCTGCGTGTAAAGGTTGGCAAATAATTCAATAGAAGTACAATTTTTGCAACAAATTGTTAGGATACTCCATAGCACTCACTATGTTTCTCATACATGGTGCCGGCGGCTTTTCAATCGGCCCACTGTTGGATATTAGTGCCATAGCACCTACTTCTTCGCCTGATTTCCGCTTACTATATTCTACTAAATACATGCATCTCAGTCGGCGTCCCTTTTACAGGGCTTTGAATGGTAAGAGCTGGATATACTCGAAATGTGATGCCTTACGAATGTATCCCGAGTTTGATAGCTCAGGTGGATCGCATTGGGGATCAAATAGCCTCGTTATCAAATATGATGAGCCGGACAAAGCTATGGAACAGCTCGAAGAGCTTTTTAATCATATTTTGAATGAGTTGCGTATATTGTTTCAAAACGGGAAAGCCTCACCCAACGATTTAGACGAATCTGGCGTGCCACTATCTGAGGTGCGTATTCAAAAGACGATATTCTACATAGGTATTAATGTCTAACTCATTTAAATGGACACAGGCTGTTTGTGGTTGGCTAATTTTTGCGCTTGACAACGAGCTCATCAAATTTTCAAAAATGTACATCTACACTAAGAGTCAGAGACTAGCTAAGTGCCAACATGCGATCAGAATATTTCGCACATTTATCGAGCATGCCAATTCCATCGGTTTGAGTACATCATAGGTCTATTCCTTCATTTAACTGAGCGCGTTCACGATGAATAGTGGTTTATTGTGAAATTGCACATAATTCAAAGTGATAATATTTACAGAAACATCTTAGAAATTCTCATGGAGACTCATTTTTCGTTGCCTGAAGATGTCGATGAAGGAGACTTTACAAGACTCCAGGAGAGAATATGCGACCTCGGCGCCATTATAAAGCATACGCCAGAATATACCTGGAAGGCTGAATTACTTAGGATTTTTATACGCCAGACACAGCGTATCGATGGTACATTTTGTTCACCCTTATTTTAGACTTAGGTGAGTACGACCTCAGTGATTGACTTGCCCACAATCCTCGAAGCAATTTTCCCACAATCTGAGAAAGGCTTGGAACACATACTCTCTCAAGATCCGTCGGCGATCAATGAAGTTCTTTACGAAAGTGGAGAAACTCCATTACATCTCGCACATCAGTGGCCGCAAGGATTTCTTATTCGTGCAAGGGGTAACGTGAATTAATGCAATGATTGCGGTGAACTGCCTCTTACATTGGCAGCGAATAGAAATTGCTATTCATCGATGAAGATTCTCCTTGAGAATGGCAGCATGCTCCGCACCTACTCCCCGCAATATTCGAGGAGTTTGAGTGGTGATGATGCAAGTGATTTTCTGAGATGCATCAGAAATCGGAGAGATTCATGGAGATCGACGATCTTTGATCATTTGATTCAAAGAACACATGGGTTACTCGAGCTGGCCCGATATTTGATGACCGCTTCTCCCACAAGCATGCCTGGATGGCTCAAAACAGATAGGGCTCTAGATGTTCAGGCTGCCGATGTGGTAAAGGAACTCAAGCGTCATAGGGTATATATAGACCCAATACTCCTCCCTGCATTTCACTCAAAGACAACTATAGTCTATCACAAGAGAAACCTCAGTCCATAATTAGCAGAAGCTCTTTATCAATCTGGCTTCCTCGACATAGATTCACGTGATCATGAAGACCGCTTGCCTATATTGGCACAAACAAAGTTTGAGACGTATGAAACATTTGATCTGCCACGTTGGCTTATCACGAAAGGAGTTGATCTCACAGGAACACTGGATGAGTAGAAGATGATTACAACTTTACATGATGTATGCAGTTCCGCCGGCAACAATCACAGACGTTGGATCATCGAGAATTATGAGAAAACGAAGAAGCCTCCTGAGGATATTGACCTGACAGATGTGGAATTTTTGCAAAACTTTCCATTAGACCTTCTAGACGTTGATGTCATCGATTCTTGCATCTCTGCTTGCTCAATGAGTGGCTGTCTACCAATCACATGCTTCTTGGGTGATATGTAGGTGGAGTTCAGAACTGGGAACCCTGATCACCTTTGTGGAAGCTGGGAGGTATTAAGCGATGACCCATGGGTAACGTGGCGCGGCGAGCTAATGGTGAGGACATTTGCAAAAATGCTGGAGTCGAGGTTTAGTACATGTCCCTGGCTAGTCCATAACATTATTCGACAATGTACTTTCTATAAGCTGGGACTCACGCATACGTGTAAGTGTAGTCAAAGAATTTGTCCACCTGCCAGCTCTTTTACGAAGGATGAAGTATACAAAATCATGGAAGAAGAGCAAGACATGATAGAGCAGCTTGAGAGCCTCACAGCCGAATTTGAGAAAATTTTTGCAAATTCTGGGAAGCCAATACATGCGTTTTTGAAAGACGATTGGAAATCGAGGATGGAGGAGATCACGTCGGAGAGTACCTTAAATGAAGATTACATGAAGGAAGTTCCGAAAATTGGTGTGATCATGCGATGAATGCTGAAATTCTTTCTTGAGGAGACTGGGTGGGTGAAACTATTTCTGCAATACAATACATGCGTCTAAAATAATGTCTTAGGCTTCTGTTATTCCATTCATTATTTCAGCAGAGCGTGTACATAGAGAGTTCTAATATGGAAGGAAGGAGCACTAAGTTCATTTTGTGATGAACGAAATCATACTTGCGTGGGCTTGGATCACGGATTTTGATTCAACATCAGGATGATCCTATCCCCCCCCCCCTCTTCTTTTGTTTGGATTAGCCGTCTCATATTTATTATTCTTTTCTGCATAACATGTCATCTATCGGCAATTTACACTTGTTTACCAAGATTGTATAGTAAGCACGGTATCAGCCAACGAAAATTCTTACCCTCAAATACGCAAATTTCCGAAAATTCTGTGCTTAGCAATGTGATTTTTGTAAAATCTTCCCAACATCAACTTTTAAGAGACTCTGAATTTACTTTCGAAATTACCGGCACAAGGTGTCCAAGGTATCCTTTGATATGGAAGCAAGTTTTTTTTCTAGAATGCCTAATCTCTTCATTTTTCAAATTGGACTGCAAAGGAAGTCAGTAATATACTAGGAATAGAAAAGGTGTCCTAGGTTCGAACTATCTCGAGTAAGCGAGAATCGGATGCATTGACAAAGTAAAATATCTTTGTATTATTGGTGAGGTCAAAGAGAAGTAGCTTGTTATATGTTTTGATGGACATTGTTTGGGTAAAAGAAGTCCTTCCTTGACTCTCAAGATATCCATCTTGAGAGCCACTAGGTCTGAAGCTGACTTTAGTTGATGGCATCCGTTCGTCCAAGTGTCTGAACAATGGCTGCTGGCTTCTAAATTGTGAAGACACCTTCAAAGAATCTAATTCATCATTGTGTACCTTGACCATAAATAAAGCATAGTACAACAATAAGTGATCAATCGAAACAGATCACATTTCAACAGTGTAAAATCCTTTCTTAATGCGGAAAAGCCGACACAGCCAAAAGAAAAAAAACAAATAAACATCGATTGCAAATGAAACAGAATTATCGATTCTCACTACGAGGACTTTCATCTAGAAATACATAGAAATTTTCTTAGCTATTGAAACAATCTTAATATCTAGAAATTGCGTGATCCAAATGATTCTATTTACACTTCTGTTAAGCTTGTCTTTCGAGTGGTTCGAAGTCTTTATTTATCTCATTAGAAGAGATACAATCCATAGTATGATCTTGATCCTTAGTTATCAAATTCACTTCTTCAAGTAATTCCAGCCAATGCCGCACTCAAAATACAGCAGGGGAAATAGGAACTCAATATTTAGCCGTAGAAACATCCAATCCACTAGCGATACAGTTGTTTCTTCACTACGGTCCTTGGGCTCTCCAGCTTAACAGGCTATTTATTAACCGTTCTGCTCCTTAAGTACCTTCCTTCATCTCGAGCAAACTATCATACTCTCTTCAAGCACTTCTTCTAAATACATTTTGACCTCACCGCGATCTTACACACATCTCATCAATCATGGAAAATTATCCATTTTACCAATCGATAGGTCGTCATCTACAACATATGATTGTTGTCGATTCTCGTTCATATCGCGGACAAGTCAGCAATGAGGAGTTTTTGGCGGTTGCTGCTTATTGGAGCGAAATGATTCAAAACAATGACTATCATCGAGCTCTCGCCCGCCCCGACTTTGATCTATACAACATAGACTTTAAGATCTGGGAACACTTTTGTAAGTTTTAATCCATCACCTCAATTCGAGGAATCGAGAATTAACAAACCATGCTAGTCGCCATGAACACCACAAACAACTGGGTATCATTCCCATGCGTCGATCCTCGTGGACCACTCGACATGCCCGACATGAATCCATTCCCGGTCACTCACTATAGTCCTCGAACAGCCGATCGTGTACCTATTGCGCCAGCCCAACAAAATACAGCTCCTGATGTTGGTGCTTCTACTCAGGCTCCAGCATCAGCGCTTAGAGAACAACTTCCTGCATATCACCACGGCCTATCCGCTCATGAAATGGAACACTTAGCGCGAAGAGAGGTCAATGAACGTTTAAGACGAGGAGTTAAAGGCCGGTCCACCAAGCAATCGCGATTTCATTAAGAAACGTCTAGGTGCTGGTCGAAATCACGTTCTTTGTGGTACTGAAACTGCTTGTCGCTTTTACCCCCTGTCTTATCTCGGACGGGTTATACAAGTTGTTATACAGTATTGGATGTGCAAAGCGCAAAGGAGTCATATTCATAATGATATGAGATACTGAGGTTTCGGGGGACCAGGGGAATATAGGATTTATCATGATGTATTATGGAGAAGTAATGTCAGCTCGATAGGCATCTGTCCATATGACCCAATCTCTGTTGGCTGTAGCAATGGACATCCATCAGATGATCTTGTTTTCTGTTCCTATGCTTAGAATATATGCATGCTTGAAACGCCATGCTGGTGCATTATTGATTATGACTGAATTCTTTGAGTGCATTCTCGCAGTAGACCGCAACCCCATGAGAGACACTCAATTAGATCATCAGAGTAGATATCAAGAACTCAAGTTAAATTTTTAGTATAGGCCCTGCTTCGCAGTCTTTCGAGAATCAAATAACCTTATGATATCCCCCTGCAAGTTAATCTTTCCATAAATTCAATTGTATATTTAGCACATAGTCTTCTCACCAAGCTTGAATAATGAATTTAATGTGTCTGTTCTTGAGAACCTTTATGGTAAACGGCGGAAGAAAGATAAACATGACCAATAAGGAATAGTTTGTTTGTCTCTTACCTCTAGCATCATTGAAGTCTTCTTAGTGGGTAAATCGATTGGAATCGGCCATTAAGGAAAAATTTGAAGTCGGAGTATTCTAATGATAGGAATTCGAATGAATCTTTTATAGTTCTGGGTGATAGAACAAGGAAATTGGCGAGGAAGAGATAATGCAAGGGCAAGTGGACAATATTAATAAAGACACCTTAACTTTTAGCATTATTGATCTGAGAAATTGTAGACACGAAGTGCAAGTCTGATCAAGCTAAAGTTGATGAGTAGCTTACTCTTTTCACTATAAAAATCTTGAATATTCCAACATAGATAGACACTTATTTTACTTGTTTTATAATCTAAGTAACTGGAGCAAATCTTGCTTTGGAAACTATGGGTATTTTCATCATATAATGTCTCTTTCATGAGGCTACCTCGATCCCTTTCATCGAGGTAATGGTGTGCGAGGTTCTCGTACACTCGACACTATTCCTTTGGATTCCATCATGGTAACGATATCTCGGCTCCTTAATGCTTATTTTCTGGGGGAGGCGTCAACGATGAATAGTTGCGCTTATCAATCGCTCAGATACCAGAATTTCATAGAACAGGGCGCGGCAGAGTGTCAGCCAAGCTTTGGGAGTCTAAAAGACCGAGGATGAAGATTCGAATACTGCTCAAGGGAAGAAGTAGGGAGTTCATCAAATGATGAAGTACAGAATGCATGTGGATGAAAGAATCATCTACTACAAACACATTGCCAGCGATTAGTCGACGATTCATTCAAATCTCATACTCAAATTGCTTGGCTTAATGGTTTTGGATTCTTTCAATAGTTTGCTCAGTAATTTAGATTGTAGTATATGAATGGATTGGTCCCGTCACATAAATCTACGTCCTCTAGATTCTTAGCCAGAGTTCCACTAGCGGTCCAAACTTGTAGATATGGTAGGGTTCTATTTGAAGACATGACAGTTCAGACTAGACTTGTGTTCATTCGGCTTTCAGCCGAATGGCGATAGGCCCGAATCAATGCCGATAAGTTATTCAGAAAAACAAATTCACTTTATATTCCGGGAATTTACGGCAAATGCACGGCTACTAGCCCGAAGTAGCTGGTAAGTCCTCTTTCGAAGCCGAACGAATGGAAGCTAAGATTATTACTGAAGAGAAATATTTCACTCAACTGCATCTTCAATTCAAACACCACGGAGAGGAGAGTAGCGAATGCGAATGACACGTTATAATCGAACCATACTTACGATACCGATACTTGTGACACATTTGTACCCGCTGTACCAAGTACCTCCACGATCTCTAGAACTGTTCTTTCAAACGGAAACTATGGCTTTGATCGCGAGGAAGTCCTTATAAGCATCACTTCTTCCAAGTTCATGCCCATTTTGAACATCCATGGAGCACCTCATTTTCATAATAAATGCCAGCTTAACCGCGACTACTTCAAATACATCGAATCCCTATTATTTAAAGTCAGAACCATCAAGCCCTTCTATAGAACAAGAAGATCCCCTCTTTATAATAAAAGCCAAGGTAGATAATCGACATGGCCGATAAAATTACGCCTGCCGGCGATACACACAGGATGCCAAAATTATATGTATCAGTGCTTCCAGACCTTGCACGTCTACTTCTCAGTCAGCACTTGCCATCTGTGGATGGCAAGACTGTCACTGTTGATGAATTTGCCGCTGCAGTAGAAAAAGCAAAGGCATATATTCATAGCAAGAAAGTTTTTCTTCAACTCCAACTACTTCGACCAGATTATGTGCAATTTCTTGTTGATCGGGAAGCCTGGGAAACATTTTGTAAGCATTCGATTGATTATCTTAAATCTCCAAAGGAGATGAGACTAACTATCACCAATTGTAGGCGGAAATCCAGCTCAGAAAGACAGCCCAAACTACAGACCCTTTCCAAGAGAAGATCCTCGAATTGAGAATCCTCTTCCTCAGTATTTTGACCCTAACCGTCTTACGCCCGATAGTTATGGCCTCATCTATCGCGATAATTTACATCCAGATTGTCCTAACTGCACCTGTGGCACCATTTCCCGAAGGAACTCCGAGAAACAATACATTTACAAAGATGGGGGTGCTCGAATGACAACACCTAAAGATGAATACTCTGCTTATCAGGACGAGCTTGATGAGTTTCGTGAGAGACTTGAAGCTAAGTCTAAAAAACTAGGCTATAAAGACGCTGATGATCGGTGGGAGAAGGAGTGTGAGATTCAACAGGCTAAGGAAGATGAGAGGATCAGAATTGAGGGCGATTCAAAGTCAAAGTCTGATCTAGAGGCAATCAAGATCAATGAATTGGATGTTATGGAGAATGCAGAAGAGTCAAAGGCAAAGGGAAAGGCGGATCTAGAGGCAATCGAGATCGTGGAGATGGATATACTAGAGAACGCAGAAGAACCAAAGGAGCCAGAGACAAAGACAAAGGCTACTACAAGAAAGATGAAAGTTAAGAGCGCCAAAAAGCTTTGCTCAGGTTGTTTCTGCATGTAGCAACACGGTGGAGATGGTTGTAAATTATGGTGCTAAGAAACGTGTTTAGCACTATAAGACAGTGGGGTACAGGGGAGGCTGCGAGTTCGTTCAAGACATGGTTTTTATTTCTCTTTATTCTGGCTGCTAGATAAAACGATATCTAGTCTCTGACAGACTTCACTAATACTCAATGAAGAAGTTGAGAAAGATTTTCTTATGTCTCAGTTATTTACGAAAGCCTCTGATCGACCGGCTTTGAGTGTATCCATGACACGAGTTTGAAGGGCAATTTGAAGATGAGATTTATCGAAAGAAAATGATGACTCCTCAAACAGAAGCCAGTATTTGTTTCTATACAACTAAAGACTAGCAAGCATACAGGTGGGGGATTTTGCCTCCTATAATTCAACTTAATTAATATGCAATACTACTTCCCTCCATGCCTTTAAAGTGCTTTGAATATCTTCTGAACCTAGTGATCTGATATAAAGACTGTGTCCTGAAGATCACTCATGGAATGATACAAGGCAAATTTTGCCTGTAAAGAAAACGTACACAGGTGAAAGGGAGCTAGGGATGAATAGTCGTAGATGATGCGCCACGCTGCTTTAGAAGAAAAATTTATCGCAGTGTTGAGATGAAACCATGCAGCGGAGAAGGATAGATCACCAGAGTTCGGCGAGTGGTGAGGCTGGGCATATTCAGTCAGTGAATGATGACGTCAGTAATTTCATGCTGATACATTTTTGTGTATCAACTGCAGCATTTACTCTGGAAACGGGTGACATCCATAAGGCTGGCGTTAGAAACATCTTGGCTGACAGCATAAGCGCATCGCGTTGCAAATATGAAATCTCTCCCACTCTTTCCAAAAGCCCTGCTGAGTGGTCAGGTGATATGAATTTCTTTACTGCGATATCTTATGGCAAAAAGATTGTGCGGAAATCTAATTGCGCCATATCGTGCAAACTAGTGTATCACCATAGATCCAAAAATTTCGCAGATGCACCTCTTCCTCTTATACTGTCGCAAGACCATGGCGCGGAAGATTGAATAATGATGCAAGATTTACACCTCAGTTGTGAGAAGGAAGACAAATCGAATCAAGTGCTTCCTCACCAATGGAGATCTCACATACATCACCTTCCCGTATAATTAGCGAGAATTGACCCCATGAAGACCTGGAACAGTTGTGGATAGCTCATTACAAGCCTTAGTCCGGATACGCCCAAGTTTGATGGTTTTCAAAATCGAAATGAAATTTCAATGAACGATCGACTGCCCTATTAACTTATTCTTGATGTTGCTGAATGGTCAACACCAAGGTGAAGTATATTATATGTAACATGATCTATGTTATTCTCGTTTAACATGATCAATTGGGTTAGTGGATGTGAGACGTCAAATGTGGGGGGCATCTTCCATAATCTTAGTCATTCACACCTCAATATTAAGGTCGTCATTATTGTAGTAAAGAAAAACAATACTTGACGCCGTTTTGATTTTTTTTTCCCTTTTTGTCTGATGATACTCAGACAGGCACATGGGATATCTTCATTTCACCCGTGTTTATACCTAAGGAATATAAGAACCGGCAAGGAATCATCACCCAAGAAGCTCAATTCGCGATGATGTTTCGTGAGGATACAAGCCTCAAGGGCGGGCAAATATTGAAATATCGGGCGCATTCCAATCGCTCTCAGTGTAAGGGAGAAATTGTGAAATACCAATAAGATATCCAGGAGAAATCAATCGGACTACAAGTAGGAATGTGAGAATACATTCCTACTCAGAACTGCCATGACAACTTTTACATCTTGGCAGTCTCTGTTTGTTGTTTCTTTTTTTCGAACTTTTACCATCATCTTTTCGTCTAATTTTCTTCGCGACCTACCCTTTACGAAAAGTGATATCGCAAGTGCAGATATTATGCCATAATATGAGGAAGTGCTTTTCACAGATATAGTGTCATTCGCATTCATTTAGATTTGACCACGGAGGGAAGGACGTTCAAAGCATCGAGCTTGGAATTCTGCGATACACTCAATTGAACATTTTGTACAATTTGATTTTTCGAATATGCCTCCTCCGTCTATAGGAGCGGAAGTTCCAGTAGGGTCCGGCAGTATACCTTTGGGTGGGATCATTGGTATTGCCATTGGCGGTGCTATCGTGTTGATTGTGCTTGGAGTTATAGCAGTCACATATGTAAGACGAAATCGTCGAAATGCAATCAGACTTCGCAGGGATAAAGTTCAAGATGACAAGAATACAAGTTCAGCTGGGCAAGCAAATATATCGCCGTATTCACTCCCTCTATTCGCGACCCCCTACCATTATCTACCGCCTAGGAACGTCCCCGGTGGGCGTGGTACGGCGAAGAATACAAGCTTTATTGATGACGATGACGATGAGGAGGATGAAAACGTTGTCAGACCGGGTACGAAGAGATCGTCCGGGCCTAAGTACCTCTTCCAGAAGCATAGATCTAGTATCAGAGATTCATGGCCACTGGCATCCAGGATTCAGACGCCAGCAGCTTCACTCTCCCACGCTCAATCAGAGAAAAACATACGAATAAACTGTGTCGCCCCACCAGGCTATGTTCTCCAGGAGCCGCAGCGTCCGAAAAGGACGTTTTCGAGGAAGTCTCATGTCAAAAATTCCGATTCTGTCGAGGATATCACAATAGTCAATGGGGAGCCTCGAATACCCCGTGGCGGGAGTCGATCTAACTCAGAGAATCAGTTATCATCAATCTTGAAATCAACATCTCAACGTCTCCGAGATACCCATAGACAATCTGTGAGGAGAAGTTGGAGCAATCTAGGGCGATTTCCAGGATCACCCCCCAAACAAAGACTACCTAGTCCACCTTTAAACAAAGCCACAGAAAGTAGAGAAGTTCTTCTTGCATCTGAATGCTCTACTTCAGCCATCAGTTTATATAGAGAAATGCAATCACCACGAACTCCAAGCCCTGGAAAGAGAGTTCCACGAGCGGCTGGTAAAGCATTCAAAACTCGAGGGCGATCACCGACACCATCTGGAGACTCAGATGATAGCCTTTGTGGCATTGATACACCCGATCTTGTTATTCCGGCGCAGCTAACTTCACCAAGCAAAAGTGGACGAAGATCCGAACAGCGCCATCAAATGAATCTTTCTCCTACCAAGGGCTCAAATGGAGAAGTGAAGACAAACCGGATTTTAAAGACATCACTCACAAATGATCCATTCTTCTCATCAGTTAAAAGGTCGAAAGTCATGCCATCTACTACAGTTCATGAGCCACAACCTCTCTCCATGAGAAAAGCTACTTTCGGGCAGGAAGAGATACGAGAGCAAGCAATGATTCATGGTGACTTGCCATTAAAAGACATTTCAGGAAATCAAAAAGGGCCACTGGTCAAGAAACCTCAACCCCCTCCAACATCAAATGAGCTCAACCCGTTCCAGTGGTCACCAAAAGAAGCTATGCAAACTCGACCCATGACAGCAAGTCCTAATAAGATCTTATCTAAGAGAAAGGGACACAAACGTTCGAATGTGATAAGAATGTCTGGTTTATCTAGACCAACAAGTGTTAGTGTGGTCCATGAAGAGTCGGAAGGGGACTCTCCCGGCATGACAATGATAATATCTCGACCAACTCTCCGTGTAGTCGAGCCAAGTCCTTCATGTGCTTCACTGGCCAGCCGACAGTCTAGTGCTATGCCTCGACCCCCGTCAGCTTCTACCTTCAATCCCAGTATCTCTGTACCCTCTTTGAAGCCAGGCTCACGACAGGTGTCATTGAGTCGTGAAGGGTCCGCAACACCACCTCCTTTGAGGATAAGTCCAGCTTTCAATATTCCACAACTCAAACCAGTGGAAAAACATACACCACCCGAACGCGAAGTATACACCCCTACTCCACCTCCTTCAAAAGTCAACTTGATTCTCAGCGCTCCTCCACTGAAGCCAATTGAACGATATAAATCTGGATCCTCAAACCCCGATGAATACTCCCCGAAATTATCAGTCTGTAATTGTTATGCCGAGAACTTGAAATCTGAAGTTGAATTCTTCAAACATGCTCGATCATCACTTGCTATGAAGTCCCAAGTCCGTCGTCATATACAGAACATTAATGAAGAAATCATAAGTCCTAATACCCCAACGGATACTTTGGTTTCTTTTCCGGCACTGCCTCCGCCAGAACCAGTCATAAAGGAAGACAAAATTCATCAACCTGATGTTCTGGAGTCTTGGAGGTTAGAATGTCCGCCATCACTAGCTAGCAATCCGTCGAATTTCTCCCGAATACCAAACTCGACCATCTCAAACTCAAGAGCAAAAAGCCCTAAGCGTATATCTTTCAATGAGATTCTAAATAATAGACCATTCAGCTCTGCACGCTTTTCTCAGTCCTTAACTAACACCTCGAACAACGCATTGGTTCTTGGTCCTAGACCCTTCTCGCGCGCAAATCCCCCGTCTCCATTGAATATTCCGTCCACATCCTTACCCGCACCGCCAGTCCTCAGCCCACCTTTACCAATTCCTGTTCATCTAACCGGACCTCGACCAGAACCATACAAATCTGGCTCATTTAGCACTGCTATGACCACTCTTGCATCAAATACTCCCAACTCCACTCGTGAGTCAATTGCTACGAGTATAGGTCTCTTGCGTCGAATGAACTCTGAGATTTCCTGCATCAGTGCTGGTGATACCGATTCTTCTCCGATGGTGCCTGGAATTGGTCTTGACTGGAGTGAGCGACATCTTACAAGCCGTTCATCTCGATTCTACCTCTCCATTGGTTCGCCCATCGATGGAGCAGCGGTTCCAAGTTATCGGTCCTCTCTCAGTATGCTCTATCCGAATTCATATTCTGCATATTCCAACTCGTATTTTCCTCAAGGAAACGACTCAAGTACCAGCGTCAACAGTATTGGCGAGAGACGCCAATCGAGGAGTGACTTAATGAACCCCAACTACGGGAATCTACAAGAGATACTTGAGGATATCAATGCGAGTCGTGAGGGAAGCAGAGGTGCAAGCACCAGAGGCAGTAGTCCAGCAGCAATGGGAAGACATGGATTAAACGTCAAGGAAAAGAAATTATCCTTGACGAATTTGACTATCCTTCCTGATGGGGGAATTGGTTACATGATGGACTATGACGATGAGGATGAAATTGTTATTGAACCCTTGTCGTTATCGAAAACAAAGACAAATATAGAAAAGGAAGTAAAAGGAATTAAAGAAACCAAAGATACCCGCTGGTCCGACGCAATGATTAAGCCTCTCACAAAAACCACTCGTCGAGAAAGTAAAATGGAACATCCCCGCCCCAAAACACCACCGAAGTGGGGATGGAGCCAAGCGGTAAATGTCGCAAAAGAAAGATTGAGTAGAAGTCCAACCAGGGATAAGGAGAACGTGGTAGATGGTGATTGGGATAGAGGAAGAGATAGTCCTGAGAGTCTAGGGCTGTATGATCAAGATGGATTCTTAAGAGCTTCACCGGAACGAACGACTGTAGATGCGGATGAGAGTGAGGAAAGTAGGGAAAGGGTAAGGCTAGCGGCAGTTAATGCGTTGACGGGAGATTTAATGGAGTAGAAGAGGAGAGAGAGGTTATCTGCGCACATAGTTACGTCATAAGATTTGGATATGTAGGATTTATGGAATGCATAAATACAATGTGAGGAGCGGAGGGGCGGAGGGGCGGGAAGCACGGAGATACTTGACTCCTTCATCGTGAAGTTTTCCTAATGTACAAGATTATAGTTGATCTTTACACCTCTAGCATCGGATGATTTCTATATCATGACGTCAAATAATTTATTTGATATCCCAACATTTGTCATTTTTGTTTATCATCTAGTTCATACATTTAGTCATCAATTTATATTACGCTGCTGGTTGGCGGCAATGAGATATTCAATTCCCTAAAACCACTTGAATCTTCTTTCTAGAACAACTATTCAATTTCAGGAAAACCGATCGCCGAATCTCCAAGAATCACAAATAATATCCAATTCCCACATCTTCATCCGTCTTCACCTCTACCTTAGCCCAAAGTTTCCTTTCCCAGTTCCTTCTCCAATACCTCAGTCACCCCTTCATCTCCGTGGATAAGAACCTCCGATTTCTTCAACGAGTATTTGACTGGTTTTGCAGCGTTAAAAATTTCGGTTAATTCTTCGAGCTATGATTTTATGACTGTCAGTCAAAGCTCACAGTTTATGGCTCTAAATTGGATAGATTGGGTTGGGTAAATGGGATTAAAAGAGAGCGGAATGATCGTGCTTACTGTTCTGCCTTTGGTTTCTACGAAGAAAAGCTATGCGGTATTAGTTGATAAGCTCTGTTGTGTGGCAAACGGGAAGGAAATTCAGACGTCATGGTAAGGGAACTTACGTATATGAACGCCACTTCAAGTAAATCCCAAAATATGAACCTGAAAATAATCAGTACATCTCTCAGAGCCCATTTCATAAGTCCCAAGTCAACGCTCAAAACAACTCACAAATAATAATACCTCCACCCCGCCCCACTAAACGCGATCCCCGTCACAAAAGTATTATAAAATCCCGCTACATTTCCCACTGAAGTATAAACGGCCATTCCCTTCGCTCGACTTTCATACCTCAGAACCTCCACCGCATAAAGACCCTGCATCGGCGTCCAACCCACCGCAAACACAAATGAGAAGAGGAAAATCATGGCGATTTCGGCATTAGACGCTGCTGCGGATTTTGCGACCGTGAGATGAGTGTCGGGATCGGTGGTTGTGTTCAAGGCGTTGAGGATTAGGATGATGAGGAAGAGAAGAGATATGAGGGAGGTGGAGATGAGAAGTTGAGGGCGGCGGCCCCAGTGATCGGTGTAGGCTGCTCCTATGAGAGCACCGATGAAGGAGAGGACTGATTGCATGCCTTGCTGGTTCCGATGAGTTGTGGATTTGACAGGGGGATAAATGAGTGGAATGCTTACGAGAAGTAATTGAGTGTGATTATCCTCTATTCCTGCACCCGCTAGCATTTGTGGGTAGTAGTAACTGACGGGACCTACTCAAATGTCAACCCTGAAATCCCACCCTATGATTCATTCCTATAGAACTCAAAATAAAAATATAAAAACGATACATACCATTACCAGTCCACTGACCAAACAGAGCAATAGCACAAGTTAGCATTGTACGATATCGAACTTCCCTCGAATCAAACAATTCTCTGAAATCCCACCACCGCTTATCAGCACCCGTTTTGGAGATTTCCTCCATCATCTCACGGAGTTCGAGTTGCACTAGAGGAGAACTGCGATCGCCTTCACCGTGATATTTTGCCATAATGTAGATTGCTTCTTCATGACGATCATTTGCTACCAGCCATCTTGGACTCTGTGTCTCATTAGCATCACTCTATAGAATCTCCCGAGCATTTTGTCCTCAAGGAGATGATGAAAGAACATACCTCTGGCAGGAACAGTACCGAGATGAAGACAATCCCCGAAAACGTCATCTGCAACCACAACGGTATTCTCCAAGCTTGAGATCCATTGATGTAACTCGTAGCATATGGTACTGCCAACTTTAGCACTTGATTTAAGAAGGAATTCGGAGCCAATACTAACTAAATGTCCCAGGTATAGCTCCCACGAAATAAAACGTCGTATAAACACCCGTCATCGCGCCTCGAAAAGATGGATGCGCCATCTCGCTTACACTATACATCGTGAGACTTGTCTGTTCTCCTTCCCTTCCACTTCAAATATTCAGTATGAGCTTACTAGGGTAAAGCAGAACTGGGACCCATTGCCGCGCCGACACCTTCGGAAATTAGTATCTTGAAAATTCACATGCCACACAAGTACTACCAGATACGTACCGAGCATAAATCTTCCAATCATGAAAGCCGCCAAGTTCTGACTGGTAGCTTGCACGATTGCTCCCACGATAATAACGCCCGCGCCTAAGAACATACCCCATCGTCTGCCCTTCCACTAACGCACTCATTTCCATTAGCACCTTTATTCCATATAATTTTCCCACCCTCTCATTCTCAACCTCCTCATCCCCCGTTCCTCCCACAATTTCAAAAGAGAGAAACAACCTACATCAGCAGCCGGACCTGCAAACCCCGCCCCAACCAAATTTCCAATCGTAAACATCGCATAAACAATCCCCGTCGCCGGTGTTCCCTCCGTAAGATCAAATCCAAAGTAACTCCTATACTGCGCATACGAATTGATCGAGCTCATCACACTTCCATCGTATCCATTAACTGCAGCGTTTAGCGTGGCTAGAAAAAGGATCACATAAAGTTGTCCCATTCTCCATGTCCACAGACTCGGTTTTTGTTTAGCCGTAGCATCTGCTAGGGCGATGTTTTGTACTGTTTGAATCGTGGTGGATTGTTCTTCGCGGTCATGATGACGCTGTTGTTCGCCACGAGCAGATGTATCTGCGTTTGACGAAGCTTTCCACGCATCTAATTCGGTATTTTTGGATACTGGTTTCGCCATCTTGAAACGTTAAATATGAAGTATGATCTTATCTATGAAAAGATATTGAAGTTGATCATAAAAGTGATGCGAAAGAATTTTTTAACAAAGCCCTCATCTGTTGTTTTGACTGTCATGGAATAAGGGAATTGTATTCACTATTTATCACGAATGAATCAAAGCAAAAGATTGCATGCAGGAAAAGGTTTATGCGTTTTTCGATCTCATCATGGAATGGTACATGACATACCTAGGCACAGGAAAGTAAAAGCCCGAAGTCTAAATCGGCACTCTTTCCCCCATGCAGCGCAAATTACTCGGTCGAGAAAACGCACGTTGACCGGTAATTAAATGATATATATGCACTGTAACGCAAACTTTACAATCATTGGTTTAAGAAGTCATAAATCGAGGGGCACAACGACGATCACTTCACCTTACCCCACTTTTGACGTGCGATTTTCAGGTAGATTCAAGTAAAGCGATAGGAATAGATATACATGAATGTAACGTTTCTGCTTATCTGAAAGGGCTATTCAATGCTGTTGATGTGGTTTGTATTGTGGGTGTGATCGATATACCATGCAAGCAGGAAGGGCAGGAGTATGGTATTTTACATTGGAGTCACAAAATAATGAATGTAATCTTTGCAGATGTAATATTTTGATTTTTTTTTCTATGATACATGTGTATGAGTTTTTTATGCCTCTAATCCCGACTACGATTGGGTGACCAACGTTTGAGGACAACTTCACTCACTTTGTATTTCCCAAGTAATTCATCAACGCTATTTTCCTTGACGTTTCCATCAACAGGCGCGGGTATATCCACGTAAACCAAAATCAAAGTCTTCTTGACCTGTGTAATGACTCGATTGATGCAATGCATCCATGACCAGCTTCTCTCCTGTTTGCCTTTCACATAATTCTGCAAGAATGGACCACTAGACCAGTAAGGATCACTGTATGATGGAAGGATCAAAACAGCAAATTCGGCATGACTAAAGACTGGCCCACGATTATAAAGTAGGTAATCAACCGAAAATTTTGTACCACCACGCACGACCCAGCCTAAAGAACGAAAATGATGATAAACAACATAGTTCACGAGGAATGGATCATCTGTTGATAGACTCGGGTTTGAAGTTGGCGGGAAATAGGACGATTTTCTGAATAGTGAAAACAAGTCTTGATTTGAAAGTGCGAGTTTAGTGACGGGATCAAGAACAGTCAGAGCTCCTAATCCGTATGAGAGGAAGAAAGCCTCTTCCATTGTTAATTGAAAGTGTTCTTGATCTTCAATGACCATATCCTCATCCAGAACCAATTCAGAGATTGCCTCTGGCTTCTCTTCGGTACTTGTAACAGCACGCTCAGGACTTGGTGGTTGCGATGGCAAGAAGGTGGTTTGTTCCACAGTCGGGGAAAATCGAACACTCTTCTGGCGGTCTGATACAGATGTAGATGAACCATTTTGAGGTACATATCCATCAGATGCGCTGTTCGGAACAGAAGCAGTGGAGGCTGGTGTCAACGGTGCATCGTTGACATCAACGCTGGGGGCGATGGGTATTGAGCTGTCAAGGAGTACAACACTTTCTGGTGTTGTAACTAAGCTGTCATCAACTTCAACCAATGTTGAATGACTGAGGTGTTCCTGCGAGTGCCCATCTTCTTGGGTACCAGTATCTAGTTCAGAGGTTGCGGAAGCATCAGTTGCAGAGTTTGGGAGAGCTAGCAATTCCTGAGGACCCACCGGGGCTGAAAGTACATGAGGCTTAGATACTGAATTTTCAACAATTGTGGTAATCGTTCTTGGAAACAACAGATCGCTGCTGTTTTGATGTCTCAAAAGATTGAGTTCTACGAGAGAGTTTGGCAGTGAAAGAATACTCAAGGGTCCGGTAGGTGCGATGAATGACGCGACATTTGAAGATGCAACCTTATCGGCATTTACTGCACTTCGAGACAGTGGCTCTTTGGTGGTTTGGGTCTTTACAACCTCAACAGATGAGTTGGGTAAAGCAAGAAGCTGCATTGGTCCAATGGGCGCCTCCGATAATGTGGTGCTAGTGAAAGCAACATCATCTGTGCTATCTAAGCAATGCGAAACAGATATTTCAGCAATTGCTGCGTTCTGATTTGGCTCAGCAGAAGCGGGAAGATTGTCAACTTCGACCGTTATGGTCTCTTCAGATGGTACAAGTTTGGTCTTTGATAATTCTTTTGCTTGTGCTTCTGCCAATAAAGTCTGATCAATAGCTTCTCTTTCTTTTCTCGCCCGCTCCCACTTGGTTTGTTGACGATCGGCACGACGTTTTCTTGTAACGTCCTCGCTTGCAATCGCTTTTGAAACACCCCGTCGCTTTTTCTCTCGCGTCAGCCAACTCGGTTCACTGCGACTCAGACTTCCTTTCCCATAGAACCCTTGCTCCCAGAGTCCTCTGATAGATCGAGAGTCTGTTATATGAATGGATCGTGTTTCAGGTGAGAACCATCCTTGATAAAGGGTATCAAAATGTGATGAAGGACGATTGATTGTCTGTGACAACCAAACATAAAGAATATGGAAAAGTGAAAGGGGATTGTGGGGTATGAGAGTAGGAAGAGGAAATGTTCGAATGGGAGCAGGAAGCCCGTAGAGTTTGTTCAATTGCTGAAACTTAGAGGGCGGTCTAGGTCCAACATGTTTTGGTTTTGTAGGAGTTGTGGCCTCAATTGGAGCACCGGCCGGGGTCACTACATTTGTGTCTGCCATGGTTGAAAGATGAGACTATCGTGAGGTCATTGCGATTTCCTATGAAACAATGGTTAGCGACTGTTGGGTAGAATCTTTGAGCCAATTGAATCAAGAATACATAAATATTTGCAATGCTCAGATACCGTTGTAGTCTTCTCCGAAGAGAATTGAGCGTACAGAGAGGACGAACAAAGTCAGAGCCGTCACTCTAAGCATCGAATTGAGTCATCACCGCATTGCATGACAGTCAAATTGAATTGAGCTGTCTAGATGGTATATTCCAGATCAAAAGTGTAGAACGAAAGGAATCGACAACTTACAAATCACCAGAACTCTTCTCCTTCTAGTGGGAGAAGATGTTGTGGTCGATGAATTCCTTGGAAAACAATTGTGGTGGTGTTGTTGAAATTGAGAAGAATAAATTTTTTTATCGAGGAAGAAATTTCGAGTTTTGAAGACGGCACTAAATCTCTTATCGGTAAGTGCCGCTTGATCCAAGCTCCTCTGAGCTCTATATACTCCTCGCATATCTGATGCATAAACGCATAATTTAGTATTACGTAATCTTCACGATTCAAACAATATTTGTCGGTACGAGCGCGAAGAAAGCGTGGAACAATTTTGTTTTTGGTCTGAGACTCGATTTCTATGTCTTTCCATAGAAACCCCTAACATCAACCTGACTAGACCATAAGTACTCCATTCTTATTCGTACTGCCATCGATGGAATCGGGCGGAGGAACTCTTTCTACTCTCGAAAGCTCTTGCTGTTAACTCTAGTTCTGGCAACTGTCCCGCGTCTTGAAATGGAAAAGGAAACTTTGATATACATCATAGCCGTGGCATGTTGGATTTGGTATTTCTTCATTCTACTCGTACAAGCGATTGGCTCTACTCAATTGTAAGATTTCCATTTCATACTGCTGTAGCCCCATTGTAATCTAACATATCTTTCCTTTAAGATTTCGCTACTACTCTTCCGTTCCCAAGCCTGCCATCTCTCCAAACTTAGATAGCGACGACATTCCCCAAATTACTATTTTACGACCAGTGAAGGGACTAGAGCCACAATTATACGAATGCCTCGCGGCCACATTCAGACAGACATACCCAGCGAATAAGTTAACAATATACTTCTGTGTCGGATCGTCCACAGATCCCGCATGCCCAGTTCTTCAACGTCTGCTGGCAGACTTTCCCGAATTCGATGCCAAAATTTTCATTGAAGAAGAAGATCCCAACCTGAGCGGTCATGGAGGAGAGATTGGCAACCTTGGACCCAATCCTAAGATTCGAAATATGAGTCGCGGATACAGAGAGGCAAAGGGAGACATTGTGTGGATCCTCGATTGTAATGTCTGGGTTGGAACCGGTACTGCTGGACGAATGGTCGACAAACTATGTGGTTTGAAAGCAGATGGCACAAGGACAACACCATATAAATTCGTCCACTTGTTACCATTGGTTGTGGATACAGTTGGAACCAGCACGGGCGGGGAGACTGAACAACTTCTCACAGCTGGCCAACAAATTACGTCTACAAATTCAATGGCCTCTAACATTACAAACGTTCCCAAGAACGAGTCTAATTTTGATGCAGGCGCAAGAATTGGTGGTGGACGTTTTGAAGAATCCTTCATGGCGTCGTCGCACGCCAAGTTCTACACTGCAATCAATACGGTGTCAGTTGCGCCATGCATTGTTGGCAAATCGAATATGTTCAGGCGCTCTCATCTAAACTACCTCACCTCAACTTCTCCTGATTATTCTCCAGGAATAGACTTTTTCTCGGAAAATATTTGCGAAGATCATTTAATTGGAGACTTGTTATGGCGAAAGCAGGTACCGGAAGAGGAGGCTGGAGAAAGGTGGCACAAACATGGTTTGGTCCCTGGTGACTTGGCTATACAACCAATGGCTGGTATGTCAGTTCGAGAATATATCGCACGCCGAGTACGTTGGCTCAGAGTTCGAAAATGGACCGTTACACTAGCCACATTTGTCGAACCTGGTGTTGAACCCCTTTTATGCTCAGCCTATGGCTCTTTCGCAATCACAACACTACCTTGGTTTCATGAAAATTTAAGTGTACCTCAGACATGGCTTGCTTTTGTCTTGGTTTGGTTATCAAATGTTGCCGTGTGGATGACTCTTGATTGGTTTGTCTATGCTCACCTTCATTCTGGTGCATCTATTGAGCTGGATGCAAATACGCCTTCCTTTGCACGACCTCCACAGACAAGATCGAGAAGACCCTTTAAAGAATGGGCATCTGCATGGCTTGGTAGAGAAATCCTTGCCTTACCTATTTGGATATGGGCATGTCTTGGTGGAACGACAGTAATGTGGAGAGGGAAAAAGTTCCGCGTCAATCTTGATATGAAAGTCATCGAGATCAAAGGCGAGCAAAAATCATCCACTCCTGAAATCGAAAATGGACGAGCGCACAGTAAAGATAGACAAGATTGATTATCCTTGTACAACAGTCAAGTACTACCCAATAATAATATAATATAATATATCATTACGATGTTGTACAGCATTTACATCTTGGCTTCGCCTACAGCTCGTAAATCACTAATCATAGCCAGTGACATCTCTTTACATATATCGGCACAAGTGCGAATCCGGGGCCCCTCAATCTGCAAAATAGGTCCGATCGGAGACATTGGACAGATGCCATAAAAATAATTCCTCAAATCATCGCGAAATTGCGACCCATTTTCCCATAGGTAGGGCTTCGCGAGCCATTGCCAGCTTTATTGTATATGCGACCTTGTTCATTTTCAAATTTCCTTCATTGGGTTGGTTGAGACACTACTATGTTGCTTTCCAAAACCCTGCATATGCTTTCCCGACAGTCTTGCGTGCCATCCAATCTCCCACTTTTTTATTCCTCTTCTTTGCTTGCAATGAGCAATGGTATAGCACATCGATACATTGTTCTCCTTTCTTTTTGCACCATCACTTCATCATGACATGTTCAGATGCGCAACATAGCGGAATTCCCAGCTCGACCCAGAATTCAGTGAAGCGTCAAGCAGCACCACATATTACCGTTCCTAATTAGTCTTGGCTTTTGGCCCCCGTAAGATGTCATCATGTATCTCGCCTACGACTTACATCCATGATATATTTCCGAGCCTGCCAGATTTAGCAGTCGCTAAAATGGAAGCAGAGAAAGTTTCTGAAATTAGAAATCACCCGAATGCTGTGCAGCGATGCTAATCTGCGTTCCGGCTTCGCTTCGATCACCTGAATGCTGTAGCGGCTGTGCGTACATACCCTGCGTATGCACGGTGTTGTCACGACTTTGAGTAGGGCAAGGCTTTGATTGTTGGACGAAAATCTGCTAGAAGACGATGGGAGAGGTGGGGAGTTTATAGTCGGTAAGGGAATTAGAAATTGGTGTTTAAGACTGAGGTCTACTGGTAGGGGAATCTGGAAATGCAATCAGAGAGTGAGAAGATATTTTGAAAAGACACCATCGCCGAAGAAGAAAATAGAAGAAGTGAAGAGCAAGTTCTAGAACGTTGAATTATCTTAACAGTAAACACCACACGTCTTTTTACCAGAGAGAGGATGGGAGTCAACAGTATGTAAGAGATTCTCACTTCCCTATCTTCTCTTCGCTGATATGAACATAACTAACTGTAAAACTACAGACAAAAGAAGTTACGAATACAACTTCAAAATTCCGAACCGCGAACTTCCTCGTTTCATACCGGCGATCAAGCTCAAATTTGTCGAGAGCGAGATTGATTTCGATCCTGCGCAGTCGGTGTTTGATATAGAGATTGAGGAAGACTCGGAGGCGTATATGTTAGTAGGAATTTGTGAGGATATGAATATGACGGAAGTGGAAGAGATAGAAAAGAGAAAGGGGACTGGGGAGGGTAGTAAGGTGTGTGCTTGATGTTATTCTACTAGTGGGCTTGAGGATGGAGCTTATGAGATACTAGGTTCAGGATGTGGATGTGAAGGAGATGAGGAAAGAGATGGAGGGACTGCAGGGGGTGAAGGATCAAGGTATATGCATGTCACAATTTGTATGAATGATAAGAGGACTGAGTAGATCATAGAGAACAAAGAGTCGGATGCTCGTAAAGAGCAGGAAGGGAAGCATGACAGGAGAAGAAATTGATTTTTTCTATATATATATACAGATATGGGCGTTGGTATGGCGTATGAACTTGTGAGTGTAGTACATCTATCATGCAGTTTTGTTCAGTTCCCACAATCAATGTGCTAGTTTCATTGAGGCTTTCGTGGGTCTATACTATATGCTTCATCCATCTCCCTTTTACGTGCTGTCAAATTGCATGTGCAGGAATCTATATCCTTTTGGTGTACCGGCATGGACAAGAGTCAGATATAAAGATACATAGAATGGTAAGTAAGAGTGGACTGTGGGCATCAAATTCTCCAGCTTCGAATCATATATTAGCTGTGGTGCACATCCATGTTGAAAGCTCTCCATTGATGTTACATTGAATCCAATTTACATGGAAAGGATTTGGAACAACTGCGATACTTGATATTAAACTGGGTGTTCGGCTTGTGTGCAAGGTATATCAAGCTCCAAATAGATAGACGAAAGTTGTTTCATGGGATCTATCTAGAACATACCGGAAGTATAGGTCGAAGTCTAGTCTATGAGCTTCTAACTAAGTCTGCACAATCTCTTGATCGTTCTTGTCATTTTCACAATTTACTTCTAGTCAATTACTTGCCTTAACTAGCTAGCTAGGATCTTCAGTTAGTCTTCATGTAGAGTTAGTGAACCAAGCATTTCAAGCATTTCAAGACCTATCAGTCTGATCTGTCATTAGATCTTCATGCTCCTTATGACCAGATATTATTTAGAAAATGTTGAACTCGCATTAGTGCACTTAAGCACTCTCAATTTGAATCTCCATTTCACCTATCAAACAGATAGATCCCATGCGAATTGTCCTCTTGTATTATGGTAAATCCAGTTTCTCGTCCGCAATGAATAAAATCTACTTACCACGGCATATGCACCACCCAGAAAACACAAATGTCCACATCTCTTACTCTCCCTTCTTCCCCCTTCTCCCCAGTCCCAAGGTAATCTGTAACTCATAACCCATAATCCATACTCTAGAATCCCAAGTCACAGTACCTAAGTATCCAAAACCCCCCATTTATATATCTTGTCCTTCTCAGATACATGGCTTATTGTTCCAAAATACGATGGAATAAGTATAATAGTATCGTATAGTCGAGCATCTTGCTCTTTCGCAAGATCTCGAGACTCTTTTGTGTCATGATTTGAACGGGTGAAGTCATGATGATTATTGTTTCAGTATAAGCAAAGAAGTTCTCCCACATGTCGGATGTAGATAATAGTGTACGATGATATCTCTTCAATGAATTAAAAAATAAGTATTACTGATCAATTCTACGCTATTTGTGAGAACATTTCGATTTTAGAATATTATGAAACATTTAAAGGGCCTAAAGGATTAATAAGGTAGTCACTTCTCTCATTCATGAGAACCAAAACGCCAGCCGTGCGATATCAAGACACCCACTCCCAAACTCCCCAGGATGATATAATGCTCCAACAACTTTTCCTTCCATACTTTTGCACACTATCATAGTCCTCCATTTTCCCCATCTACCACTTCTTGGCCTCAACGCCTTCCGGAGGTTGAGTCTTGACCGGAGCTTTCTTAACATCCGACCAATTTGTACTCAAAGCAGTGCCATTACTTTCTTGGAAACTCTTCATCATAGCTCTCTTAGTATCTGGATCTGCATCTTTATAAAGTTTCTTGAAGAAAGAATCCATAGGATCACCGCCTTCTCCATCACTATCTCCGCCTGCATCCTTTTCTCCTGCTTTCTTTTCAGATTTGAGAGCAGATGAGGCGAGGGCATCCCAATCCTTTGGACCATTGCGAGAGGAGGTTGGGTAAGAGGGGGCCTTCTCGGCGGAGGAATTTAAGACTGCAGCGGGGATTTCGGGCTTCTTTTCCTCAGTGGATGTGCTAATGATGGGCTCGGTTCCTTCTAATTTAGACCACTTAAGTCCTTGCTTGATCTTGTATAATTCGATTTCGATTTTAAAGGGAGTAATATTGAACTTGCTCTGCGAGGGATCAATTTGAGCGAAAAGTGGCGAGGCAGTGAAATCGTATGTGTTGCCAGTTTGTCCGATTGGGAATGAAACTTCAACCTTTGACGTGTTAGTTTCTGTAAACCTAGGAGCTCGAAGATAATCTCATACCTGTCCTTCTTCGATATTAATTTGTGCAGTATCTTTCGCGACACCCTTAGCATAAATAGTGATTGTAACTTTCGAGTTGGATTGAATCCATCTACAGAATCTGTTAGCTCTTGGTTTTACAAAGTCGAAAGTAGGTATCCTTACTCTTGTCTAATATTCTCCTTTGCAGTTACTGCAGGGGCGGTGGCTGGAGCTCTTGAAGAACCCTCTACACCTTTGCCCTTGGAATCTTTTAACGACGAATTGACAGCAACCTCCTTGTCAGGAACTTCCTTCACAGTACGCTTATTACATTCCGCTTCCTTACCACCCGCATTTTCGTAATCTATCTTGACCTTAGCCTGCCACATAGTCAGAGCCTTTTCTTTTGGGTTTTTCTGCATGCACCAAGCCAAGCATAATCTTGCATCTCCATATCTGCCAAGACCATGAAGAGCGACTGCGCGACGAAATTGAGCGGTACCGATGAGTTCGCGACGAGAACGAGCGATAGCTGCATGGACGGCGGCATCAGCATCTGCGAGTGATGCTTCGTAATTCTTAGCACGTTGGTTGGCTATGGATCTGGATATGAGGTAGTTTGGAGATGTAGGACTTTCGGCGAGGGCTTTGGTCAAGTATTCGATGGCCGCGGGGTAATCTTTCCTGTCGATGGCCGCAGCGCCGAGAGCTGCTTGAGTTGACATGATGTATTTGTATACTTGGTGATACTTGAGTTTATGAGTTTGTTTGTTGTGAAGTTATTGAGTTTAGATGTTCGAAAATGATGAGAAACCCTTTGGAGAAGAAACGAGGGAGATCAATACATTTATAGATTTGTTCTGTTGGTAATTGAACTGGAAAGTTCGATGGTTCAATCTTCAGCCTCGTCGGTATCCTGTAGTACGGCGCCATGTGGAGCATAAGCCACTCAACTGGACCAATTGAAAAATGGTAAATATTCACATTGGCGGGGTATGATTTAGTACAGAAGCGAGAGAAGCTACCTACGTAGTAGATCGAAGCTTGGTCGTCTAGCGTTATTATCAAATTTGACTGGTTTCTATTCACCAATCGTAGATCATATGACTTTTCTCAGGCAATTTGACTATATGAGAGTGTTCACTAGAAAATTTATTACCTAGTAAAGTATAGATATAAGTATTATTACATTAAGCTAGTAGGCATTACATAGTCATTACGCCACTCCAAAACCTGAATTAGATAGTCTCCCCCCTCGTGTCATCACAAAAGTTCAACATCTCCATATTTCTTGGCGAATAATCCCAGTGCCTTCATTGGAAAGATGAACTTGTAATTAGGATACGAGATCATACAACTCTTGTTGAATACACCCTCAATGGCCTCTTGCAGCCATTCTCCATTGGCTTGTTGCCGGCTCATGATAAGCTTCAATCCCCTTTCGATTGGTGCACGATCTGGGTAGTTGGCCTCAATCAAAGCAATACATGCCCAAGCTGTTTGTACAACTTGAGAACCAGATGGATGCTCAATATATTCTGCTTGTTCACAGGACTAAAAAAATGTTAGAATCGTTTGTAATCATAAGTGAGAGGTTGCATACCTTATAGCTTTCAGACCATCCACCATCACTTCTTTGCTTGGAAATGAAAAAGTCGCATCCTTTTCTGACATGCTCACTATTCTCGTAGGTTTCCCCAATACTTGCAAGACTTTCCAGAGCAAACATTCCAGCATACGTGAAACAAATACCCCAGCTACCATACCAGCTACCATTGGCATATTGGGCTCTTCGGATATATTCAATAGCTCTACCCTTAAAAGCTTTGATTTCGGATGCACGATAATCCGGATAGTATTTTGAAAACAACGATAATGCTGTGACTACAGCGGTTGTGCACTCAGGGTAATCGTATTCGATCATGATTCTACCAAATACCTCGGCTGCATTCAACATCTCTAAAGCTTCTGAACCTCGAGTTGGCTCATAGGATGCGCAGCCACCAGATTTGTTCTGGTATGTTAGAATAGTATCAATGGCATCAAAAATTCGTTGGTCCTCCAGCAAAGTTGGATAGCCAGGCGTTCGTTGTAGAATCAAGACGGCTTTCAAAGCTTCGGAAATACAGTCACTGACGGCATATCCTTGATCTTTATTACTGAAGGCCCAGGCTCCTTTTCGTTGTTGACGATAGCATATATCTTGATCGTCGACATTCTCTCTAATTTGTTGATCCTCAAGAAACTCGAGTGCCTTAGTCAACATGGGTCTCCATCTTGGATCTTCAGCCAAACCAGCATCCATCACGGCTTGAATCAAAAATGCCGTATCCCAGCATTGTACTCCATTCGTTCCATTCATCAACATACCTTCATCCTTGACCCACATGAAGTCAGCCATTCGTTCGCGATGTCGTTGTACGGAGTACGCATTAGGTCCCTCTTGAACATAGCACGCAAGAAAGTTCATAGTTGCATTGACAGGTCCGAGATTGGAAAAATCGGTGTTCTTATCTTCCATTTGAACTAGTTTGAATACCCAATCTTCGGCTTGCTTGGCCAATGCATCAGTCCGGAGATATGGATTGTAGATATTAACGAGAAACCAATTTGCTGTGTTTAGGAGCCATGATTTTGGATGATAATTGTCTCCCGGATGAATGCTGTTTCGGTGTTCTGCCCAATTGATAGCTGTGTATGGTTCTACGAAAAGCTCCTGTCGTAGTTGCGCAACAATGGGTGTCGTTTTATATGCGAATTTCTTCGACCAGATAAATGACATAGGAGCATAAACTTGGCGCATGTGAATCCACCATCTCCAAGGATGGAAAGGTACCCAGTCAGGTAACAACCAAAACTCTGGCGGTACGGGGTTGACTATATCCCATTGACATACACCGAGTACGCTCAGCCAGAATTTTGCCCAATGCGGTCCATTCTTAGCGCCACCAAGCTTGTGTAATGTTCCTCTCGCCTTGACCATTCGTTCGTCCTCTTCACTGACTCCGACCAAACGGAGAGTAGTATAGTTCATGGCAGTCCCAAAAACGCTACTCTCTCCCTCAATGTGTAATCCCCATCCTCCGTCATCTGGATGTGCTCGTGCAAATAGATAGTTTTTAATTTCTGTCGCAATATGATCCGGAATTGGAGTTTCGGTGACGGTCCAAGTGATGACCAGACCGGGTAGCAGGAACATTGGACCACCGTACTCACATGCCCAATTGCCAGGGGGAAGCTGAAGTTTTTCGAAGAATTCGAGACAATTGTTAACGGAATCAAGAGGACTATGAGCTTTCGGAAGATCTGGTAGACCCTGTCAATATTGTTAGCAATGATATTATAGCAAAGCTCAATTTTCATACTGTTGGCAATCCTAAGAAATACTTGTCTGCAGTTGTTTGAGGCCATTCCGCGGCATCTTCATCGTTTTCAAGGTAATGCCATGTTTGCCTACCTCTCTCGTCGAGTAAACGCCATCGAGAGTAATCTGTACGTTCCTGTATTTTTGGCCGTTTCGTAGTCTGCGTAGTGTTCGAGGAATCAAATGATCTTTTTTCACCCGTCTTTACTTTGCTCTCGGCGTCACCCATAGGATTGAGCTTCGTTCTCGCCATATTAATCAAGATTAAATTTGAATAATATGATGCAATTGTCAAAACATAAATTGTGTCCGAGTAATTCTAATAAAGTTACAAGCTTTGGTGGACCCCTAGATATTTCAGGGGCCGTTAAGGCGGTCAAGAATGGCAGCTGGAGGTCACCCTACTTTAGCGTATTCCACATTTTCTCGTCTCCCGTCTTCCCCGCGGATCTTCAAATGTTCCAATTTTAGACATCAGACGTCAAACATTCAAACATTCGAACATTTGGAAAATTATGTGAAAGTCTTCTCCAAACACCAACATTCGATAAGGATTCACTTCTAGCTGATAAATGCCGAACCAAATTAAAGAATGCTATGGACTTTGATCTTTTACAGAATATTCTGAAGGATACGCCGTCTTCATCATTTCAATTGCTACATGATTTACCTTCCAAAAAACTAATCAGTGAAAAGGCTTCTACAGATCACAGTAATGAACAAGAGTCCGCGCCATCTCAACACGGAAAGCAGAATAACGATATCAATCCGTTGACAACACCATTATCAACGCCTGAGAGGGTTGAAGATCTGAATCCAAGGAACACTTCTACGCTATCTTACCAAACAGGATCTGCCATATGCAAAATCGAAGAAATTTGCGAGGCCATGACTGATTGTATGATCGGACGAAGGAAACAATTTTCTATCCATTTGAAATCTCGAAGTCTGGGCACAAAGAATGTAACTCCAGGGAGTAAAGAAGTTTTTGGATCAAGGGTTGTGCAGTTTCCCAGTTCCTCGCCTCGAGAGGCGTGGAAATTTGGTAGATCTGATGTCTTTGTTTAACAGCCCTTACTAATGTCAATATAGTCGCGTTGCTACGGATTCTGGAACTTTCTCATGAGGCGCTTGTTACTGGAAATATCATCAGCAAGAGGTATACTACCATCACTTGGCACTGATATCCGTTTCAGACTGACAATGCATCATTAGGGACATGTATTATCGAGACCCGGAGCTCTTTACGAAACAAGCAATTGTCGATCGCTTCGTAGATGACATCGCGTGTACTCTTGGATTGAAGCGCGACGCCCTGAATGTGGTCAGTGAACTCCTCTCCGAGACAGCGTCAATTATTGGCTGACTGGCATTTCGCAGATGGCTGCTGCCAAAGGATTAGTTATAGGCTGGTTTACTTTGAAGAGAACGAATCAGTCCATAATGGATTATTCATCAGCAGCAGAAGTTTGCGCCTAAGCACTCTCTTTGTGTCATGCCTTCCCACTAATCTTGTAGTTACAACTAGTACCATGGGTAAAAGAAATAGAAGAGATGGACCTTTCGCAGGTCAAATGGATACTGGTAATTGAGAAAGAGGTTGGGTACACTTTAACGCGACCTTGCAATATCACTGACTGCAGATAGGCGACGTTTCGCACACTGGCGGAAAAACGATATTGGGAATTTTCGAATGCGGGGAGAGGGATATTACTTACAGTATGTATTTCGGAGGACTTCTTCTGTAGTATTTAACAGGATCTAATCATATTAGGCAAAAGGTTATCCTGATATACACAGTCGACAGTTTCTCTACTATTTAGCGAAGCATTATCCAATAATACCGATATATGCTTTGGTGGACTTTGATCCTGACGGTATAGGTATCATGTCCACATACAAACATGGCTCAGTCGCACTCGCACATGAAAACGGAAATCTATCAATCCCCTCTATGCGTTGGCTAGGAGTCAAAAGTAAGGACATGATGCAAGGAGGAAAAGAGAACGAGGGATTACTAAAATTGTCGAAACGCGACAGACGACTCGCAGTGAAGATGCTGCAAAGAGATGTCTGTCAATGGGGTGGAGATGAATACGAATGGAGGAAAGAGATTCAAGTCATGTTGATGCTGAATAAGAAGGCGGAAATCCAGATTATTGGAAACGGCAACGCGTTAGAGAATTGGCTGAATGAAAGTCTGGAAATTGAAAAATAGACTGAAAGTATCAAAAGAAACAAATGTTAAATGGATCAACAAATTATAAAACAATGGAAAGGTAAAATTTTTGGTGAGATCGCGAACAATTTGCAAAATACACAAAATGATAAAACGTCAAAGTTTTCCTTTCTACCTCGCACAAACTCATCACTTATTAAAACTGGGCAGTTCAAAAACCAATTATCGATGGCACAAAAAGTCAAAAAGATAATTAAATCGACCACGCGCTATATTTCTCTACTCCACGTGAGCTGTGGTTTACCACACGATTCTTGACGGTCACCTGGCCAGGGCTCCAGATCAAGGTACAACAGGGACGGGGACTTGCCAACACGGCTATACAGCCGGTTTTGTGTGTTGACGAGAAAGGTGATGTGGTTCGGGTATTTGTGTGGAGGGAAGCTTTGGCGTGGTGAGATTTTATGCCGTAGGTTGGGGAACGGGTGGGCGGCAATCATGGGATGAGATTAGATGAGCTTGTTCTGGGGTGTACCTGGAGTGGAGACTGATGATACGTATGTTGAAACGGTATGATGCTTGATATTTCTGCTGCTCTGTATGTTTCTGTTTGGAGATTCAGCTGTGTTTGCTAGATGCAGCGGTTTCCGCGCTTGAGTTTGTAACATATGCTGCTTGTGAGTGCCAGCGGGATGGGGTGGTGTTCAGGTGACAATTGAGAAACATGTTCATAAGATAGGTATTGCAATCAGCTACTCATCTCAGTCTTCTATTTTCCTAGTGGAAAATAGCAACACCTATGGTATGACTTCTGGTATCGTGTATTTTGGGGTTGTTAAAAAATCACTCTCTCATATGTTTAACGCTCAGCTCTGAAGTTACTTGTTTGTTTGTGTAGCTTTTTGTGACTTTCTTTTTTCTTTCAATGCTTTTATTCTAGGATTCTTTGACTAGAATGACTTAAGAAAGGCCTTCCTGCCGATATTTTTGCTAATTTTGATAAATCTACGGCTATCCATTCTATTGTCGTCTAATCTATGTTTGGGCATATATAATTTTGAGCTATAAGCCACGTGAAGGAAGCAAAATTTATTATTTTGGAATCAGATAAAGCTAGAACATCAGGAGCATGACGCATGCTCAAGTTAGGAGGATTTCTTCACATGGGCATGAAGAAAGAAAACTGCCTAGCCATGTTTCTAGAGGGACCAAGCCGATCTTCTTCCAGCACTTAATATTTTACTTGCCATTTTACTCACAATGATTCATCATGTTTCCCCATGTCACTGTACTGTTTTCTTATCCTGCAGCATGATTCATTGGGGTACAAAGTGTTATACTGTTGTTTCCCCTCAACTCGAGCCCTTGGGAATGTCGACAACTTATGGGGTATTTCCAGATCTGACCTTGTGATGCCTCAATACCCATGTTGGACTGATTATATAATCCTGCAAACCGTTTACCTGTTTGTTAATATTTTATTCCCTCAAAGTTATCAATCTAATGATTGTTTGCTTATCAGTTACTTAAGACGAACAAGATATTCACTCTTTAAACTGGAACTCAAGACTACTCACTTTGAGCCTGTAAATTGCATGTATATACATGGTACTTAGTCAGTATTCTTATCAGACGATAGAGAAGTGATACATTCTTGACGATCATATATGAATTACAATAATAGGTAATGTAGCGTATATATTGATAAGACCTTTTTATCCAGTCAGTTGAATGAGACGCAGGGAATCGCTGAAATTCACACAATATATGCACAGTTGTTTTAATGTGATCTCCATCTGTGAATGAATACACTAATTTTCGAAGTGATAATTACAAAACATTCTCCTTTTTGCATTATCTTAAGTTTTTTACTGGACTAAAATGAGTCAACAACTAATTTCTCGGGTAACCCTGGAATCATCAAATCTGTATCTCGAAATTCAACAGCAATTTTATGGTTACAAGTTATGTAATCTCCGACAATTGAATACTACAGCAACTACAAAGCCTTCATTGATCTCTGGACCTCCAATCAACTTATCCGATTGCAAGAACAGCCACTTATAACGATTTCAAAAATGCATCTTAGCCACATTGCAATAATAACCTCGGGGTTTAAATTAGTTCGTCTTTGTCAGGATATGAAGCTAGCTGTAAAAAAGATACCCATATCGATATCTATCATCTATCGTCTATCCATCTCCCCATGCAATCATCAATCATCAATAATTTTCCACAAACGAAAATTCTTTTTCGTGACCCCGTTCACACTCTCATTGCCCCTCTCTACACAGCATCCTAAGCTTAAAAAGGAGAATAAGTATAAACATTTCCCAAAGTGCTCAAACTTCCATCTGCATTGCATAAGGAACCTTGCGGTTCGAGGTTGTAGTCCGAAGTGCACATGAACCAGGAATAGCGGGAGATCCAGGAGAGGTTGTCCATCCAGGGCATTACTTGGCTGATGAAATTTTCTTGCTGGGCTTCTGTGGCTGGGTTCAAGAGGGTGAACTGTAAGGGCGAAGGTTAGCAGATGGTCGGTTGGAGGGATGGTTTGGGATTGCGGATTTAGAGTTGTAATTTGAGCAGGGGGATTGCGAAGCGGAAAATTTATGTATGAATGAATGATAATGAAGTGATCCATAGAATGATGGAGATGATTTGTTATGAAGGTTTTCTTATAATGGCAGGGAATGATCGATTGGAGGAGCTGTGAGAAAGGAAAGAAGGGGATGAAAAGGAAAGAATGTCATACCTCAGTAACCCAAATTGGACGATTTCCACCAGCGGCATAAGCAGCAACAACATAATTATAAAAGTCTGCTAAGTAGTTTTGACCACCAACACCCTCATACCAATGAATTGGTACAAAGTCAATCTGGCAGCCTGTGCATAAGCTCAAGAAAGATTGCAATCAAGGCAATCCGCTAGGACCATTTGTAACTTGTGGAGCACCTAATGCAGCACGTCCTGCAAAAGGTTGAATGTAGGTCTTCCAGGCATTGACGGCTTGTTGAGGACTCATGCATGATTGGCCTCCTCCACATGCATCGGGTTCATTGAACGCCATAATGTGACCGGTACCACGAGTAATGGCGGTGTTGTCGTTGGCGGCCCAATTGGAGGTGTGATCGGAGGAGTCGGACCAGAGACAAGGGATGAATTCCATGGAGGTAGGGAAGGAAGTTGGCATGTAGGAGTCCCAGTTCCAAGCCCAGTTGACTTGGGAACCGCCGCCGTTGAAGTGTTAGATGAGGGAGACGTCGTTGAAGGGGACACCTCGCTTAGGCCAAGTGGCGAGTGTAGTTTGGGCGAGGAAGGCCAGGAGGAGAACGGAGAGTTGCATGATGGTATTCATGATGTATATACTGGGACATATTAGCTTGCGCCAGGGGCTGGGTACAAGGGGGATTGGCAGGGGAAAGCTGGAACTTACGTTTAGAAGTCAAGAAGATGTCAGAACTCAATCGCTAATATCTTTGTGAAACAGAAGGCTTCTACGATAAATTAGAGCCAGGAACAAAGGTTTTGAATAGAGTAGATTGTTGTTCCATGACAGAAGAATCTGAAGGATGCAGGCAAAATCTGGATTTCAACTTACCTGATTGTGTACGAAAAGAGTGCAAATGGATTGTGAGGAAGAAAAAGTGTAGGGCAGAAGTGCTGTTGGAACTGTAACGGAAGGAGAGATCAAGGGAAGGAGGGAGGAAGGGAACTCTTTTGTCTCCCTTCATAACTACGGGTTGATCGGGAATCTGGAGCTAAAAAACTGTTGAACTAGTGTGGACAAGAGTAGAAAGGGATATTCCGATATTAGAAGAGCTGTTGAAGCTGTTGAAGATGTTAATGGGGCCGACAAGGTGTTGGTGTTGATATTGAATACGCGCTAGTAAAGAGTGCACATAGATAACTTGCTCAATTGATACTGTTGAAGGACCCACAAGCTTCAAGCTTACGTCAAGTTTAGGTGAATAGTCAATTTGAGGGTTGGTGCGAATTTGACTAGTTCCTACAATTAGACGTTGACTACTAGGTTGGTAGTACTCAAATCTATAAAGCTATTTCTGGATACAAGAGGTATTCAGATCAATTTATCTTGAGGGCAGTTTACAGGATCAGACGAAGTTCAACAGCTATGTGATTGGATGAGTAGATAAAATGAGGACTAGTTGGGTCTTCTTGAGGCTTTAAGGCGGCATTCGAACGAAATCTCTGCTAACCTTGAGCAAGTTTTATAAATTAGGATTTTTAAAAACAATTCAAAATAACTCCTAAAATATCCAGATACACAATGAAGCTTTCTGAAGATAATAAAACTTCGATCCCTAGCAACTGCTTCGATCTCTAGTAGTAGTTCTTGCAATATTTGTGCATCGAGAAATTCTTATATCATTCACTTAAAAATCCACCCAGGTTCGGTATATATAAATATTTAGACGAGGCTTTTTTTGGATGAGACAAGTTTGCGGGGGAGAGGTCTTGATGAACACTGGCTAGTAGTGTTCCGAAGAATTGCAATGAATGGATCATGATTATGATATGCACAAAGAAAGCAAAGAGATTGTTCTTATGAGATATGAAGGTAGTGAAGCAAGAACCATGGAAAACACACAGTCCACCATCAACAAAACATTATATCGATAATAGTTGTAGGTCGCATATAGAGCTCAGTTAAATGCCACTATGAAAACATGAACTGAAGAACAAAGTCAAGGAAGAATTTGTTTTACCAAGCAGACTTGAAAGCAATGAAGAGTTTAGATTTCAGCCAACAGGTGATAGACATGCAATAATAAGTGTTGCTGATAAAGATACAGATTATCAACAAGGCTCACAACAGGAAGGCTAGTATTTTGAACACTGTTCATTCAATGTTAACCTCACAAACAAGTGATGTTTCCCATAATAGTCATGTGATAAGTATCACGTGTCGAGAAACATTGGCTCCAGGACTTCTGGGTATGTTTCAGCCTTGACATATCAGCCATGTTCTACTCCTAGCAACACCTCCTTCATGATGCAGAATCCTTCGAGCACTCTGCATCGGATCTATATCGAGGAAACCCATGTATTCAAATGATGATTAAGTGGCTGAAGTAGCCCTACCCCAGATTTTCAATCCCTTGATCAGATTAGTCAAAAGGTTAAAACAACGACTTTGCTAAAACTGTTGATCTCAGGGTATTTCTAACCGATTGCAGAAGTTCAACGTGTCGATGCTCAAACATATGGCATTTGAAGATAATCTTCTATGTTCTCGTAAAACATTATCATTGATAAGAAATAATCAGTAAAGGGATACTACCGCCCAACTTAGAAGCAAACCCTCGAATCAGGCTTGACCGCCACACCGCTTAACCTATAAATGGTACAAATAATGATGTTCTGAGTCAATAAGGGGGAGCTGACCAGGGGTCAAGAAGCAGGGACAGAGACATGTGTAAAGTCCAAGCCATGAGTTGCGCTTTCATGAATGATAACAATAAAATTGTTAATTAAATGCTAATTGGCAGAGTGCTGGAACATTCAAGTCACCACAAGCTGTGAAGGAGTAAATATGGTGACGGAGTAGCATTGGAGTGGTGTCAATACATGATATCATGGATTACATAATATAAGCAGAAATCGAAAGTGGCTAAAAGTGGCTAAAAGTGGCTAAAGGTCCCAGGGCAGGTCCATGGGGTGGACTTCAGTGGCCACAAGTGGCTAAAAGTGGCTTGTTCCACTCCATACAGAATGATTTCCCAACGTCACCCAATCAAAATTAAGATAAACAAAATCATTCTCCACTTCCCTGATAAGAACATCCAAATCTAGAATTGATGAATTTATTTCTTGGGTTATACCAAAACCTTAATTGATCAACTCAATACTGAGAACTGTGAGTCAAACACAGAAAGGGTCACACACTTTCTGATGAACTAACTATGCATTGACTCCAATCTGTTTGGGTAGGAAGGTGATACAGAAAGCCATAAGAAGATATATCTTGGCCAACATCTCAGCTACACGGCGAACTCACGAATTCGTCCTACCGAAAGACATTCCCAAGTCACCATGAAGTTTGCAAAGGAACTTGAGCAAAGCCTCGTGCCTGGTACGATATTCACCACTTTTTACGTATATTTCAGCTCGAATTGCAACTGATGATCGTGTAGAATGGCGCGTAAAATACCTCGATTATAAGCAAGGCAAGAAGAAGGTTAAAGCAGTCGCTCGTGCAACCAATCGTATAAATTCAACCCCTCGATCAGATGCGCGGACGAATCTGAATCCTCAAAGTGGCGGTATATACGGTGCTACATCTCCTCTCGCCCCGAGAAAGCCTCAACCGTCTGGAAGGTTTGATGGTACGACTGACCGTCCTCAATCGGCTTCTGGAAGGGAAGATGAGGCATCTCACGGATCTGGGGCAGAAACAGCGTCATCGAACCCGGCTTCATCGATACCAATCGCAAGCAGACATGTATCAACAGAGAATACACATGATGGAATGTACGGCAGCTTTGTGCCAACCCCTCCTGCGATGGACATGCACAATTTCGAACTTCCAGATCCAGCAATACAAGCTGATTCTCCCCTCGAATCCTCAGAGCGCATGATGTCCACCGTCACAAGTAGGAAAGATTCTCTGGAGATTGAAGTACCATCAAGAACCCCAGAAAGAAATCCTATATCAGCCTATCAGAGCGCATATGAAGTAGGTACAACAGAAAGTCCGACTAGACCTAAGTTTGCTTCACTGAGGGCCCCCGGGTCGCGCGCTGAATCCCATGATATTCATGGACAGCAGATTCTGAAGCGAATCTTCTCGGTCGGCACTCCCTTATCTAAACCTCACAGTCGTCCTGACGTCGATATGGTCGCCTTTGATCACGTCCGAATGCGTCAGCAAGAATTCCTCTCATGGATGGATAAAGAGCTTGACAAGGTCGAAAATTTCTACAGGTCCAAGGAGGATGAGGCCGGAATCAGATTACAAGTTTTGAGAGAACAGTTGCATGAGATGCGAAACCGCAGGATACAAGAAGTAGCAGATGCAGAACATGCAAGGTCAATACGTAAAGATGATGAGCGTTCAGTAACGGGAAGGATCTCTCGTGGGCATTCTGGAGATGAAGATCTCAACAGGCATTCCTCTCAAGAGAACCGAATTGCTTGGCTGGCGCCTTTCGGGAGAATGGTAGATAATGCAAAAGCAACAGCACTAGGGCCACATCCAGGAGCCAACTCTAGGGCACTAGCTAGTATGAGAAACTCACCCGAGTTGCAATTTAAGTCTCACCCAAACGATGGAGTTGCAACCAACGGCAATCGTGATTATGTAAGACGGCCTTACGAAAACGATGTATCCTATCGAACCGCGAAACGAAAGTTGAAGCTGGCTTTACAAGAACATTACCGAGGCATGGAACTTCTAAAGTCCTATGCTCTGTTGAATCGGACTGCGTTTCGTAAAATCAACAAAAAGTATGACAAGGCAACCAATGCGCACCCTCCCCTTCGGTTCATGACGGAAAAGGTTAGCAAGGCATGGTTTGTCAATAGCGATGTACTTGATGGGCACATACATACGGTTGAAGATTTGTACGCAAGATATTTTGAAAAGGGTAATCATAAAATTGCTGTTGGAAAACTGCGCAAAACCGTTGGAAAGTCGATGGACCAATCCGGTAGTGCATTCAGAAATGGGGTGCTGATTGGAATTGGTGCTGTCTTTTCGATTCAGGGAATCATCTCCGGCAGTGAATACTTGGATCACCCTGACCCTACGATCCGATTTCAAACTGGCTATCTGCTGCAAATATATGGTGGTTACTTTCTCGGTTTATATTTATTCTCGTTATTCTGTTTCGATTGCAGTGTTTGGACCCGACACAAAATCAACTACAAATTCGTTTTCGAATTCGATCCTCGGCATGATCTGGATTGGCGGCAACTAAGCGAATTCCCAGCATTTCTAATCCTTCTATTCGGCCTGTTTTTGTGGATTAACTTCTCTGGCTATGGGACACCAGAGATGTTTATATACTATCCCATCATTTTGATTTTCGTTACAGTCCTGATAATATTCATGCCTGCCCCCATAATTTTTCACAGAAGCCGGAAATGGTTTGTTTATTCTCATGTAGGTCTCTCATTATCATTTTACTACACATACTTTGTACTCACCTATAATAGTGGCGTTTACTTTTGGCTGGATTATACCCCGTAGAGTTTAGAGATTTCTTCTTGGGTGACATGTATTGCTCCCTTACCTATTTAACGAGTGTAAGTTTCTCCGTCAAATGAATCATAGATCAAATCTCACGCATCAAACAGAATATAGAGCTCTTCTTTTGCCTATATGCGACATCTTGGCATAATCCTACGAAATGTAATTCTACAAACTCTCGTCTTCTTGGATTTTTTTCGACCTTGCCAGCTATATGGCGTTTGCTTCAATGCTTCCGACGTTATCGTGATACCAAAAATATGTTCCCGCATTTAGGTAAACAATTACTCCAATAATCTGATGTTATGGACATCCGTATGCTAATCAATATGATAGTCAATGGTGGTAAATATGCTATGACCATTGTATATTATGTTACTTTGAGCATCTACAGAATAGATAGAGACAGAACGAATTTAATCGTGTTCAGCTTTTTTGCTGCATTGAATGCGGTATACGTCAGTGAGTATTATATCTTCAATGATTCGAGATCTCTTCTTACTGATCAAATACAGGTACCTGGGATCTTTTGATGGATTGGTCTCTGCTTCAACCTGGAGCTAATAAGCCACTTCTTCGCGATGTTAGAGGATTCAAGAGTACCTGGTGGTACTATGCAGCTATGATTATCGATCCAATCCTTCGATTTAATTGGATATTTTACTCGATATATACGCACAACCTCCAGCACAGCAGTACCGTATCCTTTTTTGTCGGATTATCCGAAATCACCCGTAGAGGGATGTGGACATTGTTTCGTGTCGAGAATGAACACTGCTCCAACGTCGCTCGTTTCAAAGCATTTCGCGATGTCGCATTGCCATATGATCTGGAGACTGGAGAATCGGAAGACTCTCAGCCTATTACCCCTGCTGAAACAAATGAGATATCATCGGTACTTGATAGAGAGCGTACCCATACTAGTGGTCTCTCACAACAGCAAACCAATAACAGTTCGGCACGCCGTCGTCCACAAAGAACTTTTACTAAAGTTTTAGCCGATGCTCATATCCAAGATTTTCAAAAGAAGAAGAAACCTACTGTCAATAATGGAAAGGATCTGGACGGAACTGATGAGACTGATGTCGATATGGACCGCGCTACTAGTAGTGAGGATGATGATGATGATGAGCAAGACGCACAAGATCGTCTGGATGCAGATAGCTTAGTTAGAGGTGTACAAGGCAAAGGAGGCAGGAGAAAGAGTCGAAGGGCGCTCTGAGCATAATATGATAGTAGGCAATGCTAGTCCGGATATTAACATATGTGATGAGTTATGATGGAGTTTACTCAAAAGTTGGGGTTCATGTATTTATCTTTTGTCTATAGATTAAACGAACTTTTTAAACCATAGGTATGGAATCCTCCTTCCTATACAGCGATATCGGATGATGTTGACTGCGGGCCATTAGTAACTCCCTAATCTGGTAAAGCAGTCCTGTGTTGATAGATTATCACGTGTTTCTCCGTTTCGTGGCTGTGTCTCTCGCTAAACTTTCCCGGATCATATAAATCACCTACAGCCTCCATTTTCTTCGCTTCCACTTACTTCCTCTTTATCATCTTCGTCGTCTTGCAAATTATCCTCTTACTAATTAACCACCAATTTTCAATGCCAAGACGAAAAAGGACCCCCCGCAAATCCACAGTGCCGCCTACTCCTCGCGGGCCGCGCAAGCGGCTCATAAGAAGAGTTTGTTGCCACAGGAGTCCACCGACACAGAGTGTAGAATATACTCGACTGCTAAGCAAAGACTGTAGCCAGTGCCATAATTTACACATGAAAAATACCTTGCCCTCAAATTCGGAGCAGATCATGGCCCCCACAGCATTTCACCAATTTGCCCTGCTTCCAGTCGAGATTCAAACAGAGATTTGGAAGCTTGCCGCCATTTCTGCAACTGAAGAATCGCGTATAATACCAATCATTGTTCATTGGACGCCTGGTTGCTCGAGTCAAAGGTACAACGATAGCAAAAATAAGACTCCCCTCTTTCTGACACTCATTTCTGTCATACCTCCGCTATTACATGTCTGCTCCCTCTCTCGCTCACTAGCTCTGCCTATCTATGAGCTCGTGAGCATGTCCAACGAATCTGGTCATCAAGATAAGGTCAAATCCATGGGCGTTCGACTCAGTGTATACCCCACGCGCGGTAATGAAGCAACAGGCATCTACATTAATCTCAAGAAGGATATCGTTTATTTCACAAGTCATGATATTTTTGACAAAATGGTAAACCAACATTTCGCAGTATCAGATACACATGCAGATGTGGAAAGTTATGATTTATTCGAGCCACAATTTTGTCAGCCTTGCTCAAACCTTTTGTTTCCGGTAAATGCTGCCCTTCGTCTGTTATTTGGTGACATGGATATAAGGAAAGAATTGAGAAACATCGGGTTCAGCTTTGATATTCCAGTGAAGAGAGGTCATTCCTGCTGGGGGGGCTTGAGTAAGGATTTCTGTGGACTACGAAGGATTGTTTTCGTATCTGAAGAAAAGGGGGAGAAGAGAACACTACGAAATGGAAAATTACATGGCACCCAAGCCGCAGCGTCTACCTTCAAAAATCCCAAGTTTACGACTCCCTCGCCATATATCAGAAACAAGTGTTTTGAAACGTACAAAGACCGCTTCCATAATCAAGGAGCGCATGTACAAGATGGGAGGGAATATATGATGATTAATCCTCGAGAACAGTTCTTCCGACCGCTGATTAATGGAGGAATGGGACTTCGTGGGACTGGACCAGGCACGGGTACAAATTGGTTGCAGTGGGGAATACGTGGATTGGTACCTTTTGGATGGAAAGGTACGGGGGCGGGAGAGGAGTGGGAAGAAGATGGGGCTGAGGAATGGAATCATGAATCTATAGGGCCGAGAGTGGAGTTTTTGGTCGAGGATGGGAAGGATAGGAATAGGGCGACGAGGGATATTTTTTTGGTTTAAACGAATACTTGGGATTTTTTTATGTCATCTGAATGAAATAATTTTTCGTGATTTGAGAGTTAACGGGCGGGTTTCTATACTTTCCACAGTGTGTCAACCGCAGTCTTTGCAATTTATCTTCGAATTAATCAAATGATTACATGTCTCATGAAACTAATCACTATTTTTGAGGATTTCACTACTGTTTTGAATACATCAAAATGGAAAGCCTTAAAGATTTTGAATCTGGTAAAACAACTCCTACTAGATCTACAGAGTTGCTGGAACCAGATTAACGAGGATTTGTATCGATGTCTTGAATATTCCTAACATTCCTCACGAATGACTTGCATATCTGACACTTAAAGGTTTCATACACTATCACGTCCAGCCTGATTTTGTTCTATACATCTATAATCATCCACACAATGAATCACAATACAACCTTCCTCCTCCTATAGGTAGTACCATACTCATAAACGGACTTAGGTAACATCCAGGAAGCGACTACATGTACTTTCTAGTATATTAAAAGAACTCACTTATTCTTATTGTGATTTCTCAAGAAAATTAAGCAGACACGTTGGGTTTCATACTTATCAAGAACCCTGGTTAGAGAAAAGAGAAGTAGAACTAAATGATTGAGAATTTGAATACGATATCAAAATTGTCTAAAATTGGCGACTCTAAAGGCTATGGAGTCTCGTGCTTAAAAAATTGTTGGTGGATACAATGAGTATGCCAGAATATTCCTGTCATACCATATGGCGGAAATCTAATCATACAATCAATATATCATTTGGAGAATGAGAGATTGGTTGCTCTCTTGATGTAATCCATGACATGAGAGATTGCCCCCTTGTGAGTCGGGCCTGACGTGAATAGAGCGTCTTAATATTATCGCGCTTTGGAATGAAGGATTGTGGCTTAGGGGACGTGATATATCATCAAGTTTTACGTGCATTTGCGATACATTCGGGAGTATCGTGACTAGGGGGTGATTCATGCTTGATGCTCGAGAATGAGGGGGGATGTTTCAAAAAGTTATTTACAAGAAGAAGTTTCTCAATACTGTTATCTGGGCGTTTCGAAACTAGCTCTGGACGCGTGATACCATAGCCTTACGCAGATTGCTAACACTTCAGGTCATTTTATTTACACGTTTCGAAACGGACTTTTCATGCTCCGTGAGACTCAATATTGGAATAGAACTTTTTTCTTTGACTTTAGCTTAATAGTTGCACAAAGTGAGAATCGTCGTTGAGTCCATATATCTATTTAGTTGAAACTTGTCGATTTCTACGCTCCTGGGCATAGACTTGGTGCAATCTCAATAAATTTTGATTAGGTTATCATATCTATTAGTAACATTGATTTTTCTTGCGTAAATTATTCTAGTTGATTTGTTGATACATTATGAGTTGACTCCTCATTTCTTATTCTCCAATTCCAATCTACTTCATTTGAATAGTTCCGTTATTTTCAAAAGCTGTTTTCTGCTCTTGTATTTGTCACATTTGAAATATAACCTTATATACTCTACATCTCATTGATAGAGTAAAGAATTCATAAAAGAAAACACATAGTTACTCAATGGAATGAACAGTTCTGATATAAATTTACTATGATATTGACAAGTGACAACAAAGTCCACAATTCTACCCCTTACACGTGATCACATTACCCGAGTTATCAAGTTGAAGAAAACAAACAACTATTTCAACCCTCTTTCCAAACAATGAAAAACAACTTTCTAGGACCTCAATTACAATCAAAATAGCTATAGAACCTCTAACAAATCATTCTCCTAAACACTCAATCATCTAATCATAAAATAATAACCTCTAGTCCTTGTAAACTCACTCATTTCCTGTTTTCCCCACCCAAACTCAATATCCCAATCATAATCCAGTGTTGGACACCAAATAATCAATTCTAATTACCTACACCTCAGCCTTGATTAAGCCAATGCTCAGCCGCTTTTACCCTTCAGATAACCTTAACGGAGGGAAAATTGTGGGGAGGATTTTCTTTCTTCTTTCTAAGCAATAACATAATAACAATAAATTCTCAATACAACGACTTGAATATCAACCACTTCTTTCGCATTAGCTTGCGCCATCATTTAGCTCTCTGTCAGCCTTTAGAGACTGATATATCTTGTTGTTTGGGGTTTTCTTGGTTATTTGGTGATTTGGTGATTTTTTACTGGGTGAGTTTGTGCTATTTTTTTTATCAGTACTTTGGGTATATGCTGTCAAAAGACTTTGAGGTCTATTTATTGTTATTTATTACTTCTATATGACATCTCACAGTCTTCTTATGAGTTGAGGAACAAGCTGAAGATTATGTCTTGTTTGAATTGATATTTATGGGTTTTTGGTCTTTGAGTCCACTATGTTTTAATGAAGGTAGCATGGTTACTTCTGCCTGTCATTCAACTCATAGTTTCTCTGGCTCATGACGACTCAACGATAGTAGTTCCAATATACTTTCAAGTCCTTGAATTTTCTTACAAATGCTCACTAGAAAGCCATTTCTCATGTTTATTATTATTCTGTGAGATATTTGGACTTTTTCGGCTTGTCGTGCTTCGACGATAGTAGTTCTATTGTTAAGGTTTGATCTTCAGATTCTCTGCTCTTCGTAGAGGTATATGGATATCTCGAGGCCTTTAGCTTTTTGTTATCTTGTTCTCTAACTCTGTTTACCTATTATTCTTCGACGAGAGTTGTGTCAATTGTCCTCTCTTATGAAAAGTCCTCTACTACTTGCACAAGTAAGCAAAGAGTTCTAAGATCTTTTACTGCTCTCTATACCTGATCTGATCCTCTGAGCTCATCATACTTCGACGAAAGTATCTGACTATCGAACTTGATCCATATACTAACTTGCTAAAACAGAAAAATGTATTCTCTCAATTCCCCAAGTAACCAATTCCATCTGCAAAATTGCCTCTTTAAATCCACTAACATCTCATTAGATTTCTCCCGCCCTCTCCCTCCTCTTCCATCTTCTCCCAGACTACCTCCTCCATTATCCTACCAAGCCGGACACAACCTCCCCATCTCAGTCCCCGAACTGAACGAAGACACCGTGTTCCGCGCTTCACTAGACGGCCATCTCGACGATATTCACTACCCGGCCAATAAAATCCCCGACCCGCGCTCCTCCACCAAAATCCCCCAAATCTCGCACCATATAATCTCCTCACTTTCTCCCACCTCTCAATCCCACCACTCTCAACTCACCATGGCTCCCCCCCAACTTTCTCGCTCCGCCACATCTCCCGATCTATCAACTCCATCAACCATCTCTCCCATCTCCGAAATACAAGAATACACCCCCAATCGCAACGGCGCAATCAGTCGCGCAGATCGCTATTCTCGAGTTCTCCCCACAGTGCCTCCTCACCCATCAACCCCCCCACCACCCATCCCCACAGTCTCCTCCTACTCATCCAACCTCTTTAATTCCGCTCGCCCCAGCGGTCTCCGGCACGTAACATTCGCGCACGAAACCGACAACCTCTCACTTACCTCCTCCCATCCCTCTCAATCCTCCTCTATCCCCTCCTCCTCTCTCCCCGCCGAAACTCCTCGCAAACACCGCTTCAACCTCACTTCCGCACATCAAAAAATGCAAAAGGCGTTTTCCACCCTGCGCACACACACCCACAGTATCTCCCCGAAACCCAGTTTACTGCTTCGAAAAAAATCTTCTCACTCTACGCTTTTTGGTGCTGGATCTTCCCCGCTCTCCACTTCAACCGTATCAGCAGACGAACCCACAAGACCCAAAACCGCACCTTCCTCCTCATCTTCCTCATCTTTCGGATTCACGAGTTTCCCTACGATGGCTGCTGCATTTTCAAAGGATTCCAGAAATGCAAACATAGAATCAGGAAAAGAAATGCAGATTGGTGCGCCCATGGGAATGGTGAAAAAGACACCTGAGGAAATCCAGCAGATGTTGAGGGAGATGGGGGTGAAGAGTGAGGATTTACCTTTTGTTTCGAGCGCTTCTGCTTCTGCTTCTACTGTTCGTGCTCCTTCGCAATCGCAAATTGCTGGTGATGGTGATGGTAAAGATACCGGTGTCACCCCATCCCAACCCGAATCCATCATCCAGGAAACCCCACGCATCCTAAGCGCCATACAAAAAGGAAAACTCCCATCCCTCCCATTTCCGCCTCACCCCTTCACCCGCCCCCTACGCTCTTCTTCCCTCTCCACTCCTCACCACAGTCCCACAATCCCATTCCCCGTGCGCGACCTCACAAAAAAGCCCGTCGGATGGTACAGCACTGCCTCACTGGACGAACTCCGGGCTACGCTACCACCAACACGCAAGGAAGATTTATTGAAAAACGACGAGATCGATGGGTTTTTAGAGGAGTTGGTGAGGGATCTCGAGGTTATTAAGAGGGTGAGGGGGTGGAGGGAAGGGGAGGAAGAGGGTGAGGGGGTGGGGAAGAGTGAGGATCGAAGTGAAAATGAAGATGAGGATGATAAGGGTGATGATGATATTGAGGATGATGAAAAAGTCGATGAAGAAGTCGATGATGAGGATGAGGATTCCTACATCTGGGGCTTAAACGGTGAACCCCACCCCGACTACATCGATGGCGGCTGGGCACAAGAAGAAACCAGCAGTGCGGGGATCGGCGCCCGCTGGTTCGTATTCGACGATACGGAGAATATTTTAGGAGGACCAAAGTGTCCGATTACGCATGCAGTGGATGGGTTTGAGGATGCGGAGGTGGAGGTAGATCGGGATGGAGAAGAGGAGGAGGGAGAGGTTGTGGGATATGTTGCGGATGTGAATGTGGATGTGAATGGGGGAGGTGGGAGAGGAGGAATGAGAGCTACGCTTTTGAGTCCGATTGAAGAGGGGTTTGGAGAGGAGGAGGGAGAGGGAGATTTTGATGAGGAGGGAGGAGAGAGATTTGATGAGGATGCGAGACAGCTTACTCAGGAGGAGATTTTGAGGAGGGAGGGATTACTTTGAATGAATGAAAGAAAGATGGATGGGTTTTCATCTTCATTTCTATTTTCACTACATCTCCGAAAATTTCGGGGGTTGGATAAATAATAATATTCTTTGAAGATATTAGATTCAAAAATCTTAAATCACTATACTTGGGAATTTGATCAGGATACCAAAGATCTTACTCAAGAGGCGATTTTAAGGAGAGAGGGATTACTTTGAAAGAATGATTGAAATCATGGATGGTTTTTCATTTTGGGTTTTCATTTTGGGTTTTCATCTCCATCGACAGGAAACTTTGCGTTACTTGGTAAGATTACATTGGGGTAGGTATCTACCTATCTAGTGTTTTTGACAGGGATTTTATTCAAATGAATAGAATAGAATTGAATTGGAAAATTTGGGATATTGTGAGCGAGATAGATGGTTGTGATGGTTGCATTGAATTTTATGTTGTGACGTGTTGTGTTGTGATATTATGTGACATGATTCGGGATATTCGGGCTATTCGCAAGTGACATATGATAATGGCTACTGAAAAAAATTGACAAGAGTACGAATAATCAGTCTTTGGAAATCATTATATAACTTCAAGTAAATCTATCCCTGTGTCTAGACGCTTCAAATATGAACTCCTATAGCTCCTATGTAAGTATCAAAGACCCCAGGATACTGTACTTAAAATCTCCACCGCTCAACCGCAACTCCATCGCTGAAAAAAACTTCAAAGTCCAAATTTCAAATCGCCATTTATATCAAACCCAAATCATAATCCATCACCCCTCCGTAAACATTCCCCCCGGGTCATTCCCCGTTCTAGCCTCATACCCTTTCCTCATCCCCACAACTCTAAACTCTCTCCCTCCCCCTTTTTTCCCACCCATCCCACCCTCATCAACTCCACCACCGTCCACATCCACAAATCTTAACTGCGTCTCCAATACCCAATCCGGTAATGGGATTTTCCCTCTCACCCCTCCAGGTAACAGTCTTCCAAACTCGCTATCCCTTGTTGCTGCCAATATGGCCGAGAAACTTTTGTTATGCGAACGTCCGTTGATATGATATGCGTATGCGCCCAGGGAATTCGCAATAAGCGCTACGAATATTGCTATTCCGTAGGAGACGAGAAGAGTTGAGGAATGGTAGGCGTAGATGTTTATGGAGGTTGTGGAGAGGACTGAAGTATTCACGGAAGGACTGTATATATTGGTTAGCATTTCTTCTCTCTGATAAAAGTCTGATGAGAATAACGAAAAGGGAAGCATGCGATAATAAATTGCTATTCAAGAATCCACACGTAACATTCCAGGCCAATTCCTCCACCAACTCTTCCAGAGTCGCATTTCCTGCTAAACTGATGTCCTGTGCTCTCTGATCACTGACCGCCGTGCTATTATTTCCCAAAGGATCATTACTCTTTCTTTCAAAAAACGCGTCCAAGTCCGAGCTACCAAGTAAAGATGTATGAGCGATCTGCGTTGTGATTTCTGAGAAGTATGTAATAGGAAGACCGGGAGTTGAAGGAGCAGCTTGGAAAATACCCATTGTGCCAACCATCAAATCGGCAATTGACCACATATAAGCTGAGTATGCATGTTGAACCATGAGGGAGTTGGAGAGGGGAGTGTTGATATCGGGATAAGGGACTGAGTTAAGGACGGAGAGGGATTTGGATGAGACGGTTTGAATTCCTTCTTCGAAATTAATGTTGATATTGTAGGATGCGTTGTAGAGTGTACAAACGGTGTAGTGATTTTCCGTTTGAAAGGATTTTGATCGAGTGTATCTTGAATAACCCATCCAGAGTTGATTTGAAGCATTTTGAGGTTGTTGGAGTCGGGCTTGAGGGATTACTGTAACGCCGTGGTTGGACAATGAGCTATTACCATAATTTTCTAGGTTAGGAACAAAAGCGTAGTAATAATTTGATACTTCTGTTACTGATCCTGTGATGTTGGCGACAGATTCATCTCGAAGGTTTTGTATGATCGTAGCAGTAGTTGAATCAGCTTCATTACATTTGACAATAGGTCCGTAAAATTGTACGTCATATGTTGCATTCGAGAAGGGAGCATTTATTGAAAGAATTTCTCCTTGCGTTGCAGTAGCAGTTGACAAACGTGTAATTATTGTTCGTGGGCCAAGAAATAGTTCGTTTTGTACACCATCTGTAACATTTACGGGCGCCGAGTATGTAAATCTTGCAGGTTGATCATGACCATACATGTCGAGGGAAGAGACATTGGCGTATGTATGAATGGATTTGGTACTGGGTACAACGTAGAGTGTACCAGGAGTAAGCAGAGAGCCAATGGGTAGACACCTATATTAGAGTGAGTATAAAGCTTTCATGATAACCAGTCACAATTTTGTGGATTCACTTCTCGAGCTCAGATTGAGGAGACAGCAAAGCTGATGAGATAGAGGAGACCCAAGTAACGTTGAAATATGCCACGCATATCAAAATCAAAATAGACTAACCATGCAACTATCGCAAGTAAAGATCCCAGTTTAAGCTTCCACAGCATTTCTGTATTCAGAATTGATAAAACGGATGTATCGGCAACGAAAGCAGCGTCGAGACAATGAACAGATACTTTAGTATCCTTATGGTACAAGGATTTCCAAAGCCATTGTGTATAAGCAAATCCAACCGAGCTGACGAGACATACTTGCGAAACAAAAGCAAAGGTTGTTCCATATCTAAGTTTTTATGTAAGTCCAGATATTTCTGTGGTAGAACTGAGAGACTGGGAATGAAGTTTGAGAAATGAGGGATAAGAACTGAGAAGTATTGCTAAGAGATGTTGACGCAACTGGAAGAACTCACCTCAAAGTCCACTGTTGAGAAATATCATCTCCAACTTGTTTTCCAACCATGCAACTATAAAATACATGATGAGCAATACTAGCAATAACTCCAATCAATAAATTCCCACCCATCAAGATTGGTGAGCGCCAGAAAATACCATCATGATGTTGGTGATGGTGACTTGGTTCCAAACTCCCCACCAAGTTCTCTTCCTGTGTGTCGAATGGCCTGATTGTTGGAAGACTTCTCCCATTCTCGGAATGCTCAGATTTCGTAGAGCGATTTGATCGTAGCGAATCCATTCGAACGGGATATGGTCTTTTTTCTTCGTCTTCCATCTCGATTGTATGGAAAGGATATGGAGTTTCTTTATCATGATTTGTCTTGGAAAATTCATGCAATTCGATTTTTTGGTCTTCCATTTCGATCGTATGGACAGTATATGAGGGTTCTTCATGGCCTGTCTTAGGAAAATAGTGCGATTCCTTTCCTTGATCCTTCATTTCGATGTCATCCTGCGAATCTAGGGCCTCGTGATTGTGATTGGCCATAGGCAAATAATGATTCGGACTCATGGGATAAAAAGTCCTTCGGCCTTCCACAACGACCGAATAGTAAAGTCTGTGGCCATGAAAAAGTGAATTACACAAAGGTGAATTATATTCCGCGACCAACGCAATCTAAAGCAAAGGGACTTCTCGAGACCCTCTCATGTACCTGACTCGAAAATTCAGGAGCTTTAATCTTGAGGATATTCGCTCTTAGATATATTCCGAATCGATCGAAGTCTCGACCTCCCATCCACTTTCGCAAACTCTAATTGATTAAAAGCACGACGACGAGTGGTAAGCGAAAGATTCTTTTGCTGGTAAGTATTGATTTTGGTACAGATTCAGCATCTTCGTATCCATATATGTGAAACTTTGTCAAGTTCGCCAGGCAGAGTATAAGCTTTTGCACGAAATTGGAGAAATGGACGAACCCTTCCGCTGTTGACAAGACGATACCGGTGGAAATTTGCAAGTATGGCTGAATTATGGAGGTGGCGTAGCCCCAGAGAATCCCGAGGTCATGATTTCATATCAATCATAACTTGATGATTGGTAAAACAAGTGATTTCAGATTCCAATGCATGCGTTGAAATAGAATATCGTGCATGCTTCCTGCGAATGTAACATGACCAGAGAAGGATTTCACGAAGGCAAGGTTAAGGTTAAATCCTCACCCTCGTCCAGTATCCCGAAAATGTAAGCACATGATTAAGAGATGATGGAATGAAAAGATAGGATGGAGATAAACTGCAGCCAGACAATTGTATGAAATGATCGAGTCGTCGAATTCTATGCATTGAGCCCAATCTTGTTGTCGTGACATGTCAATGTTATCTGACAAATGTTGTGTAAGGTTATGGTTTTGTGTGTGTGGAGGATTTCAGTTGGGCATTTATTATTACCATACCAGCCCAGCATGCTGGAAAGTGCACGTGGAGCCATTAAGGTTAACCTTATCAGATTCTACAGTAGCCTTGACATGATATGATATCTCTCTACCAACGATCAACAACCAACAACCAGCAACCAACATTCTAATAGAATAATAAATTGGAAATCTTCCAATACCTACATACGTAGATGATGATGATGAAACAATGAGACAATGCATCTTATTTATCGGGACAAATAATAAACTCAATTTTCATCGTTGTTTCAACCCCTGGCCCGCCTTCAAATGAATGATAACGTGAATGAACAAATGAACGAACCATTTCCGAAGCTCTCCCGGGAATCCATCAATCACAATCGAGCATTCGGAATCTTAAATCCTCCTTAATTTTCAATTTCTCGGATTGTAGATTGGTCCCGTTGCTAGCGATACTCCGTTCGTATGTAGAGCTTTTACTGAATCTATTCCTGCTTGTCTTCCTGGGTGTCAAGATCAACTGTTTCCATTGTGAACCTTGGTTAAGCTACATCATTCACACTATCAACATCGATTAACATACGGCCCCTTACTCCAGACTGCCTCAAATATTCATACCTCTTCTTCTCACCACGAAGACCAGATCTTCATGTCTCTAAATCATTATTGACTCTTCTCTATCGCCATAATTATCAGAACCACACTTCACACACCTCGACATTCTCCACGTGCAACTTTCAAAGAACCTCCTCCTCCCCCCCTCAAGCCCGTCTCATCTTCCTCCCTCTCACAACAAACACCGGATCTTCATATCCTCTCAATCCCAAGAATCCACTCCCACCCCCCTCCTTCAACACCACCTCTTCCACATCCTCCCATCCCCCACTTGCCCAAAAATATCCTCCTACCCATTTCCTCCTCTCCTCATCATCCATCCTCATCCATTTCCCCACCACCTTTGTGGGAAAACATCGATTACTAAACGCCATATGAGCTTCCCCTCCCTCCTTCAACACTCTATGCATCTCCTCAAAAACTTTAATCGGCTGAGTTAGATAATCCACCGAGACATTACAAATCACCACATCCATTGATTCATTCTCCACCCCCTCCAATCTTGGATCGAGATTCAAATCCTTGACAAAATACTTGGTAAGATGTTCATTTCTCTGCAATTCTGCTTCGTTCATCCCAATTCCTATCATAGTACTTGGTTTGAGTGACGAAGGTAAATGCGAAACCCACGATGAACAGATATCCAAAACCGATGATTTGGGCGTGATGAAGCTCGAATAGTAGTGTTTCAACATGGCTATAGCGCCATCATCAATGTGCTGAACAAATCTCGGTTGAGAATACCATTCCGTATCTGGAGACTCATCCTGTCGATGGAAATCCGAAGGGGCAAAATTGAATGTTGTTGGATAGAGGGATCGCGGAAGTGGTGTAATCTTTGGTAGAGGGAATTGTGGTGGGGAGTTGCTGGCCATTGTTCTGGTACAGCTGAGACTTTGAGTATTGGAAGAAGTTTTGATGATATTGCGGAAAATGGCTGCTGATTTAATCGAATGACCATACATTGATATTTTTTGTATACTTTGTAGAGATTTGTGTGTTTGGTGGTTTATTCCAACTTCACGATAAGGAAAGATTGATGAGTAGGAAGTTCGAGTGGTGATGTAGCTGATGTAATAGGTGACCCAATCAAAGAAAATGGTATCGTATCGTCATGGAAGCTTGAATTGATAACATCTCATACCATCTCACCCAATTTCATCCCATCCAACACAAACCGCGATCTGTATAGATTTCATCGTCTTTTGATTTCTAAACACTTCTTATTTAAATTGTCTTTCTATCTCTACCGTACTTTGACTTATTTGTTAAAGTATTGCCATTCGATAAAATGACGGTGTCCCAGCAACCAATTTGAACATAATGCCATTGTCCCCAATATCGAACAATCAGATCTATCAGAGAAAGGTTCATGATAGAAATAAGTAATGACGGTCTGCTTGCTCTTGGAGGTGGATGCAGAAACTATGCTCAGAATTCTCTGTATTCGTCTGCATCATGAATCACGCTCCGCTGGCTCTTCAAGGGCTTCAGGGTTGGTGGGTGGGGGAGGTGGAGGCGGGAATTATGTTCAGAACTCTTTATATCTGTTTGTATTATGAGTAACCCTCTACTGATTTTTCCAAGAGCTCTAGAGCTGATTAGTGGTGAGATAGAAACAAAAACTACCCAGATATACTAAGAACTTTTTGTATCTATCTGCTTAGACATGACGCTCCGCTGCCTCTCCGAGGGCCACTGCCGTGGAGGCAGACTATTTGCGTGGAAATTTTTGACAATTCCCACTCATTCAGCATGGAAGAATACTTTCCCCAAGATTCCTCACATTTTCACCCCGTAATGCTTTGACCGTCTCAAGTTTCCCCGTCTCCTCATCTCAAGCTTCATCCTTGATTCGAAATCGATTGAGAAAGTCTCGATTCTCCCCATAACCCAAAAACAAGCTTTACGCATTGATATATAAAAGAAAACAAGCCCATACCTAGGGCAGCTTGTTCCGAGAAGTTTCATTGAAAATCAGAGCCAGTGTTCTAAAATGAGAATTCCCAGTATCCAAGACGTGGCTCAAGTTTCGCCAATTCAGGAACAAACAGTATGAAACTTTATTGTACGGAGCTAAAAGCTCAGTTGATTGTCAAGTCTGAGCACCCGGAAACCTTTGATGGAAAGTCACCATCTTTGGTTCACGCATTGATGTTTCACTCATCACAAGATATACTTTTCAGCCCTGTGAGACTGGCAGAACAGACCTTCAGCGTCGGGACCGACGAATTGACAGTTTGAGATGTTTTGAATGAAGGAGTTCGATATATTATCTTGCATTATGTACAGGTACGTCTTTGTACTCGACCTTTCTTTTTCATTTTTCGACTAGTTGATTGATTCTTAAACATACAAAATGCATTTTTCATCACTCATTGCGATAACATCATTGATAGCATTCTCCAATGCGAAAGCAAGTGTTCAATTCGACATCCTAGATTCTCTATCACATGCACAATGTTCGAGTTCGATTCTTTCGTCTTCATATTCTATATGTCCTTCAAATCTCGAATTATCGCGGAACAAACATTACCCAAGTAAATCCTCACAGCTTCTTTCCATCAACAGCAATGAATCCAATACAACTCTATCCACATCATCAACACCTTCTCCATGGCAATACTCACCCGTCTGTTCCAACATAACCTCGACCTCCCCTAAAACTCCTCAATTCTGTGTCTACACATCCACAAACTTCGCCTCAGGCCGCGGCATCTCTCTCCTCACCACCCCAAAGATCGCCTCCAGAATTGCCTCTCTCCCCGCCTTCACCTCCTCACTCCCTTTCCAACCCCTCTACAACTCCTCAAACCCTGCACCTTTTGAAATCCGCCAAATCCCCGGCAGAGGCATGGGCGTAATAGCCACCCGCCCCATCAAACGCGGAACCATCCTCTTCGCCTATCCCACCATCGGAATCTATCACAACTCCGCATTTCCCCGATCCCACAACTCTTCCTCTTCCCCTCAGAACCACACATCTCTCTTCTCCCTCTCCGCCGCCCAACTCCCCCCCTCCACCTCAAACCTCCTCTACTCCCTCGCAGCGCACGAACCGCATCGCCAGCTGCACAATGGCGAAGGCATCATCGGACGTCTCAACACCAATACCTTTGGCGAAGATTTCCTCGGCCAAGAACACAGCATTGTGGTTCCTGAAACGGCGCGATTAAATCACGATTGCAGACCTAATGCAAACTATTACTTCGACGCAAGAACACTGATGCATTATACAGTTGCGGGGAGGGAAATTGCGGTGGGCGAGGAGGTTACTATCACTTGTACGTGTCCCCATTTTCCCCATCGATATTTACCTTTTTCGAAAGATTCACGGGAAAGAGATTCTAATCTTCCAAAAAACCTCACTAACAATCCCCCCCCTCAACTCATAGACACCAACCCCCTCATCCCCTCTGGATCTCGCCGCTCCGCCCTCCACCACTCCTGGGGCTTCCACTGCACCTGTCCACACTGTCTAGTGCCCGTGCCCCAACGCCAACACTCCAACCATCTCATCCTCAGCATCCTCTCCCTGCAATCCGCTCTCGAATATAATTCCTCATCCCCTTTTCCCCCGGTAGATTTCATCGCGAAATCGCTGTATCTGATTGAATTGTATAAACTTGAGGGACTGCAGAGTCATATCGGGGATGGATATCGCAGTGCGGCGTTGGCGTATAGTGTGGTGGGCAGGGAGTGGGAAACGAGAATGTATGTGGAGAGGGCGGTGGAGGTGATGGTGGGGAGTGAGGGGTGGAGGGGAGAGGGGGTGAGAGAGATGAGGAGGTGGATGGGGGGGAGGGAAGGGGTGAGGGGACATTGGAGTTGGAGGAGGGGATTGGAGTTGGATGGTGAGGGGAAGGAAAAGGGAGAGGAAAAGGAAGGGAGTTGTGGGTGTGGGGATAGGAGTGGAAAAGATGAGTTGTGATAATGTCTAGATGTAAATCTAGATGAAGAGATCGAGAACACTAATAACACATGTTATTTTTTTGACAAACATCCCTACTGCAGAGTAAATATTAATATTCCTGTTCTCTTGTACCTCGCTAAAGATCCTATATATGCAATGCTTTAGAAAATGATCAACGCCTTCTACACTATACTCCGCTGCCACCCCATGCCCGAATGCGCCTGAAAGCCCAAGTATCCTGTTCCTATATATGAAAAAAACGCATTTTATCCATCTCATCATTATATCTTGATGTCCATTCAACTGCCAGATTTGTCTTTCTGTTCCTTTGTTCTTCTTTTCTTTTCCTTCCTTGCCTTTCTCAATCCTAACTTTTCTATTCAACATTCTCAAATCATCACACCTTCCCCGCATCCCCTTCCAAACATTGGAACTCCATCTCCCCACTCCTCATCCTCAATTAACCCCCTCCATCGCATGCCCAGACGGTCCTTGAACCGCATAATCACACGTGACAAACGCTCTATCCACCTCGGGCAACCCCTCACAACAATACTGCAACGTTTCCGCGACATCATGGGCCTCCTCGAGCGTCGTGCCCTCAGACAACAAAATATCGACTTCGACCCACACCCCATCGCCCGCGTGATACGCCGTAATACTTTTGTATCCATTGACGAGCGGGGAAAAGCGCCACGCGAGAAATGTAAGTTTTTGCTGAAGACGATCGTCGACGGCGGAACCGGTGAGGCGAAAGATGTTTTCGAGACAGGTGGATGCCCAGTCGTAGATGATGAAGAGGGAGAGGAGTCCGGCGCCGAGGGGATCGAGCCACCAGAGATTGGCGGCATGGCCGATGTAGGGGAAGATGAGGGAGAGTGTGTTGAATACGACGTCGGTTTTGCAGTCTTTGTTTTATGTTAGTGAGCGAAATTGTACCTTTATGTCGAGATAGGTTAGGAATCTAGATATACATACCTTGAGCCAAAGCTTGTACCTGAGTAGTTTTAATTTTGATACATCCGAACCAAATAAGTCCCTTGAGACCAATCGTACCAGCCATGGAAGCAATAGCAATGACGGGTAATTCCTTTGCTTGATGCGGACCCTTGGACATGAGTTTCTGGGCCGATTCTTGAAGGATTTGTAGGAATGAAATAATCATGATGATTGAGAAGACCAGAATGCCAATTGGTTCCAATCTTTTTCTTCCCACTGGAAATTTCCGTTTCAAGCTCATCAATCGCCACTGTACCAATCGATTCGTCGTGAATACAATCACCGTACACAAAAGATCAAGAGCGGAATCCACCAACGAAGCAATAAGAGAAAGAGACGAGGAATAGAACGCCGCTACCGCCTTTGCAATGAGCAAGATGATATTCGCGATAACATTTATATTGATAGCCCATTTTGCGCTTCTTCGAGCTTTTTGACGTTTCTCTTGTTCGGCATCTGGTAAGAAAGGTTCGACAAATCCTTGGGTGTCTTGTAATGCACCACCGCCTTCTGCCACTCCATCTCCGTTATCATCTCGCGGATCGAAGGATTCGAGGATATCATCTGCAAGTGCTTGGACAAGGGCATTGACTTCGAGCCAGTCATCTAGACGATTGTTTTGTTCTTCGTAAAAACTGCGGACGGATTTTGGCATTTCTTTGAGCTATGGGAAGAATTAGTAGGGTGTTTTAATTTGCATTTAGATGTGTGTATTCGAGTATATGGGAAGGATGAGACAAAGTGGAAAATAACATACCTCTTCATCTTTCTTGCGGAAGCTCTCCAAACTCGATTTTTTCACCCCATCTAATAATTTCGTCTTGAATTCTTCTCGTCTTCGATCATCTGGCTCCAAAGGTCCATGATCGCGAAATCTATATTTCCTATCTTTTGACGGTCTGCCTTGTTCTAAGTCTCGGCGGAGATATGTACTTTGTTTGGCATCATGCGCATTGTCGTTTCCGGTTGCTCGACTTCGATGACCTACCATGTTGAATTGATGATATTGAGACTGTCGTAGATGAAGGAAAGGCAGGAAGAAAAAGAAGACCAGAATAAAAGATTGAAAGAATGAGAGGATAGAAAAAGTAAATCAATCAATTGCTATATTTACCACGAGTTCATGTATCATGGAAGTCATGATCCCTTCATCTTACCTAGTACTTACTACGAGGTACATTTATTGACCTTGATTTTTGGTGGTGGTGGAACATTCATGATGTCATTTTATGTCACTGACAAGCCAACGTGGATCATCATCGTTGCCGTGCGATGCGGATGCGATGGTGAAACAATTATTAGACAACCCAGACAGCGAAAATACGTGTCTGTTGGTATTTTCCCTAGTAGATTGATGTCTTCGGACGATATATCAGACATCGGTGTTGTGTAGAAGATATACTTTTATATTCTCTCTTTTGGAATTTCTTATCCGCGAATTGTTCTTCCTGAATCCTAGGAGTCCTGGATTATTCTCCGGGGTACATCTTGCTTGGCATAGATGGGAAAGTGGAAATCTCAGAATGCACAGATTTGTACCTGGAGCTATCTTTAGTAGCAGTGCGATTGTTCAAGGAAGAGATCAAAACTCAAGCCTAGTAGTTTGTTGTTCTTTTATCGTCATATAACGATGTTCTGCAAGATTGACGATACGTCTTATTGTGAAAGCTGTCGTTGATGCTTATATAACTTCGAGTCAGAATTTCCATACAATAAAGATAAACTGATTCATGGATCGCTTGACTTTCCCCTGCCAAGTTTGATGAGGGGCGAGAAATCTGTTTATCTTAGTGCGAGGTACAAGGGACGGATTAGCGGTTCGAAGCGATGATAATTCATTAGGATTGTTAGTTTCTTTCGATTGAATTAACGAATTAGACTATGATAAATACAAATCACGACTAGTAGAAAGGACCAAGCACACCACATCGTCGATTGAGTCAAGCGACTCAACACACGATATCCTCGACTTGTCAGTCAAAACACCAAACACACCACGGCGTCATCAACCAACTTGATAGACTCAACAGCCTCCACCAACTTAATAGACTCAGCATCTTCCACCCAGTTTCCTATCCAAATCACTCTGTTTTGACTCGTTTGCTACCAGAATTGTCTTTCTCTTCTTACTGTTGAGTAAGCCTAATTCGTTAGAGACTTTGCTTAAGAGTTCCAGCTTGGCTTTATACAGATCCTCATCCACACTGGACTCAGAGTCATCACACTCTCCTTCGATTTTGTTGTGAATCTCCTTTTCTCTCTCACTGTCATCTTCAATCTTGATCGGTCTCTCCTTTTGTCCTCCCCTGTCATCCTCAATCTTGATGACACTCTCATTCTCATCCTCATCCCCGCTGCCATCTTTAGTTTTGATGACTCTCTTATCTTCAACCACAATAACACCCTCATTCTCACTCTCGCTTCCACTTTCTCTTCGATTGGCACCTTCTTTTTCGATTTTATTCCTAGCCAGTATCCGTTTTCTTCTTAACTCGTATCTTTTTTCCGCTTTCTTTCCTACCGGAGTCTCCTTGATGATAGATTGACGCTTCTGTGATATTGGTTTCGCAATTGTTAAGATCTCTCCATCACTGTCTGAGTCAATGGTCGTGCTTTTGGCTCTGGTAAAAGGCTCAATGAATGACAGTGCATGGCTGGTATCGATAGCTGGCTCATCCATGGTAACAGAGAGGGTGCTCTTGTTCGAGGACTCATCTGTGAAGACACTTGATTCAGTGCGGATCTCCCCGCCATTACAACGGCCAAGCAAGCCACATGGCATCATACTAACACCAAAGCATCTCATAAATGACAAAGTGCATCGAGGTGTTTTGATAGTCTTTCTGCTCTTTAGTACCTTCAGGGCCAGTATGATATCCCTGGACAAAAGCTCAGGATCTCCACTTATCCTCTGACGGTCACACGGGTTGTCATACTTGATGCGGCGTGCGATTATTTCAGCATTCAAGGCTCGGCAAACTTCCCGCTCTTTTTGTCCCAGAATAAAGCATCTAGCAAATTTTCTATTGAATTCGTTTTTCTTCAAGTAGTCAGGTTGGCTGTAGAAGTAATTCCGGATAGCCACTTTTCGCTCAGATGTCCCTCCGAGCCTTTTTTCCACTGATTTCATCGTTTGTCGTGAGTAAAAGGTCATTTTGGCAAATTCTGAAAATTCTCGGCTCTGCTCCTCTACATCTTTCTTTGTCATATTGATCGCTCGATAGTATTTCATTTCTTCCTCAAACCCCTGAAGATTTGCCACAATTATGTCCCGGCGCACACCCGATAACATAGCCGTCATTACCACCTTCTTGCTTTCCTGTATGAAGAAATGCTTCTGAGCATAAGGAACACTACAGCTTTTAATGTAGTCGGTGACCTGGGAGAGAAGGACGATATCACCTGCCAGTACAATGCGGCCAAATTTGTCATGAAAAGAAGGGTTGTTGTTTTCGGTACGCGGATCGGATCATTTCGAGTTATATACTCTCTGTTCATAAGTTGAAAATTTGGACTTTGGACGCGCTTGGGCTCCGAAGCAGGTTGATCGGTAATATCTTTACTTATGTGCTGTTCTGAATCAGCAACATCTTGATTATCTATGCTTCGGGGAGAGTCGAGCTTCGCGCTACACTGATCGGGGCTAATTTCGTTCGTGTTTGCATCCGGCGTGGATGAGTGGGTTGAAGTCGTACTGCTGTATTGAGACACCGTTGCACAAGGCTCAGCAGGCGAAATGGCAGTCCTAATCCATCTGAGGAAGCTCATTGCGATGTGCTTTGTTATTGAAAACGCGTTTTTCGATGGATTTTGAGGGTGGGAAGATACTTATATCTGCTGTTGTTCTCTTGTTTGCTATCCTGCAGGTATCCACGAGTCTAATCGTTTGGGAAGTATGGTGATACAAACATCTTCCTACACACTGGATAGATCAAAATCATATTTCTCGGACAAGTCATAATTAGAATATCAATCGACGTTGGTTTATTTCAATGGCAATAGAAGAAATTGTTCTTTAAGACATTACAAACTAGATTCTGATGACTATCTATCTATCTATCTATGTACTAATCAAGAACTAAAACATCTTAATTGTAAGTATCGCGAATTACGACACTCGGCGTCTTCTAAGGATTGAAATAACTGTAAAGTCTTTATGAATAGTAGCATTTTCTTGAACGAGAGATTAATTGTATATGTATATTATATATAAATTGCAAATGAGAAAATTCTTGAGATTCAATTGTTGTTCTCATACAATGTAACTACTTGAGTTATACTCGTGCCTGTAATGAAAGTATGAAAGTACTTAAGTACCTAAATGAGGTCATTTCTCTGTATTAATGTTGAATTGTTTTACATCCAAAAATAACTTCTCAAGTGGCTGAACAAATCGTAACGCCACGACCACCATGCGCCACATTTTGCTATGACGTTTCGGGAAGGGGCACACGAGACCTCGGTCCGTTCCAAAAAAAATGCCCAAAACTTTCCCATAAATTTATTTTACCAAGTTTTTGCTCACATTAACATTAACATAATATAGAAGTCAATCACATAGATCAAATATTTAGATTTATAGATCTCTGAATAGATTCATTTTTCTTTTCCTTTTTCTCATCAAGAATCGCAACAGTGTCTTCAATTCCTAACAACATTCTTCATTCCATCGTCAAACTCCCTTTGCGACTGCGATTGCCACTTGCTCCAAACAAAACAACATTACAACCACCACAAATGACATCCTACTTCTCACGACTGAGTCCAATTCCTGGATTTCCAGAATATACTGGGCCTCATAAAGTAGGAACAATTGATGTCGAAATCCCTATCTCAGAACTCGACTCTCCAGCCCAAATCCCAAACAATGCAGGAAATATTCCAACAATTCAATATCGAATCTTTTACCCATGCGAAACGGAAACGAAACATAAGGCAAAGAGTGTGAATTGGATACCCGCGCCGCAAAGAGATTATATAAGTGCTTATTCTAGGTTTTTGGGAGCTGGCAGTACATTGGCAGAGGTTATATCGTAAGTTAGGGTGATTCTTAGGATAAGGGGCAAATGCTAATATTTTGGGCACAATAGATATTTCCCAAGATTGCTTCATTATGTTACGATTCCAGTTCGCAAGAATGCGACTCTTTTACAACCAAAGACAAGCAATAACCGTTGGCCTGTCATGATATTTTCGCACGGGTTGGGTGGTTCAAGAAATGCGTATTCACACATTGTAGGATCAGTGGCAAGCCATGGGATGATAGTTATTGCACCTGAGCATCGTGATGGTTCAACTCCTATATCCTACATTCGAGAACCGCCATCCGATTCTTCGACGGACAAAGAAAAACATTCGAAGAAACAAGTCAAGAAAACGATCGACTATGTCAAATTGTCGCATACACCGAGTACGGAAGTTGAGGAAGGAAGAAATGAACAATTGAAGATTCGACTTTGGGAGATGGGGTTGATTCATGACAGTTTAGTAAAATTGGATGAGGGAAAGCAAATTACGAATCTCAATACATCTTCGACTTCGCTATCAATATTCGAAGATAAAATGAATGTTCATGAACCAGGGAAGATCACTTTCGCAGGTCATTCTTTTGGGGCGGCAACAGTGGTTCAGTTCATCAAATCAGTCTTCTATGCTCCTGAGGCATCTTCCGCTCCAAAATCTTACAAACCGGTTTATGAACCATCTCCAAATTCTCCAATATGCTCTCAAATCACACCGAATAATCCAATCGTACTTCTAGATTGTTGGTGTTTTCCTCTTCGCTCCCAAGCAACACGCTGGTTATGGGATCATCCTCTTCCATCGTACGCTCCCTCTGGACCTGGTGGTTCCGCAATCCTCGCCGTCGAATCCCAAGCCTTCTACAAATGGACTGAACATTTCAACGCTACTAAAAGACTTCTTTCTGCCGATCCATCTTCTCATAGTCCATCCAGTGATGGAAAATCAGAACCACATTTCTACTATCCTACTTCGAGTGCGCACCTTAGTCAATCGGATTTCGGCGTCCTTTTCCCATGGGTCACGAAAAAGGTATTCGCAGCAGAGGAACCTGAGAGAATCATGAAATTAAATGTCAGAGCGATTATGCAACTACTTAGAGAAAGAGGGGTAGAAGTGGGTAAAACTTGCAAAGAAGATTTGGAATTAGAAGCAGGAGAAGAGGAGACAGAAAACGATTTGAAGATCTTTGGGAAGGATGGGGGAGTCAGAGGGTGGAATTGGTTGAGCGTTTATGATAATGCAGGGACAGAAAAGCTGGATGAGGGAGAGGAATCAGAAGTCGCGGACAAACGATTGGATGAAAAACAAGTCGAAGTTGGAAAGGAAGAGGGAAATGGTGAGAAAAGTATTAATGTAGAGCCCGCAGATGTGGTTATGACAAACGAGGTTGCTGCGGGCACGGAGTCAAAATTGTGAGGAGCATGATGTGGAACACTACTTGGTGAGTCGTCTGCATACATAAGCTGCTGGTGACTGGTTTTTCAAGCGGCGTTTCCTTGGGAGCATTTAGATTTCATTAGGGCGGTTCTTTTGATTTATAGTTTTGGGTGCGAACCACAACTGATTCTGGCGTTGGTGTTTGAGAGAGGAGTGTAACCAGGGGTTTGGAAAGACGGAGATGATAGAAGGTCATGAATAGAGATTTTGCATATGAATAGACTATATACACAAGACATTTCATCATCAGATCCCTCAGTGGTAGTATAGCTCCGAGACGATTGTTCCGCAATGTGTAATTAAATGATAGATACATACCTCTAAGTAGCAGGTATGATCAATTGACTGAAGAAAGAATAGATCTTCTCAAATTCTCGCTTAACCACTTACTGGGTAGTTTGATGACGTATTACAGCCGATGATTGAGACATTTTGTTCCAGCTTGGAAAATACTAATACTCTTGGCACAGAATTTCCAATGAGCTTGTAAATTGGACAGAACAAAAAAGGATGCTCTGCGCAGAGAATTTATGCACGAGAGAGTAGAATCATAGTGATCTCTTCTCACAGCTTATGTGATCACATCGTGTCTAGATAGACACAGAATCTTTGACACACCACACCACTTGGTTTTCTCCAGTAGGTATACGAATACTCTACGGAGAAATCTTGGCATGAGGGTTTTCATTCCAGTGCGCACTGCATAAAGTGTGGGGGCGCTTGTGCTCGGGTATTAGGAGCGAGGGATTTTTCTTCAAATCCAGAACTTTCTGCGTGGGATTTATGAGATTGAATATAGGGTTCTGCGCTACAGAAAATGCTATTCTAGAGAGTGAATTTTGGCTGGCATGGTGATTTTCTCGCCAGTTTTGGGGGATCGGGTATGCGTGGACTGTTAGTGTGTTTTTCTTGTGAAATTGAAATTGAGGGGGGGGGGGAGGAGAGATCATATTTGTAAAATACGGAGCTCTCTGCATTTTGAACATGAGGGGCATGGAATTTGACCCTCTGCGGCGGCGAAAATTTGTCTAAGAGTCTTGGCATGGTGATTTTCTCGCGTGTTCTCGAAAAACTGGATATACGTGTATTTTTTATTAGCACATCTTCACAAAATTGACAGAGGGGAGAAAAAAACTCACAAATACGCAGAGGGTGAAAATGGTGAAGATGTCCGTTCGTGAGGATTCGATTCGTGATCACTTAGCTTCTCATTTGAGAATTTCCAGCTGGCACCAACGGGGAGGTGTGATCAAGCCAGCCGCCCTATAGACGAATTAGCAGTTAGCGGAGAGGGATACTTATCTTGTCCTTGAAAAAATGGGAATGGGTGAGGGAGTGGCGCTGATGGCCCCGGAGGGAGTCATGTGGAAAAAAAAGGATGGTTAGGTGAAAAAATATCGCTAATGGAGCCGGAAATGTCCATGGAGGGAAAAAAAATGGTTAAGTGGAAAATATCGCTAAGGGAACCCAGAGGGGCTCCGTGAAAAAAGAAAAAAAAGCAAAGGGTAAATAAATTAGATTCGCTGGTGGAAGGGGTCCACGGTGTGATTTTTTGTTTGTAAAGGTTTTGTGGTATGAAAGAAAGGAAAGAGCCCGGTGAGATAAATGAAGAAAAGGAAAAAAAGGAAAGAAAAAAAGGGAAAAAAAGGAAAACTCCAGGCGCCGATAAGAACAAAGGAAATTTTTAGGTGATTGTTTATTATTTTGATTTTTTTTTGGTGCGGGATGGCGTTTTTGTGTTTTTTTTTTGGTATATGTGTATCTTCTGTTAGCAGAAGAAGGAAGACAGAAAAGTGTCATAAGAGAAGAAGAGGTGGGGGATTAGTCCACCTCGCAGAGCCATCCCGCGAGCTCTGCCTTCATGCCCCCGAAGAGCCACAAGGGTCTGAATCCTACTGGGAGGATTGTGGACCCGCAAAGATTGCCTGCAACGTTAGGGTAATCGAAACAAGGGGAGTAGGGATGGTGCCACGTAGCTGGATGTTGTTTGGGGGCCTTGGGCTTAGCCCAGGCAAAGTAGACCGAAGCGTATCGGTCGAAGTTGAATGTCTCCATGGAAGGCATTGTGGTGTCGATGGTGTGGGTTGGCGTGGTTGGTGTGGTGGTGATGGTGAAAGATGGAGTGGACGAGGTGAATGGTTGAATGTTTGATTGTGAGCTTGAAAGTTTGATTGTAAAAAGAGTTAATCGTTTTCGTACGAAGAAGAAAAGAGGATTGAATGAGAGGGAAGACTCCTTTATATAGACAAATTTGGCCATCTGGGTCTCCATTTGTCCGGATTTTCTTTGGGGGCTAATCCAAAGCTAATGTTCCTGATGTCGCTAATTTAGGGCAAAAAAATTTGATCGTTAGAGCCCCGCGCTAGATCTACAAGCTAGATGTAGATCATGAGAAAAGCTTAATGTGTCAATCGGGCTCGGGTAACTAGCTTATTTAAAACATAAGTTGATTTGATATATTGAAATACAATAAAATGATCTACCACTTTAGGATACTTGGTCCACATGAAAACCTAAATTCAATCTAGAGATCGAATGATTGTGAAATTTTGTACTGCTCTCGAACATTAGATCTTTATAAACAGACTGAATTTGATCTAGACGTTGACGCCCTATGAAATACTGTACTACTTTAGAACATTTAATCTACGTAAAAAACTGAAGTCGATCTGGACATCAAATGACTATGAAATCCTATACTGTTCTGGGACATTTGATTTACATGAAAAAAGCAACTGAATCTGGACATTTAGTCCCTATAGAATTCTGTACTACTTTAGAACATTTAAACTGTACGAGGGGCTGAAGTCAAATTAGATATTACATGTGAAATGCTGTACTGATCTGGAACATTCAAACTGTATAAGAGTCTCAATTCATCTAGATACTCATCCCCCATGAATTGTTGTACTCATCTGAAATATTCAAACTATTAAAAGGACTAAATTTCATTCAGACATCGAATCAATGTAAAATATTGTCCAAACATGAGATCTTGAATTCATTTGAGATGTTCAATTCATTCGCAACCATGATACCACAAAATTTGATAGTGCTATTTTGCCCCCACATTATCATGAGTCAAATGTGTCTAGGTGCTAAAAGTTCGTCGCGCTAGCAGTCAATCACACTAAGAGGTAACGCTAGCAGTCCATCACGCTAAATGATTGACAGCCGACAACCCCTTCAGAAACCTAAAAGTATATGACACCAGCCCTACCACGAAGCCCCGAAACTCAATGATCTTCATTGGAACGAGTAAATCTAACCTCAACAAGACTTGGTGATAATTATCTATCAGCACTTGAATGATTCACAGAGATGTCAAAACTTAGTACGTCAAATTTTAGAAAGCCCTACAGATTCACCCGAAGAATATCGCAACTAGCAACGGGTGTACGCTTCGGAACGAGCGTTAGTGTCTACCCACGCACATGTCATTACGAAATCGAAGTACATCTAAAGATACCGATATCTGCTAGATATGGAGATCCGCTAGCAAGTCCCTTCAAATAAAGTACGCGTGATTATCTTAGCGTAATTCAATATTTTGACGTAAGGAATTGTATGAAGATCATTAAATTTATGAAAAATCGGATGCTGTCTTGTGCTTAGAAATGATCATCGTGGTTTCTATTCTGATTATTGAAATCTGAGTTTCAGCCCACAAAAGGCTTGTAGCTCGCGGTAAGGGAGCCTATCACGAGAATTTCATTTTGCGGCTATAATACATCCGTATGCGCATCGATGGCGTAATGAAATGAATGAGGATCACGAGAATGATCAGAATTTGGCAGCATAAAAATACATACTGAGGACATCGTGAGATTTTCAATATTCAGTCGAATTGTAGGTGTAATTAAGTCGCTGGCGGTTTGATGTTGGTACCATACTGTTTGTATTCAATGTCGCTGGTGCTTTAAGAAATTGATATCCCTTTCTTAGCCGAAGAAAGGACATAAACTGAAGTACAGGGTCGATGGCTTCTGCAGTAATTTAATTGGAGTTCTCCATGTGTATGTAGATTATCTTTACACACCTAGCATATCTTGAGTATATACAGAGTGAATGCCGTTGGTTTAAAACGCTTTCAGGACTGAAAGACTGAAAGTAGAAATATTGAAGTAATCTCACCGTTAATATTGGGTCGTATGAGAAAACAGATGTAGATACCCTCAGCTGCAGAGACATATGTAGAGCCTAAGTAGTAACATCGGATTAGGTATAAATTATAACCTGACTCCTGAGGCTTAGTACACATTGACTTGCACGATGAGCATACACAATATCACAAAGTTCTCAGAACCATCACATACTTGGAAATCAACAGAATAATTTATACAGAAAAAATGTTACAATATTTTGTAATTTACAAATTCTTATCCAAAGCCTGTGCCTGATTCATAGCCCAATAGGTCCCTCTCAATTCCATTGATTCTAGGTGTGTGCCTCTCTCAACAATTCTTCCCTTCACGAGTACTGAAATGCAATCCGCCTTCCTAATGGTCGCTAGTCTGTGTGCCACTGTAATCGTGGTAGTCTGACCTGAAATTCGATTCAAAGCATCGAGTACTTCCTTTTCAATCAAAGAGTCAAGCGCACTAGTCGCCTCATCTAACAGCAAAATTCTGGGTTGGCGTACGAGTGCTCGAGCAAGTGCTATTCGCTGCCTCTGACCTCCGCTGAAACCGAAACCTTTCTCTCCACACTGTGTATTGTAACTTTCTGGTTGGGAAATGATGAAGTCATGTATATTTGCATCTTTTGCAGCATTTTCGAGACGTTCATCAATCGAAGACAAATCACGAATACCAAGAAGAATGTTATCTCGAAGGGTACCCTCGAACAAAACGGTGTTTTTAGAGACTAGACCCGTTTGACTACGATGATGCTGGGTATCAATATCGTTCAAGGGAGATGCATTGATGAGAATGGATCCATTGATAATTGTGTAAAACTTCTTGAGTAAGGCAATGATGGTAGACTTTCCAGAACCTGAGGGGCCAACAATCGCTAGGTTTTGGCCTGGTTCAATTATAAAATCAATCTCTTTCAGAACTGAATGCTGTGAAGAGTTTGGATAGCTAAATTCGACGCCATGAAACTCGATAGACACTGTAGAGTTTCTGATTTTCTCGTCATCGTAATTGCGTTGCTGAGATGTGGTTCCGTCAGGCATGGAAGGTGGGTGCTCCTGCCTTACTTGGACAGTTGGTTCTTCATCTTTATGCTAACATACAATGAATCTTCAGATCACTGCGTGGATATGTTGCGTCAAAAACTAATGTGCGATGCCGATGTACATCTAGTCACATATAACTGGCTGAAAGGCCACGATGCTCCGCATCCCAACTTCAATACGGCCAGGCAATGTCGAAGCTTTGAAGCCGTCAAGCAATATGTCATGGCCAATGCCCTCGACGGCTCTAACCTACCTAAAATGTACTTTGAAAAGCCAAAGGACGGTTCTGTAACGGAGTATGAGGAACCTCCATTTGATCCTCTTGCCGATGGATGGCCATCAAACCACCACTAGAAAACTGCTGCGTACATATCTTTTGCCCTGAGAAGCACCGCGCACTTTCTGCTCTGTACATAGCACTTTACCTTAGACGGTACGGATCGTTTGTGCATAAAACCTTGGGTTCCACAGACCTTTGCAATCCTTGCGTGTCGAACAGGGCTTGCGGAATCTGCGTATCCGTCATTAGCGATCTTTCTTCTAATACCATTTGCGGGCACCCAATCAAGTCAAAGACTGATCTTTGTCGAATTTTTACAAAAATGGGAGATCCTTGTCCACGCTCGCGAATGGTACAAGTTCTGGCTTCTCCGGCCTCAACCCTGGTGGGTGCAGATAACAGTGTCGCGGGTAGCACGTGCTCGTTTCGGAGTTATAACTCAAAAAGTATTGTCTCGACTACCTCTTACTTTATAGCCATGTATACATACCCAATTAATGGCTTTCTTGCTGATATATTCTCAAATATGGGGTTGCGTGTTTAAAGGCTGCTGATGACCATACTTGGTTTCGAGATAGATCATCTCCGGCCCCCAAAAATATGACCTTCCAAACAAAGAATTATCAGCAGATCCTCGACATCCACATTTCGTGTGTCTGGAATATACCGCGCCACTGAAATTCAACTGAGCGGCACAGTACATGGATACTTTGCAGGTAGCTAGATGTGACAGTGAGAAACACTTAGCACTTACTTGTTCAAGCTTGCAAAAAAGGTAGTTGGAGGTGTAGATCTGCCCGAATACTGGAAGTCATTCAAAAAACGAAAACAGGTCTGATTTACTACCCCTCGCTCCCCATCTTTGTGTCGAGTCCTTCTTATATTGGAAGCATAGATTACCATTTCCTTGCATCAATTGTCAAATTTAGAATGCAGGCTAGGGTCGATATCACACAAACATGATGCACACTGAAGAACGGGAAAGAAATTGCAGGATATTGTTCAATTTTGTTGAAGATTTCTTTGCAGCAGGACAAGGGAGGCAGCAGGCGGTACCTTTCTTACCCCCGTGATTGTAGGATTGAGTTAAGAAGATGAGGGAGCGCTCAGTTCCCACAAGGAAGCATATTGTCCTCCCACGTACACTGACTAAGTTCGTCGACACCTCATTTATGAAATCTGCAGTCGTACTCCTCTCTCATAATTTTGCACATACAATATATCCATAGCCGAAACCCAGAGCTATGGTTCTTGTTGTTCCACTCGAGAATTTAAATGTATAGTAGCCGCATTCCATATTGATCCTTCGAGTACGCAACACTAATCGTGTTGGCAGGCGCTGGCATGGACCCTATTCAGTATCTCGACTGTACTTACATTTGGCCGTTTCTACATTAGATGGCAAAAAGAAAAGAGTTTACATCTAGATGATGTCTTTAATGCATTGGCTCTTGGATCCTTACTTGCTTTTGCCATCACATATCAGGTTTACCTGCCTATCCAATATAACTACCAACTATATGCACTTGGTCTCGGAGGATATCTTCCTAGCGACGATCAGTTGATGTATGCACAAAACGTGGGCATCGTCAACATTGTTTTCTTTTGGGTAACCATATATCTTGTGAAAAGCATCTTTCCCAGCACTCTAGTGGGCTCTATTCTCGATATCCAATGCATTTCGAAAATGGTGGATAGCGGTCGCAATCTACACTGGAATTTCGTTTCTCGCAACCTTCTTCGTCATTTTTTGGTCATGTAAAACTCCCAGTCAACTTGAAGATCTTGGTATTATTCTCCCGTCTTGTAGTGTTGAATTCAACTAACAACCCTAAAGAAGCATGCAATACCATATCTGAGGAGCTCATCATTGGTCTCGAAACTTTGTGGTGTGTTTTCAACACAGTGGGAGATATCTTGAGTACGTTAAAAGTCCCAGCATTTTCGATCAAACCAGCTAACAAAGTCCTGCACCAGCGATGACACTACCTTTCGGCATGCTACGTGCAATGCATGCCCACATCTCGGAAACTAGGTGTGGCAGCTATCGCCGGCCTAGTGATCATCAACATACTTTTCGACGTCCTCCGAACCATCTACACCGTCGGAAGCTATACAAGCTCATTCCCCAATGCCAATGCAGTTTGGGCTCTCTGCAAACCCACCATAGCCGTAATGGTATGCGCACTGCCCCCCTATCGAACATTACTTTTTCGAAAAAAGATCGATCCTTCGACTTCATACCCGGGGATGCATGGAACGAGGAGTACTCGGAAAACTAAGTCTGGCAACTCTTCAAGACCCCATGAAATGAATGATATGAGTGCGTATAGTCTAGCTTCTACTCGATCTGTGCTGGGACACCACGCGGATGTGCATGCTGTTTGATTGAACGCCGAGATGCACGCTTGTAGAATATAATTGCTTGTACTTTTTGGAAACACGTGTTTGTGCTTTTGGCAATGGTGTCTCATGGGATTGAAACACGAAATTGTAATTTATCTGCATTCGAGAGATAGTCTATTTGAAGTCTCCGTTTCATGGATTCCAGTCATGTTTATGTATTACCCATAATATGCAGCACTCCAGATAAAATTTCTCGGTAGTTCGTGATGATCGTAGCCGAAATTACCAGCGTAAACAGAGATCAATTTCCCAAAGAATCAGATCATGTCAAGTGAACTATGTATGTTACATAGCCAATTAAATTATGGTGATAAGTTAGAAATGTAATAGTTGGTGTGTCTTATAAAAGTCCCGTATGTATTTATAGTGTACCTAGACCCTACTAGCTTCATCAAGTCCAAGTGCAACATCGATGCAGTCAATGAGTCCTGAAAGTTCGACACACACAGCAACATCGCAAAACACCATGGTGACCGTCGCAATCATTGGGGCCGGCCCAGCAGGTCTTGTTGCCGCCAAAACACTCCTCAAGTCATCTTCCCAAGATTTCATCTTCAAAGTCACAGTATTCGAGCAGGGGACCGACGTTGGGGGTCTCTGGGCTGTAGAATCAAATCCCAATAGAATCATCAATCCTGAAATGCATACCAACCTTTCTCAATTCACCGTCTGTTTTTCTGATCTTGCCTGGGATTCGGTGGAAACGTAGCCTCCAGCCACTGTATACCCTAGAGCGTGGCAAGTCCATCGATACTTGAAGGAATATGCTGCGAGATACATTCCACCTGGAACCATCGCTTTCCAAAACTACGTCAAAATGATTGAACAAATCCATACTTCTCCAGAGGTGGAGACCAAGAAATGGAAAATCACAAGCATCGCGCTCGAAAAAGGTACACCCATCGAAAAGATTGAGATATTCGACTATCTGATCATTGCATCTGGATTTTTCTCTCAAGCCAGAAAAATTCCATTTCCATGCACCAACCTGATTTCAAAACAAGAAAACCAGCCATCTACCATCCTCCACAGCTCTCAATACCGTCAAGTTTCCGATCTCTCACCTACCCATGCACAACCTTTACCAAGAAAATTTTTCGTAGTCGGGGGCTCCCATTCAGGCGCCGAAGTGGCATCTTTAATCGCCATGCACATATCCGACGCGCAGTATTCGCCTTCTGTAACTGGGACTGGGACTGGGACTAGGACTTCCGCGCCAGAAATCATACACGTGATGCCTCATCCCCTCGTTTCCATACCGTCATTCGTCCGCAGCGGAAATGACAAACTCCCTTCATTTGCGCAATTAGATTCGCGTCTGTACGATCTCTCTTCGCGACCGGATGGTCCGATTTCGTTTACTTTTGGGCTTTCGAATCCCGAGAAGAGGAAGAAATTGAGGGATACGCTTGGGATGCTTATGTCAGGGACAGTGAATGGAGAAAATGATGATGGATCGAAAAAAAGCGATGAAATTGATTTGGGAGCTCCGTATGCGGTTGTAGGTGACAAGTATGCGGAATTCATCAGGTCTGCTGCGATTAAGCAAGTATTTGGCCGGATTACTCTGCTTGAACAGCAATCGGTAAATCAACACTATTATCTTCTCGTGAAATAATATCTAATACGTAAAAGCAAAATACAAATTTGATGCTCGCAACCATCGAATCACAATCCGACCAAATCAAAATTGAAGACATCGCAGCCGTCGTATACGCGACGGGATTTTCCACCTCTCCCGCGCTGAATTTCCTCCCAGAAGAGATTAAAGAGAGTTTAGGCTACAACGCCTCTTATCCCCGTCTTCCTCTACTTTTGAGTGAAGATTGTATGAGCAGCTCTCGAGATTCTCCGAGTACTTTAGCACTGATGGGATTTTTCGACGGTTCATATTGGGGAATCTTGGAGAGTCAAGCGCGCGTGATTGCGAAGAAATGGGGGGGACAAACCGAGGGGTTTTCTTCTCCTATTCATAATCATGATGGAACAGCCGAGGACAGTTCTTCTAAACTACGCGTCTTTATGGAAGAATCAAGGAATATGATGGAGAAAGACCCATTATCCGTCCCCCAAAATTTCTTCAGCCATTACTCTGGTCTAATAGAAGAAATCTCTCGAAAACTCGGGCTTCAGAAAATAAACCTATCATGGGGCGAAAGAGAGGGAATGGTGAGTCCAGCTCGCTACATCGATTCACAGTGCGACGCACTCGAAGCCGAGAAAGCCATGCGAAAACTGCAAAAAACACTCCAAGATTCCCGGGATGGGAAGGCTATTTTCGCGAAATCGACTTTCCGTGGGCTCCAAGGGAACTGGAAGGACTTCAATGCGAAGACTGAATCTCTTGAATCATCCCCCAAGAGCTCGAGCTCGAGCTCGAGCTCATTCCATCCCCGCTTCCCAACAGATACAACTTCAGATCTCGAGTATCTCTGTATCACACAGTGCGAAGAATCACGCCCTCCCATCCCTCGAACAATCTACCGGCTCCGCGAAAGTGCAAACCAAATCGAGATATGGAGTGTAGATGCGAAAAGCGGATTAGCAGGCGATAAAATACATTATATTCTCGATTTCAACGACGGGATTGTCGAGGAACAGACAGATGGAAATCGAGTTACTATTCTAGCGACAGGGGCTCCTGATGCAGATTCGAGATATAAGATTGTATACTCATTCTGTTTTGCGGGGGTGGGGATTACAGAATTTAGGATTGAGTATTTGGATGAGGAGGATTTTAAGATTGATTCTGGGGTTCATTTTGTGCGATGAATTTTCGAAGACTTGTAATTATCTTATACACCATAGGCATCATCATCAACCTCCCACATAATCCCTGGAAATTCTCGAAAAAGGTAAAACAAAAGAATTGACAGCCACCTTCAAGCCCATTGTTCACTTCCTTAGAATAATTGCTCAAATAACTGTACTCGAATATTATTCGATCTAATTATTGATTCAAAAGCCATGAAGAAGAATAACTCATACTAATAATATTATACCTCAATACCTCAACTCCTATCCCCCCATCCAAGTTAGATATAAAAACATGATATGAAAGGTACATTAATGGTACTGAATCCAAACGATACAAAAAGAATTAGACAATCAAGAGACTCGAAAAGCTCTACAATCAACTCGAATATATCGTACAACATTCAAGAAAGCTCGAATAATAACTTTACATGAAAAGACGATCTAGTCACAACCTTTTCGAAGCGATAAAACGATATCGACTCAAAGTCCTATGATCAAACGACAAAATTCAAATATAACATGAGTTCAAAGATAAAAGTGTTTATTGAATAACGTACAACACCTAGTAGATGCCAAGTAAGAACGATTAACAACATCTCATACGAATATACCCGAGACCTTCGGTAACCCACCCGAGGAACCTTCCTTTCCCCAAAATGAAGTTATATCTTCTCTTCCACAATTCTTTTCGCCCTCGTCTTTGCCCTCTACTTGTCCCTCCAAATTTTAATTCTCGGAAAGGCCACCTCTACAAATAATGATTAGAGTCCTGTGTAAGCAATCGGAACCAATCCGCCACGGACGATACAAATTCCATCCCGCGGACCCGAACTCCCCAGCCTTCCATCCCTTGAAGCTCCGAGGCCGTAGAATCCCCGCACAAAGTGTACATGGGGACCTGCGTTATCTGGTCAATCTGCAGCGGATGCGCAAATGCTTTGTAAGAACGACCTGGGTAGGTACTTAGAAATGTACACATCCGGCTTATTGATTCATGAGTCAATATTTTCAATATTTTACTGGATTGGATATTGATTTATAATTATCCGGTGCTGTCGAAAATTTTCACATTTTTGTTTTGATTTCGTGAGCGAGTTGGTATAATTGTTGTTTGAGTTAAGTTATCATTTTCGTGTGTTTTGTTCTGTGGAATTCACGAGGAACGGCGTGGGATTTGATCAGCATGGGCTCCCCCGATTTCGCAGCAGCTTCTTCACCTCACCATTCCTCTCATGATGATGACGGGAAACCAGCATATGCTGCCCCCGTTACATATCAAAATGATGATTTTGACATCGATGAAGCGTCCAGGAAGAATTTGGAGAGGAGATTGGTGAGGAAGGTGGACTGGAGATTATGTACGATCGCTGGAATATTATGTAGTTTGAATTTGATGGATTCGGGAATCATTAGTTCGGCCAGTGTCGCAGATGATTTCTTCACTGATTTGGGTTTGGGAGTTGGGAACAGATACGTAAGTTCCTCTACTCCGTCAACTGATTTTGTTATTGCATGCTGATAGTGTATTTTGTAGTCTGTATCAATCTTAGTGTATACAGTGGCAAGTGTAACATTCCAGTTGCCAGCTACGCTGTGTGTGAGGATGTGTGGACCAAGATTCGTATTCTCGTTAATTACGATTGGGTTTGGCATTGTAACCTTGGTATGAAAGACTCTGGGTCAATTCCAGATTTGATTTGAAGAAGAGAATTCTAACGGTATGGCGTAGTGTACGGCTTTCATCAATACCTGGCAACAGATGGTAGCCCTTCGTCTACTCCTGGGAATTGCTCAATCTGCTATCTTTCCAGGATTAAGCTACCTTATTTCAACTTGGTATACCAGAAAAGAACAACAGCTTCGTTTCGCTTTTTTGCAGACGGGCGAAGTTATTGTTGTTGGTCTGGGAATTTTCCTTAACTATGGTGTGAACCATTTGAATGGTAAAGGGAGCTTGGCCGGTTGGAGGTGGATGTTTCTAGTGCAGGGTCTGCTTGCCATAGGTATGTTACCCCGATTGATGGCCCGGTCTTGAAAATTAATAGTTGATAGTTGTGGGATGCGTAACCTATTTCTGGATGGTGGATTTCCCAGAAAATGCTCATAAAAGCTTTCGTTTCTTGACAGCCGAAGAGCAAAATCTGGCACTGACGAGAATTTCGAATGATAGAGGCGACGTAAAGGCAGAGGAGTTCTCGTTAGGAAAATGTCTTGTCCAATTTCTAGATCCAAAGATTTACGGGTTTTGTGCTTTGCTTTTTTGCTTGAACTTGGTATCGACAAGTAAGTACGAACTACCAGTAACATTATTGGGACTAATATGCTAACTCCAACCAAAGGCATGTCTTACTTCTTACCCATCATTCTGAAAACTGGAATGGGATTTTCTGAGGACAGTTCCATTATGTTATCAGCACCACCATATTTCTATGCTGTGATTCCTGTCATTATCTCCTCGATAGTTGGTGATCGCTATCAGCTTCGAGGCTTGGTCATAGTTTTCAATTCCATCTGTACCATTGTGGGTTTCTGTATGTTGGGGTTCGCTAGTCAAGATACAGTTCGATATATCGGAACATATTTAGCGACAGGAGGTTATGTGTCAAACTGGGCAGCAATGAATGCCTACCAATCATCCAATATCGTCGGACAGTGGAAAAGAGCAACCTTTGCGGCTGCCGGAACTGCATGTAACGGGTTAGGAGGAATTGCTGGTGCATTCATCATCAGGTATAATGAGGCGCCTCGATATCTGACAGCAATTTGGGTCAGTATTGGCTCCCAAATTTTCATTGTTGCCATTGTTGGCATTTTTTCGATATACTTTTGGTATGCCAACGGCCGACAGAGAAAGGGGATGGTCTTACTAGAGAGGACCATGAACTTCAGGTATACTTATTAGAATCTGATAATGTAATCTTAGATAGTGCGATTGAAGACTTGAAAATCTCAACGCCTTTCGTATTTTGAAGAATCTCATAAAGTAGCCAGCTATATATTCTCTGAACATACTCGAGTACAACTTCTCAAAGAACCTCATACGACACATAGCTGTCACATTTGGCGAGTACTATTTCTCTGACCAGAATGGGCACTCATTGCAGGGAATCGTCTATTTGGACTAACTTCACCACGCCTACATCAGCTCATCTCTGTAAACAATAGTTCATCGCATGTTGTTTTCTCGAACGAACTTATGAAAGCAATACTTGTATTGACTTCAAGTTGTTAGCATGTGTGTTCAATGTGTGTTCATACGCCAGTAAAAGTTACATGATACAGTTTATGCCTGATCATCCATCGGGACAACCCAAGAATTAATGCATGAATCTTGACATGCCAATGCCTGACGTACAGTATCGTTACGTACCATGCTGACTGACGTAGCTGGTGGATGCAACTCAACCACGTCTTTTTGTCTCGATGTTTGGTGAAATGGTCAATAGAAGAGATAAGTAATAGCGTTCTTCGATATGACTGAGAGAATTTTGACTCGATGTACCCCAGTAGTAAGTAATTGGTGAATGAGATGCTGCACTCTAAAATATTCCAAGACTTGTTATGCAGAGCGAACGAACCGCTATGATTTACATTAAACAACCTTATTAGCATTAGCATCTATATGTGACCCTAGATACGGAAAATCCTTGAGACCAACTACGCAACATCACTTCCTATCAACCTACCTCACAATAACCAATCCACGTTTACACTCTTTTGTTGAAGGTGCCTAGGTATTGCTCCTAAGATCTTAGAATATTCATTTGCTTCGGTATCATTTAATCATTCGGCATACATAGACCATCAACTTCAACAGCCCAATAGCCCGATACAACTTTGCCATTTGTTCAAAGCGGCAAGCTCATCCAAATCTGGGTAAATCCGGCATCACGAACTTGGAACTACTGAATTTCCGAAATTACATGGGGCAGTCTTTCGACCACTTCGCAGGACGATAACAACTTCGAACCCGAGCAGGAGGAGTATTCCCCTCATAGCAACCTTCCAGACGAACTATACAAGATGGGTTTCCTGGGTGTTTATACCGCAGTATATGATTATATTCCGGCAGGTGAGGGAGAACTTACTATCAAGGAAGGTGATATCCTCTATGTGCTAGAGAAGAGTACAGAAGACGACTGGTGGAAAGCAAAGAAGAAGGCCTCTGCAGACGATGAGGATGAACCCGTGGGATTAATCCCAAATAACTACATCCAGGAGGTATGAATATCCAATTTAGATCCGCGATTTATGACAATGGCAATAGGGGAGTAACATACCCATTCATGTGACAATATGAACATACTTGGCTCATTGGCGATGGTGCAGCATATGTTAATTTCTATCCTTATAGGCAGTACCATCTAGCAAAGCTAGAGCTCTCTACGATTACACGAGACAGACAGACGAGGAGTTATCATTCACGGAAGATGCACAACTCGAGGTTTTCGACACATCAGATCCAGACTGGATCTTGGTAGGCTTCGAGGGAGAGTATGGCTTCGTGCCTGCAAATTATATTGAATTATCTGAGAACTTAGAAGAGTCCAAAGAAGCACCTGCTCCAAATCTTCCAAGCCGACCAAGACCACCACCAGTTGCAGTAGAAGAAGAAGCACCGCAGGCGCCCGAGTCTCCTCTACCACCTCAGTCCCCCGAATCCCCAGTAGTTGCGACCCCGGCCACTGCAATCGCAGGTATATTAAATCAGCAACAACAGAGGAAATCATCCGCTCCGGTAGCTCGAGCCCCACCAGAATTCACCCCCGAAGCCTCCGATGAAGATCCACCCACACCTACGTTACCTGCGAGGCCAGTATCACAAGTATCTGTCCCGCAGCCTAGTCGAGAGCGAGATCGAGAATCTACCCGGCATTACTCCCCAAGGCTTCCTGCGTCTCCTACTGGTGTTGCTGCATCCCCTCCTTACAATAGAGTATCTTTCGCTACAATGGGCGTAGTAGATGCCCCAGATGAGCCTAGAGCGAGTCGTGCACCAGGTGGATTTCACATGTATAACATCAGCGAGATGGTTCATGTAATGGGTAAAAAGAAGAAAATGCCCACGACTCTCGGTATCAACATCGCTACAGGTACAATTTTGATTGCTCCCGAGCAAGCCCGAGATGGACCAGAACAAACTTGGACAGCAGAGAAAATGACGCATTATTCATTGGAAGGCAAGCATGTTTTCATGGAACTAGTACGCCCTACCAAGAGTATTGATTTCCACGCCGGGGCCAAAGACACCGCGACAGAAATTGTGAGTGCATTGGGAGAACTTGCGGGCGCCGCTCGAGCAGAGGGATTAAGAGAGGTTATTGCAGCAGGATCTGGATCTGGCCAGAAGAGAGGACAGGTTCTCTACGATTTCGTCGCACAAGGAGAGGATGAAGTAGATGTGAATGTTGGGGATGAAGTCGTTATAATTGACGACATCAAGAGTGAGGAATGGTGGATGGTACGGCGGGTCAAGAATGCGAAAGAAGGAGTTGTTCCAAGTAGTTACATCGAAGTTGTTGGTACAGTGCAACCACCAAGTTCGGCTGGAATAAACGCGGGGCGATCAACCGTTGAACAAAATCGACTCGAGGAAGCGCGACTAGCAAGGGAAGCCCTGAAGACAGCGAAGAGAGATGAGGTTGAGGTAGGCCCTGGAATGCGACTACCCGAGCGGGGTAGCAGTCTTTATGCTCGTGACAATGGTAACCAATCTGGGCAACAGAAGAGACGAGATAATGGCAGAGAAAGCAGCTCTTCGAAATCTTCAAAGTCCAGTAAGTGAAGTTTCAATCCAGCGCAATGCGTTGTAGCTAACAACCCATAGAACCTGACCCTGCCAAAGTAAGAACCTGGACGGACCGCTCAAAGTCCTTTAGTGTTGAGGCACAATTTCTAGCGCTGAAAGACGGTAAGATAAACCTTCACAAAATGAACGGCGTGAAAATTGCTGTCCCAGTTGTCAAAATGTCAGTTGAAGATCTGGAATATGTTGAACGGATGACGGGTATATCCTTGGATGAAGATAAGCCGTTATCAGACATCAAAAAGCAGCAAAAGTCACGAGCAGCCGAAAGACAGCCGAGCAACGGTGCAAGTGTCGGCGCAAGCATTGAACGTCCAGAGTATGACTGGTTCCAATTCTTCCTCTCCTGCGACGTTGCTGTGGGTCTTTGTGAGAGATATGCACAGGCATTCAAGCGAGATTCTATGGATGAGAGTGTTTTGCCTGATATTGATGCCACTGTACTTCGGAACCTTGGAATTCGCGAGGGCGATATCATCAAAATAATAAGATTCATAGACAAGAAGTACATGCGAAAAGATGGGAAGCGAAACGTCAGCCTTGGTGACGATGAGGGTGAAGCTGGCCTCTTCTCTGGACCCGGTGGTACATTGAAAAACAATACTCGAAAAGCTCGTCCCGCTCCTGCTGTAACAACTAATGATGTGGTGGATGCGAACGCCTTTTCGCAGAATGGTACCGAGAAGTCATCCCCTCAAGGTGTTGCCACACCCCTTGCAACTGCTCCAACTCCAGCAGGAAAGGATGTCAAGCGAGGAGGGTTCGATGATGATGCATGGGATGTTAAGCCATCAAAACAAGAAGCCACAAGCAGTGCGCCTGTCGAGTCCACACCGGCCCCAGCTCCCGCTCCACAGCAACCAGCTATTACTGGCTCGATGCAAGAACTTTCGCTGCTGTCCACTCCTCTCGAACCCGTAAAAGCACAGCCGATTGCTCAAGCAACATCGCAACCCCAAGGCCCACCTGCCGTCACTCCTTCAATATTTGCTGGAATTGGAAATCAACAAACTGGGCTCCCTCAACAGCAGCCTGCCCCTTCTGGGCCTTTGTTCCCAGCAAACTTAGCGCGTCAACGTCCTGGACCTCCTCAAATGGGCGCAAACACGACTCTGATACCACCACTTCCTCCTTCGCGACCTTTATCGGCTCCTCAAGCTGTGACCGCTTACGCCCCACCTCCACTCCAAGCTCAAGCTACTGGGTATGGAGCTTTCCAGCCTCAAATTGCTCCTCCTGGACAAAGTCTGCATGATCTCAATCAACAACGCATGCAACAGCAGCAACAGCAAATGCAACAACAACAATTTATGCAACAGCAAACTGGCATGATGCAACAACCTACCGGATTCAATCAATTCAATCCTGGAGCACCTAACAACTTTCAGCAATTCCCCATGCAAACGGGCGCTCCTCAGCAATTCATACCAAACCAAACAGGTACACCATTTGCAAACCCTCCAGTACAGCCATTCCAACCACAACCACTTCAACCTCAAGTCACAGGCTTCCAGAGTGCATTCCCTACTGGACAACAATTCCCTCAACCTACCGGTGTAAACTCATTCTTGCCTCCTGCCATGCAACCTCAGCAAACAGGCATGATGAATGGAGCAACCGGTTTTGGTGGTCAGAATTTCCCTGCACCACCGGCTCCACCTGCGCCACAGCAACACCCATCCCCATTAATCCCTCAAGCGACTGGGCCAGCACCACCAGGTAATTTCATTCCTCTACCATACTATTATATGAACCTGCAACTAATTCAATTTCCAGTTCGTTTCGGACTTAATGGCACTAATAACATCGCGCCACAGCCCACTGGCAGACGCGCGAACCTTTCACAAGCCAGTAAGTTCATCTCTATGTCTCCATTACTTTCAAACACTAATGCAACACAGCTCCTCAAAATCCATTTGGATTTTAAGTTGGTAGTAAACAAATGTACACTTTATTCCGGCTATCATTGTTTTTCGCGTTGTAAAATAGGTGGATAGGCTTGCATAGCTGAGCATCAAGATGTTAATATCTTTTTTATTTTACTTTGAGAGAAATTCGTTTACGTGGTCACGTATCCGTGGCTATGGATATATTGGGAAGGGCGTAGAGGAGCCTATAGGAGAAAGGTTTATATCGATATTATCATATTTAATTGATCAATTTATTTGGAGGGGGATAGAGTGTGATGTGTCCTAATTTTTGTTGATGATGTTTGTTTGTGATTTAAAGTCGACACAAGGAGTGTTTTATGGGTGAGTTCGGAGCACAGTCTTTGTTTTTTACTCAATTTAGTTGCAACGGCAAAGGATGACAACATGGTTAGTAGCTCCTCAGCCGGATTCCGAGAAGTTTCTCGGGAATATTGAAACGTGCGAAACGCCAGGAAGTAAGGAGCGTTAGAGATCTACATGCGCGCACGGATGCGCTCTTATGCACGGACTGAGAGGTGGATGTGAATCAAGCTTATTTTGACGAGACTTGTGTGAGAAATGTTTGTAAATTGTAACGTGGTTGCGTTGTGTTGTGCCGTGGAGGGGCAGGTTCAAGGGATTGGGGCTTGGAGTTTAGGGTTTGAGAATGAGGTCGAGGAGGGGAAAGGGAGAGGGAAATTTCGGGAGGGATTGGTCGCGTGAGGGTTGGGACTGTGAGTTTGTGAGGCTGTGATTTTTTGAATTTGTGAGAAGAGGTTTATACTGCAGTAGCTACTAGTGTGGTCGGAGATGAGATGGGGCTTGGTTGAGGAGTGAGATGGTTGTTCTGTGAAGGTTTGTGGAAGTGTAATCGTGAGTGGAAGTCTTGTTATAAGTGAAGGTGGTGTCAAAAAGGCATGATGTATCTTCTCGGGGCCGAGAAAAATAGGGGAAAGAAGGAAAAGAGGTCAAGTATACTTAACGATCGGTCGTTACGAGAGTATTCTGATTTCATTTACATTGTTTCGAGTTTTCGTCGTTTAGTACATTCACCATCATACCATAGCCAAGCCCTAGCAGAAATCCCAAATCGCCAGTCTGGAAGATATTCTTCGCCGTGAAGTTTCAAGGCGCGAGAACCGAGATTCTTACTGGTGTGATATGATATGTTCATGCTTCTGTATGCTTGTTTATAGTTAAGCTTATTTTCTCCCTGGTTCGTTTTGTGTGACGTCTTTGGATTTATATTGCCTGGTGCTTGGCGTGTTGTGGGTTAGGGAAGTGGGTTTTGATGCTGATGATCGTGATGTTTTGGGGAGAATAAAATCCTGCGGGTAGATACGTCGATGACTGATGCGCGAGATGTTTCATGCTGGTGATTTTGTCGTTTATTCGTTGTGGTTCAGGGTACGGTTTGCGGTGAGGATTTGGGGGAGTGGGAAGTGTGGAATGAGGACCGCACAACGCGTGCGAGGCAGAATAATACTATTCGTGATGTACTAGTTTGCCTTGGTAAATCTGTACTTATTTTGCAGCAGGAAATCGGATTTCAGGTACGCACCGAACTCCAACTCCGGAAGTCGTGTGGCAGATTTTTTTAGGTGGGTTTGTGCGATTCGTTTTCGTCTGATGTTTCTTGAATGATGCTTCGAGGATGGGTTTTTGTATCTTGTGTGTACGTATGTTTATTTGCTTTCGGTACCGAGGGGGGGGGGGGGGGGTATGGGTTTTGTTGTTAAATACCTACTTGGTACCTAGGTATGCATATGTATATTATATCGTTCACTTCAAGTCTTTGTCTGTCTTTTCTTTCGTCTTTCTTTAGTTCTTGTTGACGACTATTTTGTGCTTTAATTCCTTTCCATTTTTTTATTCTCTATTTTGAATTTTGCAGTAATAATATTTACAAATTGACAGGTTCAATTTGATTTGCTTAATCTATTCAATCTCACAAATATACATACATACATACATATATACAAATAACCATATCTAATTCTTCCCCACACATTTACACATTCAAATATCTATATACATCTAATCCTTATCCCCCCCCCAAAAATGCACACCCAAACCCTCTACACCTACGCGCTGGTCGCACTCGCTAGCTCCCTTCTCGCGGCTCCTGTCGAAACATCCGCATCGGCATCCGTATCCCAAAATCTAGTTGCTCGAGAACCGTTTGTGGTTTATGGAAAATCTCTTGAGGAGGAGGAGGATGGTGGTGCTGCGTTTGGGACGGAGAGAGTGAGACGTGTGGATGGGTGGGTATTTTTTATATTTTTGTTTATCTGAATTTCTCTGTTCAGAAGCAAGGGATAAAAATAAAAAGAATAGAGGAGCATTAGGAAGAGAGAGAAAGAAAGAAAAACTAACAGAATATAGATTCGCACTCCCGGTATCGAAAATAACGGTAATTTCGAGAGGAAGTGAGGGGGCTTCGGGATCACCTCCTGGTGGTTCGTCGTCGGGAGCGAATAATGGGAATGGGAATGGGAATGGGAATGGGAATAAACCACCAGGGCCTCCTCCTTCGAATGGATCGAGTAATAACGGAGGACCACCTCCCGGGTCGCCGCCTTCGTCTAATGGGCCAGGTAACAGTGGTTCGAATGGCCCTAGCTCCGGGAGTTCCAGCGGAGGGTTGAATGGACCGTCGAATGGAGGACCAAGTGGAGGATCGGGCGGGAATCAGTATTAGGAATCAACTTGAGAGAAGGGTGAAGAACCAGAAAAATGGGGGAGAGTGAGGTTCTGTTGACTTCAAGAATGTTTCTTCAAGTTGATATATTAGGTTTAAAGCGGATGAACTTGATACGCTGAGCGTATGCACAAAAAGGGGAATCAAGCGAGGATCGAAGAGAGGGTGTTAATACTGTATATAATCTGTTGTCATGAGGATAGATGAAGAATTAGCAAACCTAGAATCAGAAACCCATTATCATTATCTCTTTCTTCCATTTAAAACAATTCACCTTCCTCTCCCATCGGCTTTCCAATCTCTACCTGTGGAGCATCATCCGCATATCTCTCATAGATAGGTAAATAGTATTCCGTCGCACTCAAAGTCATCTGAATACTCTTTCTCTCCTCGATAACCTCGACCCATTTCTCCCATCTTCCTTTTAATTCTCCTAGCTCCTCAAGATGCAGACCTCCTTTGAAGTAGTCAAAGACCCAGATACGGAGTGCCCAGGGTGCAAGAACATAGTCTACTATACATGGTTCTTTGCCTGCAAAATAAGGTCCAATGGGATGCATTTCCCGCGTAAACTCATAAAGGGAGGTAAGAAACCTATTGCGAATCGTCACAAACCTAGGATCATCCACCGAAACCGATCGATACTGAAGAAAACGATCAAAAGCTGGTACAACACGTGATGTGATATGATCGGTCCAAATCTTCAATCTGGCTCTCTCGAATGGTTCGCGAGTGAGTAATCGAGGGTAGTGAGATGGATAGGCGTCTTCGAGGAACTCGCATATGATTGTGCTTTCGTAGAGGGCTTTGCCTTCGTAGGACAGGGTGGGGATGAGACCGCGGGGATTGAGTTTGAGAAGGGATAGGGGTTTTTGGTATGGGTTTACTTCGATGTATTGGAAGGGGATGCGTTTTTCGAGGAGGAGGAGGAGCACCCGTTGAGTGAAGGGACAGAACTGGTGGGTGGAGTGAGTGAGAGCAAGATTGTGGAGATGGGAAAGGGGATGGGGATGGAAGACCGCATACCCATCCAGCATAGAGCTTCACTGGCTCTTCTTTAGAATGTTGTTTAACCATTTCGGCGGCCAAGCCAGTGGCATGTGGAAAGAGGTTCGCATCTGGATGTGAAGCAGACATGATGAAAGGGTGATTGGTTGATCAACAGAACGAACTCAAGATCACAGTAAAGGAAGAAAGAAGTATAAGCAGAGGAAGAAATTATACTGACTGACTCAATAGATTCATGACTTACATATTAAACTACCTTAGTATCTAGTAGTACAGCACTTGCCTATCTAAACTAAACAGCGGTGGGTTTCTCACCAATTTGAGTGATGAATTCACGATGATGGGAAAGTTGATTTTCCATCCAAATCGGCCACCAAAAATTCAAGCCACAAATTTTATAAATGACGAAATGCGGGGGGTTTTAATTGGTTGAGACTCTCTAAATGGTGGTAGTTTCCCTCTATCTATCTACCCAGATAGATAAAAAGGATGATATTAATTAAGAAGAAATACTCAAAATATGTATATAAATCTATATATACACCTGTATATACGATAAATCCTCGTGAGAGAGTAGTCATGTTATATAAAATCCCTACCTAACCTCCCTTGTCCAGCTGAGAAAAGAGTCAGATTCACTTGTCAATTGTGTGGCTGAATAAAACATATGAACAAATAGTGGCGGGGCTATGCGGACCACCTTTTGTCCAACAGACATACATACATACCTTACATACCTTTTTATTTCTTACAACCATTCGATTTCCACAACTTCGATTCCGATATCGATTTTGATTTTTCCATCGATTTTCACAACCCTTCATCTCTCGAGTCGCAAATCCCATCACATCACACAAATACAAACACAGTTGCGAAAATGACAGGACCTTCAACGTAACCCCTCCACTTTTCTTTCCTTTCCCTTCCCTTTACTCAACTCTCCATCTCAACCACCGCTCACACGTGAACATTACTAACCTCTTCACCACCCCCACAGACCCGGCCAAGAAGGGCCTTCCTTCGCACCTCCTCCTCTCCCATCCGGTTGGATCGCCCAATGGGACGGCAACTCCAAGAAATACTATTTCGTGCAACTCAGCACTGGGGCTTCGCAATGGGATACACCCACGCAGGCTGCACCTACGGGCCCTACTCCCCAAGCGACGCCGCAGGGAACAGAACATCCATATGGATTACCAGGAGAGAATGGAAGTCAGGGTCATGCGCAGGAGATGGGCGGTGATGGGACCAGAGGATTCGGAGGGGAGAATGCGGGCGGTGATGGGGAGAGAGGTATCGGCGTGAGTTTATCTCTTCTAAGTTCTATCTTGAGAAATTTATGGTGTATCATGCTAATGTCTTTTTCTACAATAGTCTTTCATCACAAACCAATATCTTAAGAAACAAACTGGAGGCATTCTTGGTGGAAGCAGTAGCAGTTCCGGTTCACAAGGTGGATTGGGAGGACTAGGCAGTCTCGCTGGTTCGTTCCTTGGAGGAGGATCATCTGGGTCAGGTCACAATAATAACAATTCGCATTCGTCGAGTGGAGGCGGCTCATCAGGTATCGCCGGACTCGCTAGTTCATTCCTTGGAGGAGGATCATCTGGTTCAAGTCACAATAATAATAATTCGCATTCGTCGAGTGGAGGTGGGTCATCTGGTATCGCAGGTGCTTTGATGGGCAGTCTATTGGGTGGTGGAAAGAAAACAGATAACGCCCAGAATCAGAATCAGAACCAGAATCACTCTAGTTCGCAGAGTGGTCAACATGGACAAAGTGGTGGAAGTGGATTGATGGGAAGTTTGGGAGGAATGTTTGGTCATCAGAGTCAATCTGTAAGTAAAATCATTCTGATACATTATGGTGTTGTGCTAAGTTTTGCAACAGCAGGGTGGTGGAAACTTTGGATATTCAAACAACAGCAGTGGAAGCCAAGGAGGATATTCCGGTGCTGCCCCTCCAAGTTCCTATCAACCAGGTGGTGCAAGCCAACATAGTTACAGCTCTCCAGCTCCTGCACAGCAATCTTATGGGCAAGGTGCTACACACAGTCCATCGTCACAGTCCTACTCTCAAGGACATGCACCTTCTTACTCTCAAGGATCTGCTACATCCCATCAATATGATCCACAAAATCCATCTCATGGTATGCCACCGAAACATGAATATGGCGCCCCAGGTCAACAATCACAATACGGTGGCCCTCAACATCAGTCTTCATTTGGACAAGCACCGCAATCACAACATAATCAATACCCAGGAGCTCCAGCTTATGGATCTGGTCCAAGTTCCCCAGGTGGATATGGTGCACCTCAACATCAACAGCATGGACAGCAACAACATCAATATGGTGGTCCCCCTGGTCCAGAAATGTCAGGAGGAATGTATGGTGGTGGTCCACCCCCTGTACCACACGGCAGCCATCCTCACCAGGGTCAACATCAACAACATGGCTCACAAGGTGGTTCATCTGGTGGTTACCCTCCTCCTCCTTCAGGTGGTTATCCTGGACAACCTGGATGGTAGTGCTTTTACTCGCGTTATGATATGATGAATATAGGTAGCAATCTAAAAACTTGGTGTGTTTGGGATGGTTGGGTTTCTCTTTGATAGAATGGATATGGTATCCTGTAAATGCAAACTTGCATGGCTTTCTTTGATGAAAATTAATCTTAAGAAAATGACAGCCTGCTGATTATTCATAAAACTTTCTTCTGATAATTCAAGTCTTCAGTGCCTATTTTACATATCCATGTCATGACGTATCGGGAAAGATACCAACTGCCAATAGCTAGTAAAATTATATAGGCGATTGTTGGTACTAATGATTGAGGTAGGAGATTGAATATGTAGGGATCGAGAATTATATCAATTAAAACGGGTGGAACATTTTCCATCAGAGTTTGGTTCATGGTGTAATAATCGGCTGCTGCATAAATCTGGAGGAATAAAACTGATGATGTAGCATCTTTATGCTTGTGTCTGGAATCCGGATCTTGGATTTGGGATGTGGGATCGGGAAGATCATTGAATAGAGGTTGATGGGTCTCGGAATATTGTGCAAGAGATGTGATCAATTCCGAAGTTTCGAATACTGTAGGTACATCATAAGTGTGAAGCTGAAATGAAGTTGGATCCTGGAAAGAGAGGCAAGGCAGAAATTAGCTTGATTCAGATTTATATATATGGAATATTAAATTTTGAATTTTGGATCTCGGGAGTTGTGAGGTGGAAGATGCGGCGTATCGAATGCAGAATATGAAATATGAATTGTGAATTGTGAATTGTACATGAGATGTGCAAGGTGGAAATGGAACGGGAATAGAAGTAGAATCATACCGTAGCAGCCCAACATACTCGCACTTCATATCGCTGTCTCTCTTTCAACCCGTCGAGCAGATACCAGGATGAAACACCATATTGTGCATCTGGCGTGGGAAACTCGGCGCGGATATGCGTGCGCAGAGTGTGGTGATCGGGGGTGAGAGATGGGAGGTGTAGATCAGAGAGGGTGGGGTGGGAGAGCGGGATGCTGAGGGCGGACGGGGCGAGGAAGATGGCTTTTTCGGTATTGGCTTGGACGGAGGAGAGGTGGGTTGTTAGGAGGAGGACAGTGATGAGATTGGGTAGGTTGTAGTGGAGGAGGGTGGTGGGTTGCATTTTGATGAGAGTGAGTTGGTTGGGTCGTGTGATGGATGGATGGTGCTAGTTTTGGTGTCGTTTTTAGGTTTGGAGCTGTGTTGTGTTGTTGTATTGCATTTTTGGAATTCTCGGGTTTTGTTGTATGGAGCGGTATGGTGCTGCCGTATTGTACCTTGGAATTGTGGTATAGGATTGTATTGGATCCGGCCTCGTATTGGGTATGATTTTCCGTCCTTGATGAACGCTTTGTGCTGGATTCCGTATGATGGATGCTATTCATCCCAATTATGAATTTCTATCTCCCAGCTCGTCCAGCTATTTACCAATGTTTCTTCTAGAAGTCAGTCAATCTACCTACTCCGTACCTTCCATCGTATCCCGAGGTGTTTCATATTATTCTTTTCCACTAGCTCACTTGTTTACCAATCAATTAAATCAACTAATCCCTTCTAAGCTTAATTGATCTATCAAAGTGGGTAAATTCTAGAAGCTCTGACTATAATTTCCTAATCCTTACTAGCACACAAAACGCCAACGCGGTCGCCCCTTTAGATAAAAATCCCGTTGTTTATTTTCTCTCCACTTTTTCAAGAAGCGACGACTTTAATTCCTCAACATCCTTCCCCTGGTGCTTTCCTAATTCCCCACTATCAAATCCTCCCGAAAAGTACCATATTTGAGCAACATTCTTGCAAGAGATTTCCTTGCTAAGATCATCTTCCTCTTCTAAATAATCTCAAATCTACATCTACCTCTTCACCTATTTACTATTCAAGATGCGTGAAGTTATTAGTGTCAACGGTAAGATTCTTCCGACCTGTTCATACTATACACCGCTATAACTAGGGGTTGTTTGGTATTTTGTAAACAAATACCATATTGACGGTGGGAAGTATATACTGATTTGGTTCCTTTATAGTCGGTCAAGCCGGTTGTCAAATCGCAAACTCTTGCTGGGAGGTATGTTTTCAAGTCGACAAGACATGTTATCGCACTGTTGTTGTTGCAGGATGTTGACATGGAACTCGTGTGACTGACACATGTTTTTTCTCTCTTGCAGCTCTACTGTCTCGAGCATGGTATTCAGGTAAGAATCTCCAAGTCTAACAATACTCTTCGAAATACTTTCGAACCTTCACTTACACCATCTCTCTACAGCCCGATGGATACTTGACCGAGGAACGTAAAGCCGCCGACCCCGACCAAGGCTTCAGCACCTTCTTCTCCGAAACCGGTATGCATACAGTCCAAGTACATATAATATGATGGGTCAGATTGCTGACAGGAAATTTCAAATAAAGGTCAAGGAAAATACGTCCCACGTGCGATCTACTGTGATCTCGAGCCAAATGTCATCGATGAGGTCCGTACCGGTACATACCGCAACTTGTTCCATCCGGAACAAATGATCACAGGAAAGGAGGATGCTTCAAACAACTACGCTCGTGGACATTACACTGTAGGCAAGGAGTTGATTGATCAAGTATTGGATAAGGTTCGCCGGGTTGCCGATAACTGCTCTGGTCTCCAGGGTTTCCTCGTTTTCCATTCCTTCGGTGGTGGAACTGGATCTGGTTTTGGTGCTCTTCTTATGGAGCGTTTGTCAGTCGATTACGGAAAGAAAGTAAAGTTGGAGTTCTGTGTCTACCCAGCACCACAAACCGCTACCTCCGTCGTCGAACCATACAACTCCATCTTGACCACCCACACCACTCTTGAGCACTCTGATTGTTCTTTCATGGTTGATAACGAGGCTATCTACGATATTTGCCGAAAGAACCTTGGTCTCGAGAGACCTGACTACGTCAACTTGAACCGCTTGATCGCCCAAGGTATGATGGTTTCTGAGATAGGAAATTTGCCTCGTGCTAATGTTTTATAGTTGTTTCTTCAATCACTGCCTCCCTCCGATTCGACGGTTCCCTCAATGTTGATCTTAACGAGTTCCAGACCAACTTGGTTCCATACCCACGTATCCATTTCCCTCTCGTTGCCTACTCCCCAGTCGTTTCCGCTGCCAAGGCATCCCATGAGGCCAACTCCGTTCAAGAAATCTCCATGTCTTGCTTCGAGCCAAACAACCAGATGGTCAAGTGTGACCCACGTAACGGAAAGTACATGGCTACTTGCTTGTTGTACCGTGGTGATGTTGTACCAAATGATGTTCACGCTGCTGTGGCCACTCTTAAAACTAAGCGTACCATTCAATTCGTTGATTGGTGCCCAACTGGTTTCAAGATCGGTATCTGCTTCCAGCCACCTCAAATGGTTCCTAACGGCGATTTGGCCAAGGTCAACCGTGCTGTGTAAGTTAAAGTAACCCCCTTTTAAATGATTTTGCTAATTCCTTTTACAGATGCATGCTTTCAAACACAACTGCTATCGCTGAGGCGTGGTCCGCCCTTTCCCACAAATTCGATCTCATGTACTCCAAGCGTGCTTTCGTGCATTGGTATGTCGGTGAGGGTATGGAGGAAGGTGAATTCTCTGAGGCCCGTGAGGATCTTGCCGCTTTGGAGCGTGATTATGAAGAAGTTGCGACCGATTCTCTTGAGGGTGATGAGGGTGCCGATGCTGAGTACTAAATTATTCTCTCGTTCCAAATATTTATCTCCCATGGGATCAAATATTTGCAGAGCTCTATTTCGTACTTGATATCGTAGCGTGTGATGTTCCTTGAGGCTTGTTTTGGAACAGGTTCATGTTTTCCGACAAGCCTATAAAGACACTCTTCCTTTCAACGAATTCATGAAGGAATTTCTCTTGTTTTTTAATCAGAATGCTTTTTTGTAATCCCAAATACCACAAATCCTAGTAGTCAATACAGATACCAATAAGAAAAATCTAGACAAATGTGATTTTTACTTCTAAATAGGATATTCTTTGATTTTGTGTCCATGATCAATTGTGCTGAGCAGGAGCATTAATTACCCAAGTCCCCCTCATTAATGATGCATGAAATTGTCTTGCATGTCATACATCTCATAAAGCTACTAATGTATCACAATGCACAACCATGAACGACAGCAAAGTATAAAAATGTTAGTTTAGGCAAAGCGATCCGAAATGACAGCAGAATGTGACACAGAAAAGATATATAAAAAGAATCAGAGTGGTTGAGTTTATCCAATCATTTTAAATGAAGTGAAGCAGATGATGATATGATGGAAATTGATTTGATGCCGATCCGATTTCTCCGCCTTTCGCTTCTGCTGGCTAATTTAATGGTAGGTAGTTATTTTTGGTTACTCTACTTTACTTTACTTTACTTTACTTTACCTACTAGGTATTTCAGTACATTACCGTACATGCCTTGCCTTGCGTTGCTCTAACCTTAGTACCTTAATAACCTTCGCTCTTAATAAGTACCTATCATCATAACACTACACTACTTCGTACGCATTAGATTGAACTTTGAAACAGAACGTCCAACTCCCACGTTTTTTTGATATTTACTACGTACGGAAGGAAGCTGCCTTGGTTTTTGGAATTTGAAAAAGAATTTCTCGTATTTGACTTTTCTGAGTTAGCGTCGATTCAGGTATTATTTACATGCTCCAGGAGCTTCACGATTGTCGCAAGCGGCTTCAGTGATTATTAACCACTTTCTGTTTTAACAACTGTTCTCGAATATTCAGGAGAGCAGAATGGCCGACGATCCAGGTAAGAATTTCTTTGTTTCGTGACCTTGGTGCCTGTCGCGGATACTGTTGGATGGTCATTCAACAGCTATAGCTATACGGGATCTGCGGATGGATGAATGCATGTACTAACAGCTGCCAGCGACACCAGCCTTAAACTTAAGTCCCGAGGAGAAGCGTGTCTTTGGACAATTGTTTCGACAGGCAGATACGGAAAGTATTGGGGTTGTTACAGGAGAAGTCGCAGTCAAATTCTTTGAGAAGACGAGATTGGAACCTCGAATTTTGGGAGAGGTATGTCTCATGCTATTTACTTGGCTTACTTGTTTTGCTTGGTGTAGCGCAGATGAGTTGACTACATGGGCGACTTCAAACTAACTTTCTGGTCATCAGATATGGCAGATTGCAGATAAGGAGAATCGAGGGCTTTTGACGCCGGCGGGCTTTGGTATCGTACTAAGATTGATTGGACATTATCAAGCTGGACGAGATCCCACCCCTGAATTAGCTCTACGCCCCGGACCACTACCAAAATTCGATGGAGGTTTAGGTAATATCAGCCCTACTGGTGGCTTTCAAGCTCCCCTTGGGCCTCCCCCTAGCGCCTTACAACCTCAACCCAGCGGATCTGGTCCAATTCGAGTCCCTCCTCTTCCCGCCGACAAATCATCACAATATGCACAACTTTTTGAGAAATCAGGGGCTCAAGGAGGTATTCTTCCAGGCGAACTTGCCAAACAGATATTCGAACGCGCTGGTCTACCGAATGAGATATTAGGTAGGATATGGAATTTGGCAGACACGGAACAACGAGGGGCTCTTACATCTACCGAGTTCGTGATTGCCATGCACTTGATCGCTTCGTTCAAATCTGGACAACTACGAGCTTTGCCTAATATTCTTCCTGCTGGTCTGTATGAAGCTGCTACACGAAGAGGACCTGCTAGTCGTCAATCTACTGGCAATGGAGCCATGTCAGCAATCCCAAGACAATTCAGTGGGCAGCATGGAAGAGCTAGCAGTCCCCTAAGTCGACCTGCATTCACGCCTCCAATCCCACAACCTAGCGCTGGAGATTGGGCGATTAGCCCAACAGATAAACAGAAATTCGATTCTATTTACCAAGGTCTTGACAGATCTGGTAAGGGTTTTATCACGGGAGATGAAGCTGTACCATTTTTCTCTGAATCGAAACTTCCGGAGGAGGTGTTAGCACAAATTTGGGATCTTGCCGACATAAATTCAGCTGGTTTTCTTACCATGGATGAGTTTGCCGTGGCTATGTACCTCATCCGACAGCAGCGAGGTAAAAAGGACGGCAGAGATTCGTTGCCAGCTACTTTACCCCCCAATCTTATCCCACCAAGCATGCGAAACCAAGTTAGACCGGCACCCATGACTACAGCTCCAGCTTTTGAAGCTCCTCCACCCACAATGCCCAAGTCAGCTGCCGAGGACTTGTTTGGCCTAGATGCGCTATCATCACCACCCCCTGCACCTATTCAAGCACCACAATTGACTGGAGGTTCTGCATCTTTTGGTGGGAATCGCCAATTGAACACTGATCCCTTCGGAAATGGTGTTCGACCTTTGAGCCCAAGTTCTCCGATTCAGGCATCTCCACAACATACGGGATCTGTCTTTAAACCTTTTATTCCATCTTCTTCATTCGGAAATAGCCTTACTGCGCAAGGCACTGGAGGATCTAACAACTCTCGAGGATTTTCGCAGCAACCATCAGCCAGCGAGGATCTTCTTGGAGACAATGATCCGGAAATTAGCAGCAAACTAACCAGCGAGACGGCTGAACTTGCAAACTTATCTAACCAGGTTGGAAATCTAGTGACACAAACGAAGCAAGTTCAGGATCAGAGGAACGCAACACAGCATGAATTCACTCAATCCGATTCCCAGAGACAGCAAATTGAGGCCCGTCTTGCTCAACTTAGAACAGCGTATGAGCAAGAAGTTAAAGATGTGCGAAGTTTAGAAGAGAGATTGACTGCTTCGCGCAATGAGACCAAAAAGCTTCAAACAGAAAGTGCTATGCTTGAAGCGACCTTTGTGGATCTTCAAACTCAACATGGGCAGATTGTTACAGCTCTGCAAGCTGATCAACAGGAAAACGCCAGTTTGAAAGAGCGCATGCGTGTTGTTAATGCAGAAATCGCACAGCTAAAGCCATCGCTTGAGAAGTTAAGATCCGAAGCACGTCAGCAGAAGGGTTTAGTCGCAATTAATAAGAAGCAATTGGCAACTAATGAAAGTGAACGAGACAAGCTGAAGGGTGAGGCTTCAGATTTGACTAAAAGTATTGAGGAAGACACTGCAACCCTTGCTGCAGCTGCTAGGGCTCGAAGCCAAAGCCCTGTTCAGGCTAGAGCACAGAGCCCAGTTTCGGTTGCAAGTCCAGCACCTTCTACTATGAGCGCCAACAACCCATTTTTTAAGCGCCAAGTAACTGGTGGAAGTAATAATGATATGGGCTCTCCTTTTGCTACCTCACCCGTGCAGCAGACCGACCGTTCATTCGAGAATGTATTCGGCCCAGCATTTACTTCTGGTCTTCCACATCAAGAAACAGCAGCACCCGTCACTTCCTTTAAGCAAGATCTCCCAACCCGACCACAAACAAGTGGTGGATTTGCTACTCCATCCCTTTCAGGCGAAGCACCCCCACCAATGTCTGCATCAAGACAGATAAGCTCAAGCTACTTGCCATTTCCATCCCACGATGATTCTGTAAGCTCATCGCGACAAGTTTCTGCCCCAAACAGCAGATTTGGGGATACTCCCACCGGAGTTGATAACCCTACAAACTTTCTGGGAACCACTCCGATCGGTTTCTCTTCCGCGAGCCAAGCCGAACCTGTTGTAACATCCAGGGCCATTTCTCCTGATATCGATCGTCGATCCACCGCATCTCCTGCTGTCACAGATTCCAAGGAAACAATTCCCGGAGCTTTCCCAGGCGATGATAATTCTAACATTGTTGCCACACCTACTGGCGGTACTACTTTGAGTGAGCAAGCTGCCGCTGATCCATTTGCAACTACAAAAGAACCTGTACGTTCTGGTACCGCCAAGGACGACTTCGACGCAGCCTTTGCAGGATTTGGTGGCTCTGGAAAGGCCCCAGAGCGCTCAACTACTGGAAACTCCGTGGAACCCGCTGCACCTGTAGCAGCTCAATCTGGATTTGGCCAGGAATTTCCTCCCATCTCGGAATTGGAAATTGATGACGAAAGCGATAGTGCTAGTGAGGATGGGTTTGGTGGTGGTGGTTTTGAAGATGACTTTAACCCAGCTTCTCCCGACCAAGTTAGGAAAGCCCCTGAGAGTCCTGTCCAATCACATGCTGCGGGTAGTACAACTGGAAGTGCAAAGGAATTTTTAAGTGCACCAGCTCCCGCTCCTACTGCTGGCAGTGATCCTCCAACTCCTAATGCTCAAGCTTTGCCACCTGCTTACGATAAGGCAGTTTCTTCGGCTGATCAAGCACACTCAGAAGTTCAGCAATATTCTGGACTTCTTCCATCTCGAGAAGTTCCATCTCCTGAACATTCTACGTCTTCTGCAGCGGCCGCTCCCCAGACTAGCTTTGGAGCCCCAACACAGCCAGCCCCGCCCGCCAAGGTCCCCTTCGATGATGACTTCGGTGACGACTTTGATGATCTCGAGGATGCTAAAGAAGGTGAAGCAGATGATGAATTTGCCAATGCAGCTTCATCTATCCATGAATCGAGAAATGGTTTAGATGACTTCAACCCAATGTTTGATAGTCCACCATCATCTAAACAACAAGATCATTCTAGCAATGCTTTTGGCGGTGACGGTTCTGGATTTGGAGATTTCACTGCGTCTCCAACACAACAAACTGCTGCGCCAGCTGCCGTAAACGACAATCATGATTGGGATGCAATTTTCGCTGGTCTGGATGGACCAAGTGCTGAAGGTAGTGGTTCTGGCAAGGGCAATGGTAATGGTAATGGTACGGCCTCGAAAGAGACAGAACATGCTGGTAGGTATACATCTTCCACGGATGGATTTCCTCCTCCTCCTCCTCTCTCTCCTCCTCTTCTTCCAGGACAACACCGAGCGCTTATAGCGCTCGTACGTGGTGGTGGGCGACTGCCAGAATGAAATGGAAAGACCAACTATCCCCACCCCAACTGTCCCACAGGGCTAACCTGGAACCTAGGACCAATATTAACTGGAGCAGCGGCTGAGAGACCACAAATTGGAAGAGCATTGACAGAAGGTGGTGAACATGACGATCCAATTTTGAAAAATCTTACAGGGATGGGGTATAAGCGAAATGATGCTTTGGCGGCATTGGAGAAATATGATTATAATTTGGAGAGGGTGAGTTTTTTCAGTTTTCTTCTGTCCAGGTGGTTTTGAATTCAATGGTTGCGAGGTTCTAGAACGCGCACACAAATGCTAATTATGAAATGTGTTAGGCGGCCAACTATTTGGCAGGTCAGTAGTCGATGAATGAGCCATGGGTGTGGAGTGTATGAAGGGATGGAATTTGGAAGATGGAAGATAGACGCAGTGCAGGATGGGCGGAGAAACGGGAAAAGGCCGAAGGAATTGTGCATACTTAATAATCTCCCCGTTAATATTGTATCGTTTACGTTATACTGCTTTATACTATACCTTTTTCATTTTCACGAGAGGCTGAGAGCGAATAATATTTTTGAAAAATTGAAAAAGTTTTAGTCTTTGTCACGTTTCTACTTTTTTTACAGAAGGAGACGGGCACAGGTATAAGTGTGTAAAAATTGCTGTCCATACACGCTGTGTGGTTAGTTTGAATCGTCAGATGGGGAAATTCATTGATTTTAGAATTCGTTGATGATTGTTAATCTTAGTATGGAAGTGCATGCGGAATATTATAGTAATAATTGTTATTTTCCATCTTTCAAATTACACATCAATCACAGTATTATATAATTAACATTCTCTGGTAAGACAAAACGTCATCTCGCTAGCTATTCGTTGCATCGAATGGAAATAGAATTTTCTGCTGCAGGATGAACAAAGGGGGGAAGGCTCTACCTACCTACGTATCGAAAGAAGAGGCGTAAATTGAGTACCATTTAGAAGGACTTTGATAATCTGAATCTCTCTTTAATATCATGTCAAATACATGTAATTCTGATTGTTAACATAAAGAAGACACAAATTCTTGTTTGATCTCCTTAGATCTTATCAAGCATTCAACTTGAAATCATTTGCAATTCAATCAAAGAAGTCTTTAGAAAGAATACTCAATTCCCGTGTCTTATTTCGCTTGCGTAGGTAGAAGAAGGGAAGGGGTAGATCATGTGATTGGCAATTTTATATATCGCAGGGCTTTGAATGTTTGATTTCCGGGGGTTGATGTATCTTGTATAATCTAGAAGTATCTGATCTATTCTCTCCCCTTCTTGTACCTTCATCCTCGGTACTTCAGTAGAGCGATGGTTTGAGAGAGAGAGAGAGAAAGATAGATTATGTTGTCATCATGGGAGTAAGCTGATCATGTAATCTATGATTTTTTGTTTGGTTGTCCGATTATCATCTACTGAACTGCCGCTTCTATGATTTAGAAATAGATAGTTCTATCTGGTAAAATGGATTAAGAGTATCCTAATTGATAATTCTACCCAAGGGATCTAGTAGACTGAAGTGGAGAAGAGAATTATGATCATAACAGCCTACCTGCACTTCCATATCTTAGCCATTGCTCAAGAATGAAATTTGAGGTCTTTGTTAGTTTATTGTGGACACCCCATTCACCCCCCCAGAAATCCACCTAAATCATGAAACTCCATAGCCGCAATGCAATACAATCATATTACAAATGATATTCATTAATTATTTCATAAGTTCCGCGCCCTCCCTTACCACACCGACCAATGCTCCCGTCTGTATGACTTCGCTTCCTCCGCCACTCAATCTATATTCAACTTCTGCTAATCCTTGCAGCCAAGTTATCATGACGCTTGCTGGGACATCCAGTTTTGTGAGCTCTTCTGAGAGAGCAGTGATGATATCTGCTAATGCGAGTCCTTGTGTGGATTTCACCGCATTGATCATTTGTAAACAAGATTTAACATCGGTAGTTTTGAGAATGGTGTTCATAATTTTGGATATATCGGCTGGATGGGGAGAAGCGATGCAGTCGTATATAGTAGTTTCGGTGATGAGGTCCCGAACAATATCTTTTTCTTCGATCTTGGGTGTGCCTTGGATATGGATTGGAGTACCTTTGCATTATATTAGCATCCTCGAACTTTACAAAAAGAAGAATGAGAACTTACTACTAGCATGGCAAGCTTGCAAAACATTCAAAGCCCGTCTCATATCTCCCTTACTCAGTCTAACCAGAGCATCCGTAGCCTCAGCATTAATTTGCACATTCTCTTCCGTAATCACCTTGTCAACAAGTACCCTAATATCTGCCTCTTTCAACGGACTAAACCGGAATCTCGTACATCTACTTAAGAGTGCCGGACTCAATTTATGCGTATAATTCGCAATCACACAAAATCGTGTATTGGCAGTATATTTCTCCATCACTCGTCTCAGCGCCATCTGTGCCGTAGAAGTCATCGCATCTGCCTCGTCGAGAATAATTAATTTGTATGCGCCGGGGGATGTGGAGGAAGACTTCGAGGCGAAAATTTGTTTGGTGGAGGCGAATGTCTTGATTTGTTCGCGCACAACGTCGATTCCACGGTCGTCTGAGGCGTTGAGTTCGAGGACCATTTGGCGCATGTTCTTGGATCCGTAGATGCGACGGGCGAGGGCGAGGATGGTGGAGGTTTTACCGGTTCCGGGGGGGCCGTAGAAGAGGAGATGGGGAAGTCTCTGGAGGGAATGTCAGGGTGGGAAGGATTTGTAGAGCAAGAAGGCATACGTTTGTGTCGACGAATTTGTTTATAGTAGCAAGAATGTCTTGATGACCGGAGACATCTTCTAGAGTATCTGGACGGTATTTTTCGACCCTGAGGTGGCATGTTAGTATGAAAAATGATTTCGGATCTTTAACTTGATCCCACTTACCATGGAAGACTATCTTCAGCCTCCACTGGTAAATTTGCTGCGCTCCGTTTGCCCTTCGAAGTCGTAGCATCGGCGCCAAATATCATTGAATCACTCGCGTTGGGGGCAACATCAATTTCCATGTCATCTTCATAATCGGACATCTTTGCGAAGGATATTTGTGGTGCTGAGAAAATTGTTGATCGTGAATTGGGATTGGGCTTATAATAAAAAGAACATTTCCATTTACCTATCTGGATTTGTGAGACGCGTCGAGATTTTGGGCGCGTTAAGTGGTTTATGTAAGCTAGGCCTAAGGGCCACCAGGCTTGCCGGCGGTTTTGGGCGGTGAGAACTTTCGGTCGTCTCCTTTAACAACACCTGACAACTGTGATCCTGAGTACCTTGTTGTGGCCAAATTTTCAATAATCTCATTGATGCCACTCTACTTAAAAGTAGTCGGACCTAATCTGTCATGAAGTGTGTCATTACTCATGAACAATCGAGCAATCCTTGATATCCGGGAGTAGTAAGGCTGCCATGTCAAACTTGGTTGCTGCCATGGAGCAATGTGTTCACGGTACTGATTTGACTTTGTCATTTGCAAGTGCAAAATCAATATTTATGATTACTTTGGAGCTGCGCTGTTTCTATGAAAATTGATATTGTGTACTTTGAGTTCGTTTTTGACTGGGATGCATGGAGAATCTGTCAATGTCGAATGTTCAATTGGTTGCGTTCGTCTGGTAGATCCTAGTTGCGCCCAAAGAGCATGCTTTATTTCTCATTCCACATTTATTTCCAGTTACCCCATTATTTCACCGTTTACAAAAGCTTGCTTTGACTCGTATTAGCTGGTGTAGCCTGTCGGACTATCCGGTGTCATTCACGGATCCCACGACTTGAAGTTTTTTCCCCCATTGCCGAAGCTAATTTATCGTGTCTCATCCAGTGTAGATAGACATTCTATCATACTCTCCAATCTCCTTGCCTGATATTTATTCCAAAAAGTTGTATTTGAATTAAGGCCATCGAAACATCTCCGTATGCCCTGCAACATTCTTCCAGCCAAATATCTCACAGTAATGAAATTCCTCCATAAATTTGTAGACTTTTCGTACAAGTTTCTCGTATATAAGGGGTTAAAGAGCTTAGCAGTCTGTTATCCCCTCCAGAGGTCGGGCCTAGACCTTGGACTAGGTTGTCGGGGCTCTGAATGATATTTTAACGGATTATCGAGCGCTACAAATAGAGATTAATGTAAATAGAGAGGATTTTTAAAATTGGAATACTCCAATCAAATATCCTGAACTTGCATGGGATAATTTTGTTGCACATCTGAGATTGTATTTAACACGGTATATCCTAATAAGTGTTTAAATAAAGTTGGGGTAGAATTTTCCCGGCAGAGTCTTGCTACAAATTTGAATCTAGTATGAAACGATCCTAGACTGAAATATTTCAATCATACAGTATGAAATAGCTTTGTTGCACATCGCTGACCCAAAATTTATATAGCTCAGCCCAGGTGTCAAATGTCTAGGAGCCTCAGACGCTAAGTCATATCTACAAAATGTTTCCAATACTAGAGCAAATCCGTCAATTATCGCTTGGTTTCTCATCCCTTTTCTTCTCACACGTCTTTTTAATTTTCGCCTAATTACCCCTCTAACCAAACTTGTGTACAGTTTTGTTGCATATCTACGAGCTTTCATCAACCAGGTATATCCTAACAGATATTTGGGCTATCGCTGATCACCTGGCCAATCTTTAGTACCGATTAACGATTAGCGACTCATCAATACACCATTCACACTTAGCAGCTACTGACTTCTACCTTAATTGTGAGGTATTAGTTTGTTTATCTTTGTAAGGTACTCTCGTAATATGCCTTTGTCAATCACGAATGAGTAGGATCCTTAGGATATAAGCCTCAAGTCTATACTTGACTCTCATTATTCCAAAACCGCTGCCATGCAATGGCTTTCCAAAACTGTCATATGAGTATTCAAGGCTTCCACTAGAATCGCTAGTGTAGTGCGTGACATCATTACTTGCCAGTTGAACTAGTGATTTGTTTAGTGGAATTAAAGTCTTGGACGTCAGTGAAGGAAAAGTGGTGACGTTATTCCTCGATCTTCATCAAGACCACATTATCGTTGTCTCGCTAAACTGGTGGTAATTGCCTAAAACTGCCATTTCATTATCTAGGAGGCTAGTGACGGTTATCGCATATAGTACCTAGTGTCAGATACTCATGCATAAATCTAGTGTCTACACCCATACACATTAAGTAATTGATAGGTCCAATTGATAGCGGTGCTCTAGTTCTCTGTCAAGCAGATTCTAATTCAAGACCTTCGATCGTCGGAATACTGCGAGTTCTTCAGATCTCTTCAACGCTTTACTGAAGTACATGAGCTTCAATTCAATACCTCATAGACATAAATCACTCACTGATATCATTTTAATTTCCATTGACTCGACATCTTGAGCCAGCTCAATGATAAGTATCTTGGATGAACTTAAAGCTTTACGGAAAATAAGTCTTTTACAGAATCTCAGTACTTCAAATAATTTCAAACTCCGAATTGAGATGGATATTCCAAATGAGCTCAATCTTTTAAACTGAGTGAATTTCTTGTGCGAATTCAATATTTCAATTACCCCTATTGTCTTACATTATGTTGATATATGAGACGTGTTGAGCAATTCAAATCGATGCAATGTTCCAACATTTCACCATAGTTCAATGTCTAAATTAAGTCCACTAAATCACAAGTATCCATTGTCTGTAAAATTTCAAGGGTTTCAAATTGGCCCAAAGCCTTGAAGTGGTTTGGCATTTCAAATAGATTTAGCATTCAAGGTAACTCAGGACATCCAAAGCCTCCCATTGTTTGATCGTCGTTTGATTATGCACTCGATATTAGGTGGATGAGGGATCAACAATAGGATTTTCGCTTGTAAATCTAAGTGTTACGAAGTTAAAATTAGTCTCGAGTGCTAGCGAAGTTGTGCGAAGTGGTGACGTCTTTCAAGCTACTCATCCCATTGCCTATATATTCCACGCATTTCCCTCTCAACTATTCTTTTTTTCTTTCCTTTCTTCTTCAGCTTATTATGTCTTTCTTCTTGAATACATTTAAGTCCACCCTCGCACTTGTCGGAATCGCCACCCCACAAGTCGAAACCTCAACCCCCGCTGCGCCCACCTCCAGCAACGCCATTCTTTCTGGTGAGTATAGCCTCTCACCACCTTTGCTAATTGACTATTCAGCCGAGGATCCCTCTTTCACCTCGGACTTTGCAATACAGGCCCCGGTTCCTACAAATACCGGACACATTCTCACCGGGATCCTCCGGCCCGGCCTTAGGCCCTCCACTGTCATTGACCGCATGCAAATCCACGGATTTCCAAGGACACTGGAAAATTGGAAGGTTTGCCCTTCCGCCCCACTCACATTCAAGTTTAAAAAGATAAAAGCAAAAAAAAATGTACACTTCCGCGAATACCACTCGAAAAACTTCCATCAATACCGTCCCTTCGACCCAGAGGAACCCGCCGACTCCTGGATCCCTTACGATGATGCTATTCTGCATCAACCCAACCAGGCGCCTGGGGTACGACTGGCAGGGTCATGGACCTGTCCTATTTGCAAAAACTTTTGGTGCAATACAGGCAACCACAATACCATTCCAGGACTTCCGGGTTGGGAATGGCGGGACCCGCCCCTGCCCTGTCCCGAACACCCACGGCCCCTTTCTTTTAGGAAACCCGAGCCCTTTTACGGATTGGCTCTCTCTCAGAGAGAGCTCATTTACAGCGGTAGTGCTGAATACAAGGTCCCATACACCTTGCACGGAGGCCTCATCAATCCACCTGCGCCACTGTATTCAGAGGATGACTTAGACTCTGAGTCATTCTCTGAATCCACATACAACATACCAAGTCCATCGCTACCTTGAGTGATTCAATTGAATCTACCAGGTCGATAGCTACTTTGAGTGGGTGTATTCTTTTTCTCTGGAATTCTGGCGTTCTTTTCTTTCCAAATTTTTTTCGCGGTATCCCCCTATTGGAACACCTGGTGCCAGCCTCAGGACCCTTGGCCGGGTACCTGACTAAGGAGGGACCAGGGACTACGGGAAGGGGAGCCTTTACCTCGGGCCACCAGTCTCGGGATCCTGCTAGGGGACATCCAAGGACCTATGAGGCCATTGGCTATTCGTAACCTTCGGATGAACATTCCTGTTAACGCCGGACTGGTCTGCTGGGTAATCTTGCGATCAAAAATCCAAAAAAAACATTAAAATTCTAAAATCCAAAAAACATTTTGCGCTTTTTGCTTACTTTTCTAGGCATCTTTCTTCCAAGTCTCACTTTAGGACCTTTTTTTTCCCTTTAGACCTCGATTCCACTAGTGAATCTTTCTTTTTTCCTTCTTTTCCATTTTTTATTTGGACATTTGTTCACCAGCGATTTTCTTTTTTCTTTGGGCCTTTGGTCCACCAGCGATTTCTTTTTTTCTTTGGACATTCAGTCCACCAGCGATTCTCTTCTTACTCCTCATAGCTCCACCCTCAGCGATACACCACTTTCGAAACCCCTCCCTCGCCTTCGTTAACCGAAGGCCAGCATAGCATTGTTTAAGATAAGTATAACATCCCCCGCTAACTGCTAATTCGTCTATAGGGAGGCTAGCCTTGATCACACCTCCACGTTGGTGCTAGCTGGGTACCCTCAAATGAGGAGCTAAGTGATCAGAAATATCCCTGTGTGAAGATACTTAATAAGCGCTTTTGAAGCGAATGTCTTGTTCGTCGACTTTTGAACTCCATGAGGGTTGGACTCTTGAACTTATCCTGTGATGGTTCAATTCGAACAGCTGGAGTTGGTGATGCATTTTGTGTATATAATTTATATAATTTTTTTGTATTCAACTCAATTTTCATTAATCTGCGGTCGAACTTCAGTGTCATAAATTCAGTAACTTGTGGCTATCGGCGAATTCGACTGCTTCAAAAAGACATTGCCGAAGTCAACTTTATGGCATATTCAGAACCCATCATCCGACAGATTCTCTAAATTGCGATATACTAGACTTAATTCACATACACTTGCTTCTTCATGCATATCTCGAAATTCCGGAGTGAAACTTCCCTCCGAATTACTCTTATCAAGGAATCTGTGAGTTGTATTGGGCTTCTTTGGTTATCATTTGCTTGTGAAGAGGAGTACGAAGGAAAGAATGTCGCAATTTAATGTTTCAGTAACTTTTGTGTGATTTTTGCACTTGGGTTATTATTTTCGGCTGTATGCTTGAATTGATAATGGAGAATGAAGTATTCATTCTCCCAATATATTTGACAAACCGAGACTTTCACGTTCAATTCAACCCCAAAAGTTCCTTCTATGACTCAAACCGATTTTAACATCTAATCATCATTCATGCTTCCCATTTCTCCTCTCCCTACTCCCTCCGAGCTAATTATATAGTCCCTAATAATCTTCTGCCACTCCGAAAACGACATCATCGCCTCTCTCTCCTACATCCAGAAACACAATCTCGATTTTACCGTCGCCGGAGGAAGACATAGTTATTATGGCGCTAGTTCCTATAATGGCGTAACAATTGGTACGTTCTAGTTCCGCTCTCCAGCGTTCGCTTCTATTTCATACTTCCGGATGAAAGAAAGACAAAGGGGTAAATTTTTACTAACCTCTCACTCTAGATCTGGGGAAAATGAGAAAAGTAAGCATCGATGAGGAAAATATGAAGATTACAGCACAAGGTGGTTGTAGAGCCGCGGATCTGGAAACGCTGCTTCAAGGTACGTGAAGTGATGCTATATTATTCGATTTTCGATTTTCGAGTCCCTGTGGATTGTAGAAGTTGGATTGGAATGGCAATGATTGATTGTTTGGGTTTTATTGGAAGATTGGTGGGCAGTTATTCAAATAGAACATGATCATTGCCTATACATTGAAGGAAGTTTATACCGGTGGACATTGACTAACATCGTACAGCGAAAGGACTATCAGTGGTAATGGGCTTAGCCAGTGATACGGGTATATTCCTCCTCTCTTCCTTCTTTCCTCTCCAAGCCCCCATCATCTACCCTCCATTCCCTATCATATCTGACTCTCAAAATAGGAATCGCAGGTCTAACTCTAGGTGGTGGTTCGGGCCCTTTAACTGGCCGATACGGACTCGTGATTGACAATCTACTCGCGGCCCGCGTCGTAATTGCCAATGGGATCGTCTTAAATTGTTCTAAACATGAAAATTCAGATCTTTTCTGGGGTATCAGAGGAGGAGGACCAAACTTTGGTATTGTGGTTGAATTTACGTATCGAGTGCATAAGCAAGTTGATGTATGCCAGTAGGTTTAACTATGTGCATGAAGAATTGGCGGGTGAGATAAGTGGAAGAACTAACAACCTTCCCAGTGGTCCTTTAGTATAAGGACCGGAGAAGACGAGAGCACTTCTTGAATTGATTGACACCATGCAAGAGGTAACGGAGCAAACCGACGGGAAGTTACGTATCTTTCTAGCGATGACGAAAATCCCAAGTGTGCCCATGTCTGGCATTCACCCAATCTGTATCATATCCTATGATGGACCCGAGGAAGAAGCCCAAAAACTTACTGCTCCATTGTGGGATTTGCAGCCTGTAATGTCGGCGATATCAATGAAGCCATTTGCCACCACAACCAAGCCATCAGGACTCGTAGACGAACCGCCAAATCATCAGAACTTCTCGAGTACGAGCGTTTTCATGCCTCATCCATTCGACGTCGAAATTATGGAGAAATTGGTACAAGAATTCGATGATTTTCGCAACAAGCACGGAGATGCACTTGCACCTTCACGAGTCATAATTGAGATGCGTTCTTACAAGGTTTCTGGTGCAATCCCCGCATCGACAACTGCATTGGCGGCGAGAGAAAAGACGGTTTCTGTCACTATGGAGGCACAGTATGATAGTTCTCAGGTTTCCCATACGGTCATGAGAGACGAAATTAAGAGGATTATTGGGCCAGTCAAGGAAGCAGTCAAAAAGCAAGGGTCTGGAATGTTCACGAATGCTAATTTGGGAAGTGGAACGGAAAAGACTCAGGATATGTTTGGACAGAACTACGCGAGATTGAGAGAGATTAAGAGGAAGTATGATCCCGATTTTATTTTCAACAAGTGGTATCCGATTCCACCAGCAGAACAAAGCTATAGCTTGAAGCTGTAATGTTCAGCGCTGGAATACATAGAAATACCAGTCTTCTGTCTTTTCAGGTCGTTGCTTCGTGTCTATCCAAAAATGATACATTCCACTCCTGAAATTTCCTCGCACTTGGTGGGAGATATCGCATTGCACCCACTTCTAGGTAATGTTCAAGCTCATGTATCACTTCTCCTGGCAACTCTAGCTCCTCCACGGACTCATCATTTGTCGATGGATACTTGGCCAAAGAGAATGGCTTCGAAAGGATTTTCATAGCCAGTATTCCAGGTCTACCAGGTGTGTCCGAGATACTCATCCGTCTACGATGGTGAAAGTATGAAGTAGTATATCTAATCGAGGGGTTGAAGATCCAAATACTAAGGCCTCCCCATTCTATTAGTCCAACATCGGTTGGATTTTTCAGAGGCAGTATGTTTACACGGGAAACACAAGATGAATTCATTATTCCCAATAATTGTGCCGAAAGGATTCTGGCCATCGATGGCTCAAGAAGCTTATCCGAAAGATTGGATAATGGAGAGCCCGCGAAAGTTCTCATGCGCAAACTCCATTTGAAAAGTCGGATTCCTTCGTTTTGAGGATCACTAATTCCAATCGTAGCGGAACACAATTCACATTTTAAGGGAAGCTTTATCTGTGTGTGAAGCCGAAGTTAGATACGATAAGCTGATTGAACATTGCTTGATGCAGAATACGCTAGATAAATGTCACTTGTGCTGAACCCATGACTTCTAAAATCTCAAAGAAGATACGGTGATAGAGGATGCCAAGGTTCGAAGACCTTCAATCAAGTTAGAAACCCATAATCTGAAGAAGAGGGTAATTAGCATTGACTGCTGCCGGAGCAGAGCAACAGCAAGTACTTAATATTGGGTATTTGTATCGGTGACCAGCCTATTGAGAAGCGCCTGGTCTCCTTCTTGGTACCCGCATATACTAGGGCTACAAATGAAGATAGAGAAAGAATTGTAATTTACCTCGTTACCATCTTGAGGAAGCGCACAATCGGTTTTTGCCAACAGAAGGGTTGAATGATCCATAAAACCGATTCCTGGCTGTGCATTGAACTTCGTGTTTGCTCCATAACCTTTTGTTGAAGCCAAATTCTCGTTTTCATGACTATGGTCAGCATGGTCCGATGGCTTGTGACAATGCCAGAAATCCATCATTTCTGCCCAACCTTCACTTGGAAGATCCCTCCATTCTTTGATACGATCTGCTTCCACGATTGTCGTAGAGCACCTGCGGCATTCAAAAAATTGTTCACCAATAACCATATCCTTTGCGGACCATGGCGCTTCAATGGTTTGTGAAATGTCTACATCAGCTCTTTGAAAGTCTCCTGCCAAAGGAAGACGCCATGATAATTCAAGGCTACCGAGAGGAAATTCTCGTAGTGGTGAATTTGATACCACTTGACTGGGAAGCGTTAGTCGAATATCCTGTTTGGCATGGTTCAATTTCAATATGGTTCCATCGGCCAATAATTCAGCCTTTGTAGAAGAATCAGATGGTGTGTCCAAGAACGCCAGGATAGATATCTGTCGAATATTTGACAGAAGCTCCGCATAGATCAAGGGCTTGGTTGGCGGCATTGCTTGATAGAAGTTGACAACTTCATGGGATTGACTGGCATGATTGAAATTGTGTTGAGTTTGTCGCGTCGCGTTCTATACAATATATAAAGTTGGTTCATCACTCGGCGCGGATGATGTTCCGATGCCGTGGTCCGCTCCGCTCTGCATGGATGCCGCACTGCGCCACGCTCAGCAAAGCATGTGTCACCGCTTTTGCTCAGCCACCAATTAGATCATTCTGCCATATTTCAGCTCAAGCTTCCCCACACTTTGACTTGCATCCAAGGACCTTCAAAGTTCAACACCACAACAATCATGTCGGCTCCTATGATAAATTGGGTTCCTATTGTGAACAGGATCTATAAATATGTTGCAAACACTACCATCGGTTCATCAACACAGCCAATAAGTATCGAACCAGTTGAAATTCACGACATTGAAACCGCTCCTGAGAAACGACCAAGGACGTTGAAACATCTCTTGAAATCGAACCATATTAATCATTCAATTCTTTACAACCACAATCGATTTCACAACCATTTACCACATCATCTAGGATCCGCGTATCTTCTAGGAGCAGGTTACGATCAATTACAAAAGGTTTTCGCAGAAGAATCAAAACATCTTGAAGAATGGCAGGATTCTCCTGGAGAAATCACAGATGCAGATTGGAGGGAATTCTTGGGAGAGAAGGTATACCAGAGGGCGTACGTCGATTTCTTCGAGGACGAATTGGCTTTAAAATACAGTTATGATTGGAAGGTCCTGGTAGAGGAATATCTCTATAGCGGGAAAGCTCCTCTCGTCAATGGTCTGACTTCAGGACGTACGTATATTTCTATTTTACCGCATTTGTACTAATGAATGTTTTAGTCGGTCACCCCCTTATTCATCTCGGTTACGCAGTCGAACTGAATAGTCGCGAATTGGCCATCGAAGCCCTCTCCCTAGCTTCTAGCTGCTACGATTTCATGCACAAATATCTTGATGATCCATCTTATACCAAAGCATCTACCTATAGCACAACCTCGCCCCTAGAAATTCTTCACAAAATACACACAGATTCGCGATTAGACGGTGTCTTGGATGGACCTTCTCCTTCAAATATAACCAAATTATTCGATGAACACGAGGAGTTTATACTCGAGCATTGGAACGCCTGGAGTATTGCCGATCCCCATAAACAATTCCAAGATTCCCAAGAAGCAGCTGTGAACTTGCTGGTACAAACGGTTAAGCCTGGTACTCATGCATACGACTTCTTCATGGTACATATCCTCACTACAAGCCATGCAGTTCGAATCCTACTACCCTTCGTTCCAGCAAAGTTCCAAATAAGTTTGATACGTCAATGGTGGCTATTGACAATTGCCGTATACTGTTCGCAAATGAGACCGGAAATAAACGAAGATATTGAGCAAAAACCAGCAAAGGGATGGAAATATGTAGAAGATAAAGCTATCAATGGTGTATGGTCAACGGATCCACATTATGTTAAAGCAATACGGGCCATGAAAGAAGCAGCTTTTACTTGGGGAGATGTACATGAGAGATACCTGTCCATGGCTGTTACCTTCGCCGATGATTTTAATGGATGGACGGGATTTGGAACTAGTGAGTCAGACGTTATTGGAGGGCATCTTTGATTTTGGATTAAGGTGGCTGGCTGTGTTTTGTATTAGTATGATTACGAGTTTAATGAATTCTTGAAAATATCGTATACGGTTCAGATCCTAACCTTACATGGTTGGATGCTCAATGATCATGTTCTCGCCAGCTTCAAACGATCCCACTGTCGTTGGACAATGGCGCCATCGGATAGACAACACATCATAAGGTACGAGGAATACATAGTTGTAGTAAATTGCCATGATAATTTTATATACTAAGAAATACATAACAACGGAACTTAACAGAGTAAGGATGTTAAAAACAGTTACGCAAATCTCCAACGTTTGCTTGGAAATTATGAATAAAACGTTCATGTCGACCCCTTTCCTTCATCGAATTCGCCTTCTGGGGTCTTTTCGCCCGTAGGACCTTCGGTGTCATGCGTAATTGACAACTCCTGCGGCCCGGTAGTACCCGATTCAGACGAGATAATATAGTCTTTGTACCCTGGCAGCTTCTCAAGTTCCATCTTGAGCTGAGCTGCAAGTTTCATATCGTAACGCAACTCGGCTTTTCTTATCAGATGATATATATTGGCGATATCGCGAGCGCGTCCGATATCTTGCAAATCTTTATTGTTGTCAACATCCTCCCCTGCCTCTAAAAGCTCAACCTCCTTGTCTTGATAGCTCTTTTCATGCCTCAAAAAGGCTTTCTCCAGATCCATTTCTTCTTTGTCTGTATAAAAGTCAGTTCCGTTCTTTCAAAAATTTCTAGTGCTCAGGACAGCTCACCCCTCCATGCATACCGTGTGTTAGCTGCTCCGGGGATGGGAGTCGACTTCATCCTGTAGGCAGGAGTCACTGAGAAGGATTTTGAGGACAACCGTGCAAGTCCGTTCTGGATATCTTCAAGCGTGTCATACATTGGAATGACATATCCGTGGCCGAACACGTCCGAAGCAACGAGATGTCCAAAAACTTTCGTCGAATCTGATGAATCAATGATCCAAGCACCGCTATCACCAACCTGAAGGCCTATAGTGTGGTCAGTGTCATTGTACTAGATAGAGCCATCGCGATTTCGTATTCTTATAGACTTAAGTACGTTGATGTGAGATTTGTTTACTTACTCTCACCGTCCGAAAGTGATAGAAGATACGTTCGGACCAACACCTTGCCTGGAGGGAGCATTATATACGACCATGAGCCATGTAAAATCCCATTCAGTGTCCCTCGGGCAGAATTCATTTTTACCGAGGACTGTCCCCCTCCAGGATTGGTTGGTGCTGGATGTATGTCCAATGAGGGATTTGGGAGGCCATGGGAGTGTTTGTGGATAGTTATCAATCCCCAATCAAGATTGCTTCCATCTTCAGAGAGATTATGGGAGGCCATGGAAAGCTTTCCTAACCTTGACCATTTGTCCATGTTCACCTTCCCATCAACTTCAAAGTCCCTTTTATCCACAACATGTAGATTGTTCTCATCCTCTGATTTAGCTTCAATAAAACCCAATTCAAGTTCGAAAGATTCTACATCCTCGTCATATTCTTCGTCAGAGTCGCTCACTGGAGAATTTTCGCCGTCGTCATACGACCCTTCAAAGACGAAATGACCTACAGTCATTCCATAGACTGTTTCCAGCTTTCCCGAGTCTATCGTCTTGATAAGCCCCCCCATGACGGCCTGGCGCACCCCATGCGAACATTCTGTCATGATTTGCGTGCCACGACGAACGCTTGGTGTGACATCCGACTTTAACACATATATTTCATTTCCTTCTGATTCTGCCGGGGAATAAAAATCTCGATCCTCGTTGGCGACCCTGCGTATGCCGGTCGCGACGAGTGGCCTCGGCTTTTGCGAGTGAATGAATACTCTCAAACGGGGGAAACGATCATCGGGCTGAGGTGGTTCGAAATCATACCTAATCACACTTCTTTGGAAAAATCTGGTAATCTTTCCGACAACTGCCTTATCACATTGAATATATACCCAAGGTTCTGCGCTCTCTTCATTTTCTCCCAAGACCTTCAAAGTCATCAAGATCGAGGTGCAATTGGGCAGACCGCGTGTGAAGTTATTAAGACTTTCTGCGTATTGCTTACGTAGGTCTTCAAGACGCTTCCATGTCAGCTCCGGAATTTGTTTATCCTCATAACATCGCAGTTTACGATTTCGAATGTAGTTAGGCATTATACTTTTCCCTTTTGCAATGGCACGATCGGAAAAGGACCTCGAACTATTCGGTGGAGGCGAAGGTTCTTGCGAAGCGTATCCTGAATCGTCCTTCGGTTCATTGCGTGTGACTGGTAAGGCTGTGGAATGATTGTCTGAGTCCATGGTGGATATGCCTGAATAAGAAAAGTGGGATTGCTATTGGCACTTGTCGTTCCAGACTGCACTGAAGAACTTGAGTCAAATGTAAATTTCGTGGTTAGCTAGCACCACAAAAGTTCTATAGTTATAAAGTCTTGATGACATTGTAGTGTGAGGTGGCTGAAGCTGCAGTTAATTGAACAGGGGCTTCATTGGATTGAGTTGACACTCAAGGGGGTGGTCTTGGATGCTTTATTCGCTGACATGGTAAATGTTTCCAAATCATGCATCCTTGGGCCTCTGAAATGTAACATCACAGCCCCTTTCGCGATAACAGACCAGAGTCTTATTGATCTTCTTTGAGAAACATTGAACATAAGTAAATGCAAATTCACAACAAAAGCGACAACGAGCAAAGTAACTTCCCTGTGATTCATCAAGTATGACCTTGGAATATCCACTTGAAACAGTCACTACCCCTCAACTGCAGGCCCTTGCGACGATTTTGTGGTCTTGGTTCATATGTACAGACTGTCTGGCAGAGACGCTTTGCAAAACTCCAAATTGCTCGTGGTCTAGATCAACAACGCTCAGTCGATATTTCGAGTTCTTCAAGATATCCACAAGTGGTTACAAGTGCAATATAGTCGCTGGTCAGTCGCCTGGTCTGTCGTCTTACAGTGACCTATTCCGAATAATCGAACAATTGAAATCCAGTCCTGAGCTCAGCAAAGCAGAACTACTGGAGAAACTCTTTACTGATCGTCCCACGCGACCGTATCAAGAGCGTGCTCTCAATCTAGCTGTTCAGGTGCTGGTGATGATCAACTGTTCAGTATCTCGTCAATCTTCTGTCCTGCTAGAGTATGGGAACGAGCACGTTGGCATCTCAATGACACGTTTTCGCAGTTTCTTAACGACGTATTCCCAAAAACATCCCATCCAAGCATTGATAAGATCAAGAGCGAACTTTTGGCAACCAAGTTGAAGAAGAATGCGCGACTGTTGTTTCAACCAACAGACGACCTGAGGAATCATTTGAGACTTGACAGAAAATCGGGAGTTGTCGAAATTTTCCACCATACTGCTTTCTTGAAAGAGCAATTGAGGCTTACAAAAGAACAACCGCAAAGTTTATCTGTATCCGATCTAATTCGAATGTAAGTTGAGAATAATACAGCTTGCATTCTGATGATTAGCGTTAAAAAAACCAATAGAAAGTACATTACTAATGTTGGTAAATTCTAGTGGCGCGCTCCCTCGTGGACTTGTTATTGAGGTGCTGGATTCCATACAGAAGGTTATCTTTGATGTCGCAGATGTCAAATCTAGGGAGCTGCTATTATCGCTGACCTCGACTTCAACTTGTAATTTTGATCGTATGCTTGAGAACTCCCTCAGCGATCTGATATTGTTAGCTGACTTTCTAATCCTCTAGCTGATATTCTTCGATATGAGAGCGCGTCAATTCGCAACGCAGAGGAGCAGGATATCCAGTATCAATATTTCGGGGCGCGATTGGTAGATTTACACCAAGAATTAATGAATCCCACCCCTAGAGGTTTTGAAAAATGGTTTGAGCGAAAGAGTAGCCCAAGGTTCGTGATGATGGCTACCATCGCCGGTGTTCTGTTTGCGATTTTCCTAGGGTTGTTGAGTCTGGCTTTGGGCAGCTTTCAGGCTTACGTTGGGTATATGGCATGGAAACATCCTGTTCAAGCGCAATCTAGTTCATAGAAACGACCAAGAGATGCAGATTTTAGAAATCATAGCAGGTTATTCCGTATATAAATGAGATGGAGTTCACCTTGTATCGAAGATTCACAATATTTTACCAAAAATTTTCCCGGACAGGCAGGTGCACATTTATCGAGCTCCGACTATTTTCACCATATACTAACTTTATTTGGCGAGAAACTACTAATCCGCGGTCGCGTTATGGATATGCTCACACCTTTACCTCTAGTAGAGTCAAAGTCTATCTCACGATCAACATGATCTTTCATACTTATATTTCATGTTCACAGATTCTACCAATTACTATAAAGACCTGCAATTTCCTGATACTTTCCAGTTTTTAAGGCAAAAGGCTTCACGAAACCTCATAAAGTCTGGTTGGCCATTCCGAGAATAAAGATTTCGTTGACCTCCTCCCACAAACGGGACACGGAAGAAGATACTTCTATTGAGTTTTGTTTGCGGGTGTAGCGCTGACTTTTGATGCATGGAAAGTTACAAGCCAGTGAATAATGACGATTAAAAAGTTGGAAAGGATAGCATGCCTCGTTGATCAAAAATCTGTTTGATGGTGAAATGTGCGCCTCCGCAAGCAACCATAGATGGGCATTTTATCTTCCAACGAACAGCCAGGCTACCTACCTACTTGACACATCGAATCAGCCAACAGTAACTTATAATCTTTAATCTGTTGTTGCCCAGATCTCATGGAGACTTATTCGGTGTGGCTACACCAGACGGAACCTCGCAGAGTCCAAAACTTCCTTCCGAGTGATTGGCTAACTCTGCAAATAATTTGAAACTGCCTCGTTAGTTTCGAGGCTGTAGCTCAGTCTATCTGACGTGCGCAGTCATGTAACAAGTGCTATTATTACCGTTTAAGAACACCGTATGTAAATCTTCATCTACGCCCTTTTACTCGCTTCTTCAATGTCCACAACATGCCATTAGCGATAGCAGCAACAGTTCAATGAGTTACTATAATACATGCTCCTATCGAACTCAGCGACGATAGATGGAGAGAAATAGTATATATGCTCCGACAAGACCATGGATCTGAATAATAAAGATAATCGATCAGGCTGATCACTCAACAGAATTGAACTAAAGCCAGCCGAGGAACATGCTACGAAGAAGGGAAATGGAGGCAACAAGGTGAGACTGGAGCATTGCGAGGGTAAGAAATATTCTTTCTCTAGGATGCGTTTGACACCGTATTGCAAACGGTACAAAAGCAAAAGATGTAAAGGACATCAGTTTCACTACGAGCCCGCACATATCCTAACAAATCAAGCTACCCCCATCATCCAGGAATAACCGCCCAAGAATATCGCTCAACACAGGCATGCGTATACCTCACCTCTTCTCCCAGAAGCGAGTAAAGAAAACCAACATCCCAATTTCCAAAACCACAGTCCGCAATGCACATATACACATCGACATACATGCAAACCACGCCTTATCTCTCCCCCTCCAAATCATCAATCTACACCAATCTACACCTATAATTTCAAATCGCAGATACTAACTACATTTATGAGAGATGATCTACAACCTCTACAACCAACCAACTATGACGCGAAACTCTCCCATTATTTTATTGTGAGTGCTAATGATTTATTTTAATCATTTATTCATCAATGGGTGCATCAATACCTGATTTTGGTTTGGTTCATTTTATTCTCTTTTTCAAATACTCTTTCAAATACTTTCTCAACTCCGGAAACTAGACTAAGCAGTCTGAAGTCTCAAGTCTAGAGTCTGAAAAATATATATATATCTATGACTAATTCCGGTCTTTATTCGTCCATTTATTTCCCACGGAAAGAGGAGTGAGTAGTGGTGATTAAGGAGTGAGAGGTGATGGATGATAAGTGAGGCGTGATGTGATTGGTACGATTTATAAGGATGAGGATGTATGTATACATATATAAGTTCATCAAAACATCAAAATATTCTATAGGTATGCAAAGTGATGAAAAAGATATCAATTATAAAAGGGGGCCTATTTTTCCCTTGTTGAGAGAGGCGAAGAGAGTTTAATCAGATATTTAACTCTCAACTCAACTCATCTCATCTCATCTCGTATTACTGAATGTGGAGTGGGTTTAATGTTTGTATTCTGTAGTATCTATAACAACCTTTATTTCCAGTGCCAATTCTCAACCCCTTCATTTCTCATTTCTCATCTCTCATCGTATTCATCATCACATTTTTCATTTTCCATCACTCATCCCATCTACCACCTTCCCCTCACCCCTCCCCTTTCAGCCACCCCCATCCCCATCTCTACCCTACAACCTCCTCCCTCTCCTCAACCCACAAATGACCCCCCGCCTCCTCCAAAACCTTCACATGTTCCTTCTGCTTCTCCCCCGCCTTCCTCGCCAAAAACAATGGGGTATTCCCCGCTTTATTACGGGCGTGTACGCTTGCGCCGCGCTTGAGTAACTATTTGTGGGTTGGGGTTAGTAAGTGTTTAGTCAGATTGATAGGGGAAATTCAAGGGAACTGAGGGTGAGATTTTGAGATGGGAGATGGAGAGACGATGAGTCAGGGAAGGAGAGGAATTCAGGAAATTTGCCCAAAAGTTGGAGGGATATGAAGAGGAAATCTGAGGAGACTGAGGATTTAGTGACATGCGATTATTTGTCTGGACTAGCAAACAGAATGACATGATATGTGAAGGAGCTTCAGGCTGTGAGATGAGATTTCACTGTCTCACTCAAGGATATACAATATCGAAAACATGTCATAACTTATATATAAAGATTCCAGATATTTGGAGTCCTTCAAATTGATGTATATGTGCTTTTGAAAACTCCTGAATCTTTGAATGACTCAAACTCTTTAGATAAATAGTGCAAAAAAACAAATGATTTGAACACTTCAAATGATTTGAGTAAGATATAATTGCGTACGTTAATGCGATATACGGCTCCATTGTAGAAGAGAAAATCAAAACTTTTCACCATCGGACAAGATTCCGAAGAATTAGGAACCTGGATAAATATACAGGCAAGAAAATAGAGAATGATCTAAGCGGAAGCACTACCTACTTCTCTTAGCAAGTCTACTGAAGGACCTACAGCCCCTAAATGTAAAGCGGTATTTCCTACGTAATCGGTTGTTTGAAGAAGACCAGCTCGATCATGGTCGAGGATATTGATGATGGCATCCGTGTCACCTTTTTCAATAGCGTATCCTAATCCCGTAAAAGCGTGTTGTTGAGCTGTAACTGCGACTTCGCTCGGGGGATGTGAAAAAGCTGTGCTACCTTCTTCGGTCATTTCTCCACGAATAGAACATTGCATTTGCATAGTGACATCGTCGTATGAAAGATCTGGAAGAGCGAGGAGGAATGAAAGTTTAGTGAGGGCAGCTTCAGTTGTCAAGTCGTGACCGAAAACTACACCTGCTCTGCCTAAAATGGTGGCTGGTGCGTACAGTGGGGAGACGGAACCGGAGTGGCATTGTGATACGTTAACTATGATTACACCTCGCTCACATGCTTCTTTCATGATTTTGATCATACTTCCATCATCTCCACTGGGTGCATTACCAGCCCCGAAAGTTTCGAGAATCAAGCCGCGGAGGTTTGGAATCCGAAGGACGGCATCGATCATTTCTGGTTTGATACCAGGGAAGATACGAAGGCATGCTACGTGGGAAGTATCAAGATTTAATTGTACCCCGAACTTAGCAATTGATCGTGGACGACGAACGAGATTCCAATTGACCGTTGCTCCTAAAGCAGTCACCTTTGCTAAAGGTTCACAATTTGGTGAAGCAAAAGCATCAAAGGAGGTAGCCGAAACTTTGGTAGTGCGATTGCCACGGAATAAGTTGTGATGGAAGAAGAGACACACTTCCGGAATCATGAAAGTTCCGGCTATGATTAATGATCCAAGGAGGTTATCCACGGCATCAGATTGAAGAGCAAAGATTGAAGCTTGAGATCCCGTAAGAATAACAGGTTTTCCAAGATGGGACATCATAAAAGATAAAGCTGAACTCGTGTATGCCAAACTATCTGTACCATGAAGAACCACGAAACCATCAAATAAGTGATAATTTCTTTCAATCGTGGTAGCAATTTGTGTCCAGCCATTTGAAGATATTGATGAAGAATCTAGCAAGACGGGAAATTCGTACAAGGTGTAACGAACGTGTCGAGAATACGTGCTTGGAGGAGTACGTAAACTGGGTAAATATTCTTCTGTAGTGTTGGTGGTCATGACTGGCATAGGATCTGAGTACAAGTTAGTCACTAATTAATTCTCCGTAACATATTGCGTATGCGGTGGATTATCGTTGTCGGAATAAAGCAATGCGTAGGTATCCAAAGCGGAGATAATGCAATGCAATGAACGACGATGGGATGCGTGTGATATTTCTTAATATAGATCATTCAATGAGAATAAACTGAGATGTCACCGAAGGACTACCACTGACATGTTCCGAAATGCATTGGTTCGAAGAGACTCACTGGAGCCATTCAGTGTAACTTGGAGACGCGATTATGTATACAAGAAGTCCCTTGAGATCTTCGAATTATGTAACACTCAGCGAACACTTCCTAGCGACCTTACACGAGTTTCGTCATATCGGCGTAAATATTTTGATTGTGTTCGAAATTGAAAACATTGGACGTCATTGAAGATTGTCCAGCTCTCGACGATCCGAAAACATATCATACTGATGTGAACATCAGAAGAGTCTGGAACCATACTATCACACAATGAACGACAGAATGAAGAAGATGTTAAAGTCGAATAATCTAGACTTTTAGAGCAATTTTCAACGATTGCCCGAATCCGAATTTGACAACCAAGTGAAACTTCAGACCTGGATGGTTTTCGATTCAATGGCCCTTCGAATTTGAGTGTTTTGATGTCCCGATGGACAACAGATTGTATTTCAATGTAACATTTTGGATTTGACCATGAAATGCTTGTCAATGTCGATTCACGTGTGGAAATTGAAATACCCTTCATCAGACTGAATGTTTAAATTTGAATTCTGGACTGTGTACGCTCACCGCGCGTGTGATTGTAATTGTATAACAGAAAATTCACACAAGAAGAAAACTCTCTCACCTGGATTTGAGCCATCGTTGAATGACGGTCTAGTGGCCATTCCTTCCTTGAGGAACCCTCTTGCTGGAACCAAGCCTTCCGGTGAAGACTTCATACAAATGGTACCTCCTGTCATAATGATGAGGACTCTACCCTCTGGATAAGATTGTGTCGCCATGGTGGACATGGTGATGTGATGGTACGTGGTTAAGGAAATACTGAAGTGAGAGGAGAAATGTATGGATCGCTAGGAGACTGATCCGTAAAGGGCCTGTACTTGGAATCGGTATGTGTGGGGTTCAAATACAGCTTGAGCAACGAAGGGAAGGAGGTTTTAATTTCCTTGATAGCACGAGAAGAATATGGCGGGAGATTGTTTGACCAAATCGAAGTCAAAGTACAGTCTCGTTTGAAGATCCAACACCACACGAAAGAGTGAAGTGATGAGATGTGATCAAATGTGATGATACGGTCGTCGTCGTGGTCTAGATTCAATAAATGAATGTAATGTGAAGATAAGAAAAATTGATTGTGTTCACATGAATGAATGTATGATTGAATTATTCAGAAACATCCACATCTATAATTTTGCAGTCAATCATCATTCACGAAAGGAAAACTATAACGTAATTGACCAATGAGAATTGAGGGTAGAGGATGGAGGATATAGTTGAAATTTAGTAAGGAAAAGCAAACTTCACTCCAAGCGTCAGTCTATGAGAGTCACGTGAGAGGTTAGCAGCTTATTAATGGGTAGGTATGTAATGAGTACCAGTATCTACTAGGTAGCATATAAATATTATATAGATGTTGGTAATATGTAAATAAGATCTTATATCGTTTTATTGAATGATGATTGAATGATTGAAAGATTGATTGTCATACCTACCCACCTACATACTAGTCTCTTAGTCTCCTCTCCCACACGGAAGTAAACCTATCCATGTCCCGTCGCCAAAATTGAGGTTATTCCAAGAAAATTACACTTGTTCACAATCGCATGTTTGATGCGACCTTGTACCCAATCAATCTTCTCTTCCTTCCCTCCTCTTCCCTTTTCATGCAACTCCGTACCAGGGAATCAATTAACTTTTCATTTGAATGGCTCGAATGGTCTTGACACACTCGACAGGCTCTATCCATCCGTACCAAGACTTTCTTTCTATATTGAGGCGTCATCCTGACGACTACGTACACACCACCGAGATTATTGATCGATCCTCTTATCAAAAATCATCCCAAAGGACCAAAGCGAGAGAGAGAGAGAGAGAGTCCTTCACTGGTGAATGAAGTTCATTCATGATCCCAACCCTTCCAAGCATCCAAGCATTCAATCATCCAAGCAAATACATAACAAAATATACTTTCTTTTCTTTATATATATTTATATTTCATCTTCATAAATATCATCCAATTCCCTTCACGACGACAATGCCATCAAACATTATCAACATCAAGTCAAATCTTCACTCCCCATTACTACCACCACTCCTACTCTCCTTCTTACCATTCAGTTCTTACCATCCAGACCATCCAGACCACCCAGACTATCCAGAGACCTTACCTGACCTCCTACCTACCTAGTTCACATCATTGCCATTTCCATTAAACATCCATCTGATTAAAAGCTTCAAACTCCACAAGACTCGGTCCCGAGATAAAGTCCGACTTACACTCAAGTCTAACCACTCCATCAATCCAGGTGACATACAATTTTTATTTCTTTTGCCAAGCCTTCAATTCTTTTCAATTCCGATATAAGGATAATAGTGCCATTCGTTCTCTTCTGTCTCTCTCTTGAATTTCATGAAAAAATACGCATACAATACACAAGAAAGTCGAAAGTGATCACCACAGGCCAGCCCGCCCTTACTTCGTTCCCGGTACCCCTCGCCCTTTCCTGCATACGCGAAATCCTCCACTCACGCGTATAAATTCTAGCTTGGCTATGCGACAAACCTTCGCATTTACAACCGCAGCCATGGCAGCAGCTTTAGAAGATACCCCCGTTTCCTACGAAGATTTGGCTGAAATTGAAAGAGAATTTGATGATGTTGAAACAGAAATCAGTATGTCATATTTTATTTTCTTCGTTCCTCTTCTGTTATGACGTTGGAGGTACTGTGATTTGCCTACTGTGGAGGGGTTAAAGTGCGCTACGACTTTTGGACTTAATCAGATCAAGATCAAATCAGGTCCATCTTTTTGTGCGACATCCCATGGATGTACATATATACGTTTATTGTTTATGTTTCTTTATAGGATCTGCCAATACTCTTTCTATGGTTTGATGTGTTTACAATTCAATTGACTAACTTTTGATCAGTTCGTCAACAAGTTTCCCTCACTCAACCTCTGTATGCCCGTCGCAACAAAACTATCTCTCAGATTCCTAATTTCTGGGCCTTGGTACTCGAACAAGCTCCTCCAGATATAGATCAATATATTCAACCTTCCGATTCCGCTCTTCTACTTTCCTCACTTATCTCCCTACATGTATCGCATTTCGAACTCGATGATCCACAGTCCACCAAGGGAGGAGATCCAAGATCTGTATCAATTACATGGATTTTCTCTCCAAATGAATATTTTACAGATGATAAATTGGTCAAGAAGTTCTGGTATCGAAAGAGTCTTGGAGGTTGGTGTGGTTTGGTCAGTGAACCTGTTAGGATTCATTGGAAAAAGGGAAAAGATTTAACCGGAGGTTTACTGGATATGGTTTGTGATGCTTGGGATGCAGAACGAAAGGAAACTTCGAAAATGACTCCACAACACAAATCTCTCGAGAAGAAAATGAACAATACAAGTATGGGAGGTTTAAGTTTCTTCGCATGGTTTGGATTTATTGGTCGAAAAGTTAGTGAGGCAGAAAGTATAGAAGCAAATGCGAGAGATTTAGCAAAGAGGAAAGCTCGAAAAGATGGAAAGAAGGTGGTCGAATCGGATAATGATGAGGTAGAGGAAGATGAGGAAGATGATGAAGATGACTTGGGAATGAAATTGGAAATCTTTCCAGATGGTGATGATCTTGCCATTGCTATTACGGAAGATCTATGGCCTGGTGCCATCAAATATTTTAGTCGGTCTACCCTTTAATTCCCCAATGAGCAATTACTTGCTTCTGTATTATGAGACATATATTAACATATAATTATAGCCGCAGCACAAGAACAAGATGCACTATCAGATGCAGATTTTGAATCAGATGGTGATGATGATGAAGAAGAAGAATCGAATGAAGCAGAGAGACCAAATAAGAAACAAAGATCCTCTTAATCATCAGGATCAAATATCTTTTTGAATTGATTTGGTTCTATAAAGGGTCTTTAAAAGGGTCGGTTGGGTTAGGCGATCTTCAGAATGGATATGAAAAGTTTGTTTATTTTTTATATCCTGGTTGAATATCTCGGGGTTGGTAGGAAAAGTATGGTTTGCTTGAATGGCGTGGTGTTTTTTTGACTCGGATTTGCAATTGCTATTCGATTGGATTGATTGAGTTGTTTGGATTGAATGAAATTTGATTAATGCATTAAGATAAGACGATAAATTATCAACAATCGCAATGGGGAGTTAGAATCGGAGTTCGCGTTGAGGCTTGAGATTTGGGGTTTGAATTGGAGAGGTGTCTTTCTTTATTAACTTGTGAGGATGGTGGTTGGTGGTGGATTGGTCAGTGGTAGATGGATGGGAGATAGAAGAGGATGAAAGAATGGGTGGGACGATACAGGAAAGAGATTTATATTTGGTATCTAGGTACTCGAGATCAGTGCCATACTCATTCATACTCATGCTCATGAATGAGCTATAGAAATAGATGATTTTTTCCAATATGTTTATATGTCCTATATGTTGATATCTTGGTGTTATAGGTATAATGTTGATCAATCGAGGTGTGGAGTGGAGATGTGAGGATTGAGTTGGTTGATGTGATGAGATGAGATGGATTTGCTGGAATGGATTTATGTTGGATGTTGGATATTGGATATTGGATGTTTGTGGTGGAGGGGAGGGGAGTGAGGGGGGAGGAGATGAGATGAGATGAGATGAGATGAGTGGGGTCGGGGATGGGGGATTGGAGTGGATATGTGGATATGGGTAGGTGTCATATGGGAATGGGTATGAGGGAGGATGGGGAATGGGAATGGGTAGTCAAGAATTAATAATGAGTAGAGTTTGTAGTAATTGACGTTGGATTTAGAAAGGATGGAGCAGGCGGTCTTGAGTAGGTGGTGTTGGGGATATTTGATATTGGATACTGGGTAGGACTTGGAAGGGAGAGTTGGAGAGTCCGATGTTCAGCGAATCAATGGATAGGGGGTTTTCCTATGAGATGAGAAGAGGATGTTTTGGAAGTGGAAGGTTTGAGTTTGGTGGGAGATGTGATGATCATGATTGACTATAGGGGTAATTTGATTTGATTAGAGGGTAACAATTACAGGTGTTCTAGACGATTCTTGGAATGGGAATGGCATGTTACGGGTTGAAAGTACTGGGTACTGTTGATGTTATTATTTGAGGGGTTCTTTGAGCGGGAAATGGGATTATCTACAGTAGTGAGACCGGGAGTTTGTATCTGCAGTTGGTTGAGAGAAGCGAGCGGGGATGGAAATTACTTTTCTATGAAGATCATTGCATCCCAGAAGCGCGGGGGATGAGAAGATGTCAAGAATGCAGAACGTGGGGAGCTTGGTTTCCTGTCTTGAGAATGCGGGTGTTGGGGGGAGATGAGAGTCGAGGTACGAAATTGGGGTAGAGGTATATTTGAAAGCATCTGATAACGAGATGGATGAGAATTAATATTTTGGATGATTAAATGTTGGAGTGTTTGAGTGTGTGCAAGGATTGACGGTGGTAATCCAACTGACCACGGACAAAGTTTACTGTGATTGAGAAGGAGTGGGATGAATGTGTGATAGAATGATGAGAAAGGAAGAAGGGAAGGAATGATGAAGAACTCGGTAAATTTTGAGTTGAGATAGCCCTTATTTCTTGTGCTTGTTGGTATATTGACATCTTTTTGATAGATAAACATAAGAGGATAGCAAATAGTAGTGAGATGAGAAACAGTGATGATGAGATATATGTCTTTTAGTGCTAATTTAGGAGACTTGGGGAGAGAGAGAAACGATAGTAGTGATATCAACAAAATCAGGAAATGACAGTTGATGAGTAAACTGATTTAAGCGTCCAGACGCCGCTTTGAGATAATTCCCGAAAGTTCATCTTAACAATCGAGAGTCGTCGGTCATCATATGAGAAGATATAAAGAGAGAGAGAATGACATACAAGACTGAAAATCCCTCACCTCTTCATACTCTGCAGCTGCATTAGGAAAGCGATATCATCATCCGAGACTATAAAATCACCTTCTTTTTCCTCCAAGCAATAAGATGTGGATAAGATTTCACGAGAAAGATGAAAACTTAAATAGAGAAGGATACGATTAGTAGTTTCCACTATACGCAATGAATAGATCGTAGAATTATATGAGGTATTTTTATTATCTATGGAGACTCCTTACTGTGTTTCAAGACGGATGATAATAACACTAACCGACAGCAAAGATGGAGGGTAAAAACAAGTATAAAAACGCAGATCTGTCGATAGATGATGATGAGAAATTACCCACAACAACAATAACAACAACGAAGCACCAAAGATAACTTCCAAGGCTCTGCAGAATTCGTTTATTCAGTCAGCAACTTGCAGCGGCTTTTCAGACACTTTACTACACAAGCTTTTGGATCTCATCTCTATGCCTCTCTGTGTATACTTTGTGCCAAGATCGCAGTTTTTGATGAAATGAAATGAGATGGGTTTGGAGGATTATATATCTATATATATATCTGGATCTAGTTGAGCTTGGTGGTGTAGGAATGCTGAGGGGAAAGAAGTAATTGTAAAGTTTGGGAAGATCTCGATGGGGAACAGATTATGAATTTCATCTTGGGGAATATAAATATGGGTGTTTGCGAAGGGATTTGGGCGTATGTAGGATTTGATTCTCTTGCTTGAAAGATCTGAAGGCTTGAAGGGATAATACTTGATTGGCTATGGGAGTGATAGACTTTCTAGCTTTGCGCGGACGCTACAAAGTATGAGTTGTAAAGAATCAAATGCTATCAGGACTTTAATGGTAAAATCCTATATTCGCTAGCATTCGAACGGAATTTCCGCCGTTTCTTTTGGTATTGTTATAAAGTGATAACAGTACCAGCACTCCCGATAGTAAGTCTATATCTACCACCACCACCACACATTCCAGACACCTCCCCCTTCACCCCTCAGCCTCCAACTCCCAACCCCAATTCCAAATCCAATCACTCCCAAGTATCGCAGAATCAGATTCATTAGTCCCACCTCGTACAAAGCCTGCGCGTTCGGGAATATTTCCCCATTTTCGAGTGTCACGCATGTCATACCTAATTTCACCATCTACAGCGTACGTTACATATCAAAATCACCAAGCGTGGAATCTTGATGTTGGACTTGTTATTTTGGAGAAGATGTATATGTATGTATATACATCCAACCATCTTTTTCCCTGGAAATGCCCACGCGGGGTAAAAGATTTGAAGTAAGAAATGACAGCGAAATTATACTATTTCCATTTCAAAAGAGTACCATGAAAGTTTAAAAACCAAGCCAAAAATCCTACATACCATCCGATCACTCGATCCGATCGATCCAAAAACCCACAAAAAGCCTACAGGCTTAATTCCTCAAGCTGAGAAAGACCCCATACCAAACTCCAAAAATGACAGAATATAGTCCAACCCAAACATGCCCACCCCAGAAAGGAAAGCCGAGGTCCAAAACATGATTCAGTACACAATGTATTCTCTTTCTCCCCAGCCAGACGCAAGCCATTCTGTAAGCTAGCGCATTGCCAAGCAGATATCCAGCTCTCCACCCGAGGGTCAGATGTCCAAGCTTCGATAAAGCCGTCATGTAACACAGAATGTTGTGTAAAGTAACGAAATATATTCAGCGGCGCCTGGGAATCACTAAATTTCCGATCGTATCACAAGAATTGGTGACGCAATGATAGAGAAAGCAAAAAAGATAAATAGTAGACTTGTAGAACTGAAAAGTCGTTATTCGATTATCAAGCAATCGATCGAAATTTGTGTGCTAAATTTCTATTCTTTTATATAAAAGATCCTGAAGCCTATTTGTGTCATCATGCCTTACAATGCCCGAGTAGAAGTTCTCCCAGAGCCAGTCAGTCGCGGTGGACTCGACGACCCCAGAGCTGCAGAACAGCCGTCCTTTGGGACACGAATGTCATGTCGAGATGCAACAGATTTTCTCTGCAACATCGCAGAAATCTCGCCGCTAGAGCTGAGATACCGCAAAGCGCGCCATATACACATAGCAGATAGCGAAGCCCAGACAAAACTTGATCAGATTCTCTCTCGTTCAAGGGAGATTAGACTGCCTGCAACTGAACAGAAGCTCTTATCCGATCTCGTCCCAGGACTGGTTGTAACTGGTGGGTTGAGCCGCTCGCCTGCATTTGATTGTCTACCCGTTGTGTCTCATTGGGGTGAGCGAACGGGTGAATCCTCAGCACCAGATCCTGCCGCTACCATTAGACTTTCTTCAACGTGGGAAGCCACTCATGTAGTTGCAGAAGGAGCCACTATGCAATGTCCGCTTGGAGCACCCTCGTGGGTATTGAAGACCCACGGCATTTCCCCTCTACATACGGAATCTAGCAAATTTTCCCAAATCTACTCAGCGGAAACGAAAACTTTGACTACGACTGTTGCCTTGGCTCGTCGAATCGATACCCCTCGAACCGGAGGAGTTCTGGGCGCCGCTACCGATATTTCTCGAGTACGCAACGCACGCGTTGCAGACGCTGTTGATTGCGCCATGGGAATGCTCTCAGATGCTGCAGAGCTCTTGGCTGCGCGGAATAAAGTGATCGAGACAGGTATCACAGAGCGTCTCGTGTTTGCCGAGGTACATGAAGCGATCATACCAACCTGGTGCTCCGTCCGAAAGCCTCTCCCTCCAAAGTTGAGCGGAGTGGCACTTTCAACTGACCAGGCTACCATTGACGTCCTCGCGAGGGAGGATTGCGAAGGCCCACTACTTAACACCAGCATCTTCTCGATGGCGGTTGGTTATAACCGCGGTGTTTATGGCGGGTCAATATCTGGCTTATGGGCGATAATGGACTCGGGTTTCGTCCTTGATTACTCGATTGGCAAGGATAGTGCTGCAATGGCGGGGAAATTAGCTTCCACATTTTCTGAAGTGGCTGCTATTGCTGAAGCGTCTGTCTCTGCCGGCGAGCATATCACTGACATTCGAGTTGTCAAGGGTTGCAACTACTCATGCTTACGACAAAAGACTATTATCGAGGATACCGATCCGGGTCGCTCCCGCCCGTGTATAGTTATATGGAACGATCTTGCCCGATTGGCCCGTTATAAGCTCGCGGATGCCGTGTTTTGTCACGTTTACTACGATGGTGGTGGCGGTGAGCAGATGGCGGCGATGGCCGGCCTGGGATGCGTGGTACACGACTGGATTGATTTGGGAGCAGATATAGCATGTGGTGAGATTAGCAACATCATTCCGACGCTTACAGGAGGGTCGTTGGAGGAAGAGCCACTGGCCGAGGTGTACTCGCGTTTTATGGGGGCGATAATATGGTATCGCGATAACGACCCCTTCAATCCTGCCGCTTTGTGCATTTTATTTACACATTGGTGGCAGCTTGCAAACTGTCGCCATAGACCCATTTCCCTCCTTGGTCGAACTGACCTTGACACTGTGAGCAGAGGTATTCTTCCCACGGTCCCGCAAGAAAGGCCATCATTGGAGCACTTCCGAGCCGGTGGTACCAAGATCGAGCGTAGTGAGCGTGCCCTCATCAATGCTGAGGCGCGGCTTCAATCTATTGTTTCCTCGAACCCGTTGCCGGAAACTCGAAGTGTTGTTGAACTCCTTGTCAATCCAGTGATTGCGTATGTAAGAGGGGGAAATAGTCTACCCTTTGAAAGCGAATTCGTTGGAGCTGTCCTCGCGGCTGAGATAGCCTTGCCCCAGGGACAGAAAATCATGGAGTTGTGGGACCTTAGTATTGTCATGTGGGAGTCCGGGGCCATGTGGGCAACGGGGATCGCTAGCCTTTGCTATACTCACACCGGAAAATTCAATTGTGACAGGGCTCGTGATGACTTATCGGGAACTACCTGGAGCTAAACAACATCGCTTATCGCTTCCAGAGCCATCACACTAGCATTTCATTTGTTTCCTGGTGTGACCTAGATAGCACAGAGTCAAGCCAGTCGGAGAGTTCTCTTTTCCGGTGAATGTCCATCAAGGACTGCACCTTCCAATTGAGCTAGCTGAGTAGTTGAATGAATGAATATGTATCAAATTTTCTCATCCCGCAAACTATGCTCTAAAGCCTGTATTATCGACCGAGGAGCCAGAACGAATCAGCTCGTAAGTATCATTCGCTGGAATGCAGATACATAGGATAGAAAACCTTACATTCATCCCAGAGGTTATTCACCTCAATGTATTCATGTCCGTTTGACGCTCTGATATGGATCTGGTTTCCCGCTCTTAGACTGCTTCCAGTTGCAGTAGCACAGCGGTAAACAAATCCCGCACCTGATTGGGCCATTCTAAATACCATTGTTAAAGTCAGGGACTTTAGATGGATGTGCTAAGTCCCGAACGACTGACACGGAGCTTATTTGCACTATTCAATGTCCAATCCTTCGGTTATTGCAGTCTGCCCCCATCTTGGTACCGATATACACATCCCACGTTCTTCTCACGTTTTTAACACGTTCCGCACGGTTCTACCACGTTTCCCCCCATGCACCACCACCCAACCCCCGCTTTAGATCTGAGTACGCGTGCCGTCCAATCTCGTTTATCCCAAGAAGAAGATACTTGATGACGATCATCATCCAATTTCCACTCTTTCAAAATACCCATTTTCTTTTCTTTTTGTTCTCCAAACTCATCTTCGAAGCATCTCCCAACGGACAATTCCACAAGTCCCCCATTACCTCCAAAACAAACTCGGGTCTCACATGGTGCTGCAATCCGAGCTCCGACATAACGGTCTCATTTCCCCAGACCACGTTCAAGCGCACGATACAAGCAATGCAATCCTTCGCACTCAGACGCACATGCTTATTCAATCCAGCCCCGTGGGGGGCCAATATCATACACTACCAACGACCAAGAATCTTATCTTCGTGAGCTGTCATAAATCCCACAGCCACGGTTCTTTTATCTTGGCGAAATTGCATGCCGTAACGTTGCGTCTTGGGCTCGATTTCTAATCTTCACAAACCAAAGAATCCAAGCGCCCAAGCCCATAGGCGATCTCCTGGAACATACCTTTTTCATTCTGTGTGAATTTAATATGTTCTAGCACTAATCAGGACCGGCTGTATCCGCCAATGTGAAATGGCACGTTAACTTTCGTCGTGGTCCCCACCAAATCTCCGTACCCGAAGATCCATGGCCGATTCTATCACATTTCATCGTTTCCTTCACGCATCCGTTGATCTATGCTAATCTAGGTATTGAAGCCCATCAACATTTCCCAAGAGATAGTACAGAAACTTTTCTGGAAACATGTATTACTACATTTTTCTACTCCGGTATGAACCTCGGTATACACCTCGCAAGAATGTCTCAGTCAAATAAAATAAGGATTACTAACGCTCCAATTTAAGTGGTATGATTCTCAGATCAGCCGAGTAAATTCTCCGAGCCCGGTAATTAACAATTTCCCGAACAGGTCGTACTAGCATCTATGTGTACGAAAAAACAAGCCCAGCCAGAGGAAAAGAATGACAAAATAAGTAGGTAGGTAGGCAGTGAGGGTGTATGATAAACAAAAGACAGGAACAATGAGATATCAACTAGTCTAGCCTATAGCAGCAAAGAAGGAATGATAATCATATACTCCATGGAATGTTCTTGCAATTAGGATTGAGATGAAGCTATCCCATCTTCGTGCATCAAGAAAGATTAGCCGAATCCGAGTGAACGGATGTACTACTTAATGCATCAACTGCAAATTATGATGTTTGTGATAAGTGATAGAGTTGACCCGCCGGTAATTTGAGCAATGTGATAGTGGAGACATGATGTGATGTGACGGACAAGCTTAGACCGGATTGCAACAGGTACCACTGTAACAACGGGAACGCGGGATGCAGGGAAACTTCCCAGTATCTTGAAATTCACGGAGATTTTCTCATGCCCGGAATTCTTACCAGCGTCTGAAACTTCGAGATGATCGATAAATGTAAGCAGCGAAGAAAAGTGGTTTGACAGATATTCAATTATTATCTTCCATTTGTACGTAAGATTGGGGCTAATCCCCGAAAAATCGGACTGACCGCCGTGACGATTAATCCAGGCCAAACACCCATGCACCCATTCCTCCCAATATCTCCTTCCAAATAGTACATGTACTTCTCCGACCCAATCACTCAACCAAACCTATATCTCAATAACACAATGATCCAGAAGACAAACAAAGAATACCACCACAACCACCACCGCCATGCATGATGACAATCTCCGAATATAGAATTTTCCTTGCCACCTATCCATCCATTCATCCATTCATCCCTCCATCAGTTGCCCTGCCCGTCCAATATGTGCCGTATAATTTTATGTAATGTATTGTATTGTATGTAAAAATGACTTTCGTTCAATCCAAAAGCCAAGTAGTAGTAGTAGACCGAAGTTGAAATCTCGCTCGCATCGCAGTCACAAAAGGGTATCCAGGCGTAGTTCTGACATCCTTTCATTGAATTCCAGTTCGCGCAAGTGCAAGCAAAGCAGACGGAATGTAGGAGAATAAAAGGTAAACAACTTGCATATGTCATTTTTCATCTCGTCGTAAAACCCTAGCCAGCGGTTCGAAAAAAGTAGTGAATGCGAAAAAGGGCAAAGCGAGAACGAAGCGAATTAAAAGACTGTTCCATCACTGAGAATGGCAATTGGTGGACATTGAGTGTTAGGTCGTGAGATTTCGGCCATTTCTCTGCCTCCCTATTTGATTGGTTAGTACAGTGATACAGAACGGATAAATCGATGAGACATACCTTCCAGCTGCCAGCCTCCAACATCTGTGGCAGAGATAACTTGTCTTGACCGAAAAGTCCTAGACTGGTATTGACCTCTTCCAATAACAAGTCTAGGAATCCAACGGTCACAGCTCTCCACTCAACAATCACATCATCATCTGGTGTGAACATTGGAACGACTTCCAAACTTGGTTTGCCTTCTCTCTCTGCATTTCGGTGGAATGCTTCGAGGCCTCTCTTTGTTTCGTCTCTTCTCAGCGTCAATACGCCAGTATCAATGAACAGACCTCCATTTCGATATTCGGGTAAACCAGTCAACAATTCAGCTCCGGCAAAATGTATGTTCATGAGCTTAGTCATTGGTTGCATCAGAGAGTAACAAAGCCACTGAGAGAGTTTGTGGAAAGGAACGATTGTCTCCCAAAGAGGGGTTGCGGCATCTGCAGGCATGGTAGTTAAATGCCATGCATCACCTATGGATGTACCATCAACTTCTGTGCGAGATGCTGGCCAGATTGGTGCAAGACCATCAATCAGGACACTCCACAAGGTGGGTAGAGGAACGATTGGTACAGATGCGGCTTGTGTAGAAGGATGGGAGATGAGGAAATCTGTAAATGTTAGAATATGATGCTGCAAAATGTTAAAAGGATATTACGTACCTAGCATGTTTCCAGGTCGAGCATCTGCACCAAAGAGAGAAGGATTTCGCAAAGCTTTAGCAAGTTTAACCAGTAAACCAGTTCTACCCGCCAAACCAGCAATCGGATTCTGCTCAGTGACTTGTAGACCTGAGCTCATGATCTCCACAGTCAATCGGGACAATCCATCTGCATCGACTTGGTGTGGCTGTTCTGGATCACTACTGAAGGTACCAGCCTTGAACATTTCCAAACTGGCAATTGCCAAGCCTTCACTTCGCCTATATGTGCGACCACTCTCAACACTCTTGTACTTCCATGATGTACCGGCGCCAGCATCGAGTAGGACGGATATGAGGAAGAGATCGAGAATTCGGCGACAACGTTCGGAAGGATCAACTTGGCTTGGCCAGCTTCCTAGGAGTTCTCCGATTCTATCTCTACCTCCCACGTTGAAATGTTGCCATCGACCGTGAGGGGGGATGGCGTTGTAATCGGGTGCAAAATCGCGCTACAATAATAGACATTAGGAACGAGATCTTTTGGACCGGTGCAGTGTACAGTGTGCGGTGTGCAGTGGAGATGTGAATACATACCTTGATCACAGAGACGACAAACTTTGTGGTATCTTTAAATCGTCCCATATCAACTTCGAAGTGATTCAAATCATTCTTCTTGGCCTTCTCCAATACGATGCCACATCTTTCCCGTACAGCACCAATGCTCCTCAAATATCCAGCTGGGTCGACATTTGGATCTGGTGCCTTGGGAAGTGCGATCTTGGGTATGGTGGGGATAGACATTCTTGAGAAGCCAGGAGTGGAGGGTGATTTTAGTGAGGATTGTGATGAGCGAAAAGATTGAACTTCAGTTAATTGTGTAGAGTTTGTTCTTGATGATGAACCATTCGAAGGAGAAGTCTTTTCTTTGCGTGAAAAGAGGCCCATACTTCTGTATTTAAACGTCTCCCCTTGCTTGGTCGGTATGCCTCCTTTATGCAGATGCCCTGTATGATGCAGCGCAGTGCGTCCTTTTCGTCCCCTGGTAGATAACTTGTAGTTTCGTTGGCTGGCCGTACTTGGTCGCAATCACCGGATGCCCTGTCAATCTGCGGAAAAGCTAGGTCGGTCTTTTTATTTTATTTTAATTCGAATCACTTTCTTTTTTCTCCTAACGGGGCCTTTTTGGTTATCGTTGTTGGCAAATGCACAGTACAGACGGCGCTCTGGTTTCGATAAGCCCGTAGCTGGTTTGGAGAGAGGAGGGGGCTTTGTAGTCCTTGCGGCCCTTGTAGATATCCGTAATTACTTGATCCTTTCCCTTGGATAGCTATAGATTTACGGAGTAGGTCGATATTAGGTCCTTGCGTTTGAAATGTTGTCTCGGGAATGGGGATCGACGGGTTCACACCGCGGAAGAGGGAAGAGGGAAGAAGGAAGAGAAAAATGATTTGATGGTTGCCCGAGACTTTTGGTGTGGGTAGTAAGTGGGGGAAAGTAGAGAGGGTACTACTGTAGTGTAGTAGTAGAGAGAGACAGAGAGCGAGCGAGCGAGCGAGATAGGATAAGTGAGTGAGAGCGTGAGAGTCGTAACTGTGGATACTAATAATAAATTTTTCTTAATTTTCCAAAGAGGGAGGAAGGATAATCGGAAGTACGAAGGAATAGGTAGCAAGTGATAACAAATAAGGAATAATGAGCGTTGGATGAATTATTCCGATTAGTTATATATCTCCGTATGTGAGCAAGTATGTATGTAGTAAGTGGTACCTCACACAGGAGATAGGAACGTGATTGGACCTCAGGACTTATGTAGGTATGGTATGGTATGTACGAGTTTTATATATTTCTTTCGTTGTAGGCAAAGGATATGCGTGTGTATGAATGAATGAGAGAGTGAGTGAGTGAGTGAGTGGTTGAGTGAGCGAGTGTGTGTGTGGGAGAGAGAGAGAGAGAGACGAAGAGAGATGATCTTTGGCAGGAAGAAAGAAAGATGTTCGAATCTGGTATAGAAGACGTATGTTATGTATGTATGATGTATGATGTATGATGTATGATCTATGTATGGCTGGTGTATTATTATTAGGTGAGAAAAGAGTGCTTCTTCGTATGGATTCGTATGAAGTACTAATGAATGTGATATGATCGTCTCGTCTCTTTTCTTTTTGACCAGGTCCAGACTCCAGAACAATTTTGATCGGATTCCCACCTCCAGTTTTCTCCTCGACTTTTCCCGTAGATAAGCACAGAATAAGGTAAGGTACCAACTGTAAATGCGGTGATATTAGGAATAGTGGATTGTGAATAGTGGAGGAAGAGGTGGCTAAAGGATCATTGGCAGTGATGATTGTGAGTAGTAGGAAGGACCTTGTAAGAAATTGATGGCATATAGAGTACCCGGAAAAAGTTTATCAAGAATCGAAATGGAGCTGCATAATATCGGACGAAAAAGCTGCTCTACTTTGCTCTGCTCTGCTTTGCTGTGCTTTGCTTTGCTTTGATTTCTATTTGACTTGATTTGCTGATATGAGGTTTCAGCAATTCTAATGCTTGAAGCTTCCAATGGCACACAATAGGCCTAGATAGGTAATACTATTGGTACGAGGTGCAAGATCTATGTTTGATAGTGGAGACAGCAGCGATTAAGATGGAGGTATTAGGTATTCGGGTAACATGTATAGTCTTCCGATAAGTATACTTAGGTATACCAGCTGGTATGTACTATGGCTAGCTTCACGTTCCTATCTTGATTTGTACCTATCGAATCCAAGTGGAAAGTTATGATTTATAAAAACGTGGTGGATGGTAAGGTAGATTCGTGAGCCTAGTCGTAACGGGAGGATCAAATATAGCCAATTATTATGATATCTAAGACCATGGAGAAAGTGCAGACAGAGCTTCTTCGTCAAGTCAACAAGAAGCTGATGGTGAATGAATACCTCTGTAGGCATGCAATCTGTACAGAGATATAATGTATAATTAATTGGCTGTGGTATATACTGAATGGTGATGTAGTATTAGATCATCTAGATGAAAACATATACGAAGGAATGATTAGTGAGTGCAATATAAACAAATATATTCCTGTCGCTTCTTAGGATGTCAAGATTAGCAAAGCAATCTGGATGATGCGAGATCCACACACACGACGACGTTAAGGGAGGGGTTAAACTCAGTTAGGGGCCGATAGACTTTCAGGATCTGTAAGAGAACAAGAATACACTTCTGACAAGCCACCGAGACTCCCTGGGCATTACTCCATGCAGAACGTCCACCAAAATGCGTTGCGTACTTAAATTTTAAGAAAGATCCATAAACCGAGAAGGCCGGTGACATATTGATTACCGGCTAAATTCCTTTCTCCATGCATGAGGCAATGTGAGGCGTTGATTTGTCCTCATTTGCCTATTGTATTCCTTGCGCAAAACGGGCCAAACTATTCAATCCTGCATACGAGGAATGTCGTGCAAACCGAGATGATTGATGGCCAGTATGAACTACCTAAGTAACGGTTCGAGCCTCAACGCCATCGTCACTCTTGAGCCTGCGTAGCATGCGACTATTACTAAAACTTCATCCTATGTGGTTAGTTTTCAGCGAGTGCCGACTAATGCTGAGCGCCATTGTCCAACGAAACTTCACAGATCGTAAATCGACCAAGGGCAAGTCCGAGAGAAAGTCTCTAATACCACCCAAATGGACGAAGCGACGTTGACTTACTCGTTCCCCAGTCTACATCATTGCGATTTTCCAGGGTTCAACACAAAGAAGCAACGGCGATGGCGTACTCTGTGGGAATGGAGAAACTGATTTGTGCTTGGGATTATGTACTGTTTCCTGAAGAATAATACTACGCTAGTGGAAGTTATGGATTCACGTTCAATGTCTAGGATTAATTGGCTAATAGGGAGTAATGGGAGCTTGGGTCTAAGCCTACATTGTGCCAGCCAGTGGGATTGGAGGATTGGATGGGAATCGCGATTACCCGAAGACGCCTCACGCCATCTACGGAACTTCCGTTTACCATACATACCATGCCTGACACGATTCATGGATACTCGGGAATTTGTTCAAGCTTGGTAATAGGCGTCTAGGTACGGTCATGAAGGCCAGATTATGGTGGGCGACGATGACCATGATTAGTTGTTGCACAGGATGGGTTTTCATCTATTACAGTTTGTTGACACTTCGGTACGGGTAAGCCGTCCCTCTCTCGCCTGTTCGATTGGTAGGTGGAGTAGTGGATGCTTCATAATACAGAAGCTTCGAGGGCTCCAGCTTCAACCCTTCAGAGAATTAGAAACACGGATTCAGCCCCAAAAATACGGTACCGACGCAGGTGTCCCCCATATCTACTACCCTTCTAAGTCTTTACTAAATTGCTTCTAGTTTTCCGAGTCCGTGGACACTGCATGTCTCCCTTGTATGTGATTACCTACACTGTTATGGAAAGCTTCCCATACATAAATAATGAGGCTTGACATGATTGGCATCGGCATCTTGTCCCAGAAGTCATATTGAACCGGGATTTTAGGCCTTTAGCACCGAGCACAACCATTCCATCCCCATCCCGAATATGCAGGTACGAGTAACGAATGGAAACTTAAGATCCATATTTCAAGGGTTCCAGTGGGCCGGCTCGCGGATAAATAGTGAGAATTTTAGTCTGTGATGGGCGGGATGCGATGATTATGAAAGTAGCTAAACAGTAAACACTTCTTGAAAGTACCTAGGTAGCGATGATTCACCCAAATTTCTTCATCTGGTGAGGAGGACGAAGATGAGGGAGCAGTAGGATTCTTGGATCTATTGAAAGGTGGCGAGAGACGAGAGACGAGAGATGAGAGATTCGATCAGGAGAGATAAGATGATGACAAAGAGGTTAAAGAGGAAGGTAGGATTTAAGACGACATTAACCTTACGAAAGGTAGCACCCGTTACGAGGGATAGATAGTATGAAGAAAGAGGCACAGATGGGCTTGTGCTGATATCGAAATCCCTCGGCACCTTGTGCTAACGATCTTACCATTCGAGTATCGATCAACCCTTCATTGCCTATTAACTCAAAGATGGGGTTTGGGAAGAAAAGGTTTAATCACGGTGCACATCATGAACAGATTTTAAATTTGATGTAAATTGCCCACATGTCCTGAAACCGAGTATGGAAATCGATGATCTATTCATGCACCTTCCTGCATAGCTGCTGGTTGACTCACGAGCCGTTTCACTTCACTGTTATTTCTATCAAGAGAGAATGGGGAAGTGAATGGTCCCCGAAACAGGTGACGAGATCTGCCTCCAGATTTTCCTCGAATTTCATCTCTCATTGCCGCTGACGTTACTTCTCCATGTGGTTGGTTACCTCGAGCTCTCTATATCATTACGAACTGCAGTTCTACCATCGATTCAAGTCAATTGGGATTTTACATCCGTTCAGTGACCATTCAGTGACAATACTGACCCAAGCGCATACGTAATGTAACACATTATCCATACTCACATGTAATTGTGCACTCTGGAGTCTGGACGGGGTATTCATCTATTGTCGCCAGAAAGCATAATTTGGATCTTCAATATAAATTAATATATTTCCCATCGGCTATGTTGGTGCTCTATTGACGGATTGAGGAATACCGAAAGAATACCTAGTAGACCCTGGAAGACTTGAAGACGGAAGGGAAAGAAGGGAAATATGTATCATATCATATCATATAATAATAATGTAATATGAATGAGAATAGGTATGGTCTATGGTCTAGAATTCCCTTACTCTCCGATTTTCCAGATTTTTGTTTGAGAAAAGTGTTTCATGGAAGTAATACCTCAGTTTGGTAAGATTTGCTCCCTTCGTGCAGTGATTACTTTTGTAGTGAGTCGTGAGTCGTGAGTGCTGAGTGCTGAGTGCTTAGTAGTGAGTAGTGACTGCACGGAGCAAATGGAGCATCTGGAGCAAAAGAAGATTAATTATCCAACGAAGCTTTAGCCTTTTCTACATAGCCAGACATCCATCCATCCATCCATATCGATGTAGCCAGACATTGCCAAACATAGCTGTAGCCAGACTTAGCCAGACTGAAATGAAGGAGGGAATTCTTTTGCTGATCTCGCTCGGAGGCGGAGGGTCTAATCATTCTAATGGATGCGTGCATCTTGAATCAACATTGATACTGATTAGATACTGATTTGATTTGATTTGATTTGAATTAATTTGGTGGACCGAAAGAACGGAAAGTAGGGAAACTCAAATTCATCCTAAAAGAACAGCTAACAGAAGCCTCCGAAGCTATCAAGGCCGAAATCGTAAAGCTTTATAAGCTTCATTTCTCTTTCGGGAAATCAACCTTTTGGGCCATTGTGCTGGGAAATATTGGTTTGTGCTCGCACACACGCACAGAGAATTGAAGCCCAATCGTTGCAGCCTGAACTTTAAGGTTACTCAGTCATTCGCCATTGTCACCGAAAGGAAAAAAGCGTGACATGACGTCTACGGTAAACGAAACTCTCACCAAACGCAATATCATGGGAAGGAACGTCATCATGAATGTTCAATAGTTTCATCAATATCCTCCCGCAAACACCTGAATAGCGACTTCCCCTCTGATTGATTCCCGACGCATATCTTTTAGCCTTTTGCGCATTTCATGCATCCAGTCTTTTCCTGTTACGTCTAAAAATGGATGATCTCAATGGTCTAGATTGGTCTTCTACCTCGAACACGAAACAAAACAAAGTATCACCTGGCACAGGCAATTATTATCCCACGTTACGTCCAACTCCATCGCCTGCGAACTCTGGACGGAATACCCCTCTATCTGCTCAAGCTTCAGGAGCTTCAAAATCATTTGCGCAGCCCAAAACGAAAGCTCCAGACAGTTTCTCGAACCTTGTATCTTTTGGATCTTCGAAAACGAACACGTTGACATTGCAACAACAGCAAGCAAAGCTACAAGAACAAAAGAGGAAGAAGGAAGAGGAACAACGCAGGCAATATGATGCGCAATTTGGAAATACACAATTTTGGGATGGATTGGGCAATTCAGGAAAGAATTTGGCCGGTTTATCGCCAGTGCCTTCACCAATCCCTGCCATGACAAGCCATCCTTCCACATCACCATTTGCGCCGTCTATGTCCCCTCCGCCAATTGGAACTGGTACGGATGCTTCTGGGGACGATGATCTTTTTGCGGCCTTCAATAAAGATACTAAAGTAGATAACTCAAGTCACTATCCACCACCCTCTGTCACCTCAAGTCGTACGCATACTCCAGGATTTGGCACAACCAAAATACCCGATTTAAGTAACCCTCAGGCCTGGGATCAACCTACAAGCAGTTCGGGGGATTTTGGTGACGACGATGATCCATTTGGATTGGGCCAATTGAAACAATCAACCTCTGTGCCAGTACCGATTTCAAATACAGCAGACGATGACGATTTCTTGGGGGATTTGGGAAAGCCGGTGGAAGAAGTGAGGAGGTCTACACCTGTGGTGCCGGAATTACGCGAAGAATCAAGCTCTGACGATGAAGAACCTAATGACCCTTGGGATAAAGCTGTTGCTGAACTTGTGGATATGGGATTCACGGCAGAACAGTCGAGGCGTGCTTTAACTGAAAGTGGCACTGGTCTAGATATTCAAGCAGCTGTTGGGTGGATACTGAATGATGCGCATGCGCAAGCCAAAGCAAAGACGCAGCCTAAAGAACCTAGTCACCGGAATGGTTCCACTTCACACGGGGAAAGGAGGAATGTATCAAGCGATGGGCGGAAGGCCAATCCCGCATGGATGCGAGAAGAAGGAAGGTCTCAATCACAGCAACCTCGAAGGGAAGACAATCATTCACCGAACAATGAAATCGACTTTTCCAAAACTGCTGCTGCTGTTGGAAGCAATATTTTCAAGACTGCGAATTCTTTTTGGAAGACATCTCAAAAGAAAATTGAGAAAGCGGTTGCCGAGTTTCAAGCAGACGCCGATCCCAGCCAACCGAAATGGATGCGAGAAGCAGCAGAAAGAGAGGCTGTGTCTGAGCAACGTGCAAGACGGGTGAAAGCTGAAGCTGAAGCTGCTAAAGGCGCTCCTGACGTCACAGACGAAGCTCTTGCATTAGAAAGTGGATCTAGGCCTCAGCCAAGGAAACCGAAAGCAGCCACGTCTGATTCGGGCACTTCACGTGACAGTTCTCCAGCTACTGCAAGATTCCCTCCCGAACGGCCTACATCTAATCCACGCTGGCAGCAAACACGACCCCAGAGTCGACCTACTCCACCCCCAGCGGCTCCTAGGGCACGAGTGAACAGGCAAGCAATAGAAGAAGAAAGTGCTCAAGCATACGTAAGCTCTGCTCGACGGAAAAAACCCACTCCTCAACCCACACGAGAACCTGAACCAGATCTTCTATTCGGGTCATCACAGCCAAGACCGTCTTCTACACCAGCAGCTTCTAGGCCAGCACCGAAAGCGACAGCCTCATCAAAACCTTCTACACCAATTCCGTCTAGGCCAAAGGCACCTCCACGTACAATCCCTGCTGTTTCTCCCATCGCTCTGAAATCTTCGACACAACATCGCCTGGAAGGCAAAGCACATTTTGACCGTGGTGATTACTCGGCAGCCCATACATCTTACACTTCATCTCTTTCACCCTTACCTCAAAATCATCCAATAATTATCCTCTTACTTGCTGAACGATCTATTAGCTCGGTCAAGACCGGTCATCCACGTGAGGCCATATCTGATTCTGATCGTGCCATCGAGATCATTGGGCCTTTTCGTGGTCAAGATGAAATAATCGACTTGAGTACCGGTGCTGCAGATGACCGTAAATCTATGAAAGAATACTGGGGCAAGGCTTTGACAAGTAAAGCCGAAGCATTAGAAGCACTTGAGAAATGGAAAGAGGCCAGTGATGTCTGGAAACTTTGTATTGAAGGTGGTGTTGGTGGAGCTACAGCTATCCAAGGTCGTCAACGCTGTGATAAAGCTCTCGCTCCTCGCCCAGCATCTCGTCCTGTTCAGAAATCTAGGCCGAAACCCTCGAGTGCAGCATCCTTAGCTTCAACTCCCGACTCGGATGCAGTTCTGCGTTTACGTGCTGCGAATCAAGCTGCTGAAAAGGCAGATGATGAGAAATTGGCTCTGGTGGATAAGGTGGAAGAGAGAGTTAACAAGTGGAGAGAAGGAAAACGAGATAATTTGAGAGCGCTAATCGGGAGTATGGAAAACGTTCTTTGGGAAGGGAGTGGTTGGAAAAAGGTCGGCTTGCATGAACTGGTTGTTAATTCGAAAGTTAAGATCAATTACATGAAAGCGATTGGGAAGTGTCATCCTGATAAGGTTAGTTTTATCTCCGTTGTTACTTTTCCCCTGCGGATGAAGATGAATGTGGAATTGGCGTAGATGAGAACGGGTGCTAACAGACATGATTATAGTTACCACAAGATGCATCCCAAGAAGTAAGGATGATTGCCGCCATGGTCTTTTCAACACTGAACGAGAGTTGGGATAGTTTCAAAGCGCAAAATGGCATGTAAGGAAGGAAATGCTTTGCGAGTAGAAGACGGGATCTGGAGATGCTACATGATTGGACTTGAAGAGACAATGAAACTTGAAGAAAAATGAAATGACAATGATGATGATGGAAATGATAAAATCTTAGACAGAATTTGCAGAAGCTTTAATTACCTACCTAGGTCTTGTGTGATTTTGGCTTGTTTGTTCGTTCGTGCGTTCGCTCGTTCGCTCGTTCTCTCTGCTGTTGTTTTTCATGCTATACCTGGGTGAGGATTGTGGGTATGAACATTCACTTCACTCGGTGTTGATACTAATACCAGGCTGGGCAGGTAGATATTTTAAAGCGCTAGTGCTCTCAAGCGTTACAGAAAACGAAAAACGAAAAACGAAAAGATGTATGGTGTGGTGTAAGGAAGAATGTTTAGTACGATTTTGTATCTCGGTGATTCGGTTAAGCTTGATATTGATGGTGATGTTGTGGGGGTTTTTTAATCGTAAAAGATAGATGGAAGTTTGGAAGTTTGTGGGATTGTTAGAAGGATATGGATGTAGATATTGATATGGGTTTTGAAGGTTGAGATTTAAGGATGGGATATGGGGTATGGAATATGGAATAGATATTATCTGGTGGATATCTATTGTATCAGATTATGTGCAGTAAATTTGTATGTGAATGTGTCGGATAGTCGTAATTTGTGAGATGATAAGATGGTAGGATGGTGAGGTAGTAGATCTATTTCTGGGTCTTCTGATGTGATCAAATTTCTCAGTCTGAGATATAAGGATAATGAACATGTGTGTATGTATGTGTCATTATGAGAGAATATCCAACAAGTTACCACTACTAGTAGGGAAATTTGAATGATGGCTTAGATATACTTGGTTGATTGAATAAATCATAAATATATCTCCCCGAGATTTCGTGCTTAAGGTGCAAGCGAGGGAGGGAATACCTGGGTATTGCAGTAGACAATACTCTTGAATCTTCCACGTGCTCGCACATACACAATCGATCGCTCAGCTCCATCTCCCCTATTGTGAGAAGCTGAGTTGTAGAGCGCGAACGATTCATACGAGACTGATATGTGTGTATGTCATTTCTAGAGGAATAGAATGCACTCAGAGATGTCTATCCGGAATCTAGGGAGCCGGTTGAGTATATCCACTCTCACCACGCATAAGGTGAATGTATCATGTGATTAAGTGTTATTTCTTATGCGTCACTTTTTGAGAAGTTTTGTTGCACGTCTGAGTGCGTATTGCATATCGCTTGGAGCTATTTATCGCGGTGCTTGTGATTGATGGAGCTAGTGAGAAGCTAGTATATACAAGCTAGCAGCTGTTACTGCGCTAGTAGCGAGCTAGCAGAACGCTAGCATATATAAGAATGCAGATATGCAACAAAACTTCCAACGGCCTGATGGTTGTCATCCGAGCGCTGTGCATGTATGAATCTCGGATGGAGTTTGAAGTCTAAAGAGTAGAGATTGTTAGATGGGAGTATATGATGTGTAGATCGTGGTCGTTAATTGTGGGGAGTAATGACGTATTCTGTTCTCGCTGAAACACATATCGAAAGTGAGCTCTTGAACAGTAGAGACTTTCCTTGTAAGGAGCGAGATACCGTGTAATGATAATATGGAATTCAACGTTTTTTTAATTTACTCTAACCTTACTTCTTCTGAGAAGAAGGAACACACTTTCCCATGTTTCGAGTATAAATTTCAACATCGCTCCTACCATTGGAACAAGATAATCCGATCTGAGATAGGTTCCTTCTTCATCTTGTAGAGTGACCAGTTTTCAAAAATCCATTCTCGTGAACACATGATCGTCAATGTATCAATAACATCGACTCTTTACATTTTCCAACAACAGCCTTATAGATTTACAATTATCAATCTCAATTCTAGTCACCGAATCAACCACAGAGATATTCTGTATCTCGATAGGTACGAATCATGTTCGTACTATTATCTTCAAGATCCATTTCACTAACCTTCCCTTGCCAACTTTAGCATCAATATTCAAGAACAAGACTATCATCTCTAGCCTCTTCTCTGTTACTCTCGTCCAATTCTCATCATCACAAGTGAGTCTCCGAGGAAACCTTTCACAAACAACCAGAAACTAATACCATCACATAGTGGTTCAAACAAAACTTCGCCAGAATGAATCGAGCCCCATTTCTGAGCATACAAGCACAGCAGCTCCAACTGCCTCAAATGCAGTCTTTGTCCCCTATTCAACACCTGTTGTTCCTCTGGTGGAAGATAACTTTTCCGTAGTATCTGTGAGTTACAAAATTCTCTAATCAGTCCCAAGAAAGGAATATGAGTGATTTATCTTTATTATATTGCCTGGATTTTGATAAAAATCGTACTAATTCAAAGATACTGTCATAGATCACAGTCAAAGTCAGCTTCATGGAACATTTGGTGCAATTGTTGTTGGCCATTTCTGTTTCCACCGGTCTTTTGTTCATTTGGTATGTTTTGCATTGATTCGGGATCGGATAGCCTTCAGCGAGATTATTGATCGAATGTAATTAGAATTATTACAAAGCCATTAGGGCATAGCGAATTATCATATTACACTGTCAGATTTCTTTTTGTACAACAATGCGACATTTCATACCAGAGATACAGAAATCAACCGTCAAATTTGAGAGTGCAGAAATCATGAGATGTGCAATTTCACAAGTATCAGAGCTAAAGAAAAGGATCGGGAGCTAACGATTGAAATTACCTAGTTGATGAAGCTAAGATTGTTGAAATCACTATGCATGTAATACTTTGATAGCGTACTCAGAGGCCAAGCTTGAAGTGAAGATGAATCGCAGATATATGTGTGGGCAACAGCATGCTAGTAAAACTATCGCTTTTGAAATTAATAGTTGGTGCTAGAATTTCCGAGCCAAGTTCTTGCACGCACAAATTGATTTGAAAAATTAGAAACCACTGAGATGAACTCATCAAATCCAGGAGAAGTGAGAGAACTTCATCAGCAATGAATGCAATTTCAAGGAACGAATATCGTTTCAAGCTAAAAACAAGAACAAAAAAAATCTAATTCGCAGATATTAAACAGTATCCTTTCCAAAACTCTACACGCCTGCGGGAGCTATTGATTGATGTCACATGGCCAGAAACTTATGGATATTCATTCAACACACAAACCGGTTTGGGCTTTTCGAAATACCATGCGGAAACTTAGCTATCGAAAGTTTCAACGCTTTACATCTCCATATGAAGATTCATTTCATCTCCATCCATCTTCTGATGACTACAAGCGAGCTATTTATCAATGTCCATAACTGAGAGATGGACTTTGGATGTTTATTTGGTTTTGTTTCAGTGTGATGAGACTACAATGATAATGTAATCTAGCCATACCAAAAGTCCAGTCCTTCTCAAGTGAAGAGTAACGACAATTTCAAAATCGCAAGTCAAGTAAGTCGTAGTATCTGTCATCACTCGATATAAACATCGCAAAACGAACCATATCATTGATCAAGAAGACAGGGCTATGGTTTATTAGAATAGTAAACAATCAAATATGGAGATGCAGGAGAGAATGATACATTGAAGATTACAAGCATCGAAACTAGCAGGCTGAAAACTTTCAACGGCAAACAATCATACTGAGTTCTGACAGCCTTGTAACACCCTTCTCTGGCTCCGAGACCTGCATTCTCTTCTCGTCCAAGATAACTTCGCTAATAAACAATCCACACTTTCCACTAAGCTGGGACGGTAGTGTTTCCAAATTTGAACATGATCACTTCGTGATAAAACAAGTACTCACCCTCGAGGTTCTTATATGGATAACATAAAAGAACAATCAATGAAAACGCTAGCAAGCTAAGATTCGTCTATCAATCAACCGTGACATCAGTACGCACGGCCCCTGAAAAACCACGCTAGGAATAACCTTAAATCCAAGCTTTAAAGCTAGCCTGGACAGCTTAACGAACATTGAATTTCCAAGCTCGAACAAGTACAGCTTCTCTCTCATTCACCCCAACATAGCCCAATTCAAACAATGTAATGTCTACCCCTCAGATCTGCCGTCTCCGCAGAAGTGCCCTGCCTTCCACCCCCAACAATTTCTTCACCTCCTCCCCTCTTCCTCGCCACGCCCCCTCCAAATCCAAGCAAATCCGAATTCCCCAACGATTCTTCTCCTCCACGCATCCTCTCACTTCGACCCCCAAGCCACCCACTCCCATATCCGCGACTTCCTTCTCATCTTCCCGTTCCCGTCTGCAGAATCGTATGCAAACACTGCAATCCCGATTGCCTAAATTTCTACATCCCTATACAGCTCCATTGCTCAATGCGCCAAAGACATATATCATTTCTTTCTTAATTCTGCATGAGATTACTGCTATAGTACCTATTCTGCTTCTCGCGAGCGGGTTTCATTATTCGGGATGGTTGCCTTCTGATTTGATACCCGAGGAGAGAGTTGACAAAGCGAAAGGGATGTTCGAGAGGTGGTTTGGGAGGAGAGGCTGGTTTGGTTATACTGCGGGGTCTAGGTCGGATGAGATTGATGAGAGGGATGGGGGAGAGAATGTGGAGCTGGGTGAAAGAATGATTAGGAAAATGGGAGGAGATAGTAATACGAGTGGGAAGAGGATAGTACTAGAAGTTGCGACGGCATATGTGATTACAAAGGTTTTGTTACCCGTAAGAATAGTGGTTTCTGTTTGGGGTGCGCCTTGGTTTGCAGGCGTTATGGGGAGGATTGGGAGGCTAGGAAGGGGAGGGGGGAAATGACATGTACTATAGATCGTGGGAATGGTCATGTGTGGTTAGAAGGGAAATGTATATACGTGTTCGGGTGCATTCAGATGATAGAAGCTGGCCGGGAAATTAAGATACGACTTCGACGTAGAACGAGAAAGATGGCACAGATGATTACGAAACCCAATCTCACATACACATACATTGGTAGCTTGAGGTTGATTGACTTTTTATTCATGTATATGTCTACCCACCATCATCAGAATCTTCAGATATGATATTTGGAGCGAATTGTTTGTTGGAGTAAATGACAGAACACTAAATCTAATCTACTTCTCGTAGACCCAGTCGTGTTGAGCGGATTTCCATGAGAGAACCTCACCCTCCTTGAACCAGAGGGCGATCTCCTTCTTGGCGTTCTCGACAGAGTCGGAACCGTGGCAGACGTTGCGTCCGACATCGATGGCGTAGTCACCACGGATGGTACCTGGGGCAGAAGCCAATGGGTTGGTGGCACCGAGGAGGGCTGAAGGAAAAGGGTTAGATAGGAGTTGGTAGGATAAATGAGAGAAAGGGGTACTCACTACGGCCGGTCTTGACGGCATCACGTCCTTCCCAGACCATGGCGCAGATTGGGCCAGAGTTCATGTCTAGGTGTTGTTAGATATGTGGGTGTGTTGTGTAAATGTGTTTCGAATGGCAGATACGTACAGTTGACGAGACCAGCGAAGAATGGCTTGTCGGAGAGATCAGCGTCTAGGAACGGTGTTAGTATCAGTGGTCCTATAACGTCTATTTCCTCATGTACTTACAGTGCTTCTCGAGGTGGTCCTTTCCTGGGGTGGTGAGCTTGATGGCAGCAAGCTTGTAACTGTTTCTTATGTCAACAAAGCTCATATACTCTTTGCAAAATGTAGACCTACCCACGAGCCTCAAATCGGCTGATGATTGGGCCAACGAGTCCACGCTGAATTCAATATCAATCAGCATTCTTTCGTCCTATTCTCTCTATGTATAATGGCATTTACATACTTGGACACCATCTGGCTTGATGGCAATGAAGCTATTCAACACAAAAACGTTAGCATACACCGCTAATACTTTGTTGACGTGGGGTAACTCTCTTTCAAGAGTAAAGAGAGCATCTCTCTCATAAGAATAAAAAGATAAAAGAAGGAACTTACGTTTGTTCGGTAGACATGGTATCGTCGTTTGATCTGGCAGATTCTTCTCTGTGTTTTGCTGATGCTCTTAAGAGTGCTTGAGTTTTAGGATTGACGTGCTTTAAAATCGATTCGGGGGCTTCACTCATATTTTAAATTCTTTCAGGTTGAGGTGTGTTGTTTAGTGGGGTTCTCTTTGGTGGGGTTTGGCAGGAGGGGCGGAAGGGTACCCTTTCTTTGCTATGGAGCCTTAGATTTGAGGCATCAGAAAGGATAATGTTATGTAATTCGCATAAATTCCCATCATGGCTCGTGGGCAATTGTATCGCCAATAAAACTTTATGCACATGTTATGCTAAAGGTACGACCGGGGAGCTGAGCTTTGATCGTCATTGGTGAAGTAGAATAGGACAGCTTGGAAACCTCAAACCACCCCCAACCCAAGACTTCAATTCTTTATGGTTCTGTTGTACAAGCCATTTGTTCAAATATTTAGCTATTTGGCAACTTGATTTCATCTGAATTGAGTGCAATTGCTAACTATTGCATGTATTTTCAATCATGAAGTCACCATTAAATCTGTCCTCACAATGGACAGGATATTTAGTTTTGTTATCAACATTTGGCAGCTTGATTACACCAGCTAGTGAGGATCTATCCCAACAACAGCTTCATGTGTAAAATTCACTAACAATCCAAATAGTATCTGTCAAGCATGAGAATTTCAAAACATGCGATCAATCTGGATTCTGCAAACGAAATCGAGCATATGCGGATCAAGCAACAGCAGTGGGAGATAATTGGAGCTTACAAGCTCCTTATCGACTGGCTTCAGAGACATTAACATGGAAGGATGGTCAGCTACAAGGAACCATCCTCAAGAAATTGAGTGGAGGAGAGTCGGTCAGGTTACCGATTACCATTTCCTTCCTCGAATCAGGATCTGCGAGAGTTACAATTGATGAAGAAAAACGTCAAACGGGCGAGATTGAATTAAGACATGGTAGTAAAGCTAGAAAGGAACGTTATAATGAGGCTGCAAATTGGGCAATCGTGGGGGGATTGACTTTGAGTAAGGATGCAGAGTATAAGAAGTACCCTGGAGTTTCGCACATTACATTCGGTCCAGATGGCAAGTTCAAGGCGGAAGTTACACATGCTCCATTTGCAATCGATTTCAAGAGGGATGACGAGATACAAATTAAGTTTAATGAACGGGGATTGATGAACGTGGAACATTGGAGACCGAAGATTGAGAAGCCAGAAAAGAAAGAAGGCGAAGAAGAATCAGCCGAAGTTCAAACCGGCGAAGATGAGTCGACCTGGTGGGACGAATCTTTCGGTGGAAATACCGACTCAAAACCTAAGGGTCCTGAGAGTGTTTCTCTTGATATTACCTTTCCTGGATATGAACATGTCTTTGGTATCCCAGAACATGCTGGTCCTTTGTCATTGAAGCAAACCCGAGGCGGAGAGGGCAATCATAAAGATCCTTATCGTTTATACAACGCTGATGTTTTCGAGTATATCATGGATAGTGAAATGACTCTATACGGAGCCATTCCTTTCATGCAAGCACATCGTTCAGCGTCAACTGTTGGTGTCTTTTGGCTGAACGCAGCCGAGACTTGGATTGATATTATCAAGGAGAAAGCATCCATCAATCCTTTAAGTGGAAAAACTGATACAAAAACTCATTGGTTCTCGGAGAGTGGTTTGATAGATGTATTTGTCTTCCTTGGCCCAACACCAAAGGATGTTACAAAAGCATATGGAGAGCTTACAGGCTTCACACAGCTTCCTCAAGAATTTGCCATTGCTTACCACCAATGTCGATGGAACTATGTTACAGATGAGGATGTGAAGGATGTTGACAGAAAGTTCGATAAATTCCAAATCCCATATGATGTCATCTGGCTTGACATCGAGTATACTGATGGAAAGAAGTATTTCACTTGGGATCCTCACACTTTCGGAAACCACGTCGACATGTTGTCGCACTTGGATAAATCCGATCGAAAGCTTGTTGCAATCATCGACCCTCACATCAAGAATGAAGCAAATTATAAGGTTGTTGATGAATTAAAGAGTAAGGATTTGGCTGTTCACAATAAGGAGGGCAGTATCTATGAAGGTTGGTGTTGGCCAGGATCTTCTCATTGGGTTGACGCATTCAATCCTGCAGCAATCAAATGGTGGAAAACTCTCTTCAAGACGGCTGCTTTTGATACACCTAATCTCTTCCTTTGGAACGACATGAATGAGCCTTCAGTTTTCAATGGACCTGAAACAACAATGCCCAAAGATAATTTGCATTTCGGAAACTGGGAGCACCGTGATGTTCATAATGTCAACGGTTTGACCTTCGTCAACGCAACTTATGAAGCAATGGTCGAGCGCAAGAAGGGTGAACTTCGCCGACCGTTCATTCTCACTCGTTCTTTCTACGCCGGAAGTCAACGTATGGGAGCTATGTGGACTGGTGATAACCAAGCTAGCTGGGATCATCTCGCAGCTGCGTTCCCTATGATTCTTAACAATGGTATTGCAGGTTTCCCATTTGCTGGTGCAGATGTTGGTGGATTTTTCGGTAACCCTGAAAAGGATCTTCTTACTCGTTGGTATCAAGCTGGTGCTTTTTACCCCTTCTTCCGTGGACATGCACATATCGATACTAGAAGACGTGAACCATATCTTATCGGTGATCCATACACGGATATTATAACCCAAGCTCTCCGTCTCCGTTATTCTCTTCTCCCTGCCTGGTACACCGCATTCCATGAAGCCAGTACAGACGGAACACCCATCATCAGACCACACTACTTCGAATATCCAGAAGACGAATCTGGATTCGCAATTGATGATCAATTTTTCGTCGGTAGTACCGGTTTACTGGCTAAGCCAGTCGTCACAGAAGGTGCCGATAGCGTCGATATCTATATCCCTGACAGTGAAGTTTACTACGATTACTTCGATTATACCATCTATACTGGCGCGGGGAAAACTACAATCGCAGCTCCACTCGAGAAAATCCCTCTACTTATGCAAGGTGGTCATATCATCCCTCGCAAAGATCGTCCCCGCAGAAGTTCGGGCCTTATGAGATGGGATCCATATACTCTTGTTCTCGTCCTCAATAATGAAGGAAAGGCAACCGGAGAATTATATGTGGATGATGGTGAGACATTTGATTATCAATCTGGGGCATACATTCATCGATCTTTCTCTTTTGAAGATGGGGTACTGAGCAGTAAGGATATCGGAACAAAGGGCAAGTTGACCGACAAATACCTGAAGAGTATGAAGAAAGTAGGTGTGGAGAAGATTCTTGTTGTTGGTGCGCCAAAGGAGTGGAGTGGGTTGAAGAGTGTAAAGGTGGGCAGTACAACGGCTGAGATCACGTACCATGCTGGGGAAGGAAGCAAAGCTGCTTGGGCGTCGGTTAGAGCGCCAAAGGTAGCTATTGGAGAGGATTGGGAAGTTGAGTTTGTGGAGGGTGGGAAGACGGAATTGTAGTTGTCATTTTAACACCAATGAAGAAGAGTGGTGATCTACAGGGAGGATTTAGGATTAAGATGAGGATAGGAATTGATGAATCGAATTGATATCCAATTGCAAGATCTGAAAATCGCTAAGTACTCCTGAATAGTAAAACCAACCTGGGTAGATTACTGTCATAAAATATTTCGACTCAACACTTTGATATCATTTACGAAATATGAGTACAATATGTCATAATAATTCATTCCCAGCATCATATCACCCTGAACTTGAAACTAAAATCTAGACATTTCCATTGTCATTCTTTATCTATCTATCTTCTCTTCTTCTTCCATCCAATCTCGGAAGTACAGTTTTCAAATCAAGTATCCCACAGAAAGCAAATAAACTCCTCGCTATGAAGTTTGGACAAGCAAATAAACGAACGAACATCGGTTAACCAAGTAAAATCTACCCAAACTGAATCAATCTCAGAGCCAAATTTAAAGTTGAACGCCAAACTTCAAACTTCAAAATCCACAAAGGAAAGAAACTTAAATTCAAATTCGTGAACGCCCTCGCTCCTAGAAAGTACCTTTGCTAAACACCGTGGTTTGTGGTTGTGGTCAATTTGTCTTCCTGAACTCCTCGCCGAATTGAGTATATATTGTGTGCTGTTTGTATGTATGTATGTAATTCTGGTTATTGTGTAAGTACGTACATGTATACACATAAGATTACAAAGCCTTGCTCTGTCTCTATTTTGATATCGTGTATCGAATTTTGATTTCGTTTCATTTTCATTCTGATTGTTGGTGTAACGTATTGATTTTGTTAGGAATCTTAATGCATGTAGGTGTAAAGACGTGTAGTCGTAGAGTCGTGTAGTTAATTGTGTACATGGTGTATGGAGATTGCGCCGAAGTTCTAGAGCGTAGGAGAGAGTAGGTTATAGGAGCAGAAAGAGAATGGGAGGAGAATTGAGAAGCATAAGAAGAGATATTATCCGATAGTAGCTGCAGCCGGACGAAGATCTTCGCGGCCATCTTGCCACGAGGTGCAGAATACGCAGCGTTGTGCCTGGGGTTTAAAATTGTGAGCAGGGTTAAATTATTCAAGGGGCTGAAGAAAAAAAGTAGGAAAAGGAAAGGGGAGAAAAGTAAAGAGGGAATGACACACCTTCTCAAAAATCTTCTTGCGACAATATTTACAACGGACGGTGTGTTTGATGATAGCGTTGTCTTGACTGAAATATTGGTAGAGACCTGCTATACCGTAGAGAGCGAGACCAACGCCTATGAAGTTTATCACTTTATTGAGGAAGGAACTTGAGAGGTTGTTAGTTTGTTACTTCATTGCGAGTCTGGGGAAAAGGGGCAAGAGACAGTATTGGGGATAGAAAAAATAGGAGGAACATGGAGATAATGAAATAAGACAAGAAGGCGCGAAGAAAGGAGAATCTCAAGAAACCATAGACCTACCCCCAAGCTAAAACAATAGCCCCGTCATCTGTCGCCTGCTTCAAGGTGTTATAGCCTGCTCCGTACAGGAATTCCATTCCCATATTTACAGCCATAGTTGCGTTTCCTTCTACTCCCTCTCCAATTCCATCACCGATCTCGGTGTGATTATGAAGCAGACCATCATAGTGAGGACCGGGCCTCAGAACCGCAAATTTCTCTTCAAGGTTCTTATTTAAAAAAGGGAGGAGAGATAGCGGTGGGAGAAGGACAGAAGAGACAAGTGAGGTTATAAGAGCTGTGAAGGATTGCGCAATTCTGTTTTTATAAGCGATTGTTTGAGGAAGTGTGTCACGTGTAAGGAATGGAGAAGGTCGTGAATGCAGGAATGGCTAAGGAGAGAAACGTACATCAAACCAATAGCAACGTGAAGCACATTATCATTGAAAGCAAAATCGACAAATCCTTCCCAAAATCCCGTAATGTGTCTACGTGCAGCGTTGGCAGCATTGGTAGTTCGGAGAAGTGGTTCGCTTGAGTCAAAGGCATTAAGACGTGGTCGAGGCATGGTTGACACTTTTTCCTATTGACCTTACCAATTCAATGATTTTCCAGTTTTTCAACAAAAAACGAAGAAAGAGAAGAGAGAGGGAGATTCAGATATGAGTTTATAAGGGGTAAATGGAAAAAAGAAAAGATGAAGAAAAAGAAAAGGAAATGAATTAATGCAAATGAGGTTTGGAAGGAAGGATGAGTGAATCTAACACCGGTGAGATGTCTTTCAGGGATGCGTATCAGGGGCTGGCACGTGTAATAATTAGAGTTATGCGCAGGGATCATGATAAGGCGCGATAAGCGCCCCCAGATTCATTCATCGGATTATTCTTTGGCCGACTACATGTCGAAAATTAATTTTTTTCGATGTTGATGCGGCCGCTTGGATTGACCCCTCATTGTCTTTTGCAAAAGTTTACTTATACGTACTCTCAAGGAAGAAATATCACGAATACGGAGCGGAAATCGTTATAGACACGAAAGTTAATCATACCATTAAGAAATACTTACAAAAAATGGCACCCAAATTTTCAGAAGACGAAATCGATGATTTGATTTATTTTGCTCGGGTCGGGGAGAAAGACGAGTTCGAGACTTTGAGAGAGGAATTATGTAAAAGGGAGGGATGTTCAGTAACTGAGTTGTTGGAGAGTGCAACAGATAGTGAGAGTGGAAATGGCGTGTTACATATGTCTGCCGCCAATGGTCACCACGGTAATTCCCCTCTTTATCCAGTCGCAATCTGCCTCCTCCCGAGATTGGACTTCATATCTAACTAGCTCCCAAACAGAACTTCTCACCCTCCTCGCAAAATACCTCTCTAATCCCTCTCCTCAAAACCCCCAAATGCTCAAAATACTCAACACCCAAAACGCCTCTGGAAACACACCTTTACACTGGGCAGCCCTGAATGGACATTTAGAAGCAGTCAAAGTTTTAATAGAAAATGGAGCAGATCCAACAATACAGAATCAGAAGGGGCATGATGCAGTCTACGAAGCAGAATTGGCGGATAAGACTGAAGTCGTGGAATGGGTTTTGAAAGAGGGAGGTGAAGGATTGGAGGAGGGAATTGCGGGGGATGAGGGCGAGAGCGGAGAGGGCGAAGAGGGAGTGGAAGTTGTAGAAGTTGCGGAGGGAGAAGGACTAGTCGATAAGGTCAAGGAATTGGGTATTGGTGGGAGCGGAGCTGGAGAAAAATGAGACAGTGAGGGTTCTGAAGAATCAATTTTACGAAAGAGGCTCATGACGGCTAGTTAGGCCTGTCTCGTCCTGTGTTAATGATCAGACGTGGATAGTGTTGGCATTTGGATGGCTTAATTTAGAAGAACCATCGAACTTGCGTTAGCATTGATGAGATTGTCGGCGCTCAATAGATTTATCCGGCTCACGAACCGGGATAAATGGCCGTTTCTGACGAAACTAAAAAGCATAATAACAAATCAAACATATAATACCTTTAAAAACTCCGCTTCTTTGCATCATATTCTCCTTTCGATAATTCTGCATGTCGATAGCTTGTTTTGGGATAGATAAGGGGCCTTGAAAGATTTCTTCTGACAGGCTCTGGTAGGAAGCTAGGGCTACGGTTTTGATAGTTTCCAGCGTTACTAAGTTACTGGATAGCCCCTGGATATAAAGACCTCTACATTAAGTCCAAAGATGTAGTCCGCTAGATACACTCTCTCGGAAGAATGTCTCAAAATCGATTTGTGGTACAATCACTCATCGTCACTCACCATAAGCATCTGCACTACATATCTAGCAGGTATAGGTCGACGGTACAATCTTAAAATCTGAGCATCGAAAAATTCTCGAGATGAATACAAATACTCCGCCAGTTCACAGAGAATTCTGGAGCTCAATGAATGTGAACGATGATGTCTCATTTTCAACGAGTCCAGTAAGTTCGTCTGAACTGATGGTAGCGTAGTGTTGTAAAATATGCGGCCGATCGTGGCTAACAGGTTCTAAATGATTAAATTGAGAGTCAAAGCCGACGTTAGTGGGAACATATATGAATTTATCTTTCAACGCTACTACCGTGACTGATTCTCCGGAAGCTGCTGCGTACATGATATCACGGTAAATTTCCAGTGTGTTCTACAATCAAACCTTTCTTGAAGTAATAGTACGATTCTAATAACTCTAGGGTGGTAAACATGAGATTTCTGCATATCTGAATAAGTGATAAGAGTATTTGACTTTACAGTCATGATCTAGAAGCCCCGGGCCTTGAGCTACACCCCACCCCATAAGTTCGCTTAATTGGTTAGCATAGTCTTAGTGTTTTTTTGGGAGGGAAATTGGAATATATTGCATATCTGGATAAAAGATAAAGATACCTGGCTCTAGAGTGATGTTCTAGATGTGTTCAGCTACGTTTTGAGAGTTCGCTTGATTGGTTGGCATAGTTTTAGTGTTGTTGAAACTTTTGAGGGGGGGGGTTCTGGGATATGTTGCATGTCTGGATAAAAGATAAGGATGTTAGCTTTGGAACAAGTTTTCGCGTTGCAGATCGGGGTGTGGTTTATTCTGATTCTTCTATGGAGTGTCATCGATGCTGTTAGATTCTTGCTACGCCTTTTCCATTTGCAAACGGGGTTTCTGATCATTGAACAATTCTGTTTGATAATCGTGGTTTGGCATTCAAGTCTTTTTCTTTGAGCCTGATTATGATATCTGGTCCACCAGTGGGTGCATGGGCTGGCAGCACACTTTTAAATTTTCGAAAAGTCTAATAAATTCATTCTGCAATTGTTCGTTTTATATCTAATGAATTATTGCAATCATTTCTCAAGATCAACGATTTGGTACAAAGGGAGATATTCACAAGTCTATTTCTTTAGTGTCACATCAGTTTGTGCATCCACTGGTGGTATTGTATTTCTCAATTAGTAATCTGGGATATTGTAGTATTATTGGTTATATCCGCAGTCTAGTCTGATGCTCGGCAGAGCACTGTGCATCGAATGTCATCTAAAATGGATGCAAAATATCGCCAAAGGTGTATCATGGTGTCTATAAACATATCTTTTCATTCTGTGAGCCGCAGAAGAGCTAATCGACAAATCAAGTATAAAGTCCAAAGTCTTATTCCAGATATCATATCAGTACGATGGTGATATCCAAGTAACATTATATTCCATCATTACCTCCTCGATTCCCCATCTCAGCTTCATCATTATGATCGTGATTACTCTCCGCAGCCTTCATCCTTGCAATCATCTCCTCTAGCATCTCAACTTGAGTATCAACACGCATTCTTAAATGATGATCAGTATACATTGTATTTTCAAAACTCCGATACACCTCGAAATCCCTTTGTGTCGACAGTCCTAAAGAGGAGTTAGCAAGTATAGACTGCGCACTTCCAGACCAAGAAGGAATGATCAACCCGCATACCAGTTGCGCCAGCAAGTCTTCTCGCATCTAGATGAGCAACATCCCGTAAACTCTGTTCGATGGTTGGAAGATTCTCAAACCATCCTTCATCGGCCCATCCTTGCATCATTTGATAGCAGCAGAGCAAGATAGTGTGGAAGAGAGGATTAGCTGCGCGATAAGCAGGCCGATCGAAATGGTTTAATTCATTGCCGATTCGAAGATAAACTTTGTCGGGGGAGACGGTTTGACCGATAACACGGAGGAGTGCGAGCTCTATTTCTCGGCAGAGCAGAGAATCAGGCCTGAGTTCTTGAAGTTGTTAATTATGTAAAGCCAATAAACGAGCAGTGTTTAGGTAATGGAAAGAAAAGTTGCTCGTGGAATGGGTTACCCACCGACAAGTCCCTTTGCAGCATTGATAGCCCAAGTCAGTTGCAATTTGTCCATGAATTCATTAATGGTCCGAGTGACAATCTCGATGGAGTTGTTTGGGGAAGGAGAAGTATCTAACAGTGGTGGCATTGTTAATTTGTTGGATTTGTTGGATTAACTAAAATTTTCCGGTTTGGATCTAGCAAGAAGGAATAAGTGCAGGAAAGGACGAGATGCAGATCAACAGCTAAGCTATTGAAACTCTAAGTTGCTTTATTGTATGAGAGCTCGAGCATCAAAGTGTGGGAGATACTTTATAGCCGAGGGGCTTGAATGAATATTACCTATTCATCAAACATTTTCAACAAGTTGTTTTGTGAACCTGGTGATAGCAGTATAGTGAATTTCCCAAAAATTCTTGTGAATGGGCGGTGAATAAAGAAAGCTTGAACAAGTTGAAGCTAACAAGGCGGATCAATATTGAGATACGAAGAAGAATAGATAGTCCAGAGATATTACATGGTATATTTTTTGGCTATAATCTTACAATAAGATTTGAGACCATGATATCCCTTACAGTAATATATCTTTATTAAATGCCCATAAGTAAACTGCTGTATAGTCTATTTCTATATTTACCTAGTATTAGAAATAACGTAAGTTTCAGGTTTACATGATAATGGTTTGCTAGATTCAATGTAATGCGAAAGCTCTGGGAGACAATGAACAATAGCGTTTTATGTCATATAATTTCATTGAGCAGAGAATAATAAATCATAGTTTTGGCCTACAGTTGGGGCAATAATGAACAACTTCTCATACTGGCTGTATAATATTTTCCTCTTAGACATGATTATTTGGTCATGCGTATTATGCAAAGAAAACTAGGTACATGAATCCGCGCTTTTAAATTTCTCATAAGATATTCACTACCATTACATGTTTGGTGCAATTACATAGTTGGATACGCAAGAAAACAAAAGTATAAGAATGTAATAACTCTATGAGAGGAAGTTCTTGTTGAGATCGCAAAGCTGATTGTACATCGTACTATATGCTGAACGAATCTCTTTGAGCTCTACATCGACCAAGAGCCTTTATAGCTGAAATCAAATCTGAAACTATACTATGCGAGTGAGTAGAATTATTCACAATCCAATGGTATATGCGTTATTCAAGGGAGATAACAGAGCAGAACTCTAGTTGGGTAGGCAAGAGTACATAGGCTGGAGCTGGAGTATCAAGAAAAATCATCTAACACACATATATGCTATACATTCAATAACACAGAAAAACAGAAATCGATAAATTGACCGGAAGAGCGATTGAGATAATAGTGCAATAAAGTTTTAGGACCGTAGTAATGCTCTCGAAAGAGAGCTTTGAAATGTCTGAGTCACTATGCAATACGGTCAGTCTGTATTCACTTTCAGAGAATTTCCACAAAAGATCACATTGAAATAAGTACATGCCAGAATTCAAACTATGCGACTTCGCGGGTTTTAGAATCGGGGAAAGAAATCTCAGAACACTTTGTCAAGTCAGATGTGTATGCTCCGAGTATACTTTAAAAGAACTACTTGCTTCAGCAAGTCTCTATCTCTGCAAGTATTTTTCCTGTGGAATTCTTATGCACGCTTGGCCTTCATTATATTTTATCGCGATTAACACAGACGAAGAGAAAGTACAGGCGAAGCACAAGGAAACTCTTAAAGAGCCAGGCTTCCGACGAACAGTCTAGCCAGAATCAAAGTTGGCAGCACGAAAGATTCTCTAAGTCACACAAACAATATTCATAAGAGAGTCGGTGTGCCTGAAGGTCAGCTGTTTCTCATTGCTAAGCTACAACGCAGACTAATAGCAAGTTGAGGTTTAGTGGCTAATACATATCTTTAGTATCGCCACACTGCTCTCAATATCCAAACTCACGAGGCGTTGAACCAAACGCATAACCGATTATCTCCCATTCAATGAAAATTGCCAAAACTGAGTTGATAAATTGAGTTGCAGCCTATATTGAATAGAAAGAGTCGAATCAATTCACCACCATGGAATACACCAATACGCTCATCAGCGTAGCATGTTCGGGTAGAAGCGGCCAGAGCGGTAGTGGTGGTAGCGGAGTCGCTTCTTCCATTCAATGAATGGAATCTAGCATCGACACTTGATCAGTACAGCTAAATTTATGCCAAGCAGTCATAACTACCGTGTCTATCGTGTAACAGGCTTCTTACTCTTCCTCAAGTCTCTGGCTCCACGCAGCATTAACTACCAAATTGTATTGATTCTGAGCAGCAGCTAATGCTGCTTCGTAATTAGACCTCGCTCTTTGTTCATTGTCGCAGACGAGACAAGAGCCCGATCGATACCCGTAATCGTCTCCCAGACTGTTAAGGTTTTCTTCGTTGCCGCAGAGTCTGCTGTCTTGAGATATACTGCAAAGTTGGTAGGTCCATTTTGTCCATTTGTGTGCAAGCTCACCATTTAGGAGAAGCAAACAACCAGCCGATTGCAAGATAATAGATGAAACTTTGCACATTTTGCACAGTGGTGGCGTCGTGATGATGTTCCGTCTTGAGATTATCTTTCGAAGTAACTAAAATGATATGTCAGACAGTAATAAATTTATCCAAATGATAGCCCATCCATAAGTCTAACTCTTCCTGTAGACTTCATGTAGTAGGAGATAGTCACTTGTGTAACAGTATCAGGCTCCAAGCGTTGCCCAAAGAGTACTGATTTGAAAAGACTTGGTGAACTATGGCTTTGTGTTCCTTTTTCTCTGGACCCTTTGCACGTTTGCAAATTAATGTTACACAAAGTCGCGGTGTGACTGACCCAAGGCAGCCGATATCTGGATTTTCCATCACCGTAAATTGTTGGTGTAACAGATTACTTCGAGCCTCATAAATTATTAGAGGATTAGTACCATTGCCGTGGGCCAAGGAAATATCGCAATGAATGCACGTGCATTCTTGAGTGTATAAGGCGGAGAGTTGAAGAAAAATCTACGCTTATCTTCCAGACTGAAAATCCAATTCTATTAGCGATCAAATTGTTCAACAATTCGATGCTAGCAATGATAGTATACATCTCATTGACAACTTTCTTCCTCGCTCATCGAGTTCATCTACATTTTCATTTCCAAAAAGCTCTGAATCCTGGTTCTGGCATTAAAAATTTTGCTTATTCAGATATCGCTTCTTGGTTGTTGTGCTTATGACGCTTTGATCATGCCTTTCAATGGCATTTTCCTAATGCGGTTATCCCCATCTCCTATTCCGGTAGCGAGACGGTAAGCTTAATAATCTAGGTACAGCGGGCGCACGGACTATTCGTCGATATCTATCATGACGAATTGTCTATATAAACAGCCTGTTGACACTCAATTCCAAAAGCATTCAGCTCATCATCGCATTTACTCTCTTCTTAACTATCGATCTCCCTCACAATTAAATCCAAAAGAATTCAAACAATTGATAGCAATGGCCGATACCACCGCTACAGACAAATCCAAGCCTTACTTTCCCCTCGCCGGCGGAGCAAACGACGGGTGGTCTAGCGAAGATGAAGCAACGGCAACATGTTTCTGTGGTGCTGTGCAACTTGCATTCGTAAGTCTAAATTCAAAATACTAGATCCAATACTTTGACACTGACTCTACCTGGCAGCCAACCCAAGGTCCTGGCCTAGTCAATGCATTCGTCTGCCACTGCCACGACTGTCGCAAAATCACGGCCTCGATGTTCGCATCTAACTTTACTATCGCTGACTCTCACTTGAAACACATTCGTGGCCGCGAGAATCTGAAAGTCTTCAGTCAATCCAAGACCATTGCGACCAAGGCGACAATGGCCAATCACTTTTGCGGAACTTGTGGTACGCTCATGTATCGTGTTAGCTCGAGGTTTCCAAACATGAGTATCTTGAGAATTGGAACTGTGGATGACTTTCATCTCCATGAGACGAAGTTGAGACCCGGGGTAGAACAGTTTACAGAGGGGAGAGTGGGGTGGTTGAGAGAAATGGAGGGAATCAAACAATGTGGACAAGGAGCCTTTTAGTTGAAGTGCATGGAAGAGTAACGTCCTGATTGAAAAAGATGAAGCAAGAATTAAGTTCAGTATCTATTTGAAATTGGAATAAGTTGGCCCGTAAAATTTTTGACACCCTCCAGTGATGATCCATGCTTTTCCCCTTCTTCTTTCACAAACCGAAATAACACAGTCCAGTGACTTTGAGGCAACGAAAGCTCGATTATCAATTAGCGTTCGGAATATTACTGATAAATACTACCAATACGGCACAATATCTAGTTTGGTCAGCTTTTTTCACTAAGACTGGTTTCGAATAGATCGGCAAGTTAAACTCACCCAGCAGCGGCGCCAAATATCTCGTGCCTTTTGGCCTGAGTAAAAAGTGACAGAACAGCAGAAAATAGAAGTGTGAAAATGAGTAGTACACCAATACTAACTGTATATGTGATATCCAGGTTATGATGCTCGGTGAGCCGGTACAAAAGGAATACTGGGAGAATGAGAAGAAGGAGTAACACAAGTACGAGAAGACTTGTTACGAATGTATTTTTTCGGGACTTGCTATAGAAATGGAGATTTGGATCTGTTGTCTTTTCACGGTCTTCTGGGGTGCAAAAAATTGACTATCATTTGTTAGCCCATGAATTTATTATAAAAAGGACGTTAGTATTGTACTTGTAAGAATGCACAATGAAAGATCTGGAGGAACCTCTCAGTCATGGTATCGAGGTATGCTCCCTCTCTTCCCTCACGCAAGGTGATGAGGTCATTCTTTTCGTATATAAATCCTTGTTCCTCGTCGACGAGAGGTTTTTTGTCAAAAATGTATCGCTCAACGCTTCGATAATCGTTATCAGCAGGACGGTTCATGGCATTCAAATGCTGAGACCGGAGTAGTAGCTCATCTAAGATACATAAGTTCGTGTATAAATTTTGATTGTGTTCAATTGGGAATGCTCACCATAAGCAGCTAACTTTGCTTCTATCTCGTCTAGGACTATAGTCCTCGTCCGAAGAGTTGGATCTTCAGCGAGCTCCTTTTTCTCAGCTGCTATATCTGCATTTCTAGATCGCGCCCGCCGTTTATCGGGTGCGTCTTCTGCTTCATCGAGGTCATCGAGTTCGTCTAGCTCCATTTCAAGTCGACGAATCTCATCCTGTTTACGGAGAAGTAAACGGGAATGAAGATATCCGAAGCGTCGATAGATCTTGAAGTTTTCATCGCTGTCCAGAAATATACTTAGAGACCGGTAGCTCTTTTGGTGTTCCGATACTATGAAAGAAGTTATTGACTACTGAATTGCATGTTTATTTTGGTTACACAAACTTACGACTTCTCACATGGGGTTTTCGCGATTCTTCATTAGTAGTACGTTTTGAAGTTTGCCAAAAGCGCCATTGAGCAAGCGATTCTCGATATTGGGAAAGTTTTCTCGTCGTAGGAGTAGATGAATTTGTTACAAAAGTGCTTCCTTCAGAGAATTTAGTAGAAATGGTGGGTGAAGTACATGGGGAGTTGAATAATGGTAACGTGTTTGAAGTCATCTTTTTGGGGTTTTGCTGAAGTAAGGAGGAGAATGCGAATATCTGCTGAACGGAATAATGTAGTTTATATCGACGTTTCAATTGAAGTGAGCCGTGGGCTTTGACGACGCAATCTGTACCATTTCTCTCATTTTCAAAAGATGGGCGATGGCAATGCCTGCGAGAAGCACTCAGCCTAGATACATGGCTACAAATGGTGGGTTGCATAAGAGCTTATGCAAGTATAGCCTGTCATGTACCACCAATAGAATCCCGACACCACCATAAGCCGTAAGCCGCATAATCAAGCTGAACTGAGCCTTTCCTGTTTAACCCATTCACCTTCCTTGTACAGAACCCCAGTTTTGGGGTCCTTGACTTGATACACGAATTTTCCCTTCTCTTGCTTTCTTGCAAAGATTTTGAATTCAAAATTCCCTTTCCTTGGAATGCTCAACCAAGCACTATCATCCACATTGAACAACACCATCGACTAGCTTGATAATCAGAATCATCCATCGAAATGGGATTTGAGGGAATACTGACGTCCGAGGGATTCTTAGACTCTGTATAAGTTGAACGGTCCTCAGGTGTCTGTGGTCGCTTTTGTAAATCAGTAAGACTGGTAATTCCTCTTCTGTAAGCTGTGAACTCACTATAACCTCTGTCTCAATTGACAGTATTTCCGACATTGTGTGAGGCAGATTTGATGGATTGTTCTTTTTTTGTGGTATGTATTGAAATAATAACTACGAGGATTTGATTTGAAGAGAATTGAATTTGCCCAGAGGAAAGCCTTACGAAGACTTCTTTAAATCAACCTTTTTCAAGCTCTAAAGAGCCTCGATCTGATATTATCTGCATAACGACATGGATTACAAGTAGTCATACATACGCTTACGACCAGTGTGGTCACCGATAGATTGACCAAAGGATTCACAGTGGGGCTTATCTTCAATCTACTCAGCCACATTATCTCTCATTTTCTGCGCGTCCAGCTATTGACACAATTGAATCCAGAACTCATAAATAAGTGGCAATTCTCGGAATTACCCCGCTGGTTCGTTTCAAAACTCCAACCAGGAAGGATCTATTCTACAAAGCTACCAAATTTCGTTATAAATTTTCCCGCGGTGTCTTAACTACGGGATGGCTTCCAACAAATCAAATTCTGGTTTGAAACCTGATAATGATAGTAGAAGGACTACAGCTGCAACCATCATTATTCCCCCAGCAGACTACCAAGATAAAGAGGCATCAAATGATTCCAAATTCAAGGCAATTTTCGATGAGCATATGAGCGCAAAGAATGCCTCGGTCGCATACCGCAAAGTGCATGTTCTTTTGTTGTCATGGGACCGTAAAGACGATGACCTGCATGTAGAACAAGAGGTAATTCATTATCAGCAGGGATTAATTTTCAACGATGCTGACTTTAGCAGGTCGCGGATCTCGAGAATGTATTTCGGGATATTTTCAAATATAAAACCACACAAAAGATTCTACAGCAGAATCCGAGAAAGCACCCGCAAGTTCAGATAAATTTGTATCTTGCCCAGTTCGTTGCGGATCATGATGATCCAAACACTCTTCTCATCGTCTACTATGCTGGGCATGGCAAACTTAGCGACGATGGAGATGGATTGGCTTTAACCCCGTAAGATATGGAAAGCTTGCGCTAAATATGGTATTTCTAATACTCAACTAGATCAACAACTCAGCCAGATGAGGAGAATGAATTACACGAAATTGTCTGGAGCTCCGCGGAACATAATATACAAAACACTAAAAGTGATGTTTTAGTCATATTTGACTGCTGTAATGCTGGCGAAATGGATCGCAATGTTCGTGGCTCTGACTTCACCAGAAGGGCATTTGAATACATGGCTGCAACTTCTCAGAATTCAACTACAAGAAAGCCAGGTCCTAAATCATTCACCGCTGCCCTCATCTGGGCCTTGAAAGAATTGGTGCGGTCCAAGCCCGGGAAGCGTTTCAGTACGCAAGAACTGATTCGAAAGATTTACCAAGCGCCCAATTTTCCAGAGACTCAGGCGCCAAGATTGTCAGAGCGAGGCCCAATAGGATCCTTGAGAAAAATTGTCCTAGTTCCTCTCGACCAACAATCAAAATCTGGAGTCCGAGGAGAGAACAACACTGGACAGACAGATGAAATAAAAGAGACGTTAAATCTTCGATTTGTCTTCAATGGTCGAATCACCAACAAGATAATTAGAGAACTTGCAAAGGATCTGACTAATCTTATAAGTGGAGGAGACTTTGTAGCATCCACCGTCCTTTGGGATGGGATCAATACTTCTAGTTCGACCAAGAAACGATTCCGTGATGTTGTCAGCCATGTAATTGGACAGAACCACGAAAGGAATCGAAACAAATCATCGATTCAAAATATGGATGGTGTACAATTTTCCCCAATCACGCCTGTAACACCTGTAACGCCCACGATACAACAAGAATTGACAGTTTCATCTGAAGATAGTGTTGATTATATACCCAAAAAACGTCAATCACTTCCAAGCCCTTCACCAGAGATTGCGATAAATGAAGGAGAAAGGAGTGGAGAGGATGGTGATTCAGATTTGTCTAAGAAGAGAAAACGAGAGGAGAGTACGAATTACGACTTAAGAGCTATCGATGCGATATCTAATTCGTCACTTACACCACGTCAGATAAGGCACAGTAAGCGTCATTCTGGTGATAGGAAGATCTAGTGGAGGGATTATTGGAAACTTTGACTTTTTGCTATGAGCGGATTTGAACTGGCTTACTTGAAGCCTTTTTGTTCTTTTGTAACTTTATAGATATCACGGAAGGCTACAGGGACCTAGTCTTGGATTTACGGCGCAAGAAACAGGATTTCACCAGAGATAGTGATTCTTGCAACATTTTGGTCTCGACATATAGATAGATAGTCTTTTGCACAAAATTCAGGTTATTCATGATATGGCAAAGAGGATCTTGTAGCATTCCTACAGGTTTATATATTTCAAGGACGACAATACATCCATACCCCTGACGAAGAGATACTTGATTGGGACAACCTAGAGCCCACTTCAACATCGCCATTATTTTCCCGTAACCATGTTTGGTGCCTAATACTTGCGACGGTCGATCTGAATGACAAAAAATTTTGAGCTAGCTTGAGCACGTGCGTCTCAGTCCATTATAATAGGAAGGAACCGGATAGATGCACTCGCGTGTCGCGAATGTTCGAGAATAAAATTCAGCAATCTAATTTTTTTAGATGTGGCATGATATTACCTTTTCGTATTTCATAAATATGAAGTGAGGCAACACCCCTAGTTTTCGAAGCAATCACTGCCGTAATCAATTTTTATTTGATGACAAGTCTTTGTGCAAAGTCCAATACACGGGCCATCAGTATTTTATCGATCTTCTTTCTGCCAGTGTTATGAAAGCCACGCAAATCTAAGTTGGTGTGCCCCACTAATGTAAAGAGACGTGAAGCATTCTTCTGTTTTTAATCTGTAGAAGATGGGACTTCTGGAGCATAACTTATCATAATGGCACTTCTTTGAATTGTTCACATGCCAACGGTACTTGCTTAATCATTGTTTCCAACATACTTAGCACTCAATCTCAGTAATTGACCTCAGATTGCGACCTTTTCAGTCCTCGCTTCGGCTCGCTACGCACGGAGCGTTAATTCCCATTCACCAAGATTGCCCGGCAAGTGCCTACCCAGATCTTTCACCACCCCCCAAAAAAAACACTACAAACTCGGGATTTGCAAAAGACCTTTGACTCACACATATCTAGAAATTGAAAAAAAAATTGCAAAAGAAATGCCCATCCCGTAGGATGTAGTACGAAGAAGCCCCGTGGGTTTGCTTCTTAGGTATCGGCATCAAAGGCTCTGGGTTCTCAGTATAACGTGTTACCACGGGGCCACGGGACCATCAGTTCACTTTGATGTCGATGATTGATGTACATTTTTTTGAATTATATAGTTTGGGAACTAAATCTTCTCCTATGTATGGAGATGAATGCTTCCCAACTAGCCACGGAAAGTACTTTCCGCAATTTCTCGAAAAGAACACTTCTCAAGATAAACTACCATCTAATCTTGTCATTCTTAAAAATTAAGTTTGCAACTCAGCATTCAAATTATAATCTCCTCGTGCTATCTTTGAGGTAAAAAAAAATATGAAAATGAAAAGAAATACCGCTCTCACGAGCGGTACCCGTAAACCATGAACGTTTACTGTGTCGATCAATTTAAAGAAGCCAGCGTTCTCGGTGGACAATGTCAACCACGGGACCAGCAGGAAAGTCTTTACGATATTGATAGGGAGGTAGGTTTATACTGAGGACTATATTTTGTGGATCTAAATGCTGAATAGCACACTATTCCAAGCTCGAGCTAGAGTAATTTTTGATTATAGTTTAGGGATTTACATTCTCAGTAAAGTATACCTCACTTTCAAGTATATTCTCAGCATCTCAGCTAATTAGTTCTCAACTTTACTTTCTGAAGTCTGTGACTTAGAACCTGGATTGGTATTCAATATATTTTCAACGTGAAGTACCTAGTCATACACATTTTCAATCTCAAGTAATCACGTAACCATGTTGTTATTTGACTGAATGTCTTTCCCAAAAATGAATGGTATCATGTTTACCATATATTCCTTCCCATACCTTCTTTCCCTTATGTATTTCATCCGTTGCTCCTGCCAATTCCATTTTCTACTTAGCAAGTCTACACACTGCAAAAATCTCAGTCATTACAATTTATGATCAGCCAATATCGATACCCAAATGATCAATAGTAAAGAGAAACAGATCTCCATCTCACCGCATATGGAAACTCGCTTCTCGAATCGTCATCATATGCAACCCATTCTCCACATCTGAAAATTATACAGCTATACCTCAATCGAGATAGGCCTTACCGAAGCGAATTCCAATCGATATCAAAATCATCCCATGAAATTCAAAGTTACGAATCTCTTAACACTGGAGGAACTATCTCGTATCCACAGAATTCTTGTACGAGAACAAAAAAAGATAAATAAACGAAGATTAGCATCAGGTCAAACTAGATGAAAACAAGTCTCTGAGCCACCGACACTGCAGTTTCAGTTATGAATTTGGAACTGACTAGATACCAAGCCATTGATGACCGTACATCGAAAACATGATTATCCCATGAGAAGTAATCTAATTGTAAAAATCACATTTCTACATTACCACCTCGGTGTTACATTGAATTCTTGGAATATGTGAATAGGCTGCGCAAAAAATATCCTACCCGTGGTTAATCTGCAGATAATCTGCTCTACAGGTTATCCGTTAGAGATCTCAAATCCCAAGCGCCTTGCAGGTCATCATCCGCCCCCGCGGGTACCCATTATCGAGTCTAAATATGATGACACTGGATACATGATTCACTTCCTCATCGATTTCGGTGATAGCTGTACTATAGACTACTATTTCGTATCGGAATGACAATACAATTATCTCTACATCGCTATGGCATATTTCCATAGCTACTTTTCATAACCTTCTTCTCTCGACCCCATTCCCATTTCATCATCCCGCAACTCCATGCTGTGAACTCCTTCCCCCCCAACCCGCTTCGCATATCATAAACTGACCACTTCTACTCCAAGTACAATACACTATCCCTATAGTATCGACCTCTCCTGTCACTAAAACTTATATTCTTTACGGTTGTGATATAACTGTCAGATCATACTAATCCACCACTTTTTTTTGTATCAACTGTTACATCAAAAATGATAGCGATATTGAATTATTTAGATCATCTTATGCTAGAATTCGATTATGTGATATGCATAGAACTATCCAGGCAATTTTTTCTTACCAGCGAGGTGGAATAGTGCTATATGATAGGTCATGACTTAACTGTAAAGTCGAATTTGCAACCCGATTACTTTCTGATACCTTTCCATCGCTTCATATAAAATCCAGATATCGAAAACTCTATCACAATAGATATGGGATATGTACCACCAGTACTGTTTGCCAAAATACAATAATGCAGCGTATGAGTCATTTGACTATTGACTATAAGGAAGTCGTAACATTCCGAGAATACACATGAGCCCGGCAATTCAGTAACATAGCATTGATAAATGAAAGACAAGCACAAAGCCCATGAACGAGCAGAATTTTTGTAGACAAGCTGTTTTTCGAGTTTAACAACCCAAACGGCGAGATGTAATGTGGTGGATGTGATATGTTAAGCACTTCATTTTCGCGACCGAACATAGTCGTGGGATATCTTTCAATTCCAAACAAGATTCTGGAATTGATAATCCACTAGTTTTAAAGCTGCATAAACAAAGCACGTACTAGTCATCTTCGTCGTCAGCGTTTCAGTTTCGAAAAGTATACTACCAGATTTCTAGGATCTTACAATTGCACTACTCGATCTCTAGATTCTACCTCATTTTACGAATAAAGTCACGTCGATACACTAGATACAAAACTCCAAACATGGAATCCTGAGAGCATTCAAGCACTCACTACCTTCCATTATCACGTGTACCGTAACCCGCTCGCTTCTCCTGCACCCCCTTTTCCCATTTTCCTTCATCCCCATCCTTGCTTACCTAATAACATCCACCTCAGCTAACCAAGCAACCTCCACTTCAACATCCAGTCCCACGAACTAGCCACCAACCCACCCCACTCACAGACGCGTTGCCACGACACGACATCATAATCCACACCCATCATCCACATCGGCACGACTTTCCGATCCTGACACTCTGCTGAGAAATATTATTATGGAGCCGTGATGTATCCTCCGCGGAATAATGTTCCGTGCGCATACATCGGGCTATGATCAAAGGAGGAAAAGACTGGAGGAACATCTCCATGCCAGACATGATGTGTATACACGCGGAACAATGTCATAGGTGCGAAGCGGGCAATTTGACGCTGGACAGCGGGGCGGAGATGGGGAATGTGAGATGCTGAAAGAGATCTCGGCAGATGATCGGATTTTCTGAGATGAGTATCTGCGGGGCGAGAAAGATCTCAGCACACTGTTTGCGAGAGTACTCTCGAGTCGAGCGACTTCTCTCTGCATACTACAATGTTGTTCATACAATCGTCTTACTTGTCGACGACCTTGTTGGACAGATGTTAGGTAATAAAGCGCAGAGGGACGGGCCAACGGGAGCCAACATAGTAATAAACGAAGTGTATTTATTTAGTTGCGCGCGATAACCTTACAATGCAATATCCGCGCAAATAACCAAGCCTCCATCAATATGAACGAATCAAAATCCACAGCGTAAGACTTTCCTAGCCAAGCGCGAAACTAAATCTCTAGTATCGCCCAAATCCGTAAATCGACGAATCGGGGATGATGATACTCAAGGCAGACATATTTGCACCCGCTAGAAACCATCGTGAAAGATCTACAGGACGCAAGGAGATTATGATCGTATGGGATGTGGGCCAAAACGAAAAAGAAAGAACATTATTCAGTTTCAGGAAACCGCAAACGAGCGCCAAGAAAAAGCGCTCGTGTAGATCCCTCATCGGAAGATATTTTATACGCAGCCCTATGATTATATGCAGAGACGCCATTATCAGGAACCCGGTCCAGCGGCAAGAGACCTACCAACTGGAGAGAAAACCTCCGAGACGACCCATAAGGAATGTCAAAATGATATACGCAGATCAAATGGAATACGAAATGGAAATTAGT